CCATTTGCAGAGAGTGGCACACCAGTTGGGGCAGAGGATATCAAAACCTATTTTGAGAAATTGAGAGGCGATGACGAAGCGATCAGAGAGGCGGGATCCAAGAGAAATGGAGCATATGAGGACAACAATGATGAAGGCGACTCCAGGAGGGAGCAGAGCGGTATGTTCAGAATTCTCCCCCTAGAACCCCACCTGTGTTTCCATTTGATTTTAATCAAACATGCACACTAGGGTACTAAAATGGGTGTACATTGTAATTTTGTGCTCCGAATAATGATCTTTATGACCAAATTGTTAACGAACTAACACTTAATTTAAAACCCGCTCAAGGAAGATAAGGGATACCACTAAATCAAATAATCCCAATCCAACTAGTCCCGACTCCCACTGTGTCCCCTTGCTTTAGCTGCCTGACGCCTTGCCCATATCCACCACTTATGGGACTATAAAGCTCATCGAAAGCATAGGCACTTTCCCAGTCTGAATCCCCATGGCTGTCGTCTCACACCGTGTCGACTAACAGTGATGCCCGTGCTAATATGCCGACCGCCAAACCGCTTAGAATAGAAGAACGGCATTTTCTGGTTGATATTTTTCTTTTTCCATCTCGTTTGGCTAAGTTTTCTGTATTTTGGTTTTGTTGAGAACAATTGAAAGAACGAAGACAGGCTCCAAATTAGCGGATTTACTTCGCCAATCTCGCCTCTCGACCGCAAGAACGTCCGTTTCTCTCTGGACTCCCCTGTGTGCATCGCGTTAGTAGAATGCGACACCGTGTCTTTGGTTACCATGTGGCTCATACTCTACCCCAGATGAAGCACGTAAATATGTCGTGAAGCGTGGAGGCTATTTGAATGGTGTGATCTACGGAGTATTCGAGTCCAATTCGGCTGACAACTCGCATAATAAAACAGAGGATCCTGGGCGCTCGCCATTCATCCCTATGACGTCGTTGCTCGTGACCTTGGTAACAGAAAACTAACTTCATGAGTTACTTACATCAGTGGCTGTTCGCCCCCGGTGAAGGGTTGTCAAAGCAAGAAGTTTGCCCGCTTAGTTAACTAACTAGCTTCAAGAGGATCAGCAGCCTACCTCATGGAAAATAGAGAAGCGCCCTTTGAGCCTATATAATTGTCGAATCTCCACTTTTCGGTTCTTATCATGCATTATTTCCTATTTGATCTCAAGACAGATTGTGTTGGGTCCTGAAGAATCCCGCCTGTGGGACACCTGAGCATCTCAATGTGTCCGCCAAATCAGCACTTTGATGTGAAGCTTTGACCGCAAAACTTATCTAACATGAAAGCTCAGTCCCAGTTTCTGATACCTTTGCATTCAATGCAATGTTGGACAATGAACTTGGTGTTTATTTTATTCCCATGAACTCCATACAGGGAATATATGACTGCTGATTTGACATGAAAATCTCAAAGAAAGAACTGGAGATTGCACCACATGGGAACTATAAAGAATATTGATCCAGCAATGACTGAGCTGAGCCTGCTCTTGTTCTTTACCAGCAGGTCCCCAACATTTGGTATAAAGTGGAACTTGACTTGCCTCAGCTCACTGAGATCTGTTGATCATCAGGCAATGTTTAAGAGGCTTGGGCAAAGTGATGAGGATGATATTGAGCCAGTGTTATATTTTGATGCAAAGCTCTTTGCAAATCCATGGGTTTGTTTACCTTCTTTCACTCACTCTAGCAAAGAAGCTGGAGCAAGCTCTTTATAGAAGGATGCAAAAGCTTCTTTATATTTTTTTACAATGGATTCTGGCACTGCAAGACCCAAAGTTTGTGTTTACACATCCAGACTTAAACTTAGAGAATGCCTTTGTATCTGAAGATGGGAGTGTGCAGGGGTTAATCAAGTGGGATGGTGTGGCCGCGGTTCCCCTGTCCTGTGGGAAACGAGAAATATCCTTCTTGGCTCACTCGAGACTAAGATCCGGGGATGTACGCATGGGACGAAGAAGTGGACTGCTTATTGCCGCTGAGAACCCCGTATGCAGATTCGAGGTTCTTACCAAATTTGTTCAGAAAATTGTTGAATTGGCACGAGTGAAATCTTTGGATCCTATCAACAACAAAAATGGGAATCTGGAGATATTTGATATAACTGATGAACTAGGAGAGGTTGAGGTGGAACAGGAAATGCCTGATTTTCTGAGATAGGCTTTGAGACTCTTCTAAATCAAGGTTGGATGTGAGATAATTACTCTCCCAAATCTACTATTTATTAAGTCGTTATAGCTCTATGAACCCCGGGCTTCAAATCAGATACCAGCCCTGTTTCCAGGGGATTTTTCTGTTCTAAAAAGAACAAAACCAGCATCCTTTACCTCCACTAAATCACTTGAGTACGGCCCGAGGACACTTCTTATAGCAGAGTTCCTCATCTATCTACCTCAGCGCTTCTCGGATCTCCTCTTGGACGGTGTTGAGTATTATATGAAAAAGGTGATGCATAAGCTTGCTTTCCTCAGCACTACCCGTACTCAGGCCGTCTGCACTATCCCTCCTTGATACCCAAAAGTGAAATGCTGCCGCCCTGCCGGGGGCGGGGGCGGCCGGAGGTGTTTCCACCTGGGTGTATATACTCTATATACAGATCATTCCGTATATCAGCTCCCTTTCCCCCACAATAAACAAAAAGGCATCCGACATCTCGGGCTATTAAGCAGAGCGCTCGATTCTGTAGTAGACCAGAGGGCAGGATACAACTGTCAGGAGCAGGGAAATATTGTAATGTGGGAAAAGTCTCTGCCTCCTTTTCCCGGGGCTTTGGGCTTTATAATACAAAAGCTTTTCACTAGAATCTCTGTTCACAAACAGATGCAATCCGAGATCAAATATCTTGACACACGTGCCTACCAATACGGCGCTCGATTGTTCAAAAAGCTCATTCAGCGGACTATCATGGTCATCACAATGAATGATGATATATCCCTGACTGTTAATCAATGATTTCATCTGTTAGTTTATGAAGGTGAAGCCAGCATGAGATATTGAAAAAATGAGGGGCTTTAATGCAGGGCGCCCATGTAGTCATTAATCACATGCCGCCATGTCTTTACCGACCCTTTCTGAGATGTCAATTCAGAACTGATTGCTGAGACTTTACCATCTTTGTTGAGCTTGCTGGACTTACAATCCTACCATCATTGGGAAACAGCAGTTCTCTGTAAATGTTTTCAGGCAAGGTTATGAATTTCCCTACGTCGAATGGTGAATACGGCACAAGCAGACTGACAATGGAATGGCATCCAGCAGGGGTCTTATATATATATATATTCACACATTCACGCGAGCACCCCTTGACAAGTCACCGCTTTGCTTTCTCGGGCTGGATTTCTTGGGCACAGAGATTCTTAATTGAGCTCTGGGAGTAATTCTAAATGGCAAAAGAGCCCCATCCTGGCTGCCCTGGTGGGTTGTAAAAGGTATATTGACATCCCCCTATCTTTGTGTTAACCGGCAGTATTCTGTAGCCTGATTTGAAACTCACAATCAGCATCTGTCAGACCACTGGGGGCTAACTGCTTTGACTTCAATGAAAAAGTTCTTATCCTCTGTTTCTAATTGTGTATGAAACCATTCCTATTCCTCAGTATTTATGCTGGCCTCTTACACCAAAGCAAAAATTTGCACTCAAGAGGACCCAATAAGCTACACGTGGATGCGGTCACACCATGCTGGACATACCTCTCAAGCTCGGGTCCACGCGTGCCCTTCAGTTGTAGCTAGAGGCTCACAATGCGCCCAACACCGAAAAGGCTTCAAAGAGGTCAAGCCGTGGCTATGCCTCCAGATTTGAGTATCCTGGTTGTCGCAAGAAGAAACAGCTACCAAAACCAGACAAGGCGGATTGATTTTTACCCATTCTGGCGGAGTTCCTGCACGACAAAGAAGCAGCTTTCTTGTAGTTTTTGGTATGGTTTCAATGGTTCCCGTGCTTTCAAGCCCCTGGCTAGTCAACTAAGTAGTTGGTTAAGTTAGTTACCCTTCAAGCTAGCGAAGTCAATTAACCCATAGTTACGCCATATATCCCATAGGTAGTTACATGAGGCGTAGGTGGGAGTCATGTAATCAACCAGTCAAGGTGGACAGCCCTAGCGTGGATAAATACTGAACACCACGCCTTGGATTGCAGAAGTTTCAAATAACTACTCTGTAAGGGGGTATAATCAATTGTTCCTTTCATTCAGCTCATCCTCTCAGTCGAACCCGGAAAAATATGTCGGACACACTTCTGATAACACCTCAACGCCCCGGCTGCATTGCAATTGGTCAAGCCGGAGAGATCTGTAAGATCGACGAGTCTTACATCGTGAAGTATCCGAAAACATTCCCCGGCAACTCGGCATACAATAACCTCCGCCTCCACTTCATGGCTGTTGAGCGACAGATTTACGAACGCCTGGGGCCGCATGAGGATTCTTGCTTATCATGGGCCCCGCGGCGATTCTGGAGCAATAATTTGGCATATGCAAGACAGGGTGATCTTGAGGCTTACATTCCAGCACATGATGAGCCATCGAGACAATTTCAAGACATGGATCCAATCACTAGTGGCTGCTCTCTATCATATCTATTCCTGCAAAGTACTGCACCAGGATGTCAAGCTGAACAACATTCTTGTCGACAATGACCTGCTCAAGATTGCCGACTTCGCCAATGGTGCAATTTTCCCACCCAACACAGACATGGAGACAATCTACACACAAGACCCACTGTCACAAGTTGACCTACTGGGAATTGGCTGTATTATTTATTCGATCGCCGCATGGACCCCATACAGTTATGATTATTATTAGGAGGAACGCTGGCCTCACCAGACGAGGTCCCGGCTACAGATGGCCTTATGTATCAGGAGATCATCAGCAAATGCTGGAGAAACGAGTATCATTCCGTTCGATCAATATACGAATATATGCAGCGGCTTGATGGCGAGAAAACCATGTCAGAGGAGAACCCGTTCCCTCGGGTGGATTTTATGCTATAGTTTTGCGTTGTTCCGTCGCTTTTGTTCATTTCGGGCCATATGCTTTCGTTGCGCACTTGATCTGGCTCCTAATTCACCGATTTGCGAGTATCTATGCGAATAACTTTGTACCCTTACTCGCATCATCGAGACTGGAGGTTGACTAAGCTGCTTATCGTACTCCTCGTGAACCGCTTGGGCGATGGTTAATGTGATCATCCACCCAGCGTAGACGAGGGGAAACGCGCGGGTGAGACGGGATGATTTGTCAGGGGCAGAAGCTTGTGCCGCCGATGTGAAACGGGAAGAGGGTCCAGCATTCGGTTGACGGGCGGGAGAAAGAAGATGGATTGAGGAAGAGGAGTTGACGTGCAAGAGCAGCAGGGAGGGAGCCCTTTAGATATACCAATAGACCAAAAGAATGCGCTAAGCCGGAACAGGGACTTAAGGATATTCCGGAAGTATAGAGTACGGAGTAGTCTCTATCAACCCGTGTAGAAATACTATGAAAGGAGTCAAAAAGTCCCAGATCGCAAACACCACCCATGCTTCATAATAAAACCGATAAACAAGTTCATGTTCGCCCGCTTTAAAACTCCAATCATGCCAAAAGAGCTACATCTCTCTTGCTCGCTTTGCGGCTCTGCTGGTTAAAGTATCATCGGGCAGGCCGCTCCTTTTAGTTCCTGGTAGGCTGCCACTCCTGATGTCATTATCGTCCTGGCTAACCCGACGGTTCGGGTATTTGCCCTCAAATCCTTCAAAGCAATTTTTGGCCACAGGGGTACCGGTTGTAAAATACGGGTGATTTAGGGCTTCCTTCGCAGAGATTCGCTTCTCCGGATCGTACTCGAGCAATCGCGAGAGAAGGTCAAATCCTTCTTTTCCTGGACTTCCAGTAGGAGAGCTGCCCGAGTAGCCCCCACTCTTGAGGCAGACGTGATACCAATGTTCCAGATTGGACGGCTTATGCAAATGACCAGATCCAGGGGCCATTGCCATGGCTTGGAGTTGAGGAAATTCCGGCATCGAGCTCAATCCCGGCCACTTCTCCTTCTTTGGCAGACCCAAAATTTCGATAATTTTCAGCATCTGATTTCGCTGGAAAGGAACCGTTTTCTTGCTGTCCATCTTTGCTTCCTCGCCTTTGAATATGGGTCGCAAAGATAGCAGCTCTGCGAATATACAGCCAACAGCCCAAAGGTCTACGGCTGTTGTGTAGTGTCGCGCTCCGAGTAGCAGTTCAGGCGCCCGGTACCAGATGGTCACCACAACCTTGTCCCCGGAGAAAAGAGAATTGAGTGGCTTCTTGAACACCCGAGCGAGACCAAGATCACCTATCCTGACGGCACCTTTAGAAGTAACTAGAATATTCGCAGGCTTTAGATCGCGGTGCATAACCCATTGAGAGTGAAGATAGAGAAGCCCGTTTAACAGCTGAAAGAGGATCGATTTCACCATCGGAGCGGGAATGGCGTGGCGTTGAGGTTGGGTGTGGTGGTGAATGATTTGTAAGAGGTCATGCTCAGTGTATTCGAAGACCATATAAACGCACTTATCCTCAAGGATTGTTTCCACCAAGCGCACGACATTCGGGTGGTTCAGCTCGGTACAAAGAGATATTTCTCGAATGGCCGACTGGGAAAGGCCAGTGTATTCTACCTTTTCCCCTTCTTTATCCGGTTTAAACCTGTGGAAAAGTCAGCCAATGCCCCGTGCTTCCCCAAGGTCAAAAAGAAAAGGGGGGGGAAAAAAAAATAAAAAAGGGAGAAATGCACTGCACTTTTTAATAGCAAAATCCCCGCCCACGCCGTCTCTGCCTTTGGCTTTGTAGACTCGACCATAGGTACCGCTACTGATAAAACCAACAATAAGGTATTTTTCCCTGAGTTTGACTTTACTGGCGTACGAAAACGGAAGCGGTTTTTTATTGTCTAGTGATTCTAAAAGTCGGTTTGAGTTAGCTGTGACGGCTCGATATTGTCTGCTCTGCTGTATCCGAATGGCAAACTGTAACGGGGTTATAAATTTTCTGGGAGGTGGGCGGCTACTGAAAGGTTCACATGGCTCGGAACACTCGGGTAAACCAGGGAAACCTAGGGGGTCACCGTGCCCTTGCCCGGATACAGAACTGGCGGAAACGGAATCATGCAGTAACCCCCGAAAAGAGTGCATCCTGTGGTGTGATAAGTGCAAATGGAATGCGAAAAGAATAGACTAGAATAGGCTGGAGGGCGCAGACCAAAGGGATACGGCCGGAATTGATAAAGGATTGGAAATGAACGAGGTTAAAAAAAAAAAATAAAAAAAATTTAAAAAAAAATTTAAAAAAAAAAAAATGGGGAATGTGAGCGAATACGTGTGCTAACAGAGCAAGAAGAAGGAAGCAGCACACCATGGCACCGGGCAGCCGGGGAGGAAGAAGCTCCCGCCTTGCTTTTGACAAGGAACGGAGAAAAAGAGCTGCGAGGGGAGGAAAGCCATTCCGTGGCGAAATCAATCACGGACAAAGACACGGCGTCATTCACATCACCCGATGGGCCATCCCGGGGAGGTTCCTCTCTCACTGCATGCTATGGAAAAATCCTCACGGCAGCTCGGTCACCAGGCCACATGAATGGGACAGCCAGGCAGCCCAAAACAGATAAAGAACAAAATAACAACAACAAGAAGAACAAGCAGAAACCTCATTACCATCGAAAGATTGGACACTCCGCTTGAGCGTCAGGTTTGGGTGTATCCCCTTGCTGGGGTTGTTCGCGGTAAACGACGACGACCCCGGAAACGGCGGCATCGACCTCCCGGAGGCAGCATCTGCGTGTGATCCTCTGCCAGTGGACGGGGGCAAGTTGCTAAAGCTCATAGCGAGAACGGTGGTCGAGGCATTCTCGCCGCCCTCCATCCAGAAGAGAATGGAGTTGATGCAGTTATATAAAATTCCAGCCAAAGGGTGAAGGTCGTTCTCAGGTGATCACGTGGGCTACCCTCGCCATCCATATCGTCAATTCATCAACTTTAACTACCCATCCCCAGCACTCTGTACTCTATACATCCTGATCACGGCGCACACAGCCGATAGCCAGCTACTCCGCACTCCCCCAAACTAATCTAGAGTCCACGGTTCCTGGTACCTCCTGTGTAGCGTAACAATAACAGCCACACCTGACCTGGACACTTCCATTCAAAAATTCTGTCCCAATCTTGCTGCACTAGCATGTCTGGGAAAGACTCCCTATGAACCCCCTAAGACACCCCTAAAAAGCCCCTGAAAGACCCTCCCAGCCATGGGCAGTCGCCAGCTGTATGGTTGGGCGCCAGTCAGGCAAGCGACCCCCCTTGAAATCCCCGACAGCGTAACTTCTAGAGCTTTTTATGCGTACATGCAAAGGCCAACCGCAGCTACACTCCTTGTCCCAAGAATCTTTTGTCTGATAATACTAATTTAGGCGACTTCAGCTTGGTGTCGGTTGTCCAGCTCCCCCTCCAGCATCTCTTGGTCGTCCTTGATTTCCGTTAAATCACAAACTTTGCTGGATTGGACATGTTGGCTCGCCGTAGTTTGGTGGTTGGCTTTCGCGGTCAGCTGCCAAAACGCCACATCAGTGTTCAACATCCACCATCAACAACGACGGCCTTTTGTCATTGTTATCATTATCAACCCATTATCAGCCAACAGCAGGCAGCTGCCCTGTCAATGTAACTAGCTGGTGTTGATTCCCTATGGAACATTTACCACCAACAACAGTTGATCACCAATCTCAATTGTGTCGCTGACCCTCATAGTGCACCCCCCGGTAGTCCGTCACAATGGCAACCTCACCCTCGCCAGGACCGAGAGCGACTCCGTATCTCATCTTCCTCATTCTAATCACGACATTGGGGCCTCTCCAGTTTGGATACCACCTGGTAAAACTTTCCTCTCCGCCTTGCTTTTCTCGTTCCATCACTGCTGCCTGGGCTATCTTTCTTGAGTTATCCTTCTACCCCTCCGCAATGCACTGACATCCTCCAAGGCGGAGTTAAATGCTCCTCAGGCGGTTATTACATGCGAGAAGAAGGATATCAAGTTGTTGAGGAATCTGTATTCCTCGTCCGCCTCTTCCGGATTGCCACGGTGCATCCCCATGAACCCATCCCAGTTCGGCCTCGTCTCGTCGAGCTATTCGCTGGGTGGTCTCCTCGGAGCTCTGCTTGCAGGTCCGTTTTCGACAAAGTACGGCCGTCTGCTCGCCCTGCGAGGGACAACAATCTTCCTCATGTTGGGTCCGGTTGCTGAAGCCCTTTCTGTCAGCATTCCGGTCTTTGTTCTCGGAAGACTACTGTCCGGAATCGGAGCTGGAGCCGCCATCGTCGTCGGGCCGATATACATCGCTGAAATCTCCCCACCTAAGGATAAGGGGTTCTATGGGGCTTTTACACAGGTAATGACCAATGTGGGTATCCTGGGAACTCAGTCTTTAGGCTACTTCCTGAGTAAAGGCAGTCTTTGGCGTATAATTCTTGCCACTGCTGGCTTCATCGGACTGGCAGAGCTCCTGGGCCTTCTGTTTGTTCCCGAAAGTCCAGTCTGGCTTGCAGAACATCAAAGGTTGGCCCATGCCAAACGCATCCTCCAGCGAATTCGCGGCCAGAATGCAGACATTCATGATGAGGTCAAAAGCTGGCAGATCGGCGGATCAACCGCCAGCCGAACCGACCCGCTGGAGGAAGAATCACTCCTAACTCCTCCACCAGGGAACCTGCCTCCCAGGAAGCCTCCTGTCTCTATCCTTGGCGTGGCCCGCGACCCTCTCTATCGTCGAGCTATAATTGCTGTCGTTGCCGTAATGGTAACCCAGCAATTTACCGGCATCAATAGCATAATAATGTACAGCGTATCTCTTCTCTCGACCATTCTCCCCACCACTGCTGCCCTTCTTACCGTTATTGTTTCCTCTATCAATCTCTTCACGACCCTTCTTTGCTCACCCTTGGCCGACAAACTTGGGCGCAAAAGATGCCTCCTCCTCAGCATAACGGGAATGGGCCTTTCTTCAGCCCTCCTAGCAATTAGCATTGCTTCAAACCTCAAAATCCTGTCTGCTATAGCTACCCTGCTCTTTGTAGCAAGTTTTGCTGTTGGCCTAGGCCCAGTCCCCTTTATTCTCGCATCCGAGCTTGTCGGCCCTGAAGCAGTTGGCGCAACCCAGAGTTGGGGCTTGGCAACTAATTGGACAGCAACTTTTGTCGTTGCCCAGTTCTTCCCGGTATTGAATGTTGCGCTGGGCGGTAAGGGTAGGGTGTATTGGATCTTCGCCGCCATAGCGCTTTTTTTGGGTGGGTTTATTGCGTGGTGGGTGCCGGAAACTAAGGGAAAGGGAAGCATGGAGGAGGTTTGGGGTAAGAGAGCAGAAAGAAGGGTTGATTGATAACTTTGATACTTCGGCTGTTATCCGTGCTTACTTGACATCATACATTATTACAGATATAACTAGAACAGCAGCGATGTATTGAGGTAGCTTAAAGAAATCATTATCATTCTGTACATGTACAGTACAATCAATGGTTTGGAATTCAAAGTCCATACAACCCATGGAACCCACCAACCTTTGTCGTAGCACCTATTAAAACGAGGCATATACCAAAAAAAAAAAAAAAAAAAAAAAAGAGAGAGAGAGAACAGGCAGAAACACAACAAAAGCCGCGCTAAAAATGCAATGTCAATCAAACTCTCATCTTCTTTCCAGCCGACTCAATGCACCAAGAACTACTCTCAGGTCTTCCTTTTCAATATCCTTCTTTGTCATTCCTCCTCCGTCGTCGCCTTCACTTTCGCTCTTCACTTCAGCAGTTACTGGTGATCTTGTTGAACCTCTCAAATCCCTCTCTTCAAGTCTTCTAGCGCAGGCTCGGAGTACACCGCCGGCAACGTTATCTGCAGCGGAGCGATATAATTCAAGGTCGTGAATTCCAGCAGCGAAAGAATCTAGGGTGGGTGCGAGGGATGAGGAGAGCGACGAAAGACGGATTGTCAGGGATGATATAGGGTCGGATGTTTCCGATACCATGCGGGAAGTTGTGGGTAAAGACTGTGATTGAGGTTGAGAAGGGAAAAGAGGTTCTTTCACGACATCTAAAAGAGATCTTTGAGAGACGTCAAGGAGCGCGGGGTCAATGAGATCGGGAGAGGAAAGCCGGGGTTGGGACTCGGATTTCTGGTTAAAATCAGTTTCTTCAGAGGGAGGCTCTATGCTTGGTAGAGACGGGGCGCGAAGCAGATCAGCGAGAGATTGCCGTTCAGCTTGGAGTCTACGGTATGGTTAGAATCACAAAATCAACGGGGGCTCACGCAGAGTTCTAGACTCACCGTTGGATATGCTGTTCCAGCTCTTTAATCTTTTCGGCATTCTGGACATTTTTAGGGTTCGGCTTCTTCACAACCACAGCCGGCGAAGCTGTTTCTTCACGGCTAAACCAATCCGACAATTCGGATCGATTGGAAAATTCTTTGAGCATTTCCTCCTGGATGACACGGGCTAGAGGGACAAAGCATCAGTCAGACATGCTTCAATCGGCAGGATAGGCGTATCTGGGAGCATACCTGCTAACTTGGCACTTTCATCATCCGATCTTGAACCAGAAGGTTTGTCACCCATAGCCCTAGTTGCGCACCAAGTCAACAACTGTCGCATCCGTCGAGGCTCCGATAAGTCCTCGCTCTCTATGTGTTTGTAGAATTCTGCCACGTCGACCTTGTCATGTGGTAGTGCTACTAGAAAATCAGAACCCTGTCATATAAACTGAGGATGCAGGCTTCTTACCATTTGACGCTCCGGAATCGATCAATGAGCTTGCTCTTCTGCCCCTCATGCCAAAGCTACTTCGTCTTTTCCCTCTCCCGCGCTCTTGTCTCATTTCCTTATTCCGTTGAATAACAGGGGTATCAGCGAAAGGCAATGCAATTTTTGTCTCCGCGACCTGCGGTTGCGGAGTCGTCTCTCGTTCTTCATTCTCCTCTATCACACCATGCGGTAAATCTGGATCTTTCGTTTTGCCGGGACGGCCCTTCTTGGTTGTCGAGCGGCCGACAGTAGTTTCTGAGTCTTGTAGTTGTTTCTTTGAACGTGGAAGGGCCTCGTGTTCGTCAGCGGCCAGTCTTTTTGGCCTTCGTCGCGTCGGTTCCGCGACACTGTAACCATTCGGTGTCTCCAGATTCGAATCCACAACACCCGGTGAACCCTTTCTCCCTCGCCGTTTTTGGGCGGGTAGATTTTGTGGTGCTGTGTCTACGGCCGCATTTTCAGGAGACGGTCGCGGCTTTTTCGGTCGCGAAGTGCGTGAGAATTGAAACCCTTCAATGTCCTCTTCATAATCCGCTGCACAGGAAAGCAAGAGTCAGAAGTCTTCCTCCGTGCAGTCTAAAGGGATTCCTTACCAGCCTTCCTTTTCGTGGTCGCATCGCTCCAACCATTCAGAGTCGCATTCTCCTTCCCAGCAATCTTTGCGCCATTCTTCGTCCGCCCATGGATATTCGCATCCTTCGCTTGCGCCCGTGCATGCGACATGCTCGTCAACCACTCAACGGCCGATAATCGCGTGGGTGTCTGCAATACGTGAGAATTGGTAATTGCGTTTCCACCGACTGTCAGACTATGTGTTAGGATCTTAGTTCCGGAAGAGTAACTCCAATCACTTATGAACGTGTCATGCAATGCGTTGTCCAAATATGGGTGTAATGTGGCTCTATTCGTCGTGCTGGCGCGGGTAGGAACTAGGATGGTGGTCATGTCCAGGATAAAGGGATACGCAAATCGAGTATGACACTCGGGGGCAGAGAGGGCGTGCGCAGCACTTGCGAGGTAGAGTGAGGATTCCCAAGTCCCTGTAAAAACTTCGATGGATGTACTCCGTAATCAACTGGATTCGGCTCGCGTGGGGTCTGGTTCAAATGACTACTAGCGGGTGATATCAAAGGCGCCTAGTGCAAGCTTCAGTTCATTGTCGCGAATTCGGACGCCCGCTCTATCAAGAATTATCACCCCAGCGCCCAAAGCTATTGCCTTCTCCCACGGTTCCAACGTGCCAGGCTCGCGATCTCCGTCGGGGCAGGCTAAGCTCGTTGTCCGTCAATCTGTGTCGGTCGAGATGGCGTTTGCACCTGAAGAGCTGATCAATCCTTCGATGATTGTTATATCGTTTCGTGCCAACCGGTTCACAGCGAGGAAGAAGGCTTGCAATGCGCCTGTTGTCTCTCTGGCCCTCGCCGTCGCTGTTGTCGTCTGCTGCTGATCCGTCCGAACCTGTGTTTTGGTCTTGGCGCGTTGACAGGAAAGTGCGCTATTCTGCTTCAGGACTAGTGGCGGGTGCTTGGATGATTATATAATGTGTAGAGTAAGTTGCTCTATCACTTCATCGTAAGTAGACTCTACTTCTCGGTCTCAAGCCTACGAATTATCTCGGGGGAGCAAATTTAAATGCTGGTGCAAGGGGGAACGGTAAATAACAAATGCAAAGTACCAACTATTTTCTTTCGTTTAGCAGAGATGTCAATAGTCTTCAAGATGATACACTCTATTGAATTGACGAGCAGATAAAGCAAGCTGAGTTGCCCGCCAAAGGTTGGCAGGGACTCCAAAGGGTTGCTCATGCATAGCTCATACCCAACCTTCAAATCGTTTCCATCATGGGATCAGCTCCTGCAGGTGAACAAGATCGTTGAAGGCAATAGTGTCCATTGACAACGGGTAGCCCTAGTCGCTGTTTCAGTTCTCATGGGGACGGACGCTTGGGTTTCGCCCATGTCCCGACACCTGAGAGAATTTGCGTCACGTGGCATAAAGGGTCCGAGTCCATTGAGAACCCCCTTACAAAAAGCGGGCTGATATTCCCTACAATTACTTTCTTCACCCCTTTCTCATTTTCGCCGTTCGCTTATTTGACTGCCCGAGATTTCCCTTCTATTTTCAACATGAATGGTGATCCGCTTCTAATTCAACCTGAGGGAGCCCTTGGTTTTATTGCCCTGGGATCAGCTGGGGCAATTTTCCAAGACAGCAATGGACAAGTCATCAAAACAACTCTCAAGCACGATGTCAAAGGATGCAGCAAGCAGGTTATTGAGCATGTCCGGCATATACAGTCTATCTCGGAATTATGCATCGACCGCGAGAAATCAATTTATAAAGCATTACCGAAGCATCCTCGCGTTCTTGACTGTCTCGAAACCAAAGAAAAGAGTCTCCATTTTCCATTTTGTCGACTCGGAAATCTCCGTGATTATCTCCAGCACAATGAAATAGACAACAATATCCGGGACCAGTGGGTCAGAAATGCTATCGATTCTATCGCCGTGATACATGCCTATGGTGTGATCCATGCCGACATTAGCCCACGTAACTTTCTTGTGGCCGATGACCTATCGATCAAGCTTTGCGACTTCGCCGGATCCGCCATTGGCGACTTGCAGCCCTTAGTTGAGGAAGAAGATCGGTACCGAATTTCGCCGCTGTCGCCACGGAATTTCAAGACCGATTTGTTTGCTCTAGGCTGCTTGATCTATGAAATTTCCACTGGAATTCGCCCATATGACGAGATCGACGATACTGAAGAAGTCGAAAAGCTTTATAAAGCACATATATTTCCGAAACTTGACGGTCTTAAATACCAGAATATCATCTACAAATGTTGAACATCCCAATACGAAGGCGTGGACGAACTCCAGGGTGACTACAGTCATTGCACTTATCAGGCAAATGATGGAGGAAATCTTGCAACACTATGGAAGTACATAAGGTCAAGTCTGTTTGACAATCAACACATTACAATGGTGCTAGGTACTATTGGTGTTAGTTTTGCTTGGATATGGATCAATCGGAAGCGAAACTAGCGAGGAATTTTCTATGCATTTCATACATGCAAATTCGCGCCAGCCGCCCTATAACACCTACATCTTGATGATAAGCTTGTGATATCGTTGTACAGCAGGTCTGATGTGCTTTGGGAATTTCCAGAATTTGAGGCTGCTTTCTACCACACCAATTGGTCTCGTGGCCACTTTTCTTCAGAAGCTGGAATGCTTTGAAGGGATTCTGTTCTTGACGACAAATCAGCCTGATGGTCTGGATGCGGCCATCCTGAACCGAGTCCTTCTATCGCTAATATATAGTGACCTCAACCATGATGCAAGAAAAGAGATCTTTCAACAGTTCCTACAGAAAGACATCAGCATAAAAGTCAATGTCAATGATCAGCAACTGACTGCTCTGGCACAAGTAACTCTTAATGGATGGCAGGTGAGTGGAGCCCATGGTTGAATGAGCTCCTCAGACTGATTTGCTTAGATCAAAAATACCATGTCTATTGCTTGCATGATAGCAACAAAAGATGGCGAACTGAGGTTTGACCATGTCTGATCAGCATTGACCATGAATGGGCGTTGTGTGCCGGACTCGGGACTGGCTTATAAGTGGAATAAGTTGTATGAGTGAGCTGTTAATGCCTTCTCCTCAGGTAAATATGCTCGGATGCGCTGGAGTGGCGTTTGGGGAGAATTCTGCTAAATAGCGGGCAATTACTGCTGGGAGCTTTCCTCTATTCAAATTTTGAGATAATAAATTTGACTGGGGGCTAATCTGCTTTGTGTTTTGCTTCATTTTATTTTTTTTTCTCTTGATAATCGCATGTGATGATGGTGCTGCCGGTCAGAGGTGATCTGGCTGAGAAGACTTCTTAGTGAGTCAAATGTGAGCCAAGGTGAAAACTGCAATGATCATCTGTGGTGACAACCATGGAGCCATTGCTCTGTCCCCGAATGGGCAATACCACTCCCGCACGAAGCATATGGAAATCCAACGCAAGTGGCAAGGAGAGATCCATTCCAACTATGGAGCAAATTGCTGATGGGTTCACCAAGCGTTGAAACCGGTCCTTTTGGGACCAGTCTGTTTTAGAGCCTTGGCTTTTTCGAATTTTTGGATTTCTGGATTTTTGGCTTTTTGCAATTTTGTGATTCCTGTCGTGATCGAATTGCACCATGTTTCGGCATTATGATGGAGGACTCGTATGCTAGTCATTCACTAAGCTACCTAAAGGGGAATCTTGTCTACCTTCTGTTTGCTATCATCCAGTTCATATTTGGTCCATTGGATCATCTGATTAGCGCGATGTCAATGGTGATGGCACTCTCAATCCGATAGTTTTACCGTTAGGTTATTTCTACTCTGTGGTAGCTACGATCTAACCAGGCAATATATTAAAGGCGGAATCTCCTCAAGAATTGCAACGTAATATAGAAGCTTTATCTGCCAACTCTCACAATGCTTTAAAACATGTACGGTTTTATCAAGCTGGAGAAACGCAATACAGTCCTGAAGAAAACTCCGCAACGGTAAAGTAACCGGCAAAGGTTCACCAGAGATATTCTGCTAATACACTTCAAGCAAACAAGATGGACCCCCTCCCAGCAACTGAATCCATGGCCACCGCTATTCCGAAAAAGAGCAAGTACCGGGGCACTTCAAGAAGATAAGGAGCCTAACAAACGCGAACAATCTGATCAGACTGAGGAAGGATTGTCTTTGAGAGAAGTGCTGAACAAGATGCAGCGAAAGGGTCCGAATTACATTCAGCAACTGCAATGCAGCAGTTCTCGAACCTTGCCCACGGTTTCTTTGGCTTGCAGGAGAAAGCAACAAAACAAGCAGGCCCAAGCTCCATCGTCGCACAATCAGTCTAGTTAGTGCTGAAGGGCTCTTATGTGATGTGATGTCGGCATCATGACTGGCCACCCATCACTAAAGCAAGAAATGAGGCTTCGGGTTGCGTGAACCCGCGGCATCCCGGGGTCATGACCGGGATGGAGAGTGGATTTTATTAGACTGGGGATTATGCCTTGAATTTGTTTGGCAACCCCTGCTGGAGCGGATCTGGGTCCCCATACCTAAGCGCTACTTTTGTTGTCCACAGGTTAACTCACAATTTGACTTCTCGCGCCCAAGAATGGTCACAACACCCCGCATTCAAGTTTGCTGCCCAACAGCTATGATGTAATCAAAGTCCCCTGCGCAAACACTTTCACATGGCGGGGCTTAAAAAACATTTTCAGATGAAAATTTCCAAGCCATCAAGGAATGAATTCGAGGCTTTTGCAATATACCAAAAAAAAAAAAAAAAAAAAAAAAAAAAAAAAAAAAGAAAAAAGGTATCCTATACAGCATTTGCCATTTAATTTGGGCTGTTTGTGCACCTACAAACAATAATATGAAGTTAGGCCTTCATTTCTCAGACAATTGCTGTTTCAAAAGTTTGGGTCTCAATAGCACCTTTGTACGCCACACCCAGAAAATATGTCATATTTTGAGACATATCTATCTAACGGAGACTGGCTTCTTTCTAGCTGCCGTAAGATATGTCCGCCCATATAGATTCCAACATGAGTGTAAAAATTCTAAAAACAGTCCTTCTTGCCAAAACTAACCAAGCCGTAAAATAGCGCGGCAAAATCACATCGAGCGGAAGCGAAGAACATCTGCCCAGTCACTTATTTCCCAAAGCCAAGAAAGATACCTGGATAATAGGTAGAGGCTTGTTAATCATAGTGTTTGACCCCGAGAATACAAAACCAATCTGGGAATGGGCAAAAGAATTAGAGTACAGCACTGGTTGTGTCCCAAAGAGATGTAGGATTAAGGTCCTCCATGGGTGGGTAAGGATGTCCACTTCAGAACAAGGTTAAAGGTGTCATTTATCTGAAGTCCTGCCTCCTGGCCAACCCACAAAGTGATGGATATATCTTGTGTTGGATCTTTAGGTATCAGAGTAGTAGGGCAATCAGTCATGGGCTTGCCTAAACTTCTTTCTATATCCCACTGGCAGCTGATGTGAACTGCATCTGAGAGCAAGTCACCCAAGAGTGAAATTTGGCTCCTGGGAGTGTTAAATATATGTACTGAATTTCTACCAAGCTGTTAGAAATTTTCACTGTTCATAATTGCAATAAGTTTCTTACATCTTTCAGCACAAAGCTCTCCATTCTTAACAATTTCCTCTTCTGCGCGAGCATGCTTGTGTGGCCGCACAAACTCAGATTCTTGCTGCTGAAAGTCAGTAGCTGGTGATGACAAGAGCTCTCCTAAAGCTGCATGGCTTGGGGACACCACTTGTTGGCTTTTTCATTGAGCAAGGCACAGCTCAATATGTGCTTTTCTTAATATTTAGTTCTGTGGCTGATGACATTTAGAGGAATGAGACAACAAACATGTCAGGAACTTCTTGAATAAATCCTCATCCTCCAGGCTGAAGTCACCAAGCACTACCCTGTTAATGTCATCTCTGCACAGAAGTAATGCCAGCTCATGATGCTTGACAAAGTCTTCAGCATTCTCAACAAGAAAATCAAAGACCTGAGCAGGCAGTTCAACTATTTCACAGACAGTATATGAGAGCCCACAAAGTTTCAGTGACAAGCGGTCTAAGTTATAGAGCTGTGTTTTTCTGCTAGTTTCACAAGAATTCATCTCAAACATAAATTTGAGAAAGTGTTTGATCCTTGTAGCCTGCTGATTTGGAAGCAATTTATCACTCAGATATTCTTGCAATAGGTTCTTGATGGACAACAGGCAGTTTTGAACTTCAAGTTGTGTATGTAGTTTGGAAACCAAGTGAAGCAGTTTGGGGAAGTCTATTTCCAAGCCTTTGCAGTGCCAGAGATCTTGTCTAACAACCACATTATTTGAAACAAGAGCCTGGAGCAATGAGAAAGACATTTTTATTTTCAATAAGTGCCTGGAGCAAGCATGTTTGGACAATCAAGAGAAATCACTTGCAGGGGGTTTGCCAACCATTTTTGTCTCTCTACAGATGCCAGGCTGATTTTGGCTGACACCCCTACCAAAACCCCGCAAGCTCCTCATTTTATCACATGATGTACTTAGAGTCTATCCTTATTGGCTTAAGGTAGGACCACCAGAATCCACCATAATGAGGACTCCTGATGCATAGTCTGGGGTTTCACAATGCTTTCATGAATGTACAAACTCCTAGAAGTTACAATGAAGACATGGCTGAGAGCAACATACAGCCCTCTATATAAGAGCCACACAGCTGCTTCTGAATCTCCTTAAAACATTCACCTTGAGGGTAAGCCTTCCATGATTGGCATCTCTTCATCTCAATGTGTCACATACCCCAGTGAAGTAAAGCACTCCTCCACCTGGCCAGACTTCTTCAGTTTGTCCAGCCTGCCCTATACAATGACTGGATACCCCAGTTCTCACCAATACACTTCCTCTAGGCCAGCTGAAGTGAGACTGAACACCTATCTGTTTTATGGAGCTGTTGCAGCATACCACAACCCTGGACAATTGTGAAGCAGCTGAGAAGTGTCAGTCCATCTGGTCAGCCTTCTTCTGACTTGAAGAAAGACCACAGCCTCATGTCTTGCCACTCCACACATTCACAAGCAGGGTTCTACAGCAGCTTTCAGCTCTCAGACAAAAGCTCCTATCATGCATGCAGAGCATGTGGACAGCAACCAACTCAGACTGTCAGAGGATCAGTATCATCTCCAGCCCAATTTGTGGACTCTAGTCACCACCTTCATGTAGCATGTACCTGTGAATTTTCTGTGGCTCCATCCATGGACTTCTCAGAAGGTGCCTACATCAGCAGCTGTGAGATTTTCATCAGTTTGAAGAACAGAAATTTCCTTCAGTCAGATGACCTCTTCAAATGTACAACCACAAGATGAGACAGGGAACTTATACCTGTGGAAATGTGGTTGTGGCCCTTCAGGAAAGGAGAAGAGCATAGAGCATCAAAATTGTGTTGTGATATTGCCCAAGGGTTGCAGTCAGATATGGAAGCTGAAAATTGGTGTAAGAGCTACTATCTACTCTTTGGGCCCTACCCTCCCTCCAGTTATTTTATTAATGTACTAAATCTTACCCAGGTTATTTAAACACTGCATTTTACAGAGAACTGCCAGCCAGAAAGCAGCAGTGATCAATGCAATGTGAGCAAGAGATTGAATGTTCTTTGAAGAGAGCTGGATCAAGCTTTGATTGCCAAGTGAACAAATTCAGTTTAACTCCATCAGGGGGTGTTGGCTAAGGGTGTTCCAATCATTGGACCCTTATTGCATAGTGAGCAAGATGTTGAACAGTGTGCTAAGAAGCAGGCTGGGTTTAAAGACTTCCTTACCTGTGCAAATGACTTCTATCTTTGATCATGGACCCAAACCACTAGGGAGCAAGTATAGGGAATTATTAGCATAATAATACCAATTTGCTTCTTTTATCACCTGGTTTCTCTTGGCCTTATAAGACAACAATGCTGGAAATATCATGAGCTGATGGTCACTTGTAGAAATGAGTCCATGCCCATGATAGAAGAAACCAGGTGAAGTCTCAGCAGCCATCCAGCCACCCCTCCTCCAGGGCCCACAGCTCTTTGATTAGGCAACCATGCACATTGGGATGTATTTTCTTACTCAATTGATTGATCCATTCTGGCTCCTTGGACGATGTGCTGGCACAGGCAAAAATGAAGGGGTAATTCACTCACAGCCATAAAATAGTGTTACATCCACAATCCCCTCCAAATATTTTCCTGTAGTGATCCAAAGCTGATGATCAAATTGTCCTGAAACAACAAACCCATGTTACCGCCGTTTGGCGATGATGCAGCAGACGAAGACACTGACACCCACCAGCGAGCAGGGTAGCCAACGACAGAATAGGCCAACGATTCTTTCAAGGTTGGGTTTCCTCCATACTTGGTGTATAGCGGCACCCTCCTTACCTTTGGCTGGATCAAGTGTTGGGGGCTTGAGCGGTTCGATTGGGTCTAATCCTGCCAGTGCTAATTCCTTCTGGAAAGCCTCAAGGTCAGACAGCACTCTCTGCAATTCTTCTTCTTGTTGCTTCCGCAGACAAAGTTTAAAGAAGCCCTCCACTCTTTTGTCACTGTCTTCTCCGTAGTACATGTCATCCAACAGATTCCAGTAGACATTCCCAAAATAGCATGGTTTTAAAAGCGCGTAGGCAATGAACACCGTATCTGACATGAGATGTTTGCTCCAAAGTTTGACCAGAGGAAGAATAAATTTCAGCTTGTTATCCGGGTTATAATGTTTGTCCTCCCGCTCTCTCGCGGCTCGCTGGAACTGAGAAATGTATACCGTAAAGGCAAAGTCATAGGGCTTTTTAGTGGCAGCTGGGAGCTCCTGGCTTGTAATCCAGGAGGGCGGGACAAACATTTGCGGTGGAACCGTGTGACTCCACTCCCAATCGATGACTGAGATGATGTTCAGGTCAGCATCCACAAAGATATTAGGAGGTCGAAGATCCCCATGCATGAGAATGAACGGCCCGTGGTTGTCCTTTGGGTCTACCCATTCCATCACAATGCCCTGGGACGCAAATATGCCATATAGATAGTTCCGTGCATCCTCCTTGTCGAAAACACTATCTTTCCCGCGGTAAAAATCATTGAAAATCAATTTCAAGACAGCATAGGCATAATCAATGGTAGAATTGTAGGTTTGGTGAGCAGGGATAATCTCGGAACTCTTCATCCCGCTGAGTTCCTGGTCATTCAGCTCAATGGTGAGCGGGCGGTTATGCTCAAACACCCAGTTTTCATCGTTGCTGTCCAGCGTGAGAGCGCCGACATGATCGAACTGCTGGCGATAGAGTTGAATATAGACATCGGCAAGCTGGTCGAACAGATGCGACTTCAACTCGTCAGGAAGACATGGCACATCAGTTCCATGGAGAGTTTTGCCTGTGATGTACTCCAAGGCCATAAAGGGAAGATTAAGAACGTTATCTCGGTTGATGGAATATTCAAAAGACGGGGGACAGGGATAGTGGTTTTCTCAGCAATGTACCTACGTAGCAGGGCAGCATGTTAGAGCTTGACCACGAAGCAGGAATATCTCATGTTCCTTACTTCATTGTTGCAATCTCGCCACGCATCTTTTCCTCGGGAAATGCGAGACGCGGGAGCAGGGGGATTCGGATCATCCATCGTTCAGCATTCTGAGTTGACTCGACATTGGGAATCTGGTCCCCTGCGTCTGTAAAAACAACTGGAAAGCAGATATTATAGCTCCCTTTCTGTGGATCTGAGAAGACCTGGCACGACTTCTTCTCAGGGTGCAAGGAGGAAGCCAATTTGCAGACCAAAGATGGCTCAATCGAGTCAATGAACTTCTTGACTTCTTTATCAAGCAGATGACGGGTGAGCTGATCCATGATACCAGCAAAAAGAAATCAACAATTCTCGTACCCAACAGCTGTCTCCCGAGATCTGTTTGCTCTTGAGAGCCGTGGGTGCTGGACAGAGCTATGCCAAAGTTACTGCACTGCTCATGGCGGGAAATTTTCTGTGCAGTGACACTGGACAGCTCATCTCGACGGCTGCCTGTCGGTCATGTGTCTCAAATGCACGAAGGTTGTTTGCAGGGGAGCTTGCGGCGCTAGGTCCAAATCAGGCAAGGTGGATGACCATCAACAATTTGTTAATTTTGAGTGGAAATACTCCGTAGAGAGGACTGAACTAAAATCAACATCTAAAACATCTTTCTGTAGTTTCTTCTTCCTTTCCCCCGCCCAACCACCATTGTCTATCTATAAAGTAGTGGTCAGGTTCAATGCTCCTAGACAGCTGCAGATCATCACTCACACTGTTCCCATCCTCCACTACCAGCCTTGATAGCCGGGCATGTAGTCCTCCAGGGTCAACCCTACATTCAGCCGCGGAAGATCTCCATGGGAATCTGATCACAAATGTTAAGAGAGCAGTGATCCAGCAGTCTTCAGGGTGATGGTTCAGTAGATCCTCCAGTGATTTGTACACCCCAATGATCGCGGTCATTGCTTCTAGAAGGATTGCAGGGATCCCCAGTTCTACAGCTGTAGCAGTGATAGAACTACCCAACCTAGCCTGCATTCTCCCCATGAAGGTCAATGTCCCACATCAACTTGTTGTCCACACTACTGATCTAGATGAAGAGAAAGGTTATTAGAAGTTTCTGCTGTTCCACTGGGGGTTGCACATGATTCAGTAGCTTTTTGTCTGCCGGGACTCCAACCTGATCCCATTCTTGAGATGGGAATTGGGACAGGAATCCAGGACTGCGTTGGGAAATCCCAGAACCAGATACCACTCTAGCCTGTGTAAACTTTAAAGAAAGGAAGAATGATTAACCCTTTTGACTGGCATTCTCATTCTTAATATTTTACCAGAGAAGATTGCAGCATCGATTCAACACATCAACACACTAATTTTGTTTTAACTACTGCTCTCACTGGTGATACAATATTACCCAACCCACTATATGAGAAAGATAAGCAACTGCACCTGATTGAGTGATAAACATTTACAGATAGGTACTGCCACAGAAGGCAGGATGCTGATGCACTCTGGTATTTAAGAATATCATTTGCAGGGTTCCAGAATAAGAGATATATTCATGTAAACAATATATCTTGCTCCTAATCTTCGCAGGTATTTTCAGTACAGACAAATACTATAATTGTTTGAAGTATGTCTTTATGATATGATATTGCAGCTGGGCGATGGATGCCCAACTCTAAAATCTCATTGATGATGTGTACCACCACCATGCCTCCTCTGTGCTCTCATATTGCCGCAGTATCATTGGTAAATATTTGGTAGCCCACTCGCCCTTCCATTCTGAAGTGAGGTGCGCCTTTCGATCCTCCCAGTATTCTGGCATCCAGCCTGACTGTTCCCAATCAACAATTGAAACAACCCGCCATGGTTCTGACTTTGATACCATGATATTACTCCTATGGAGGTCTCCGTGCGTGAAACTTATTGCAGCATCATCAGGGAGTTCAGAGCGAAAGGGCTCCATTGGAATGGAGTATGGATCCGCCATTGGGCGCCGGCAGAGAAAAACAAACTAGTCATGGAACTCCTTGACAGACTACTGAAAAGGTCCTGCTTCTGCCATGAATCGATCGGCGATAGCTCTGTCATACATATGTTCCCGACTTATGTTGCCTAAAAACAGTGGGTTTTAATCAACAAATTTCACAATTAGTACTCCGTACAGAAAGCATGCATGCATTACATAAATGGGTACTGGGGATCCTGTTTAAGCCATTGTAAATTGGAGATGCAAGTCTGAAGTTCTAAACAAACTTGGGCGCGGTCCTTCGGGCTCATTGTCCCAGCCTTTCCAAAGTCTGTCCATGTACCAATTCCATATATATAAAGACCTCACCTCCATCAGTACGCCAACCATACAACTCAGGAACTGGCACACTGCCTTTTAAAAAGTGACGGACCGCATAGAGACTTTGACCTTCGGCGATCATAATGTTGGCGCCCCACTTGACAAACAGACCCATTGATGCAAACGAAGCAGGTGGCGGATTCCATTGTGGGCCTGCATCTCCAAAAGCCTTTCGCTTGTCCGGGCCAGATCCTGCTAAATATTGAGCACGAGCCTGGGCACGGACATCTTCCGGTGATGGTAGTTGAGGCCATGTTTAAAGAAAGAAGACTGCTGAAAATCCTCATTTGGACAGTTTGGCAGCATTGCTGGTGTGCATTGAACAGGGTCTTGATAAGGCTATTAGTGGACGTTTCAGGGTATGTATCCAGGGTCGATCCTTGCCTGAGAGAACCGGAATTCCCAATGTTAAATGCATTTTCCTGATAACACAAGGTCCTGTTCTGTACTATCTTTATTGATAAAAATCGAAGGGGCTAGTACAAAGCAGCTGGAGGTGGAAGAAATGCAAGAAAGTGTCTTGAAGTACGGAGTACTCTGGTTTTTCTTATTTTTCAGTTTTTACAATGTATACTAAGTAAATCCTAACAGAAAAGCTGCTAGGTAGTCTTCATAGTCACTGACTGCATAAGACTATAATGAATAATAATAATAATAATGATAATAATAATAATAATAATTAATTCTGTGGGGAAGTGTTTTGCTCACTTATATGTTTCGCTTGCTTATAGATTACATTAATCAAATCGGCTGACTTGCTGGGTGATGTTAACTTGCCCTCTGTCATTGTAACACTAAAACCCCGCAGCGAAAATTCATGCACGCCCGGGGAACTCATATCTGATCGGTGGGGTATAACTACTGGAAGATGGACTGGCGAAAGCAAAGTATGGCTGAGCTCTATCAACCTTTCCGGTTAACTATTTAACTCAGGGCGCTCCGCTGATGGCGGCCCGCGCCGCTGTTGAACCCAAAATTCGTCAGGCAGCTAACAGCATGCTTCCACAGCTCGCCATCACATGGATCCGAAGCTCGACTTCTTTGCAGAATGAATGCAGAACTTCCCCTCGAGGAGGGGTGAAAATAGAATAGATAAGCCCCCAAATCTATCAGAAGTTGGTATTAGCTATACAATATTCCTCTCTAGATGATTCCAGGGACAAGACACAGCTCGGCACACCCAATCTACATATTCGCAGAGGACAGGAAAAATAAGACCAGAAGAGTTCTTCACCCTGCGCATGCAAGGAGTTGGACAATCGGTACTTTCAGTACCACCATGTGCATGCGGAAGTATATATGCATACATGAGTAATTTCAACAGTAAGAAACATGTGCAAGAGAGGGGGTCTTCGTCGAGGGCCCAGATCTATATTAAATTAATTTTTCAAGATCAAAGAGGTATCAAAGCAAGGGAAAGTAAAGGAAAAGATTTTTCAAGCTCGCCGCTGTCGTTGAAAATACAAGGCTTCTTGGATAATGCAATCGGGTAAAGCATGGAAGTAATGTTAAATTAACTTCTCTACTGCGATGGATCCTCTAATTGTATCGCTGGTGTCGAACCCCCGCCTATTTTGCGGTTGGCGTCCTCTCTTTCTTGTGAAGAAATAAGTTCGTCGGGTTTCCGCATGTCAGGAGTGTACTGTGGGACGTGTGGACTATGGCCGATAGACATGCCAACTCGTACCTAGAAGGGTCAGTAAAAGTTAAAAGAATGAAACTTGGATGAGGAATCATGGGCACATACCAGTGTCTCAAGAGCTCCTTTGGAATTGTCCAAGAGATCACTGTCAAAGTTCATTCGGCCCGGCTCAAATAGGAGTAGAACGGTGCTACCACCGAACTTGAAGTAGCCCAATTCTTCTGCGCGCGTTACTTTCTCGCCAGCCTGGCGTGTGATGACCGTGCTGCCGACCATCATAGCACCGACGCAAATGAACATGACTCGCCCGTGGGAAACAGAGTCGATTGGAACGAGAATGCGGACGTTTTCGCCATAGACATCAAGAGCAGAGCGGATCGCCATCGGATTCACCGTATAGTATTCGCCCTCTATCGTCTTAGGGGTCCCCAGTACACCGTCCACGGGAATATGGAAACGATGGTAGTCCTGAGGAGCTAACCGGAAAATCCCCAGAGCTCCACCCTTGTAACGTTGTACGTCTTCCGGATAGGCTTTTCCAAGAAGCCGCTCTAATGAGAACTCCCTACCCTTCACCCAAATCTTCGTCGCGTCATCAATTCGATCAAATACAACGCTACGGCAGTCTGCGGGCGAAACGATGATGTCTGGGTTGTCCGGGGCAGAGCAAGGACGGGCTCCTGGTTTCAAGGCACGGTAGAAGAATTCATTGAACGACTTGAATTCCTCGAGAGGAAGCAAAACCTCCGACATATCTAGCTGATGAAAGTTGATGAAATCCTCGATTTGACTCGCAGACGCAGGGTCGTCGTATTTTTTCCCTTGCTTGATACTAAGGGATTTGAGCATTTTTCGGACTATGCTTCGTTAGATTCTAACCTCTTTGAACCGAAAGGGAAAAAAAAAAAAAAAAAAAAAAAAAAAAAAAAAATCAAAGCAATTCGTAGCCTTACTTCGCTTCTTCTCCATATCTCTACTCTTTAAACCCTTGTACAGTAGCCGGATGCCTAGTCTCACATACACACTCATGCGCTCTTCATTGATCTGGCCAGTAATCCGGTCCTGGACGAGGATATTTGCTGAATTGGCACCAAGCTTATAGCCGCCATAAGAGATCTTGGTGATAACCTTGCTATACCATTTTCTTTGTGCTTGGCTGGAGGTGACAAACCCACCCATGACCAGATTATCGACCTGACGCCAATCCTGGCTAGCACAGGTGGCGATGTGGGTGATGATATCGGCATCCGATCGCTTTGCGAGTCTTGGCTGGTGGCAGAGAGGACATTCACGAAGTTCAATGACGTGCTCTTCTCCCCGTTCGTCTGCTAGGTCGTCCGGATGAAGGGTTCCTTCTTCACTGGAGCTCGATTCATCACGCGACATAGTCGTGGTAGTTGTACCTCGATAGTCAGCGCTGACGGAGATAGAGGGGCCCAGACACGGACTCAAATCCTCACTGGACTGATTCTCACTCTCCGCTATTCCTCCCGTCGACATGGAAGAATTTGGTATCAGTTTACGTAACTGTGACCCCACCGTCTTCTTCTGCAGTGCCTGAAGCTTTTCCTCTAGACAGATCACGGCTTGATCGAATGTCAAGTCTACCGTGTCGCTGGGCTCATTCTCTTCTGCAAAAGTGTGGAAAAAGTTATCAATAGTGGACTCTTTCAACGTCGAACCGAGAGTATCAAGCATGGCCGTCAATTCAACTTTGCTAATTCTGCCGCTATCGTCGGCATCGTACTGCTTCAGCATGACCCTCCAGAACTGCTGGCGCAGGGCAGGGTAAGGCATGTATTTGGCGCGAACGTGCAGCTCCGGGGCATGTTTGTCTTCCCATCGATCCTTGTTTTTCAGGACGAGGGGTATGATGTAGGACTTTAGATCATCGGCATCGGGCGGCGTGGCGGTACCATCCGATGAGTTAGGACTGGTTCCTGGTAAATTTAGCTGGGGCGCGGACTCAGATGGAGCGGTGCCGGGGGCGCTGGCTTGTTGTTCCACCGGCTGGAACTGACTCGATAGGGATGTGGCGGAGGTTCGTGATTTCAAAGCCGGTCTTGCCAATTTGGAGAGGCTGTTGGCGGAGGAAGAGCGCGAGATTGCAAGCCTAAACCGAGACTTGGAAGCAAGAGGTGTGGTAACTGTAGGTTGTGACAGGCCGGGCAACTGATAGAGGCCGGTTTCGGGGTCGGCGACGGGACCAGCTTGAATGAGAGCCTGGAGGGGAAAATTCGCCGAAGCAACAAAATCGTTTCCGGAAAGCTTGTCCCTATCCATCACAGTGAAGCTGAAAGAATACGACTGTTCATGTTTCATCACCTGGAATACCATCTTCTCGTCGAAAACGGGATTAAGGTTGTGGCGGATGACACGGGTTCGCAGTGTCTTGCGGCCTAAGGATGTGACGACAAACGGATCCATGTCGAAAGATGTTCGGGTGACTGGCAGTTAATACAGTTAACAATCTGCACTCATTTTTTTCCCCTTTTCTTATATAAACTGATTTGAGTCCTCTTCTTACCGTTCCGCTCGGGTGGCAGGTCCAAGATCTTGCCAACTTCCATAAACACGATTCCAGAGACTCCCTCTTTGGCACCGGAGAACTCGTATGCGCGGGCAGCAATTGATTTGTTTCTCAGTCTGGCAAGGCGGAGTCTTCGGCGCCTCTTTTCGGCGACTCCAGGCTTCGTAAGGTCGTCTGTCGTGTCATCGGAGGTCTCTTCCGACTTTTCGTCGGTTTCCGCAGACACGACGGGGGCGACTTCCTCTTCCTCAGGGTCACAAGAGGACACCAGGGCCCGGAATTTGGCGGAGATTTCTTCCGGGGAGCCGGAGGGGTTTGAGGGATCGAAGAGGGAGAACTGGAGCTGTATCTGGCCGGAAACATCGCTATCCTTGCCGCTCTTCGACTTCGAGTGGAGATTATACCATTTTGGCTGCAGACAAGAGGGGGGAAAAAAGGACTTGTCAGCATTGCGCACAACGGAGAACGAGTAAAGAAAGGAGGGGGGAAGGCTTTGTGGTGGGATTTGAACACACTTCTTGGTGGATGCGACCGTCAATGAAGAGGTCTTCGAGGGGGATGTCGAATTCACCCATGTAGTCCTTGCCGAACCTATCCTTGTCCCAGCACACGCATTCCAGCAGAGGGACGCCGACAACGGGCAGTTCGAAAGACACGTTCCATTCCGGGTTCAGCGTCTTTGAGATGGTCGGGGTGGATTGGCGGGAGTCCCCCAAGGTGACGACCAGATACTAAGAGACCGACGTCAGTTTATTCCAATATGTATCTGGGGGTCAAGTCTCAGGCACGTACGGGATCACTGGTCCCATTTCTGTCTTTGGCGGCCAAGTTCCTGCCCTGAAGGAGCGATGTCAGCATCTTAAGCTTGGTGGTTGGAGGAGAGGTGAGGTGAAGCTTACACAGATGACGCTCGTGATGAGAATCAAGGGCCTGGAGTCGGAGTTGACGGGCGTGGGAGCTGCCAGGACGTCTTCTTGGGTAGTAGGAGACGAGATAGGGGCCTTGGCCTTGCTGCTGATACGGTGAGGAAGCGGGAGCCGGACCATTTTGCGGGCAGAGAGGGCCGTGGCCAGCTATCCTGGGGGTCTTAAGGAGCGTTGGGCGGATCTTCCTCCCAGTCTCAGTCTCTCCTGGCTATCGCTCTCTGTGGTTTTCAAGCCAAGAGGTCTAGTAGTCGTGTGAGAGAAGCATGGGTGGTGGTGGGAGCGATAGGCCACGTAGGGTTGGGGAGGAGGGGGTTCAATTGCAGGCGGAGGGGGACGGAGGTGAGAAAGGGAGCGAAGGGGTGAAAAGAGCGAAAGGGAGCGACGGAGCGGACGTGATGTCAGGCCAGCGAGCCAGCGAGCGAGCGAGAAGCAAGCTGAGCGGGAGTGGGGCACGGGGGGTTGATCCTGGCCTGGCTGTCGCTGGTGGTGGTGGTGGTGGATGGACCGGTGAATGTGGTTGTCCTGCTAACTTCCAACAAAAAAAGATGATGAAACACACAGCAAAAAAGGCAGCCTCTTTTTTTTTCTCTTTTTTTTGTTTCTTTTTCCCTCTTTCGCTTTTTTTTTCTTTTTTTTTTTTTTTTTTTTTTAACTACATACTTGTTAACCAGTGCAGGGGTGGGTGAGGATGCTGCATTTGGGGGTGTGTGTGTGTGTGTGTTGGGGAGAATAAGGCTGCCGACACGAAGCTATTAATAGCCATCACAATCCTCTCTCACCCTTCCCCCCCTTTTTTTTTCTTTTCTTTTTTTTATTTTTCTTTTCCCTTTTTTTATATTGCTTTTCCTTTGCACTGTCTGCTCTCACTCTAAACACCCTCATCAGAGAGTGGAGTGGTGATGCATCGTGGCCATGGACGAACAGAGCAAACATGGGTGAATTGACAGCAACCGGTGTAAATTAACCACCCACTTTCTTCACTAACTAACTAACGGAGTACAGAGTACTCTGTATTAACTCTCTTTTTCAGCATCTGTTGAGTCTCTCGGTTGGATCGCTTACTAGCAAGACAAGCTTTCTCTCCTGGGGCTGAGCCGGCACCCTGGCATGTCCATCTCCCGATCCCAACCCAGCATCCCGATTTCTTCCAGCCCACCAACCCGCCCCCCTTTTCAAAATCCTCTCGCCTGGTTAATACCCTCACAACCTGTCTCTGCCTCCCGCTCTGCCAGTTCTTGCTTCTCTCGGAGAATTCTCAGAGCTAATTCTGGAGCAGTTAATAACCCTCCTGACCAGATCAACCACCACCTCCTCCTCCTCCCTCCTCCACCTCCACAGACTTGCACCGCCACTGCTGCAAGGCCAGTCTCAGGCACGACGCCCTCACATCCCAGTCACGCATCCCCCACACACACACACACAGTCCGCCTGACGCAGGAGGGGGAAAAAAACAAAAAAAAAAAAAAAAAAAAAAGAGAAGAAAGGAAAAAAGAAAGGAAAGATCATAACTAATTAACTCTCCCGGATGACTTATGAGCAAACCCCCCCTCTATCCGCAATCATCCGAACTGCACCCTGTTGTCTTTTGACTAAAAGTAAAAACCCTTTTCCGCCGGAAGTCCCACCTAACCCTAACTCCCACACACTCATACAACATGTACTCCGTATATATTATAATACCCACTGTGCCCATAGTACTCTATATGCAATGAAAGACAATATTAACCAACTCATCATTGAAACTTGGACTCACCTCTCGTTAAAAGCCGGTTTTCTGCCAAACAGAAACCAGTCACAGCCAGCAGCCACGGAGTTGGTCGGTTATCCGACATCCAGCTTCATTGTCCCATTGGATGTTTGTAGAAATAATCTCATGTACGGAGTACGGAACTGCATTAACTATGTCAAGCTATTTACTTCCTCACTGCCGTCCAATGCTTGATAATTTGATATTGACAACAGGGCCAGCACTCCACACAACATGCGTCAATGACCAATCATCCGACAGAGACAGTCTTCTTCATAACTTATCTTATGCCAAACGAGATATTCCTAGCACATTTTCAGGTTGCCCAGAAACAGCTTAAGTTCGGGAGGGGTATCGATGTGGAACGGCCCGGTCGTCTCCTCCAGCCGCCCAAATATCCCACTGCCCGTGTAGTGCACCTTGTAGTCGATCGAGAGGTCAGGCCTGATCAGCGTCTCGAAATCAGCGTACACCTCGCCCGGGATCCACGTCCCAAACTGCCACCGTCGAGCAATCTCCCACTTGTGACTGTACCACACCTGTATTGTGAACGTAATATGCTCGTTGATCGCCCCGCCGAGCCAGAGCATTATCTTCAGGGCCATAAACGACTGGTAGATGTCCGCGTCCACGACTGTCGCTCCCGCACTCAGATCCGGAAAGATATCTACCTTGGTCCCCTTGTTGATGACGACGTGCGGAATGTTCGGCACGGACTGTCGCAAGTGTACCCCAAACGAATCCGTCTTCTTATTCCAGCAGCACTTGGTCACGTACGAAGTCGGCACCGTCAGCCGCGATTGCCCGTACACGCACATGCCGTCAGTGAGCGAAGCGTCCACCTCGCCCTCGTCAACACAGCAGAATTTACTATCGAAGAAGTAATTCGCAGCATGATACGTCTCTCCCGTCGTAGAGAGCAAGAACACCGATTCCTGAGGCGAATAGCAGCACTTGGACAGTCCGGAGTGAACGTGGATAGTCCCCTCTGCATTTCCGTACGTGCACTGGTAGCCATCGGAGCTCTTAGCACTGGGCTCTGTATTGCTTGGACAGTGTATTCCGTCCCCAGAGATCGGAATCACAGGCACTTTATTCACCGCGGATGCTGCCGCGTATCCTGTTAACTGCGGTCCTGCCATGAAATATTGAGTCGGTTTGTCGGTTTTATTCGACGAGTAGGCCGGTGGAAACCCATGGGAGAGCCCCGGAGGGATGTGCGGTGCCGAAGGGCCCGATTTGAAACCGAACACTTGTTCTGATGCCGCAAGGCATACAGCTCCCAGAGCTACCACAGCTGACGTGACTCGGACCATCGCCACTGAGGAGTCGCAGTTCGAATCGGTAGGTTGTTCGTAATCAAAGGAGACTTGGATAAAATTGAGTTCTTGTGCCTGACGATTTTAGAAGAGTTTGAGAAACATAGTCCATCAAGGCAGGGAAACGTCCAGCAATTTATAGCTTTGCGAAGACGACCAAAGCTCTCCCCAGTCCAAGGACCATCCGACTCTCCAAGACGGAGACGTCCATTGATACCCAACACAAGGAGGCCCGTGGCATGTCGCTGGCTCCACTATACGTCGAAGTCCGCATCAGACATACTACCCCTTTTGGAAAGGTGCATCACTCTTGTTCGAGGACAATAGTGGCGGGCTGAAGGTAATCGATGGCGCGGCTGACCTGGAGCAGGTCCATGACATCCTGGATATTCTGAAATTGCCGAAGCTGGCATGGGTGGGAGATGCAGCCAACTGCGATGGCCTTATGCAATAAAGTAGTGGAAGAAAACGGCATCTCTTTCAGAATATGAGCGGCCAGTATTGACTTTGCAACGCCTACAAGCTCGCATTTGTGCGGTCTTGTAGGGAGGCCAAACGAGCACAACGCCATATTTAGCAAAGAGGATGTCCAGCCCTCGACTCATGAACTACCGAATCACGATAGTCAGCTTTAAAATCAACCGATTCGAATTTAGCCCTATGTCACCTCAAGTCGTGCCATGTTAGTTGGTCAACCTGGTATTCACATCTGAAGCGGCAAATGAGGACTCATCATATAGTGATGTCAGTGCGTGGACGTCACCTAATCCCTGCCTGTCTGCCAAATGACCTAACAATACTCCGTAATGCAGTCGGGTATTTATTTGCGGGACAGCCGATTCTTCAACAGGCTTTTATTTTTATTTTATTTTATTTTATTTTATTTTTGCTTTCAAACCCCCTGTCAGACATACATATGTAGTTTAGTTACCCCCACGGCTCATCAGTGGCGATATTGCGGTTCGCGAAGAGAGGGGCGCCTGCATCACACTCGGCCACCTGCACACTTCGGGCAAGAAATTTATCAGATGGGGGAGAGCAGCGTCGGTGAGTAATTCACTTTGATAGCAGTACTGCATCACGAAAGTGGGGCGAGAAGTGTATTGAACGAATATGGCCTTTCGGAGCGAGATTGATTGCAGTCGCTGTAGAATATACGGAGTAGTGGTGGTTAGAGTGATTGCGGTGCGACGGGAGAAAGACTATTCCCATCATTAAAGCAAAGCAAATACATGTGATGGTAGAGCGCAGCAAATTTTTCTGCTTTACTCCGTAGATAGGAAGGGATGAGAGGAATAAAAAAATATTAAGGTCGTTGAAAAGTTTCCGATATGTACCTACTTCGGATACTTCAATTGACAAGCGACGGGTTCACTGAACTGCATATTGTTCACATCCAAATCACCTTTTCGACATCAAACTTGTTTTCTGGCCTTTTCTCCGTCAACTCCGATGGAAGTACGTATCCCCGTTGGTTGCTCACAACTCTGACAACCCCCCTGGTAAACTCTGTTGTGTAATGTGTGTGCCCGAAGATCCAATACTTCACGCCCGCCCAGCCTTCATCCGGGAGCGTGTCACTTGCAAACGCGCACGTCCATGGGTTCTGCGCATGCCGCGGACTCGAGGTTCCATCGAAGCACGGGGCATGATGCGTAACGATCAGCATCTGTCTCTGTTCACCCCCTCGCTGTATTTCTTTGACCTGGTCTTTCAGCCAGCCACTATCTTTTTCATGCCCTGAATTGTGAACCTCGACGGACCAGTCCTCTATCCTCCGATAATCCTTAACCTTCGATCTCACAATCTCTTTCACATCGTCAGCCACCCTTGACCAAAGCGTGCACCCCAAAAGCGTGACGTGAGAATCCGGAATGTCATAGCGCGTTCTGTCAAGAACGATAAGCCGTCCATCCAGGCTAGGCTCTTTCTCGAGTTCCCTCGCCTTCTCTAGGCCCGCGGCATAGGTCATATCGTAGAACTCATGGTTTCCAAGAACGAGAAACACCCGTTCGAATCGGCACGTCTGCTTCCGAATGAAGTCGAGGTACTCGTCATATTGCGCCAGGCAGCCAACATCGCCTGCAAAAATAAGATTCGGCGCTTTAACGGGAAATTCGAACGAAGAGTACTGCCGGCCAACTTCAAGATGGAGGTCAGATATCACTTGGAAGGCGTGTGACCGTCCTCCTTGGGAGGGTTGAGTTGAGCCCATCGCCAGCGTTCGCTCGTTCAATTGGGCTGATTTTTTCCTTGAGATGAGGGATTCGAAGCCCTTGCAAACTTTTCATTACCCACCTCTGAACCGCCGTTGCAGTTCCCATTAATTGCCGAGATACTATTGCAGGACCCCCTGCCACGATGATTCTTCAGTCGAGTTTCAGGTTCGACTCGAAGCAGCCACGAGCGGGCCGCCGGCCTCATAAATTATCAACATTTTCAAAGAAGCATGTTCCAAAGCAGGTCAGAACATCCTTCGTCAGGGGAATTTCGATATTCCGCGTTCGCTTCCGCAATATCCGCGAATCAAATAGGGCCGCGAGTCCACTACTTCGTTAACGAGTGAGTGTTTTATTTTTTTATTTATTTATTTATTTATTTTTTTTTGTGGCTGGCCAAGAATACGTGCGGCGCCAAAATTGCTCGGCTGCTGGCGTGCCGCTGATCGATCCGCCGGTTCGTTGTGGCAAAGGCGCAAACCCTAAGGTAAAGTGAAAGCCCCTTAAGTACGGAGTGACTCCCAACACCGAGGTTCCAACCCCTAACCGCCCTCTGAAGATTCACCCCCAGGCCCCCTAGCCCATCCCTAACCCACCCCCTTAACAATCCCTGGGTACTCTGAAGCACACCAACGGCCCTCTCAGAGGTCAGTCACTTCGGTTGAGCGTTTGATACTCATCTGCCAATCTCATGATTTGAAATGTCAATAGGAATTGACGGCTTTAACTCTGTCCAAGTAAATATATAATTAATTCAAAATTCTATATTCCGTATGTATGTACGGAGTAGTCTCCGCATATATAGCCGTGCGAAAGACAGATAAGCTCACTTCATAACATAGAAACAAGAGAGGATAAAGAGGAAAGTGTTTTTATGACCGGCAGACGAATGGCGTTCGTCTGGCGCCGAAAACTTCCAAGCAACGCCTGTAACCCCAAGTAAACCGAGTGCCAAGGGAGATCTAGAAACTGAACAGCCCGCTCCTCCTCTTCCCTAGAGGGTATACGACCAACGCCGCCAGAAACAACCCAACAGTAATTGCAATGCTAACCTGCACCATCCCATACGCCAAGTCAAACACCACATTCCCATACATCTTGTTCGCCCCCAGCAACTGCGGCAGTCCCTTGCTCGTCTCAGTTAAATTCACTGGCAGGATAGGATCGAGCGAATTCTTATCCGCGTTATGCGTGGCCGTCTTGTTGCGGTTTATTTCATTCGCAAAAGCCAGGCTGGACAGGAGCGAACCACTCGCGGCCAAGCCCGACGGCACCTGAACGAATATCGCCGGTAATATCGCGGCGGCAGCGAGCCCATGTCGCAAACGACTATACAGGTTTCCCATGACGCCGATGACAAAGGCCCCTAGGACGCTCGCGATCTGCGTATTATTCGCAAACCGTTTAACGGAGAAGAAATTGACGACGTATCCGGCAAACGAGATGATGATCATGACCGGAGCCTGTTTCCATTTCGCCTGATTGATCATGACCAAGCAAAGTGTGAAAAGGATAACAGATGGAAACTTTCGTGCGTATTCGTTTATATTGCCGAAGCGGGCTGCGCCACGACAGGCGTATGCAGAAGTTGCATATGGATCCATGCTTCCATAAAAGGACGTACCCAGCATCATTCCGAATCCCAGCACCAGCGAGTAAATGATGGAGTATACCAGCCGCACTGAGCCTGCGAGCATGTTCCGAGACTGGAGCTCCAAGCTGCTGCAGAGCACCATGTATCCTGGGAGAATAAGCGCAATAGAGGATTGAGCGAGGGCTGGGAAACAAAACAGGCGGCGGGATTCACCCGAATCAGCCCGAATGCTTCCGAATGCACGGGCGAGGAAAGACGTCACCATAGCAGCGGTGAGTTCAAAGACATTAGAATACAACGGGGAGCGGGGGACAACAAGGTATTTCAGTGCACCAAGAATGCATCCCAAGAGGAAGGCTATCGGCATATCCAAGGCGCCGGCTTCGAAGGCGAAAGGTCCCACACAGGCAGATGCACAGCCATAGAAGAAGATGAGCCACCATTTATTATATTTGTCCTTCCGGCGGTTGATTTCGTCTAATGTTTGTATGGCTTCCTCGACCCCGATAACATCATGCACCACTTCCTTGTATATTTCGTGTACATCGGCCAGTCGTCCCAGATCGAGTCCTGGGGGGTACTTCAACAGCTTCAACTCGGTGGTGTGCGTCGCAGAGTCACCGAAAGAAAAGAACATACACCCGGGGACGTACAAGAACTGAGCATCGATCTCTAAGACTCTTGCCGTCATGCACATATACTCCTCGAGTCGATGGGTCGGAGCACCGTACTTCATAAGCGCCTGGCAGAGTTTCATCAGATACCGTTGGCGTGAGATAGTCTCCGCGATATGCACCGAAATACGAATTTCATCTTCAAGGCGGGGACGAGGGAGGAGCTTCTTTGCCGCAGAGGCAAGCATGCTACTACTCCTGGAGTGTTTGAGCCCATGGTCCACCGAAGAACGACGGGATTGTGCGTCCGGTAGCAGCGTGCTGAGCGAACTCGAGGATAAATTTTTCGACTTGTCGTACCATTTGCTCTTTGTGCGCGGCGTGCTAGGTATAGAAATGGATTGCTGAGGAGAATGGTGCAACGGCAGGCTCGACGACGAAAGTTGTTGACTCTCTTCTCGCCCTTCTTGCTCGCCATTATGGTAAAGCTTGAGTAGATTGAACAATATGCTACCGCGATAATGCGACCGTGGCTCCACGTAGTTGTTCGGATCCCTTTCTCCGTAAGGAGTGACTTGGCCTGAGGGGAGATCGATAGGGCGGTTGTGAGTCAAAGGGTCCAAACGATGCCTACTCAATCTTCGAACTATATTGTGGGCTTCAGTAATGCTAGACGGGGATGAGTTCATTGGGTGTGTCGGTTCATTCAAGCTATCATCCTTTTCGTTGAGATCAACTGGGATAAATGCGTCACCGCTTCCTCCACCGTCATCCTTAGATTTCATGGGACGGGCTTTCCGAGCAAACGACGGCATGCGTAATCTCGAAGCTAGTTTCTGCGCTCTCTCATAAGCGAAATGCAGTTCCCTGCTTTTTCGTTGTTCCGAACTGGTTTGCCGTAGAGGTTCTTCGTCAACGTCGGAAGGAAACCCGGTCAATCGTCGCTCGAATTTCCGTTGCACATTATGATCGTCAGCAGATTCTCCGTTGTAAGTTGGTGTATCAAAGGACAGATGGACGGCAGGTGGTATTTGGGGAGCTCGTGGCCTGCCGTCCTCTGCGCTATCTGGTAGGATATCTTGCGGATTCTCTGATGCATCCCCAACGGGATTCGTCCACCGCAACTCTTTGCCCTCTGGCCTGCCATTTCTGGTAATGTTATCACGCCTCAAGGCTGGCCGCGATGGAGCCATATGGATCCCGGAAGGGCTTGGTGTTCGTGAACTCCGGCAGCTGGCAGGAGTCGGCAGAAGGGCCTCAGTGCTCACTGAGAAGTACGGATTTTCTTCCTCCATAGTACGACAAAGAGCAATCCGTGCCCACTCGGCTACGCAGAGGTCCCGGAAACTTCCTCAATGGGAGTAAAGGTGACAACACCCTAAAGGATTTCCGTGGATGTCTCGCCTCACCACATTGATCCTCCAACAGGATTTCTTTTCACCAGGACTGGAGCAGACAGGCTGCGACTACCACGGATCTTTCAAGCGTTTGTCGGGTCCGGGACGGGGAAAAAGCAAGCAAACCACTACTCGATATGGCGTGAAACACCGGTTCAATACAAGATTTGGTCGAAGATCTCTTGTGAAATTCCTTCTTCCAAGGGCAGAATTGACAAGGGTCCAATGCGTTCGATAGCAAACGCTCGACGGGTAGTCAGCTAGGATTAAGCAAGAGAAATAAAATAAAATAACGAGATCAAAATGTGCTCTAGTTAGCTGGTTAGTTAGCTGTGTTTATATTCCCATAAGAAAAAAAAAAAAAAAAAAAAAATTAAAGGAATTAAGTATGAGGGGCAATTTTTGAGAGGATGACAGCGGCTAAGTAATAAGATACGACGAGAGAAAAAAATGAAGAGCAAAGTATGTGAATCATCCCTCGGCCGACTTGATATCGGTATTCGAGACAAAAGCGTCCAGCTGGGAGGCGAAGATAAGGCCTAGAATTCCTCAAGACAGGCTTTTTTTGGGCGGTCTAGGTTAAAGCGTGTCTGGCTCTCCCATGGACAGTATTGGGCGTACGGTAACTATGACCTAGCCGTAGCCAGCGACTTGGTCTAGAGAGTGTGCTTGAGACCAATTTCTCCATTGCGCGTTGGAGGGGGGTTGTGTCTGGACGATGCGGAATCAGAGCTCTCGAGGGAGATACATTGAAAATCGATATCAACCAACCAGGAAACTCGTGGAGTGGCGGGTGATGTCTGGCATGGCAGCCCGGTTGACTGGTTAACTGGTTACATCATTCCATCCACAAAGCATTGCCGGCTTATCAAACCTTATGGGATCTCGATCAGTCAAGGAGGTCTGGAGGAACACACAGGCAGACCCGCTGGTCTCAGTGGACAGAGGCTTATCGAATAGCAGCAAGACCCAAAAAGGGCACCGCGCCATCATCCACCGATCACGCAGGCGGGAGTTCTGGGGCCCGTTACGGAGTACTCTGCTCTCGAAACAGAGCTCTCCCCACAGGCAGCGTGGCCACAAGGAGGTCCCCGTGCTATTTTCGGCAGCATTTTCTGTCAGGCCACGACAGAAAACTTTGGAGGAGGGGGCATGATATCAGACTCGCCTGCTCTGAGCATGAAATCACCAGTTTATCTCCGTACTGCAGAATTTTCAGGTCTGGATGCAGTTCTCAGAACCCCCGGCCGTGGGTACCGCTATCTCGACGAAAAATATCCATGACGGGTGACGTTGAAGAGCTTGCCACGCCCCGGCCGACTGGCCAACCAGCACAATCAACCAAACTTCTGGCGCAAAGAAGTTAGTTGGTTTGTTAGTTGAGTGCGTTCGATTTTGATCTTCAGACTTCCGCCATCAATGTTTCGACGAATGGCTTTTTTTCTCTGCCCTCTTTTTGACCGTTTGATGTTCCAGAACCCGCACGAAGGCGCCTGGAACCATTTACATTCTTATCCTTAGAGTTCCTCTTCCACTTCTTTCCCCCCAACCTTTTTTTTCTTTCCTCTCTGTTTGTAACGAAGCATCTGCATGTAGCCGCCTTTTTCTCTTCCTGGCTAACCCAGAAGCTCCAATAAATTAATCCAGCGTTGACTCCACTCGGGATCAGAATGTGAGCAGGCTGGATGGCAAACGTATTGCAGTAAACTATCCATTCCACATCTTGCTCGCCAGCGAGCCAAGAAAGGGCTGAAGAAATTATTTAAAGCAAACATGTCTCAAGCCTGGAAATCTTAATACAAAGAAACAGGCACATTATTGATGGGCTTCCTGCCATCACTAAAAGCCACAAAGTCATCCACCATCTTGTTCTCTCCTGTCTAGACTGGCCTTCCAGGCACATTCAGAATCCACCACCCTTTTCTCCGCAACAAGGTACTGCCACCACATACCAGCTTTGAACTCAGAAAATAAGGGCACGGGGAAACAAGCTAGACTAGGGTGAACAGGGAACTCAAATCAAAGCCACACCAAAAGAAACATAATGGTTATCAGTTTCATTTCCAATTTTTGCTAAGCACCATCCAAGTAGCAAGCAGTAATCACGGCCGTTAAACTCAATCTCAAGCCTGTGAGAGTAAGATACACCAGGTGAAGGTGAAACAAGGGTGAGGGGAAAAAAAAAGAAAGAGAAAAAGAGCAAATAAAAAAAGGGAAGCTGTTCCCAGAGAATTGAATTCAGCACAGTTTGTCTTGTCTCTTTTCATTCAAAAGAAAAGGTATCAAAGGTTCACAGGGTCATCCATCGTGTGAGCAAACAGAACAGATCACAAAAATTGTAAGCAAAATGGAAAAAAAAAAAACCCAACCAAAAACAAGAAGCCATTTACTGTTGCCATATTCTTTGCTGTTCATGAACCACATTCTTGACCGTTTGTCAGCCTCCAACCCCTTACATCAGGGGGGTCTTGCGCTTCTCTGCACTCGAGAGCAGAAACATCGGCATCTTGCGTCGCTCAGGGAGCTGAGTAGCCGCCGGCGGATGACGAGCTACTATCTCAGCAGCAGTTGGAGAAGCCATGCGGCCCTCACCAAACTTGCCACCAGTTGGTGAAAGCCTCCCAACGGAGTCGCGAGGGGACGACTCTCTTTCTCTTCTTTCCGACCCGATTGCTCCCCGTAAGTTTTCAACGCTTGAGTGGCTGGAGGGATTCATACTCCCTTCGTCGCCTGGGTAAGGGGAGAAATTGAATTCAACATCGCTGGATGGGGTGACGCTTCCAGCGGTGCTACTGTTACCGCTGCGGCGTTCCATTCCGGCGCGAACGAGATTGTGGACGGCGCGACGACGCTGGCGGGTAACAAAGTTCTTGCTACCTTCATGCTTGGCGGTGGGTTTCGCGACGAGTTCCTCCAGCGATGGTGGGCCTCGGGGTTGGCGAAGCGGATGCTCTCCAGCGCGCCCCTGTCCGGGACCAAAGGTGCCAGTTGCCGGAGTGGGCGGGAAGTTCGCCAGCTTTGGCGTCGAGTTTCTCCCCAGGTCAAGCCCGGTCTTTACCGACACAGAAGGAATCTTTCTGTGAAGACGTTTGTTCGAAATGTGCTGCTGCAACGGAGAAGCCTGACGGGTTGGAGATGGGACTCTTGTTGGGCTGTTTGAAGACTGAGTACGAACCGGAGAGGGCCTCTGTTCAGGGGGGGATGGGATGTCGTTCCGGAAGCCTTGGGCAGATGGGGCAGGTGATTGGAAATGCTCTTGATAAGTGGCGGATTGCGGCTCTTCCTGGGCGTTATTGTCCACGAGGTAGCTGTGTTGTCCAGTCATGGGGTTGTACACAGAGAACATCCCCGGTTTGCCGGGAACAGGGTTGACGACGGGCTGCATACCATGCTGGGCCTGCTGCTGGTAAAAGCTCATTCCGGGGAGGCCAGGGGTCAAAACATGCTGAGAGTTAAGAGGCGATCCAAGATTCAACGCTTGAAACTGCTGAGCCGCGGCAGTGACGGTGGCAAGCTGTTGTTGCAAACGCTGCTGTTGTGCCGCCAGGAACAGATTAGTCTGGACGAGTTCATTGTACAGGCTCTCGTCGATGGGTTCTCCCGACTGCAAGATCTGGTCCAGAGCTGGTGGAGCGAGAACGTGTTCCGGAAGGGAATACATCTGGGCACTCATGCCGAGGTTTGACCCGTTAGTATGGGAGAATGTGGTGCCAGTCGCGGAATGGGGGATTCCTCCAACGTAGGATGCCTGAGAAGCGCCATACGCCGACGTATCCAGCCCCAAGTGATTCGGCCGTTGCTGCAACAGAGGTGCAGTGGTCGGGGTCGATGGCTGTTTCGGGGCAGTCCTCAAGCCAGCAAGGAGATGAGAGCGACTAGTGCGGGGTGTTGGGAGGGCCTGAGACTCATCACCAGTCCCAAACCTAGAAGGATGGGGGACACTGAGACGTTTTATATGCGAACCTTTTCCACGGGAAGCGAAGCCAGAGCCCGGAACGCCGAGGGAGCCACCGTTGACAGACGCGTTGAAAGTCATTTGAGCTAGACCACCAGTGTCCATACTCTTAATGGTTGGAACGAGAGATTCGAATATTTTTCTCTTCTTTTTTTTTTTTGGGGGGGGGGGGGGGGGGTTTCAGTATATGCAAAGGGTGCCAACAAATTCACAACCGTGTAAATGATATGGCGAGCGATGGAAATCGTAACCGGCGGGTATATTAGATAGGAGGATTAAGGCCGTCGAGGGTCTCGACGGGGGAAATGCGTTGTATATTCACGGATTATCGCAGCAACAAGGAAATGGAGGATCGAATTAAGCGATTAACAAAGCGCAATGCACTTGTCGGGGGTGTTATGGTACAACTAAGCGGCGAGGCCTCGGGCGTCGAAGAAAATTTCGTAAGGTAAGGGCCGCGAGAATCCTGACTGTCCAACTGTCTATTTCGTTTTTTTTTTTAAATTTTGCTGTTAGTGAAAAGAAGACCTGGAGGGGGCCAAGTAATAACGACGTCGGGTTGTCAACTTACCAAAACTTCACGTCACAGCGAGAACAAGAAAAAAAAAAAAATTAATTAAAAAAAAAATGAATGTACAGCGGAACGGAATATAAAGATGTCGGGACGCGATTGCAAGTCGTTTTTCGAGAAGAGCGATAAGACGAATCTTGCATCCAAAGCCAGATAAAAGATTTTTGTTTTTGTCCTTCTGGCGAAAATTCAAATACGATGCGCGCGACTAATTTCGAGGGAAGAGAGAGAGGTTGCACGGCAATCTCACGGGAGAGCACAGCGGTCGAGGCACAGCTACTGAGGGAAAAAAGGGTAAAAAAAAAAAGAAAATAAAACTAAAAGGATAAAAAGACAAGAGGACAGAAGAAGAGCGGATATCACGGCGGATCGGACGAGACAGTGAGAGATATAGAGAGAGAGAGAGAGATAAAAATGATGGAAACAATTTTCAAGAGGCAAGGAGACCGTGGAAAGCGAGATCGGAGTCGTTCGAACGCAGTGGCTGGAAAAGGTCGGGGTTGAAGGCGGCAAAACAACCCCAAGGATTAGGGTTAGATTGGGTTTCAAGAGACCCTTTTTCCCTTTTCTTCTTTTTTTTTTTTTGCTTTCGACGAAGTGATAAGACGGACAGGACCCGAGCAACGAAAATTATCCAATCACGAGGACGAGCTCCAGGTGGGTGAAAGGGGAGAAAAAAAACTGGTTTTGATGATCTTTGTCTCTTTCTTTCTTTCTTTCCTTTTCTTTTTTTTCTTTTTTTTCTCTTTTTTTTCTTCGGAAGGGGAAGACAGATGGGATGTTATTTGCTTTGAGGAAAACGGGAGTGGCTCTGGGAGAGGCGACAGGGGGAGGTCAAAGAACGGGTTGCGCGACAGAACACGGCGGCAAGGCTCGTCGGCTGGAACTTTTTGACGGGGAGAGGTGAGTTTACTAAAAGCCAGAAGAAAGAAAAGAAAAGTAAAAAAAAAATAAATAAATAAAAAGGTAAAGAGAGCAAGGAGGGAAGTGATCGAAGCCAGCAGCGAAAAGGTAACAGGAGATGGGGAGCGGAGGAAGACAAAAAAGGGGGGAAAAAGAGGAGATGGAGTGAGGAAGAGAGAGAGAGAGAGTGAGAGAGTGAGTGGGTGAGGAAGATGCAGAAGAAGAAAAAAAGAAAAAGAGAGAGAGAGAGAGAGAGAAGAACAGATCGTATGGAGAAAGAGGGGAAACGCCGGACGATGTGGCAGGTGAGGTCCGGGGGGGGCGGGCGGCGGCGACTCGCTGCGGATGGGCCGAAGGAACACCTCTCTCTTACACACAACAACACTCACACACTCCCTCTCTCACTCTCACTCTCTCGCTCACACACACAAAACAGAGAGGGTGTGGGCCTCGACCTGCATGCTGGCCCTCTTGAGGCGGAAAAATGGAAGCAGGGCAGAAAAAAGAAAAGGAAAGCAAATGAAAAGGGGTGCTGGCCAATCAGCATCGCCGATCGACTGGCTGACCGCCTGGCGTGGGGGGGCGGCCCTGCGCGGTGATTGGCTGCGAGGAGTCGCCTGCCCCCAAAAACAGACTAGCACGGTCCTTGCGCTATTCCCGATCTGGCTACGCCCGACGCGATCGCATGTCTTTGCTGGACCAATCACGCTCCGTGAAACAACCCGCGCCTGCCCTGCAGAAACGCGGCGATGACTCAGCACAGAGGTTGTTCTGCTGTTCTGCTTGTTCTCAATCCGTCCCGCCCCCCCAAAAAAAAAGCGAACAGGCGCGAAAAGGCAAGCCACCGTCGATGATTTCAAGCCCCCTTCGAGACCGACGCACTTCCAGCGGCCCGCCCCCTTAAAACTCGATTCTTCTGGTACTCCTCGGGAGACGCCACCTGCCACATCCGTTGCAATCCTCTTAGTTACCTTGATAGTGTGCTTGCCTTTGTTTTCTTTTATTTTAAAAAAAAAAAAAAAAAAAAAAAAAAAAAAGGATAAGACCGGGCTTCCCTTCAACTACATAGGTGATGCACTGATGCAGAGTAACTTCCTTGGTTGTCTGACAATACATTCAGGGCTGAGACAAGCCTTTCAAAAAGAGTTGCTCCATAAATAACATTATTTACACACACACACGCGCGCGCGCGCGCGCAGCCCTTCAAAACATGAAACGAGACCGAAAAGCCAGACCCCGGCCCACCAGTTGATGCCTTGGAAAAACACCGCAATCCCTCAGAACATGCATGATCCTTTCTTTTACCCGTACACACAAGCCACCGCGCCATCCCTCAATGATGCATCAAAAGTAAACGCAGAGATAGGGTGTCATCGTCATCAGGCTCGACGAAGCTGCTGCTCCATCGTAGCCTACCAGACATGAGTAATTACAATGAAAAGTCTTTTTTTTTTTAAAAAAAAAAAAAAGAAAAACAAGAAAAGAAAAGAGAAAAGAAAAGAAAAGAAAAAAGAGAAAAGGAAAAGGAAAAGGAAAAGAAAAGAAAAGAGGGAAAGAAAAGTTGCTCTTGAGACTTAAATGTAGTTATTGCTCTCATGCATTCTGCTTGAACGCCCTTCCTGCGTCTGCCAGCGGCTTGCCCGGCCGGCTCTGGTGGGCTCGCACAAATTCAAGATTGACCGCCAGGTCCTTGGCCATCGGGTCCAGGTCCTGCTCTGGAAGCCGCGTCGCCATCGCGACCAGCTTCCGGTGCACATTGAGCCTCGCGTCCGGTCCCGCGTCTGCACGGTGCGACATCATGCTCTCTGTTCCGTTCTTGCGCGCCATCTCCGCCTGCGCGATCTTGCGGATCAGCTCGATCTTCTGTGCCAGTTCGCTCTCCTTCTCCTCCGAAGAGGGTGGTGCAGCAGCAGCAGCAGTGGTGGTGGTAGCGGCGCCGTCTACCTTTTCTGGCTTGTTGTTCTCCGTCTCCGGTGGTGCGACATCGCCGCCGTGGGGGCCAATCCGCTTGCTCAGCGTGAGTTCCTGCGTACCCTCCAGCAGCGACGCATACTTTTGCTTTGCACCATCGTGTCGGGAGACCAGGTCCTCAAACGGTACCGATTCGGCCTCCTTCGACAACGTGTCCGTCTTGTCCTTGCGGATGGTCTCGCGTTCGGCTTCCAGCTGCTCGTAGATCTCTCTTGGATGACTCTTGCCGTCAAAGCTCTGGGGACGCGACTTTACCTCGCCGTAGGCCTGGGTAAGTTTGCCGTTTGCATCGTCCATTATCGCGCTTATCTTCTTGAGCAGCGCCGCCGCGACCGGATTCTTGCAGGACAGCTGACACTGCGCCATGTTCTCCCCCCTTTCGATGACGCCGCCAATGTCGCCCTCGTGGACGCTGTGTTGGGTTGCAGATGATGGACGGTGCGGGTAATCCCTCGGGACCTGCTGCTGCTGGATCATCATCATCACCTCGTTCGCCGTCTCTCCATGTTTATTTGGAAGATTGCCGGCTTCCGGGCAGTTTTTCAGTAAGATCTCAGCGAGTCGATAGCAGCCGTTCTTAGCAGCGGTGAGAGCCGCCGTGTCCCCGTAGGAATCCTGGGAGGCGAGCAGCAACCCCACCTCATGCTGCGGATACATCTCGGAGAGCTTTGCAATCAGGACCTGGCAGTAGTAGCGCGAGCTTCTCCATTTTCCTTTGCTTTTCGTAGCGACGGCCAGGTGGTTGAAGACCGTGGCGCCGAACCAATCTCGAAAGCTGATTGTGTTCTTGAGGATCTCTGCAAGCTCCGGCATCGTTCGCTTTTCGTAATTATTAGTAAACAGGACAGCACGAACGAGAGGAGTCTCGTCATTACGCGTAAGACCGCAGGTATTAGCTCCCCGCATAATAAGATCTTTTACCACATCCAAGGATCCCATGGCGCACGCCCAGTGCAAGGCAGTGTTCCCCTGGTCGTCGATTGGGCGGTCGGGTTGAAAGTTTTGCGGAGGGATAGGCGGCTGGGCGGCTCCCCGAGCGGGTGCATCGCCAACGGTCATGAAGTAGTCCAAGAGCTCGTCGCCGTACATGATGTGCTGCTGCTCTGCCACCGTCAATGCGCTAAGGTCCCTATCCTGTTTGCGCTTCCGAGGATGCGTCGGATGCTGAGACACCTGTGCAATGTCTTCTTCTGCCAGCACCGAGGACGACTCACGGCTGGCCTGGTCAACAGATTCGTGGTCGTTGAATGACTGCGGTATCTGAGAATATGCGTCTTCAGAGTGCACAAAGCTTGCCGCGGGAGCTGCACGGGTGTTCATAGAAGCGAAAGACGACGCCCGGCCACCTCTCCGGCCTGAAGCCCCCGTCCTTTGAGCCTTGGGCCTCGAAGAAACCGCCGTCGTGTGCTTCGGAGCGGGAGGAGGGGTCCTGTCACCAGGGACGAAGTCAAAAATGGGGAGTAGCTGATCGAGCACCTTGTTTCTTTCGGCGACAGCACGCCCATCGGCGAGAGGCACCCATGTTCCTAGACGCCAATTTTCAGCTCCAACTCAAGGATAACCATGGACGGCTGGCAGCCGAAAGATAAAAAATTTACCCTGGTACTTCCCGTAGCCTCCTTGGATCTTTTCGTGTGTGCCTTTCTGCACTTCCCTCTCGAGGATACGAGTACGCGACGGCTTGTCCAGGCCGGCAACTTTCAGAATATGAGTGGCATTGATCCAGTCATCATGACGGCGTCGCATCACACTGTCCGACCCCACTTTGAATTCGTAAACCGGAACCTGTGTATGCCATGTTGTCAGCGACTGAAATTGAGTGTGCCAGGAAAAAGGAAAACAAAAGAACAAGGAGAACTGCGGCTGTATTGCGTGAATTTGTGAAATAAACTTACCCCACTATAAGTAGCAGAGTAGATCTGAGTGTCAATACCAGAATCCATGGTCGCCGTGGCGGCGATGGGCCGAGCGGTCTTTGCTCTCTCCGGCTGTCAACAAACGACGCTTGGTAAGAATGGCTGTGTGCAACAGATAACTAACTATCTGGAGCCCCCAGCTTGCTCAACAAGATGCCATGCAGAAAATAATGCTAGCAACTCTGAATCCCTCCCAACAACTTGCCTTCACCACATCCAGAGAGGGCAAAAAGAAGTGAAAGACGAAACGCGATCGTGCACCCAGCAAACACGCGCGCGTTAAGTGGAACACTTCGGATAAACAGGCTCCGAAGCTCCGGAAACCCAGTCGCAACCTCATGACACAAGACTTGTCCGGCTCTGCGATTCTCGGAACACTTTTGATTTCTCGTGAGAGGAAATTGAACTGGGACGAGATCAATATGACGCTCAAGGAACTTGTTACTGGCGATGCCAGCCGTGGGTTACTCCGATCAATTGACTTCCATAATAGCGACGCATGGGGGTTTTGATGCTAACCGTTTTCTGCAGAGCCGACGGCTGCCACTCGGGAAGAGATGTCGAATGCTCGCCTCCCTATTGCCTTCAGAGATAGCTGTGCACATCTACTGATACCGCTCAACCGATGCCGAGTTCAGGAATATTATTTGCCATGGAAATGCGAGGTACGACGTACTCCACGGAGGACCGAAATTCTAAGTTCCCCGGAAGACATCCGCAGCGGAACGAGGGTTTTGATACCGGATCATAACATAATGCTAACGGGAAAACGGTAGAATGAGAGACATTCCTACGAGAAATGCCAATACGAGGAATTCAAGAAGCGGGTCGCCAAGATGGATGAGTTACGGGCGGCCAAGGGGGGAGCGAGAAGCAATTGATCGGATACTCTCACGGGTTATACATACAACGTCGCATGGGAAAGCCTGCAGACTAGGCTAAATGTATTTATCTCTGGGGATTTTCAAGGAAACGACAAAAACAAAAACATTGTACCGGCTATGTGGATCAATTGAATGTATAGACAGTCCAGACCATCCATTGTTTCCAGTTCGCAATGATTCTGCGCTTCTTCTTTGGCCAATTTCTTCCGTCATCGAGTACTCGGGGCACAAAGAAACAAGAGGAAAAGAGGACAGGAGAAGGGGAATGAACTGGGTAGACAGCTCGGCATGGAGACAGGCCAACTGATGCTAGGATAGTCCTGTCCAAAAAAAAAAAAAAAAAAAAAAAAGGGAAAAAAAAGAAAAAAGTTCAAACAGGCCATGCGACCCGGAAAACCTGGGTTGCCATCTACGTCGATTGTCCGGGATCTGGGAACCCCCCAATTCCCTCATATCACTTCACCAACAAAGTGAATGCATCGCAATTCAAGGGAGACCATATTCTGCAGTTGTGAAGGTAAATTCATCATCCTCAGCAGCCCGGAGGGCGCAGTTGATCGTAAGATACGCGACTCGGAGAACTGGGATACCTCAGGCCGCTGCAGTGCTTCAAAATCCCAGCTTTCGTACCTCAACTACTCCGTATAGAGAATACTCTCCTAAAGAGGGCAAGGCACTAGATCACTGTGCCTTTGTGTCCGCTGTACAACTCCATAAAACTGAATGCACGAATGAGTTGATAGTATAGGTTGTTTTTCCCTGATACCTATAGGGTCCCGCGTGTGTATTCAGAGCATAAGTGAGCTGTGGAGTTTATAGAGTTTGCTGAGCCTCTTCAAGGGAACTCATCCCGCACCCCTGAAGAGGTGATGATGGGATGAGGCATCACCTTGGTTAATTCACCGACGGCTTCGAATGAAACTTGGCTTGTTGTTCTTCTTATCCATTAACAGATTGACGCGAATTCTCCATCATCAAATCTCATTCCTTGAGGCAATGTAGCCTCTCGGTCATAGTTTTTGCTTGTGGATGATCGAATATCAGAGATGGCCTTCGAAGAACATGAGCCAACCAGGGATCGACAGCATGGCGGAGAATGTCCTGCCGGGTTGGACCCCAGTCACTCTGTAACAACACGACAGAGAAAGTCCTCCGCACAGAGCCAACTAAGCTCTCCATGCGTGATTCCGCGCGGCTGAACTAAAAACAGGATACCGACCCAGCCACGGTGATCTGCCAGTGAATTACGAATCCGCGTCGGGACAGCGATAAAATACATATTTCATTCTGCGGCGGCCCTGTTCGTGACTATGCATCCACATTGTAGTCCAAAGGCTTCCCTTCTCGAATGTCAGAGAAACTCCTTTCACACCATCTTGATCCCGAATATATGATCCCGTTGCAAGATTTCAGCGTAAACGAGGGCCCCGCGTCCGCAGATACCAGGGAGCATCACAGGTAAGGATTTGACTTGGTCACCCAAGATGTTGTTTCCCCGACTCATTGCTCGCAGGAGTCCAGAAAACTACGACCTCTTGGGAGAGCGTATAGCGTCGCTTGAAGCCCTGGACAGTGACGATGACGATGACACTCTGGAAAAGTGTGCCGAACGACGAAAGGTGGTCCTTGCCCGGAGTCGCCCCAGGGCACTTTGGCACTTCCTCTTATTCCATGCCGTTCCGCTGGGGGTGGCTCTGTTTCTCATCGTCTTTAATATCAAGACGCACTTTTATGGCACTGATGGGTCAACGGTTAACCTGCTCCAATTTGCGGCTAAGGCCCATGAGGTCCTCATGCAGGCCTCGATCGTGACGGTCATGATTGCCTACATCCAGTACCTCCTGACAAACAAATTCGCCATTCCCTTCGGTGCAATTTTCTCCGTGTATCACATCGGTAACGTTGCATACCTGATGTCCCCCGAGTTCTTCGCCTCCCTGACAACTCCTTGGCTGTCCGTGGCAATGAAAATTGTCTTTCTGTTATTTATTCCGTTTAGCATCGCACTGGCGAGTGCTGTTGGCCCGTCAAGCGCCATTGCTATGCTACCTAGGTTTGGGAACTACACCTTGCCGGATTACACGGACCTGGCATTGAACCTTACTTCCGCGGAGCTGTATCCCGGTGTTATTGATAAGACCTTATCAGTTGGTCAGATTCTGCTCGAAATCCTTCTCACGGCTGGTCCTTTTTCGCTAACATGCTTTTGTAGGATTCATTGCTGCTGGCTGGGGTGATCTTTACAATCTTCCAGTTATAGGACTAACGGACAACATAAAAACGGGACTGCAACGCGATCATCAGAACGGCCCAACCAACATTATGCCCCCACTGCATTCTGTTTTGCGTCCAGCTATGGATCGGACTATGTATGTCCAATACGCGCCTAATGGCACTCTAGCTACTGTACAACACATCCCAGTATCACTCGCTCTCGCAGAAGCAGCACAAAAAGCGCTGGACAACTGGGATCATGGTACGAAGGTAGAGACCAGTGTCAGAATGCCACAACCTTATGTAAGTGTTCTGTGCGAACTTAATGCCATAAAAGGTGAAAACGACACGAGACCCATCCAATTCCCTGACACCTACATTGCGCCCCTCGTGGGCAAGCATGCGCCAGGGTCCATGCCTCGCCTTAACCCAACCAACGTGATTAATTATACGGATATCACAAGAAAGGAACTTTGGGAGGCTGCAAAAAAAGATATCCATGGCCAGATGATCTGGGTTGATGATATCAAGGTGTCAAGGCCGGTCTCGACTCGGCCTCTAGGAGTAATCGTTGTGCATTCGGAGTTTTGCGAGATAGATGAGCCATTTCTCACCACGTCTGCATGCTTGATCGGATCAACATGGGCAAACACAACATCTTCCTTAGAATTCGGTTACGAACGAGATATTTTGCTATCACGTCAAATCAAGAGCTCCCTCTCGACGGCGTCGCTCGCTACCCTACCCTCGTGGTCTAGATCCCCTATCTCACTCTCCAAGTCATGGGCTGAAAGCCTCAATCCCACTACCAAAGTTCAGAACCAAACAGTGGCCGATAACCTTCTTCAAGCGATGCCTATAACCCCCAATATATGTCCAACTGGCGGTAACTATTCCCTCAAATATGAACGCGAGACGGGAGGGGCCATTCTTACTTCCTACGGTCGACCGTTTATGCATGAAGCCCTCGTTGCGTCAATGATTGTGAGTGGGTTATCAGGCGCCGCTGGGCCGGCGCAGCTCGGAAACCTAACGTTCAATAGTGAGAGCAAGAAGTGGACTTGGAAATATGAGGATTTGGGTATACCCTGGGAGACAGTAACCATGGAGCTGTCGGAGCCTCCCGGGGTTCAGTTTATCTTTGGAAGCCAGGCTGCGGGCTACGTATGGAACACGACAGGCACCTCTACCAAACTCTCCATCTGCGTGCTGTTGATTTACTGCTTGTATACCGTTGCATATGTACTCTACACATTCTTCTCAGGCCGCAGCTCGCGAGCATGGGCAACGACGTCGGAACTCACGGCTCTGGCGATGAATTCCACGCCAACCAGCGTACTGGACAACACGAGCGCCGGTATCGCCAATACAGACACATTTAAACACCATATTAGTGTTCAAGAGGTGGAGGCAAATCGTCGCCTAGAGCTGATTTTCAACCAGGACAAGGCCGACAGGGGGGCACTAAGAAGAGTTGGTGTGGGCAAATATTATTGATTGGCAGGCCCGATCTGTTCGATTTGCAAAAACTATTCTATGGCTACATTGCGTTGGGGCAGCATTTTTGTTTTGTTTCTTTGATGAAGCTATATATCCTCTTTATTTCATGACCGTTTTAAACATTTCGTTGCATACAGCTAGCCACCCACTGGTCTTCTTTGCGAAGAGCTAAAAAAAAAAGTATAATAAATCTAGACCTATCTATACCTGAATAATCCTAAGCCAGTGAGTGGGACGATGGAAGATGGCCGAGTTGGTCCACATTTTGGCCGTCCTAAAGAAAAGTGGTCTCCACACTCGACGGGACCCTTGAGAGTGCATGGAGTATCCGTAAAGCTTTTGGATCACCTTCTCGGATCCAATTTTCCCTCATCAAGAAAATCCCTAAAACAGGCCAAAAACGCTCACGGGAATTTTAAATATATCAAAATTCTCCCCCTTTGCCAGCCAAGAGCAATGTCCAACTCTCGAATCCATAAATTGTGGGGGGGTTTCGGGCCGGCCCGCGTGAAAATCGGTGGGCCAACCGCTTTTTGCACCGAAAGCAGCATACTCCGGGCACCCTCCGTCATTTGCATCGAATTTTTGCTTCCTCTCATTGCTTCAAGGCAGAGCAACAAGATACCTTCGCAGCCAAAGTGGCGAAGCGAGGCCACGCATATTGAAGACGATTGGAACGAATGCTAAGTACACTTCGACCGTTCCAACATTATTTACTACGACAGGGGGTTGATGATGATGTGGAATTGGTTGTTGGAGGAAGTGCTTGTGAATTCTAGTTTGAGCTCATCAAGCAGTTGCGCCAGATCGCGCAATGTATCAAAGAAGCTCTACAGGGTAACTCAACGCATTTTTATCGCTAATAATGCGGCTTCTCATCAGGGGTGCCTTCTAGCATGATGGTATGCGTAGCTCCGTACATGTACAGTGTAGCAGGAGTTGTGCCTGTATCGTCTACCATGTGCAAAGTGCCCGGGTTCCATGGTAGGAAGTCAACTGACACAGTCCTGGGTCTCTGTCCAACATCTTAACACGATACCAGCTACGCGAAATCAAGTTCCGTCGGAAATATCGCAAAAGCCTCGTAAGATTCGCCCAAGTGAATATCAACCTGTCGCGTCACAAGTGCGCCTTTTAAGACCTGTACGCGATAAATTCTTCCGTTCACACGTAAAGTCGTCGCGCAGCCTGGAAATCTGAAGATTGCTATATGAAGCATGCTGTGGGCAGGCGCTTGGCGGGTGGGAAAGCAGGCCGAAAAGCAATCTAGCCCGCAATGGTAAATGCTGGATTTATCCCGACGCGTCAATCTAGCGCTACTTGGCAGTGCGTCTTTGGATGGCGCGGCGAAGGTTTAAAGAGGCGTTTTGGTGGGATTGCTGCTAACGGCCCGAAATTGAAGTTACGCGAAACCTTGATATCTGACACACGTCGGTATTCTCGCCTCTGCGATCAGACAACAAAGTGGAGCTCGAATATTGAAGAGAATCGTTAATTACATACTGTCTTTCACTTTTCGCCATCGCAGTAAATGGGGAATTGGGTGGCATTATTTTCAAATAATAAAAAGAAATTTGGGAAGGAAACGGAGTGGGAATCGAGAGACGCGTGAAAATATGCCCTTTCAGCTTCAAGAATTCTGTGGTCTCTGTCCATATACGATGTAGTATTGGGAGTAGATGTGGAGACTTCTGTCCATAAGTTCCTTCCTAACCCCAACCAAGAGAAGCTGGATTCGATTAACATCCCAGTTCAAGACCTTCGTGAAAAGAGCCAGTGAGTAGGCCTCTAGGGCTTCCAGCATCATCGCCTGTTGATATCGTCCCAGCTCTTTGAGTTTTTTATCCTTGGCCCAAGGCGAAAATGGAACCTGTGGTTAAAAGATTAGCTCGCAAGCCACACGTAGAATCCATGTATACGTCCTGATAGTAACGCAGCTTACCTTGTAGATCTCCTCAGTCACATTTTCAAATCCAGTGTCGATAAACCATTGTTTGTAGTTCTTTGATACCCCCATAGGTTTTCCAAACTTAGCACTTGCATCGATCAGGTGGTCGCGCCATTCCAGGATGTTTGGGGCCTTGTTGATGGTGTCGTCGTCGCCAAAAACCCCCACCGTCGCGTCCGCGACCTCAAACCAGCCTCCGGGTCGAAGGTTATCCTTGGCTTGGCGGAATAGACGCTTATAATCTTTGGCGCTGCCTTCGATGCTCCGGGCATGGATGAAATCGAACGGGTCCCTGAAATTCCAGGTTGCCTCAAAGTCATCAATTTCAAATTTGCAATTTGTTGGAATCCTATTAGAGCTGGTTAAGGCCATCCTTCTCCCGGGATTGGTCAAAAGGAAGAGGCAATCTTACCATGATGGCTGGATGGGGCTCAGATCGATCCCTGACAAACAGCAAGTTAATCATTCAGGTTGTGAAGAAGGGGCCAGAAGACGGTGGCAACAGACCTGTCACGACAGCTTCGGGGAGTTTACTAAGAAGTACAGTTTAATATTCAAACATCAGACACTTGGTTGTAAGGGGTGACCATACTCAGCGACATCAATTGCCCAACTTCCAGTGCCGGTTCCAAGGTCCAAGATTTTGGATGTACCTGGTGGAATTGGGGCGCGGTAAAGCTCTCCTCCTAGGATCATGTTGTAGATGTGATGATGCTGTGAAAGAAAAGAGAAGGGGGGGAATAAAATGGTGAGTAACCAGAATGCGCTCTGAACCAATGCCAGGGATGGAAGAGGCGACTTACTAGATCGAGCCGGTCTTGTTCTCTCTCATCATTTGGCTGGGGAAGGTCAGCAAGATCTGTTCACACACCCATGAGGAGCGAATGTGAAGGGAAGAGTGTCTTTCTTACAATGACATATGATCCTTCTCTGTAGGCGTGGTATCGTCTTCCATTCTACAGACACTTGCCTTAGTTTCGATGTGAACCAGGGCCAACAGAACACAGACTAACTTCATATCTGCTTGCATGTTAGAGGTTGATCTATCAAGTCCAAGGAAATATCTTACTTGTGGCCCAGAATACTTGAAGTGAGCGAGGCTGTGCTGCTCTCAAACCTATGATGGGACGGAGCTTGAGTCTCACTGTAGACCCGGCGGAATCTTCCAATCCGATGCACTTACGAGGCAGCATCCGAGTCTCCATCATAGAGGTCGTGGTCATCCTGTGTCGGAGGTCAGTAACAGCATGATTGTATTTGGTAGGAGATGACAGGGGCGTACTGACTGCCGGGACGATGGCAGGTTGTTGCGGTGAAGCCTCGGGCGGCTCGCGGGGCGACGAGGTCGTCGCGGCGGGCTCCTGTGCCATCTTCTCGATATCGACTCAAGCTGGCAAGAGTACCAATCTCTGCGAGGAATATTACTGTGTATGGATTCGGTGGATATATGGCCCCTATCCCCCGGATGATGTTGTTGAGAGTGGACAGGAAATCGCTTTGACAGGGAAAAATTTGTGAATATACGTAGTATTATTAAAGGCCAAAAAGAGGCGATTTTTCGCTGGTAAAAAAAAGCCAAATAATAGGACGAGTTAATTATTGGTTTGATGGGCAAGGGAATATTGACTATTATCGGCGACCAGGCAAAATGCCTCTCTCGTCACCTGTTCCTCGTTACGGGAGGGTTTGTTTAGCGCGCCGATAGCGCCCAATGGCAGTTGACAGCCAAGGGGCGAGCTGCAGCGCATCGGGGGGGGTTAAAGACGAACTGAGGAGGAGGGGGGGGCGAGCGGTGGGCCCCGGAAACGGCGTTCTGCGCACCGGACTCGCTGGGCTCCGGAGGCACGCTTGACGCTACTGGCGCGGAAGGGATCCCCGGAGCGTTGCCCCCCCAAAAGGCCCCAGCGACAGCCCCTAGTCAGCTCCTTGCGTCGTTCGAGGGCCTTAAGGGCCGCTCGGTCCGGGGGGCCGTTTGGTTTGGCAGCAATCCCACCTCTAAACCCGGGTGTCCGCTTTTTCCCCTTTTTTGAGGCTCGCAGCTTGACGGAACAAATGAGTTACAGCACATATGAGTGCACATACATATAAGCGTCCAGACCACCAGCAAGACCACGTATTGACTTGGGGAACTACTCTGTAGTTGGACAGTACTCCCGTGTATGCAGGACAGCGACCCTCCATCGCAGAAGAGCGATTGCCGACCTGGCACAGTCTCGATGACACGCATCCTCCCCCCGCATTGGTTGACGCCGGCCACCACTCGGCTCCCTCCCTCACACTCACCCTCTCCTCACCCTCATCCTCTCATCCCATCTCTCTCCCTCGCCGGCAGAGCAGCCAACCTCCCCATCGCCCGCAAACCCAGACCGCACTGGGCACGCCACATGTATCACGTGATGATGATAGAGTTTCGAGCCGCGCGCGAGCGCCTTGAATTCCCCGCGCTCTGATTGGCCTAGCTTTTTGAGTTTTGCGCTGTTTGTCTACGCTTGCGCCACTCTCAGGCTGCTGCTGCTTAGTCACCTGCTGCTCTCCAACTTACAGAAGGTGAGTTTTGTTAGTTAGCGCGTCGACCAATACAACCCGCTCTTCTCCACCCCAGATCCTCCCAAAATAAGGTCCTTGCAGGAAAGACGGGCTATCGACGGAGCCGGTCCAAGGGCGAACGCTCAATATCCTCTCTCATCCGAAAGCATGCTTGTTCGTGTTGACACAGGTTTCGACTTCACAGCCGGGCCTAGGGTTCAAATCTCCTCCGGTCTCGGTGTACATACACCATACTATCCCATGTCGAGCCCAGGGTCATCCGGAGCTCAAAATAGGGGCTGGGCAGCGCGTGTTCGTTGCTGGAGATCGGCATCTTCCCTCCCCCCAGCCGACTGAGACGTGCTAAGCGTGTTGGCGCTCGATGCATGACTCGCCGGGCTAAACAGGCGCTCGCAGCCACCACGCTCTTCCAAACGAGCCCGAGTTGCTTCACGCATCCAAACACCGGGTTCGAGCATCGTCGCCAAGAATCGTCGCTCGCATTTGGCCATCACACTCGTCGTGAATGGCTGGGATTCAAACACTTAACCAAATTGAAAATGATCTGTCTAGCCGTCTCCGCCTGCCGACTGGCGACGTGGAAGCCAAATGAGCCCGACACACGAAGATGAGAGGCGATCTCCATGGCATTCAAGCCTGCCCCAATCTTCTTGCATACGTTTAACACGCAAGAGATAGTGTAGACGAACCCTGCACGGCTTCTCCCTCCCTTATGACGCTTATACACTGAATGCACCAGTGACATCCGTTTCCATTCTGTAGAGAACCACGTCCTCGGTACGGAGAATGGGGGATTGTTGATACTTCTGAGATTCCGTGACAAAAGGCAACTTGGCCCCGTCCTCCGCATACATAGTTTGCGAGCCTTAGCGAGCGGGGCTGCGGCTTTAATTTCACGGCTGGATCACTTCGCTCCGTGATTATATTTTTCTCATTGGCCGATTCTTCCCAGCGAGTCAAGCGACCTGCCTCTGCACACTGGTCTGCAAACTCCGCTGACGGGCCATCCTTTTTTTAGTTTTTCCTTTTAAGGTTGACTGTCAAGAGTTTCTGGAGTGTTTGGTGGAGCCGCGAGTTGGATAGAAAAAGGCACTTCAAACCCAGCTGCTGCGACAAACAGCTCCTGTTTAACTTCGTTCCCAGTTTTGCTAAAATCGACAGGGGGGTTTGACGCAGGATGGAGGCTCTACCGCTGATAAAGGAACATCCATTTTTGACCGCTACAGCGGCATACCTCGTGTATGTGACAGCGGTGGTTGTCTATCGGCTGTGGCTCTCCCCTTTATCCAAGTTCCCGGGACCTAAGCTCGCCGCAGCCACTCGGTGGTACGAGTTTTACTATGATGCCATATGTCACGGAAAATATACCTTTGAGATCATAAAAATGCACGAAAAATATGGTCCGTGTCTATCCTTTTTATTAAACCATCAGACAAAAACTAGTTATATCTTATCAGTTATCAATTTTTAGGCCCCATTGTTAGGATCAGCCCTCATGAACTTCACATCAACGACCCGGAGTACTACGATGTTCTGTACTCACGAGATAGCCCGAGAGACAAGTACTCGTACTACACGGGTCAGTTCGGTACGCCGATGGCAGCTATCTCCACGATAAGCCACGCCCATCATCGTCTTCGCCGTTCAAACATGAACCCGTATTTCTCCATGGCTCGGATTCGAAAGCTGGAACCGGCCATCCAGATTCTTGTAAACAAGCTTTGCAATCGCTTAAAGGAATTCAAGGGCACAGGAGTCCCGATTGTGGTGCAGTATCCGTACACCTGCTTTTCCACAGATGTCATATCAGATTACACTATGGGAACCGGCTTTCACTACCTGGACGAGCCCGATTTTATCCCCCACTGGAGCGAGACCCTGAGCGCCATCGCCAAGGCCACAGTCTTCTTCAAGCCGTATCCATGGTTGTTATACTGGCTCAAGGCTCTACCAGAGGGCTTGGTTGGCAGGGTCGATCCCGGCATGAATTTGTTCTTTGTTTTCCAACGCCGCTGCAAAGTTCTCATCAATTCAGTTATCAGGGAGCACAGCGAGCCCGACTATGAGGAGAAACGGAAGTCATACGACCATCCGACTTTTTTCCACGACATACTCGACAGCAACCTTCCGCCCGAGGAGAAAGGTCCCGAACGACTAGCGCAAGAAATCCAAGGAGTTATCGGTGCTGGCTCCGAAACAGTTGCGAAAACACTTACGTGGCTGACTTACTATCTGCTTGAAAACAAGGATAAAATGGACAAGCTGCTTGAAGAACTGAATAGACTCGATCCAGATCGAACTGCGACTGTTGTGGACTTGGAGAAGATGCCGTACCTGGTAAGCTCTGCTGCAACACCTGATTCGAAAGGAAGGCTTTCTGACTATGGATTATCAGACATCAGTAATGCTTGAAGCCCTTCGGTATGTTGGCGTCCTGTGTAACCCCTACTTTCCAGGATCCACTGATCAAGGTATAGGATTTCATATGGTGTTAGCTCTCGGCTGCAAAGAATTTGCCCCGATCGTGATCTCCAGTACAAGGAATGGTCTATTCCAGCAGGCGTAAGGTCACCCCGTCTGTTTAACTATATTTCCAGCTGCTTATCATCGAACCAGACTCCTGTGGGTATGACAAGCGTGATGATGCATCACAATGAAGATATTTTCCCAGATTCATACAATTTTGTCCCCGAGAGATGGCTTGACCCCGACCGACGAAAGTACCTGGAAAGATATCTCGTCGCATTCAGCAAAGGATCCCGCCAATGTGTTGGAATCAAGTACGTGTCTTCCCACGTTTCTCATTCGTCCAATACCTTCTAATCAACTTCCAACAGCCTGGCAAGAGCCGAACTTCTCCTTGCCATCTCCAAGATTTTCCGCGAACTGAAGTTTGAACTATTCGAGACCACTCGTGAGGATGTGACTCTGAAGCATGATCTTTTTCTCCCTTTCCCTAAAGTGGGTAGCAAGGGTGTGCGTGTCCTTGTTGTGGACTGAAGAATTATCTCTCTTTGTAAATATGACTTAGCTAGGCGTTTTGTTGTGAGATGTAGTCGGTGGGAGTAATTTTATGTAGGTACCTACTCTTTATGATCCTTAACTATAATGGATATCTGGGGAAGAAGCTCAGAAGATGTGTACTCGCTTGGAGGTGAGAATGTGTGCACTGGAATCTCGGGAATTTTTTTGACTCGTTTATCCATTCTGAAGTGACTTTCGTGCACTGCTTCGGGTAATATAATTACGAATATCTTTATCTCTTTTTTTTTTTTTCTTTTTTTTTTCTTCTGTTTCAGCAGGGCCTCTTCGGGTGGGAAGCGCGCAGCTTTCTTGAGGTTGTTGAACCAAAAAGGAACAGAAAAGAAAAGAAAAGAAGAGAAAGAAACCGCCGGAGCTCTCCGGTATTTGATAACCAGTTGAACTTCAACGTCATTAGGGCGTCTCAGGTTATTATCTCGATAATTCCCTTTTGTCCCGATGCTTTCAGGCTAGGATCGATCAAATTAATGAGGGAGTTTCCTGAGCCAAGGATAACTGGGAGCATCGAAGCGCAGACGCAAATGTCCCAACAGCACAATGGAGGCACCGCTGGATGTCGTGGTGATCGGGGTTCGTCAGCCGTCCCGGAAGATCGCCCTGCAGCCCACAGGGCCGATTCACACCATCTTTCTTATCGTCGTGCAGCGCCGACAAGGGTTGATTGGAGGGGCGGAAGTTTCATCATGCCGGCTTCAACCACCACTTTTATATGTCCAACCCCGCCTTCATCTTAGCAGCGGCCTGCCACGAAGGTATTCATTCAAAAGACATGGGAATCGCACGATGGACACCCTCAGCCTCTACCGGCCCGGACGATAGTTAAAAAGAATGCACGCCTTGTCTCGGGCGCTCCGTTCGTTTCCGTTGCGGAAGACTATTTAAGTTCAACCCCGTTTGCCCCTCGCTTATTAATCGGGGCTGCGAGAATGCCGAACGCCAAAGCGAAGGATTTATCATCATCTGCAGCTGGTTTCTCGTAGGCAGAACCCCGATTACTCTTTTTAATATCCCCTCATGGCGATACAGGTGCTCTTTGCATTTCGTCAAGTCTCCCCGAAAGCGCCATCGTAGCCACGCGTGTTGAGTGCTTTCCGTCTGATATTGCGCCATGGGGCTGCTGTACGTATTCTCGGTCCTCCCCCTCCCCTCTCCCCCCTCCCTCATCCCCCTCCTCCACCCTTTTTTCGTGAAAAAACCCAGGTCCGGATAAGCAGGTTCATCGAGCTGACACGCAATTGTTTTGTGCTACAGGGCTCTCGGGACGCCCCTGCCGTGGCCGGAGGCGAAGAAGAGAGCGACGCAAGTCAGACGGTGGGGAATCGAGGTATCCCCGGTGATCCCCAGTCCCACAAAGTCCAGCTGGACCATCCTGACGAAAAGCTTTCTAGCAATTGTTGAGCATCTGGAACAAGGCAAAGGGCAAGGAGAGAGATGCGTTGCTCTGGGGTGACGAGGTATTTTCCTCGACTGCCACGCCCCTGTCTCGGCATCTGCTGAACCTCGTGTTAGGTTGAATACCTCGTTGTAGCTGTGGATGATAATGAGCGGAAAGTGCGGCTGTCACTCTGCCAGGCGGAAATCCTCAAATCGCTTGCGAGAGATGAAGAGCTTGCGAAAGGGGACGACTCGTGAGCCCACCGTAACCTTCTGGCTTCTTCTGAGCGCGGAAGATAACTGACCGTCATTCCGTCGCTATCAGGGCGGAACCACTCCCAAAATTTCATCCGGAGTTTGGACGCTTCATGCTCGAGGCAACACCAGGAAAGCCCTGGGGTATAGGATTTAAAGACCTCCTGAAAGTGGAATCAGACATGAAGCGGAGGTATGGATAACGTCTTGTCAAACCCAATGAACGAACACCGATACTTACGCTACCCATCAGACGAGTGATCGCAAAGAACCACATGGCTCCAAACGAGTACCCTATTACCCTTACAACATTCCCACGACTGGGAACGAAGGATGATTTTTACACGCCCAACTACCCGCTGTCTGGGGCCGCATTGCGCTCGCAGTTCGTTCCGGATGAGATCGCAAATCCACATATTCGCTTCCCTACCTTGGCGGCCAATATCAGACAAAGAAGAGGTCGAAAGGTGGAATTAAACGTCCCTATCTTTCGGGATACCAATACTCCCTGGCCGTTCAATGATCCTACAGTCAACTATGACCTCCACACTTGGCCAGAAGACAGCGATGTCCGGAACGGGGCCGTGAAGAAGGGCCATGTCTACATGGATGCAATGGCTTTTGGAATGGGAAGCTGCTGTTTGCAGATTACCTTCCAGTGCATGAATATTAATGAGGGGAGGAAGCTCTACGATCAATTGAGCCCATTGGGGCCTATTCTGCTTGCGCTGACGGCGGCAACTCCGATTTACAAGGGCTTCCTTGTCGATACTGACGTTAGATGGAATCAAATTAGCGGAGCTGTGGATTGCAGGACAGCAGAGGAGCTAGGAGAAAAGGTGAGGACCTTTTGAGCTGCTCTTGACGGATTCTTACTGACGTTCATCCAGCCCCTGAAAAGCGACAGATGGAGAATCCCAAAATCTCGCTATAGCTCCAATTCGACCTATATCTCTCAAGATCCGAGGTTACGCCCAGAGTACATGGACCCTGACCTCGTTATAGATGAAGACATCAAAAAGCGATTGATGGATGGCGGAATGGATGGCCTTTTGGCAACCCATTTCGCCCACTTGTTTATCCGCGATCCAATTGTTGTATTTGCAGAAGACTTGGAAGAACTCGACCTCAACAAGACCGATCACTTTGAGAATCTCCAGTCTACCAATTGGCAGCACATTAGATTCAAGCCGCCGCCGGCTGAAAACGACATCGGCTGGCGGGTCGAGTTCCGACCCATGGAGATTCAGATCACTGATTTTGAAAATGCCGCGTTCAGCATATTTATGGTACTGATTACTCGGGCGATTCTAAGCTTCGATCTGAACTTCTATATCCCGATTGCCCGGACGACTGAGAACATGGAGACGGCTCATGCCCGCAACGCCGTCCTTGAGAAGAAATTTTACTTCCGGAAAGACCCTTTCCCGCACCGTCTTCCTCGCCAGACCGCCAGCAGCTCGCCTTCCAGCTCTCGCTCCCCATCCGCGCCTCCATCCCCGTGCCTTTTACCAGTGGAATCCGAGTACGAGTTAATGACCGTCGCCGACATCATCAACGGCTCACCATCTGGGGAATTCCCCGGTCTGATTCCAATTGTCGAATCGTACCTCAACAGCATCAACATCGATGTTGAGACTCGATGTGCTCTTGCAAACTACCTCAACTTAATCCGCTATCGGGCAGACGGTAGGCTATTGACAAATGCGAAGTGGATCAGAGAGTTTGTCGCAAAGCATCCCGATTACCAACAAGATAGCGTCGTTTCAGAGAAGATTTGTTACGACCTTGTCAAAGCAGTGGAAAAGATCACAGAGAAGGAAGGGAAGGGCGGAAGCATTGGCTGGGAGATGTTGTATACAAGTTTGGCCAAGAGTGAAGAGCCGGAAGGACAGTGATTGGACTGTATATTCCTTGTGAAATTTTTTTTTTTTTTTTTCGAGTGAATATCTTTCGTGTGTGCTTGGTTTTCATACTGGATATAGACACTGATGAGCGAGCTGGATTTTGATCATTATTTTTATTTTAATTTTTTTCTTTTTTTAATCTGGTTGGCCACGCTCATAGACAAATACTGGGTTTGGCATGAGAATATACAATGCATCTAGATTTGATTGTGGGTGGTTGGGGATATCTACCTTGTCTATGACTGGCCGTCTACACGGGCTTTTGAATTTCCACTTGATCTTTCTTGATCAGACCCTGAAGAAAGAAAGATAAAATAATAGAGTCCCATCTCTATGAAGCAAAACACTATTCCCCTGTTGCCTTTTGCAAATCTCCAGACTGGTCGATGGTTATGGACACACTTAACACTTAACGACATAGTAACGACATAGTTATAATCATGGCCGCCCACTTGACCATTGAGCTCCTCTTGGAAGATAAGCCACCAGGTTGGCCTTGTCCATGGGGGTACAGGCCAACTTTGTTCAATACAGAGTACACTGAAGAGAGTTTTCTGCAGCCAGGCAAGCACAATGACATGACTTATCTGCAGCAATATTCGAAGTTGTTTGCATCCATAAGGATGGTAACGAAAGGAGCACAGGTGATCCTTTGACTACCTTGGCTGCATGAGACAGGGACAAATTTGCCTAGGTAAGAGAGATGTCGCTTGTCCATCACACTCTCCACGCACCCCAGTTTCATAATAATTGATTGACCGCAACACTTGCCAAGGGACAATGCAGCCGGGTATGTGTCTTGATGGTGATGGACCACTGTATCCTTCTCAGTGTTGCAAGGGCTCTGTTCAGCACCGATATCATCGGTCCGTGATCCCTACCCATTTATCGGTTAGGGAAGCTGACAGTAACTATTATCAGAGAGTTAGGCCTCTGTCATCAAATTAAGCGAGCATCCTTAAAAGGAGCGATATACAATTGGGGACAGCAAGGGGAGAAAAAACCACACCACCCAACCCCGTGACATCGATGATGTGCAGCAATGAATCCTCCGATCTGCAATGCGGATGACGACGATTTTGCGTCCTGCTTTTTTTGACACTTCACGATGATCTCGATGAATCCCGCGTTCCCACCATTCAAACATGTGGAGCCGAGATTCAATCCCCGACAATGCGAAGATCGATGTGATCTGAGTCATGGAGATGAGCAGAATTCGCCGTGCAGTTAGTAATGCAAGTACCCTGAATAAACGGGCCCTCGATGAAATCATCACATGAATTGATTTCCCTTCCCACACCTGGTCCGTCTTTGTTCTTGAAAAACACCGAGATCCTCCCACGCAGCAGGAGGACCCAGGAGAACCTTGACGGGGGGACCCGACGACCTGGAAAGACATATGTAGTACGCAGACTGGCTGCTAATTAATTAAGCTCCCCGGAAGAGTCTGAGCTTTCATGGAAGGCCCTGGATAAATACGTATTTGGTACTCTGTGTGGAGGATATGGTTACATACAAAGTTCAGCTGCCGGGCCAGGATAGATCGCATCCTTGCACGATATCACCCAGTACGAACTCTACTTATTATTTCCGGGACGTTTTACGGAGGAAGTCGGTCTAAGACATTTCCCTGAATGCAGTGGAAGGCAAGGATCCCAGGACTCAAGTTTCGTATTTTGGATGGGGTTCTCTTTTTGCTGGATGCCAAGGGCCAACAGCCGGAGCGCATGCAGAAGATATGAGACAGTGAAACCAATAAATGCTGCAGGCGACCATCGGATACAACCATGGCGAGACAGGCAGAGTGGAACGTTACCAAGCTCCTTCTCACCTTGTACAGGGACTTGGGGCCTGGGTCTACTGCAGCTGCTATTGCCTTGTATGTTTTGACAAGGGTTAGCAAAGATGAACGTAGCATTTCTTTTTGACTGCGAAATGCCCTTTTTGACGGCTAACCGAGTCGCAGTGGTTGCCCCTTTTTATGCCCGATTTGCGCTACTAGCAAGTATGTGTGATGGGCGGTATCCGGATGTCTGTGGACTGCACTGCGAGAGGCCTTGGAAGCCTGGAGGTGGTAGTACAGAGGAAGCTTTCATACGTGCATGCAGAGGAGGGAACGCACGTTGTGTACCTGTCGTGTGGGTATCGGTGAACTTGTCCCTCGTTCAACAAACGGTGTTTGCTGGAACCGAGCCGGTTGCAGCAGGAGATTTCACAGGTTCACGGAGGAGATAAATACATTGACGAATTGAGCTGGGTGACCTGGCGATTGGCTCTCATTCGGGAGCCATCATGCAGAGTACACAAGCCGTTTCCGGAGACCAGACGCAGGAAAAAAGATAGGGGATCGTTATGCAATAACCCCAATCGGATTGGGGACTTCAAGTGATGAAAATGCTGTTCAACGCTCAATGTTGGATGTCGGTAGCGGGAAGCAGCTAATCGTCGTACAGAGATCAGTTGGTAATTCTGCAGATCGTGAGCCTTCCAAGTCTAGCTTGGTGCAGCGAAGCTGTGTCCGTTTCGATCCCGCCCAAAGCATCGAACTCTATCGGCTTGAAGCCCGAAGGCAAGAGCACCTAGAGAAATGTAGTCTCCGCGGAACGCGAAAGAGCAGAAGATGAAGAAGGGAATAGCTGCACTCTATGGAATAGGTCTGTCGTGTGGCGAAGAGCCATAACTCTCCAACAGCCAATAACAGGATACGGAATTCGGGAGGGACCTTACTTGCACCGCCGTGAGAGCCGACCCAGCGGGAAATAGATCTGTGATACCGTGGTGTTACACCTAGAGCAACACACAATAAATGGATTGCGAATTGGGCCCAGGGAGTTTTCTGCAGTGACTGGTCGGTTTTGCCAAAAAGGGCCTCAGATACACAATCCGTTGAGAGAAAAGGATTGAACAAATTGATGGTGCGGTGGCCTGTTCGCATCTGATCTCTGCAGGTTATGTTTGCACCCATCTAGCGTCTGGAGGGAAATCCCTTTGCTATTGCTTTGTTTGGACGTATGTACTATACAGAGGAGATGCACTCTCGTGCATGGTGGCATGATGTCTGCACTTGTCCCAGTGGCGTCGATGAGCAGCCTCGTCTGATGGGACAATGATCCCGCGACAGTGGAACCCTGTCGCACAAGTCGCTTAGAGCGGCTGTCGAATCGTCGACGTGCGGAATAATGCATAATGATCGTTCCTTTTTTTGAGGATCATACGGAGTACACGGAGTACTCCGTACATACAGAGAAATGTGAGTCGATCGATGATTTCAAGCTTCGACCCCCCGACGGCTGGCAGCAAGAATAGAGTTTTGCGAGACCAGCTAACGCAGCGCGGAACCAAGATCCAAGTCTCGAGGTTGCCCAGATCTGATCTATCGTATTCCGCAATTATTAACTACTTGAGATCCTTCCCCCCTGGCTGACGGTCATGCCCGGTAACACCTTGCCCTGTCGAAAAGAGGAATGACAATTGGAGGGGCAAAGAGGACGTGCTCTGGAGCTTCGAGTAAGGATTATGCATGGCGACAAGCCTCGGGATTTGCTTCGCGATAAGGTTTTGCGCGCCGTTAAACGAAGCAAAAACTGACTCGCTTGGCTCCTCCATACAAACTGACACCATCCGTCCTCCCTCACTTCTCACGAGGCTCCATACTGCGTACTCCGTACAACTGAGCTGAACCGGCCAGCCCCTTCACGCAATCGGGATTTCCCATCTTCATGTGCGGCTCCACACGCTCGATTGAGGGACGCCGGGGTCTGGTGACAACAAGATTGGAAATTAAGGATCCTCTTTTTGTTATTTTAAAAGTTTTGTTCCTCTTTTTTTTTTTTTTTTTTTTTTTTTTTTTTCCCTCCCCCTCTTGCCGCTAGGGGAGTGACCAACTGCGTCAGGCGGACACTTTGCCCCGCCTGTTGGCGCTGCGATTTTCTGGATCGTTCGATGGGCGATCGAACCTTGCCTATTTTTGGGTGTGATGGTCGGAAGTTAAAGCTTGGTAAATTACCTAGCTTGGAGTTTTACCTGATCGTAATTTTGGTTTCTCCCCTCCCCCCGGTCATGACAGGACGGGACGGAGGATCTGTGCTCTGCCAGCGCACGGCCACAGAGAGAGAGAGAGGGGGTGTGTGTGTGAGAGGAAGAGAGAGTATGTGTGTGTGCTTGTGGATGCCGGGGCCAGGGATGCGGAAAACGTGTTCAGGTCAGCGTGCCGATCGAGTTTCATCCCCTTCCTACCACGTTACAGCGGGAATTTATCCCTCTCGAAAACCCTCTTCCCCCTCCCCTCCTCTTCAGCCAGCGAACGAGCTGTTCATATTTGTTAGCTGACCAGCGCGACATGACATGGGGCAGACTTTTTTTGAATGATTGGAGGTGCCCAAGCAGCACTGCAATTTCCGCGTAACCAACAATACACGACGCGATACCTTCGTACGGAGATCGTAACCTCGATGATTGGCGCGTATCGCTGAGACTCGCCAGCCGGACCTGCCAGATTGCGCAGGTCTTTGGGTCGACAATCCGAGCTAATGCCGGCGCTTTTATGAAGGGCATTACGCGACACATGGTGTGTGCTGTTCCCCACCGTGCAGAAACAGCATGGCATAAACAATAATGCAGCTGTGCTATGAATGGATAAGCTATACTCCGTACATACTAGTTAGTTATGTACAGGTCACACTCCGTATATTCCTCCACTTTTTATTTCCCCCCCCCCCCCCCCCCCCCCACACACACACAGGCCGACCGTTGAAGATTGCGCTGATCAGACGGATGCAATCTTCTATTTTCCTGATCGGGACGATTGCATCACCCTGCCCGCATCCATCTCCCGACACCATGGATGAGAGAAGAGACAGACGAGGACAATACATACGTCGTCCGCTCCCGGTACTCTGTGCTCAGTACCAGCCACTTCATTTCGATCTCCGTTTCGCCCAGCTCAGCTCCCTTGCTTGCATCGACGCGCCCCCGGCCTCGCACGCAATCTCCACGACTTCCCAGTTGTCAGGTTGTCTGCTGAGGGTAATTGGGAACGGCATATCCATCCATTCATCCATCTGTACAGAGTATACGCATACACGTTAACATTATTTCCACACATCTTGTCGTCCACCCTCACACACACACACTCTCTCTCTCACCCACCACACATACACATATACACACACTCTCTCTCGCGCGTCGGGATTTGAAGTGAGCTCCCGCACTCCGTACTCCGTACTTCGTATTCCTATACGATCCACCAAACCCCGAGGGGCTGTCGATCAGATGGAGCCAGTCAAGAATCAATCGGACCCGATCTCAGAATCAAAACTCGACGATCATTCTTCCGCTCTTTTGCCCTTTTTTAATTCTTTCCTTAGACGGTTGCCCGCAGTTGTCAAGGAGGCAGATTTATTCTTTCTTTTGAAATAATTTTCCCCACGGACTTTCTCGATGCAGCCCTCCGTCACGCCAGTCATACCCACTGGCTGCCGGCAGTTGGAAATTTGTTCTCGCCGCCAAGTCTGGAATGGTTTCTGCACGAGAGCTGCGTTGGTTCCAGGTCCGGTCCCTGACCCGCGATCCAGCCCGATCCCCCTTGTACCGCACTTGTAATGACCAGGGCTGCCAACCTTGTCCAGGCCCCCCTGCCAAAATAAAATAAAAAAGATCAAAAGTAAAAAAAATAAAACGTCCATCTTGGATTATGTGGGCTCACTACTAGTATATTTACCTTGTCGATTCCACTCGGATAATCACCCAGCCCATTGGTGGAACTGCTGCAAAGAAAAAAGCAAGTCAAAGAAAACCCCCCGTACCCCGTTAGGTTGCGGGATCTCGTTACTAGCCCGGTACCGCGACAATCGACATTTTTGGTTTGCGCAACAGCAGGCGTACTACATATGTAAAACTCCGTACGGACCGCCAACAGGGTAGTCCACACACTCAAGCGACGGCGATGAGCATGTTTGAGTTCGGTAGCTTGTCGATGGAATGGCTGGTGATGTGCTGCAGGCATCCCGGTGTGGTGCTGGTTGCTTTTCTCCGAATCTTACACTGACCAGAGCAATCGTGAGAGATCTTCTCCCGGCAATTAGGTAATTGTTCATGCCCACATGTTCGTTGGTTCAGACCTGAGCACTGCACGGCACTCCAGTCTATGGAGGAGCAGGATAAGCAGTAGTTGCAGCAACTAAGGGAGGGAGAGCTTTTGTTTACTTTTTTGGGCTTTCTTTTTTTTTTTTTTTTTTTTTTCTTTTTTCTTTTCTTTTCTTTTTCCTTTCCTTTTCCTTTTTGCGTTGCTTGGGGAGAAAAAGGATTGATCTGGTGGACCGAACAACTGCCGAATGCAGTTCCCCTTGGCCCAGCGCAAATCTTGGCCGGCCTTGTTAGCCATTTCATCGTTCAAAGTACTCTGTATATTGCCTCCTGACTCGATGGAGATCGCTGGGCCGGCCATGCAGCTGCTGCTCTCTTCTTGCCTTCCTCTTCCGCGCGAGACGGCTCCGGTCCTCTGCAACAAAAAGGTCAGCGTAGAGGGGGGAAAGAAAAGAAAATATGCATAAAATAATAGAAAAAGAAAAGAACAGGACCAAAAAGGACAGTCCTTAACATCACTCACAAAGGCGTCGAAGCTACCCTTTGTTCAACACGAAATGGATACATTGAGGATGTCTCTCTTTGTCCGGCTACAGCACCTCGGCTCCAGATCTCGCCAGACAATCTGAAATCGGGCTAGGATTCTGGTGGCGAAAGAGGTAAATCACGTCCAAGTTCCAGAGCTGCCCCATTATTATACCGAGATGGAATTATAGCCAGGATCCATCGCTATCGGTCGCCCGCTGAAATTTTGCGACTTGCGCTCCGGGGTGGATGATTGTAGGTATTTTGTACGGAGTATGGAGCATGGAAAATGTATGTTCAGCTTTAGCATTGTCTCGGTACCGGCGCGTCCTCCGTAAAGACCTAACTACGCTTCTAGAAGACGGCTCGCCGTTTGATTAAACTCGCGATCTCTGCCATTGCGTAATCCATGGGACCACAGGGCGGAAGAAACAGTGTCAGATCCACTCCACGCTTGTTTCCTGCTGGCAGCCATGGGTGGGCCGGTTGGCTGGTTAGTTGGTTAATTTCATGCTGCGTGCTCGAGCGGTGAACACATCCACCATCCATCCATCCATCCATTCCATTCCATCCCATCCCATCCACACATCCACACGTCCATCTTGCATACTAGCTACTTACATCCATAATTGCAGCACCGTGGATGGGCGCTGGGCAGGGAACTTGGCCAACCATCTCCACCTGCTCCCTTCAGTAACCTTGCTGTCTCTCACTTCGTTGCTCCCGTCCATCTGCACTCTCTGCATCTTCCTCTCTCTCTTATCCCTATTCCCCTTTTTAACATCTATCTCTCTATCTTCAGACCCAGGATTTGCCCTGAGATCTGCTGCAGCCCTATATCTCCGTCTTCGCGGCTCGAGAAAGCAATACAAAAGTTGGTGTGCTAATCTTTGCCATGTCTGGACAAGGATAACGACCACAACACCAAGTAACATATTCCCAACGGGCCTGTCTGAACTGCTGCCCAGTCCGTTATCTTTTTCCTTTTTTTCCGCAATCCTGACCGTTTATCTCTCCTTTTCACCCACCAAAGCGAGCCGCATCTCGGCGTGGAAAACGGTTGTGTTACGTCTGACACTCTTTATATCTGCAACCCGTATTATTATTATTATTATTGGCACCTTTTCTTTTCTTTTACCTTTTTTTTTTTTTGGCCTGCCGTACCCCAAAACGCCCGACATTACCTTACTCTTCTGCTTTCGTCTGGTCTCGACGGCGCTTCTTTATTATCGCGGGATCCTCATATTTTATTGTCCCAGCCTGCATCCCTCTTCATCCATTTCTTCTACTTCCTCTCGCGTTCTATACCCGCGGAACTGGACCTTGGATATTTGGACAATATTCAGAATACAGTGCGTATACGAGAGAGTGTGATTTAGAAAGATAGAAAGAACTGGCTAGGGTCCAGCAGCGCAATCGTTTGTCTGGCGAAATCGGCTAGTCGCAGAATCCATATCGCGGAAACGAAATTCAACTCTTGAAGCGTCTCAGTTCCCGAAATTAGCAAGGATAGAGGGTCAATTACGTCCCTGTGAGGCCGTCTACGTAGCTGGAAAAGCCGCTCGCGGAAAAGAGGTCCAAGCTAGAGTGTTCGATCCGTCTAGAGGGGGGTGAACGGAAAAACAAAAACCAAAATTATATATCCTGGGAATGGGGACGGTAGAAGCAGGGCCCAGTCACTGGCCACGTTTCGCACCTTCAATGCCGCACCATGTCACTTTTCCGCTCTCACAGCGGGAAGGACACGCTATGGAGGATTCAGCCAACAAGGTCAATGCTAGCGGCGGCCACCCTTCCGCAGAGTCGCTCCCGTCAATAGGGTTCCTGGATTTGGGTAAGAGCAATAGTGCCAGCCCACGTTCACAGGTCCACCGTCAACCCGTGGCAGCAAACGGTTCTCCGCCTGTGAGTCCGACAACGGGTGCATATCAGCCCGGTCGTCCCCAGCATAAATATTCTTCCTCTCTTCAGAACTACTCTTCCATATCAGCCGGATACCCCTACTCACCGAATCGGCTCCCTGTGCGAGATGCTGAAACGGACCAGCACCAGCACCCACCTCTCCCGCAAACGCACTCCAATCAACGCCAGTCCTTACCGTCCATCCATGAAGCTCTAGGAAGCAATTCACTCTCCTTCCAGCCACCATCATCAGCAACAACGGCAGCACCACAAACACAATCCTTAGCTACGTCACATGCCCCTCTCCCACCAGGTGTTGAGAGCACAAACGGCCCGCCCAATCCTTTTGCTCACACTGCATCCTCTGTGCCTTTCGCTCAGGAACCCTTTGCGAACCACCTCTCCGGAAAACCTGCGTCGATAAGGTCAGAAGGACAAAGGTCCAGCGTGGCCTCAATTCGGTCCCAAGAGTCAAGGAATCCGTCAATAATGTCATTAGGTTCAGGGAGATCCCCAACCCAGAGCTCTAGGACGGCACAATCCCAAGCTTCCGGCTGTGATATCCAGGGTGCAGGCCTCACAGGCTCGATGCCTTCGCCATCAGCATATGGAGCTTATCCTCCGGGATATCAATACCCTCCTAATGGGTCGCAACCGCATGTAGCACGGCCTCCAGCGCTTCATGAGGTCAAAGGAAACTCAACGATTGAACCCGGGAAGGCCGGTGCCATCTCCAGAGCTCCTTCGGTTCCGTATGGCGAGTCTGTAAAGCGCCAACTGGATGTTTTTGATTTGCAGGCTGCTTGGAACGAGGTAGACCTCCCCCAATTATTTTATATTTTTTCTTCTTTTTTTCCTTTTTTTTTTCCTTTTTTTTTAATTGATTTCCTTTATATTTTTGTGATTTTTGCACTTTGCTAATCGTCTCGTTTTAGGTTGGCGATGCCAGTGCCAAAACCATGGATTTCTCGAGAATCCACGCGACACGCATGTACCAGTCGAATAGAGCGGATCAGACACTTCCGACGTTGGGCGAGATTGATGATTTGCTTCAACTTCAACGCCGGAACCTGGATGCCCTCGGAAGGATTCGAAATGCGGTACTGGATCAGGAGCACGCCATAGCGCAACAACGCGAGCGTATGCGTATGATGCAGAGCGAGCGAGGCTACAACCATGATCGATCTACCGGCTATAGAGAAGAATTCAAGGGCAGCGGTGGCTTTGCTGGCGGTGATGCTAAGAAGCGTCGAGGGGTATGAAAAACGAAATAAACCGTCCCTTTTACACTTCTTTCTGTGGGTTGGTTTCTGACTTGAAGAATGTTGGTGTTTTTATTTAGAAACCAGCTCCACCGGGCAAATGTCACAGCTGCAACCGATCCGAAACTCCCGAATGGCGCAGGGGTCCCGACGGTGCTCGGACTCTCTGCAATGCCTGCGGCCTGCACTTTGCCAAGCTCTCCCGAAAACTCGGCCCTGAGGCCGCTGCCCGCCTGAGATCGCGCAACATGGTTGATCCGCGGACGCCTGCAGCACAACCGTGATATTTATTATATTGCATTCATGATGTATTTTTGCTTTATTTTTTGTTTCCCCTTTTTTCCCACTCAAAAAAAAAAAAAAAAAAAAAAAAGAAGGCACGATACCTTTTGCTTTATCTTTTTAGTTTTAACGAGACACGGCGGACGCTTTTGATCTTTATATTCCAGGCATCTAGACATACAAGGATGGCCACTTCGTGGGTCCCTTCGATATACCTTCGGTTCTTATTTTTCTCCCTGCGGTTTTTGACGGAGCATTATGACCAATTTCATTTTGTCCACAACTTGTGTGAGCTCTTAGTTTTCCTGTCTGATGGAATTTGCTCTTTCTACTCCGTAGTGTTGCCAGATTTCCGATACCCCCTGATACCCCCGATTGTCACCGTTTGGGTTTCTCTCCCCTTTTTTCTTTTTTTTTCTTTTTCCCCATCACGGTTTTGTTTTCTATTTCTTTTCAAAACCGGAATCCAATGAATGGCCCTTTTCTGCGGGAGTTTTACATTTGAAAGGTCAAAATATGTCTGTTCCGTTCTGGGTTTATCATGACATCTGTCTCTTGGGGTATTATTTATCAAATGAAAATAAGGATGGGCCAGCGAGGGGTCGAAACAGGGACTCTTTTGCTGCCATTTTGACAATTTTATTCCTACTTATTGTATGTATTTATTTTGATTTTGGTGTGTGCTCCCCAGGGTCGTTAACACTCAAATGAAATGACAACAAAGAGTATTGAATGGGACTACTGCTGGGTACGGAACATCCCACGCAAACTTCAAGGTGGTGTCATTTGTCTCTCGAGCACAGAGCACCTGCTAATCACCCTATACGTACTTCGCAGTACTGATGTCGAACGCGATGGCATTTGTGTCCTCCTTTTGCCCAGCGTCCAATATCTTGCTGCGCTGAAAGCTCAACAGAGCGTTTCCGGATCTGATGAGATGGCCATAGTACACCCCCCTGTATCCATGTGGAGTTTAATCGGACGAAGTTGACTGGTGACACAACGATTTCCCCACCATATTCAAGAATCCCAGGCAAGGTTAATGCCCCAGCGATGACGCAAGGAATGCCGCGATGTATGCTCTGTTTGCCAAGGGATTAGGAACATGTCCGGTGTCGAGGTGAAAGCGAGCCTTGCATCGAACGGGATCACACGGATCAAGTTGGGCTTGAGGCTGCTGCTGACGAATAACTCGGTCTTCGTGGCCTTTTCAGTGGGTTGCTCCCGCACCCCAAAAGGCAGCAAATCCGATGGATGGGTTGCGTCTGTGGCTGCCTTGGGGCTGTGCGAGGCTTTTCAGGGCTAGTTGGGGTTAGCCACGCCTGCTGCCTGCGGAGCCGCAGCTGCCACCCGCCACCCGCCGCCATCCATCATCGTCATCGGCGGTTGAAAGCAAAACCAACATCCATAATAACTGGCATCTGTGCCTCATCTGCGTTTTCTTTCTTCTTTCTTCTCAGCACTCAAAAAACTCCCATCCGTCAGCCGCTCTTCCATAGAGTTAATCATCGAGTTGTCATCGCAGAAATTCGTTGGGATAAGAATAACCAAGAGCAGGTTTTCCATACATTTCATTAACTCCATATTTACTCCGTACATCATCATCCAACATGTCTGCTCATCACTCACTTGAGCCCTGCGGGTGCTACTACATCCTCCCCGATCCCCTGCCTACTCCTGTCTATTTGCCCCAGGTAGACCTCAAGGTTCACTCGACAATTCTCGCTTCTACTTCGAGGACCTCTCTGTCTCAAACTTTCATCAACCCATCCACTGAAAAAATAAAAAATGCATCCTACACCTTCCCGCTCTTTGATGGCGTTAGCATCGTCTCCTTCAAATGTGAAATCGGAGACCGTGTGATCCACGGTGTAGTCAAGGAGAAAGAGCAAGCTCGCGCTGAGTATGACGCAGCGGTGGACCAAGGGAGCTCTGCAGCACTGCTGGAGCAGTCCATGTCAGCCTCAGATACTTTTACCACCAGCATTGGAAATATTCCCGAGCAGTCAAAGGTGACTGTGCACATCACCTACCTGGGCGAGCTACAGCATGATGCCCAGGCCGACGGGCTGCGCTTCACCGTTCCTCTGGCCATCTGTCCCCGATATGGTAAGCTCGTTGAAACTCCTCGGAATTTGGAGGACGGTGTAAAGCATCTTGCATCTCGCGGGTCGATCGAGATTACTGTTGATGTCCAGGTCGAACAGAAATCAGTCATCCAGCGACTCCAGTCACCGAGTCATCCGCTGGACGTTTTGCCGGGACGAACATCCACGGACTCGGAAGGTGAACACCACGCCAACAAGGCCTCAGCAAGCTGGGCCCTTCGCCGCTCCTCGCGGCCATCGCAGAATGGACATATCGCTCTTGAACGTGACTTTGTTCTGATCGTGAACACCAAAGACCAGGGTCTCCCATATGCCTTTCTCGAAACCCATCCGACCATCCCGAACCAGCGCGCGATCATGACCTCCCTAGTTCCCAAATTTAATATTCCGAACAATGACCCGGAGATTGTCTTCATCATAGACCGAAGTGGGAGCATGTCTGACAAGATTGACACGCTAAAATCAGCCCTGAAGGTCTTCCTCAAGTCACTGCCTGTTGGGATCAAATTCAACATCTGCTCATTCGGCTCCTCGTACTCCTTTCTGTGGAAGAAGAGTCGGACCTATGACAAATCCAGCCTCGAGGACGCGCTGGCATTTGTCGACACGGTCTGCGCTGATTTCGGTGGAACTGAAATGCTTCGTCCGATCAAAGCCACTGTGGAAAACCGCTTTCAGGACCTGGACTTGGACGTCTTGCTACTCACGGACGGGGAAATATGGGATCAGGAGCAGCTGTTTGCATATATAAACGAATCAGTATCGAAGGCCCCCACCCGTTTCTTCAGCCTAGGAATCGGGGATGCGGTTTCTCATTCTCTGGTCCAGGGTATTGCGCGGGCCGGCGGTGGCTTTGCGCAGACTGTGGGTACAAATGAAGACTTGGACAAGAAAGTCGTGCGCATGTTGAAGGCGGCATTGACTCCACATGTTAAATATACCCTTGAACTGAAGTATGAAAGCAGTGACAACGATTCACGCCGTGAGGATGACGGTTTTGAAATCGTCGAAAAATCAGAGGACCATCGCTTCGAGGGAGAGACGGGACCTCAGGGGACCACGCACGACGACACAACCGCTAAGGCTCAACAGGACCAGCCACCTATATCCCTCTACGATGAGAATTTCAAAGAGACTGATATTAAGTCTGTTGCAGATCTTCCAACAATACCGGCTCCGGCCGTCATCCAGGCGCCGTACGACGTCCCCGGGCTATTCCCGTTCAACAGATCCACGGTTTATCTTTTACTTTCGCCGGAGTCCAATGCTGCTAATCCCAAATCGGTTATCCTTAAGGGCATGTCGAAGCATGGCCCGCTGTCCTTGACGATTCCAGTTGAGGATGTCGGCAAGAACATAACAATTCACCAACTTGCTGCCCGGAAGATTATTGTCGACTTGGAAGAGGGCCGTGGCTGGACGTCCCAGGCTAAGGACAAAACAGGAAGACGGTTTGTAGACCAGCATGAAAGCAAAAAGGAGGACATCGCCAAGCGTGAAGCTATACGGCTAGGAACGAAATATCAAATTGCTGGAAAATGGTGTTCGTTCGTTGCTGTGGAGAGCACTGAGCACGAAGTAGCGAATCTAACCGGAAAGGAGAGGCTGCTGTCAAGGGAGCCGGCTGAGCCCGTACAGTATTCACAATATGCCTTCGGATTTGGCGCTCCAGCACAACCAATGGCTTGGGGTATTCCCCCACAGCCAAGTCTATCACAGCCTCTAGCTTGTTCTAGAAAGCTAAAGAAAGCGTACCCTCAACCGAGTGTAGCGGCACAAAAAGTGGTTTCTAGGAGAGGTCTATTCAGAAGCTCCCCTAATGTGGCTTCTACCCCAAATGCCTTTGGGGCTTTCCAATCGCAGCCACCGCCAGCCCCCGTTGAAAGTGCTGAAATTTCCTCTGTGCCCTCAGGTTCCAGCCCTGGACATAGTATATTATTTGGTAGTCCTGCCATAGCCAGTTTTGGCTCGGGTCCAAGCTTCGACCCTACGGAGGCGCCGGTATCAGCCCAGTATCCCAAGTTCCACCAGCTTATTCTGTGTCAGTCATTCGAAGGATCATGGGAGTGGAAGAGACAAATATTTGACATTATTGAAACAGACTCCGAGACCTTGAAAGGAAAAGTGGATTGGTCCATGACCCTGGGAATTGGGCAGGACGATATTGACAAGGAAGATGAAAATCTGCAAACCATTGTCATGACACTCGCTGCTATTGCATACCTGAATAAGAAATGGGGTGGTGATAGGGAAACTTGGGAATTGGTGGGGGAAAAGGCGATGAATTGGGTAAATGCAAAGCTTGCAGCAATGGGTGGACAGCCACTGGAATCGCAGCAAGCTGTTTTGGACCGTTTTCAAAGTGCGATCTAAAATAATTGGCCAGCTAGGATTTTGCAAAGTTGCCTCAGACTGGATTCCCTTTACGTCTCTCCCACACTGTGTATATACTGTAATACGGAGTAGTCGAGTAGTATTTAGTTACGTGTCTCAATGATGATGTATGATTGCCCTAATGTATATACGATTGCGCACACCTTACTGTTCGCTATTCTGTTTCAAATCCCGGAATCAATTTTCCCTTGCTCGTCTTCATCCCCTTTGTCTTTTCTGTCGCCCCGCCTCTTATAATGCCAGTAGAAGATAAATATTAGGGTTGTGGTCGAGACTGTGAAGCCACAGGCGCGAGATAGAAGAGAACCAGGGATTGTCGTCAAAGGAAGACATGAAAATTAGGGCCTGCGGGATGAATGTTAGCATTGATACAGCAGAGGATTCCACGGGACTCAAGGACGAAAGTTTCTAGTTGCCGATATAATATCCCGTTCATGAACGACACATGCGAGAGGCGAATAGCGCGCAGCAAGTCCTTAAGCTCTCTTCTTATCATAGTTCCGGAGCGCGTGGAGGGGAAAACGTACTGGGAGAGTGGGAGGTTCGAGGGTTTGGTGGGTAGATGTATGTTATCGCCAGCATGAACAGCGAACATTGGACACCAGGCCATATACTGAAGAAAAGCTGGAAGATACATTCATAATTTGTGAACAAGGCAAAAATAAAAATAAAAATAAGAATAAAAATAAAAAAAGGGTAATCTTTTGATTAGTCCATGGCTCAATGTAGCGTGTACTGCAATTGTATCACGTCAATCCTAAACTCAGAAGAGCTGTTCGTTAATGGCGTGGGCATTCACAGAATGTAGGACAGTATAGATGAACGTCCACTCACCACCTCCCCTTCTTGAAGCCCACTTCTTTCAATCTTCCGACCTCCGTAAAGCCTCTCTGAACATACCAGTCCCTCAGACCCATCCCTTTGGCCTTGCCATCTATATCGACTGCCATGATTGCCAAGAGAGTCTTTACCCTCGCACCCTGTCCACCATCGGCCTCATACCGAACTTCCCGGGTCGGATCGTCTTCGAACTCCCTAGCCAGATGTCTCGTTTCCCCCTGCAGGGAAGACACGATGGAAGAGAAAAGACGGCTCCCTACGCCTTGTGACTGGTGTTCGGGGTGTATGAAGAGTGTAAGTTCAACCGTGGATGCGTAGCCGAGCAAGTTGCCCCTAAATGGTGACGCACAGGCATATCCTATGATCTTTTCCTTGCTCTCTCGCAATTGGTCGATGTGGGCGACATAGAATGGGAGGCCTCTCGATCGCGTACTGTTGTATATCCCTGCTATGTAAGAGAGCGGCGGTTCGTGGATGAGGAAGGTCAGGACGGAATTGTGAACATAGTGGCTGTATATGGCATGGATGCCAGGAAGATCAGAGAGTGTGGCAGGGCGAATAGATACGGAGGACATGGTTCCCTTTGCTGGTAGGATGCTCAGTTGTGGTAAAGTCGAACCCTCTCAACCTTGCCTGTTGCCCTTGCTGCCCTAGTGGGTGTGGGGTGCGCGGGGTACATTGGTGGATATGTACGCACTATAGCACGACGCAAGAGCAGCAACAGTGGTTCAAGTGATAGGACGATTTTCTGATTCTCCTGTGCACAAGCTAGATGCGCACGCCTGCATCAAACTTAAACAGTTCCTCCCACACAATCAAGGCCATGAGAATTGGCTGGAGACCTGCTTCCATTACCAGATTTTCTCGGTCTGCCATATTTCAGCAACATGACTGGCACACAGCTCCCCACAGATTCCCATCGAGTTTGCTGTTGTCCGTTGTCCCATTACATACAAATTGACCGCCCGCTGGAACTTATTGGCTTTCAAATCTGTTTTCCAAAACTAGAAGAGAATATCCTTGTAGACCATTTTGACCAGAGCTGCCTCTGCAGGCCAGGGTTGCAAAAAGCTCTCAAATCTTGTAGGAACCAGCCTGCGTCTTCCCAGTCCATGAGTGCAATATCACAGTCGCACTTTTCTGAGGTATGTTTGCTGGTTTTGCGAACCAGGATATTCTTTTGATAGATGTCAGAGTGCAAAAAGACCAGTGAGTGGCTCGAAATCCGAGAGAGAGAACACTCCTAGAAATCAGATTTGTGGTTGTGTTGCCAATTCAAGGCTGCTTGGCTGCAGAGTTAAGCAGTAACAGCACTGTTCACTTCATTTTTCACGAAGAAAAGGCCTAGATATCCTCCAGTCTAGGAGGTTTGTGTAGAAAAGGTGATGGGGAAAACTGCCTTTGAGAACGCTACCGTAGAACCCAGGGGAGGGTAGAGAGCGCATCTATGGCCTTTAACCTGCACATAATATGCAACTCCTCATCGCCTGAGAGCGTCTTCTAACACTTTAACAAAGATTCACCTTCGAAGAACGCCATAACAGGGAACAGTGAGCCATCCGAATCTTGATACATGGCATAGAGCCGTGGTGCGCGGACAATATTGTGCAAGTGGTGCTCAACAAACAGGAGATTGTGTCCCTCAATTTCATTTGTCCAACGACCATAGTTGACAACAAAATGCAGGCCAACTTGCACAATCATCTACGCAACGCGGTCACCAAGAAATGTCGTGGACGCCCTGATATCTTCCTTACTAGAGGGTGGCCCGGGCAAGTCCTCTGAGCCGCGAAAATATAGGAGCTGTAAGGGCATCCATATCTTGACAGCTGCTTCTTCGAACCACGAGACAGATGAAGTGATGGAAACTATCCCCTCAAGGCTAGTTTTGCACGGGCATCAGTTCCAACGGGATGTGAATTTCCAATGTTTGTTTTGAGACATTCCTGGGGCTTTGACTGAGCAGTGAGTTTGTCACGTGGCCTTTTTTTCTTCTCTGTAGCCTCCAGATCTTAAAAGATTTTGCTGGTGTAAGAATTCACCCATAGACCTCTTCCACAACGAAGAAATAGTATTCAAGAACAACGAGCTTCGTTACTTGCGAGACTTAAGGTTTGTGGGTCCCGTTCAACCATCCATGACGGGGGTTCGGAGATTCGTTGACCCGGGCTTGCCGCTCACCTGATGTGGTCCAGGCCCCCCGCCAGCAACCTTCTTAGCCTTCCCCGGCGGTCACTGCGTCGAAAGCCCGTCTTCCACCAGCGCGCAGACGATGCAAATCATGACGAGATGACTTCCCGCGACCGTTCTTGATGAAAGCTACAGCTCCTAATTTGATGATCCTGACGACTCTTCTTTTCTCAACGCTAATGAATTCTGTGCTGTCTCGCTCCTAATAATATAACTATTTGCTTTTTGGTCCTGTATCATAGCTTCGTGCCCACTTCGCTCTCTCTACTTCTACTTCGCGCTTCTTCTGATTCTAAAGCCTATTTGTTTCCTCCTTTTTAATTACGTTTTCGCACAATGGCTTCTCTAATCCCCCTGACCGAAATTCCAACCATTTCACTCCTCTACCGCCTCAAGCACCTTGTACCCGCAGCCTCCCCGCGCGTCTCGACTCCTTCCCAAATCCTCAATGATACCATCTGCCACATCACCAGTGACATCACAAAGCTCGAGGTTGACTGCATCGTGAATGCGGCCAACAGGTCTCTTCTTGGTGGGGGTGGGGTCGATGGAGCTATTCACCGCGCAGCCGGTCCTGGCCTCCTCCGGGAATGTCGCACCTTGGGAGGCTGCCAGACCGGTGACTGCAAAATCACCGGCGCGTATGGCCTTCCCTGTAAGAAGGTCATCCACACCGTTGGACCTGTCTACTGGACAGAGGTAGAAGTCAACGAGGATCAGCCGGAAAAGCTGCTGCGAGATTGCTATCGACGAAGCCTGGGAATTGCGGCCGAAAATGGCATGAAGACCATTGCGTTTTCGTCCGTTAGCACAGGTATTTATGGATATCCGAGCGCAGAAGCTGCAGATATAGCGATCCGGACCGTCAAGGAGTTTTTGGAAGCTTGCCCGCAGGCTCTGGACAGGGTGGTCTTCTGTACCTTTGAGAAAAAAGACGAGAGAGCATATCAATTGTTGATTCCGTGAGTGGCTCCGCTTTTATCTGCAATTCAACTGTAAATCAATGCTAATCGTAATTGTATTATTAGTCAATACTTTCCTCCTACCCAGTCCGATATCCCGCAGCCCCCAGCCAAGGAGAAGACCCCCACCGCCGAAGAAAACGCTCCTCCATCGCCGGGCCTCGCAGCGAAATTACCCGACGCACCAACCTCAGACCCCGTTAATCCACGGGAACCCGACATTAAGAAACCAAAACTGGAGCCAGATCTAGATCGAGAGGAGGATAAAAGTGAAGATGACTGGGAGAAAGTTGATCAATGCGAGGGCATTGCGTCCATAGAGAAACTCGACGATGATCCGGTTGAGGTGGACAAAGCCCCAACTGCAGCTGATGTTCAGAGTGTGGTCTCTAGTGTTGCAGATTTGGAGTCATCGACGGAAATGAAGCAAAAATAGCGTTCAATTTCTTGTTAATATAGCCTTCGAAACTCCGAACAAAAATTCTGGAAGCGAGCCCTTTGTATGCACCACAGAGTGAGCCCGATAGCCACATTGAAACCATATATTGAAGCTGTAGCCATTGTGAATTAGGAGTAATTGAGTATAGTTAATCTATACATATGTGCGCGCTAGAGCATGCATTGCTGAAGGGCTAACGCGACATATTTCATCGGGGGCTTCGGCGGGCCGAGACGCAACAAATGCAAAACCTGCAAACAATGCAAACACCACGCTGTTGAGCTCATCCAAGGCCTGCGCGGATCTCAAGACAGTGAAGTCCAATTCAACGGAGACTGCGAATTATGTGAGACGGCTGTTATCCCATGTTTGGCTATTAATATGCGTGACATCACGCGCTACATTTCCCCTTTTCACTGACCTATCGTTTTCTTCCGTCCACTCATGTCTTTCCCGTGCCTTCGCAATGCCTTCATCCGATACACCCATTTCCAAACTCTCCGCAGCCACCGTTTTTCTACTCTCTGCGCCCAACTGCACAGTGTAAACCCTCAGAGCCAAATACCCCGCGTTCCCAATGCCTCTTCTCCTCCAAAATCCGGCTCCAGCGGCCCCGGGCCGGGATCAAACTCCGGTTCAAAATCCCGGCCGCGGTCTCCGTTCCTCTTATTCGCGAAAGCTTTCTTTTTGACCCTTATACCCGTTACACCAATCGTTGTCGTGTTCCGTGAGCACATAATCTCTACATACCCCGTGGGAGGGCCATCAATGGCGCCATATCTAAACGCCACATACGGCGTGGAAGATTTGGCTAGGGAGACCGTCGTGGTGAGCAAGCTCTTATGGCTACGAAGCACCAGGCATGGGAAGGAAGGCGGCATTGGCGACGAAAACTGGAAGGGTCTGCATAGGGGGATGGTGGTCATGTTTCGATCGCCGCGAAATCCGGAAGTCCTGGCCATAAAGCGCATCATCGGCTTACCGGGCGACGAAGTCACACCTCGGCCTGCACCGCTGTCTTCTTACTCCGTCCAGTTCCCTCATCTTCCGGATTCTATTCATCCGACACATCCACAGATCGTCCCGTACAATCATGTCTGGGTAGAGGGTGACGCGAATGATACTAGTAAGAGTCTAGATAGCAATACTTACGGTCCCATTAGCATGAATCTAATCACAGGTCGGGTCGTTGGTGTGGTCTGGCCATGGGAGAGGAGAAGGATGTTGAGATGGGAGCTGTGGGACCCCGCAGCGAACGTTCCCGACATCGACGTGAGTGACGTGCCTGAACTCGAGTGGGAAAGAGAAGCCGGCGGGGAAGCTGGAAGAAGCCAGCGGATGAGAGTGAGGAAGAGTGTGATTTCTGTTGAGGCACCATTTGTTTCTTAAATAGACGGGGTTATTGATATAATAAGGCTGGGTTTAAAGCATAAATTTTGGTTAAGATACTCGATGCAAGGCAGTTGGATCGGATGGCTGTTATCTTTGGAATGTATCATATGCATGTATGTATTGTACAATATATATATAACAGTGAAGATAAGCAAGTGACGACCGAAAGATGTGCGACTGATGAAGTCGCTATTACAAAATATATATACAATGCAATCCTCAACCCTAAAAATGGCAATACACAGGCTAATTCAACAGAGACTTCACCCCTGGGGTATTTCCAAATCTCTCTAAAGCAGCTCAGCTGGTTTAGCTCATAGAATAGAAACACAATGAGCGAGTAGAAACAAGCTTCCGGACGCCAGAAAATGTGATGGTTTTCAAATACACGGCGATTTCACGATCCTCAAGTCCTCCTGCTGCTGCAGTCGATCGATCTCCGTCGCAATCGCCAGCACCCATAAATCCCTTTCCGCTCTACTCCTTGCTTTAAATACAATCGCCTTCCCAGGAACCCCCAGAGCAGAAACCTGTTTCCATCCGCTCCTTTTAGGTTTTCCTTTTTTGGTGAGTTCACCTCGAAACAGGGCCTTTCTTGTGGCATGCCAGATAACAAAGCATGTCGCAATGTCTTCATCGGAGGCTGTCCATCCGTCCTGAGTATACATCCTTGGCCGTTCCAGCTGACTGGGGAGGTTACTGTCGAACGTTTGCTGTTGGTATAGGAGGTCCGAGGAGGTGATTATCCCGCTATATATATAACAATCCCGCAGATCGAGCACGGCCTGTCGCGAACGATATATATGGGGGAATTGCTCGCCTGTCCACCGACGCAGAGAGCTCTGGAAAATGAGAAGTTGGCCTTCAATGAGCAAGACGCTACAATGTGTAAATGCCCCATGGCGGCGTGGTTTGCGATATAGATTCCCAGACATCTGGCATAGTTCAGTTAAATACTTCCCAAGTATAATTGGCAGGAAACATCCTACCTTTATGGGCCGGCACCCCGACATCCCACATGCGTGAAACAACTCCGAGGATGCTTCCGCCCTTGAAACCTCCCATTTCTGAGCAAACTGGCCTAGCATAGACTCTTGTGCCTCGTCGATTTCAAGTCGTTTCAGGTTCCGAGAACGGATATACTTTAGAGTAGCTATATCCTTTTTCGTACGCGCTTTCCAATAGTCCGAAAGCTCGGTCAGCCGTCTAATCCACTCCTGTCGTGTCTGCATGTTATAGGTTCGAAATAAGACAACTAGCCCATCATCCAACACGATTTCAAACGAACGGTCTTCCTTGGTTTCGTGCCTCGCGCCATGGACAGCTTTACCCCTTTCTCCGTGATATTCAACATCCCCTGCGTTAGCATGTTGCTCCTCCTGCGAGGTCTGCGAAGAAACAGGACGTATTTCTGCTACTCTGCACATATTAATATAGCCCTCAGTGTTAGCTGCATTCTTCGTAATTCGACGGTTTTCTGCGAAAGCTTCCGCATCGTGACTTTTCGCATATTCTTTGCGTCCCACGGTAAGCCAAGTGACCTTTCCGTTATTTACGGGGAAAGGGTCCACATCATAAACGATCGGAGTCTCCCTTATGATCTCAGCGGACGTGGGAATGTTTCTGCTAGTGATTGTAGGAAGACTGGGGGGGGCCGGGGGAGTTGCTTTGCCGGGTTTGCAGAAACATAGAAATTGATCCTGGGTATAAAAGTAAAGCCTTTTAAAGAAATTCTTTCCTATCAATCTCTGCCGTCCCCTTTGAGATGTGAGGAGTATCAAGAAGCCTTCTGTTGGTGCCGGCTCTTCAACCTTGGGGCCCCCTTTTTGTAACGTCGTCGATGTAGGATAATGTTGTTTGGGGCGCAACTCCAGCTCATGAGTCGTTCGCATGGCCATTGTTCCATACATTCTCTGCTCATTTGGCCCTTGAACCCATTCCAGGCGATCGTATCGTCGCCAGGCAAGGCCCATTTTGGCGGATTTACCCCACATAGCCAGTATCTTATTCCATTCGGAGCATTCCGATAGAGTGTTCAGGCATGTTTTTATAATGCCCGAGGCAATAGCTCTTTCCTCCTTCATTGTTCTTAGCACGGCGGAGCAAACATCGTCGTCTTCGTTCTGATTCATTCCAAGATGTGCGAATGGATTCTCCAAACGCAATGTAATATCGAGATCAGGAACATGTACAAAAAGAATTGACGGTTGTTTCCACCCGAGGGCGCCACGGATAAATGTATACCATTCAACCGAATGAGCCGATGACCTGGGCCGCATTATGAAAATTTGGGTCTCAGGTTTAAATCGATGCCAGACTACTAATGTCTTATCAAGAGTTGAAAAAAGGTTCACTTTGGTATGGCTCCGTACGATCGGAATCTCATAAGACCACTTCTTCTTCATATCGGAAGTTTGGACCTGTGGAATCACGCGAGTTTTATAAAACTGTAGAAGAAATGGTGTATCGTCTTCGCATCCCTCGCGACATACAACCAGGAACTCTCTCCATTTTGAGACAACTTTAGTGTCAATTTTGATACTCTCATTCTCATTATAATCGTCTGGAACAGTTTGAGTAGTGCTTTCGATACGAACGAGCATTCTCTCAGCTCTCACAATCGCGCCACACCGGCTGGCTTGCCTTTGCTTCTTTGCGGTGGATTCTAGCTCACTTGCGGTCCTAGTCAGCCTCTTTTGCAGTCGTCGTTGTCGATCATTAATGCTGTCCTCGATATTAAACCGAACGATACCAGGAGCAAGGCGTCTCATCAGCCGCCTAGGACGGCTTTTATTTCGTGAATCCTCCTGTTCGACAAGTGATGGCTCTTCATGACGAAGACGAGGTGATGACAAAATCGAAGGAGATCTATCGTTGATGGATTTTCTCCCTGATAGTAGATATGTTTGTGAAGTAAAGTTAGTCCTTGAAGCGGTTTCTCCGGTCGCAGATGGTATAGACGGAGTTAACGATTGTCCATGCGGAGACATACGTCTGCTGATAACTCTTGTTGACTCGGTATTCTCATTAACTCCATAATTACCGGATTCTAGAGACTCTTCACTTATTGGCGAGGTGGCACTCAATATCCGAGATGCATTTTTATGTGACTCAGGTGCGGAGTAGTACGACTCATGAATTTGGCTAGAGGACGGCGGATTCGAATCTGGATCAGATTTGCTTGATACTGAAGCTGGTTGCGGCTGAGAAGTTGAGGTAGGCGTTACAGTTGATAATTGGGAATGCTCCGCGGTTAATTCAGAAGTAGGTTCGGGGGGCGGCTCCTGAGCTGGTTCCGGCCCATATCGATAGGGCGTTTCGTGTGCGGTATCAGCAGTGGTTATGGCAGCGGGTTCGACCGTGGCTCCAGTCGCTACCAACTCCTCTTCTTCAGCTTCCTCATCAACGTCTTCCGGTTGAGGAAAGCTTTGTCTGTACATTGCCGCGGTAGAAGGTCCAAACAGCCCCGTTAACTGACGTTGATGGGCAAGATTTATATCCGCAGAGAAGGTCGCTGTCCGAGAGGAGTAATCCTTGAGCCCAAGCCATGATTTATACCACGACTTACGATGGCTGGACAACCATCCTTTCGGGAGAGGGCCGATGAATAGCCGACGACTGGTGACATGCAAATGCTCAGGGGAGGCATGTTGCTACGCAAACATTAACAACAAGCGCCTACTAATGTGATGGAATTATGTACATACCAATCTTTGTGCAGTGTATGACTCTGAATCTAGGCTGTGATATTCTTCCCGTGGGAAGCGTCGCCAGCAAGTTGGCACTGGCTGCTCACAAGGCCGCTCTCCACTCATTTCACATGGTTGGGGGGGTTCCGCAGAAAGCCTTTGGACTTAAAGTAGGGTTGGACTTGTGTAAGTGGCACAATTGTCAGAAATATATATATCAACAGAATCCTCGTGCTGTCTGTCTTAGCTAGAGGGTGTGACCAGGGTCTTCTTGCTCCTCAATCACGAACCACAGGGTCCTGTGCGATGACGTCGATCGAATGGGAGAAGACAGCGTTTGGCGTGTTTGCATACTTTGCATTGTTTGACTGGGCGCCACCAGTCTGTTTGGAGTGTTTGCGTGTTGATACCCCTCAGTCTAGATCCCCTCGTCCAGCTGGGATGACAAGAAGCACCTCAATTCCCACGATCTACTCGACTTCACCCCCTCGAATTTTTGTTTACCTTTCAATTTCGTTTGATAGAAACAGTGTAAAATGGCTTCTGCTGCTGTGATTCCCGCCGACGGCACCTGGTTCGACACTATCAGGAGGTCATTCGCCGATGTCCCAATCAACGACAACGGTATTTCCACAACGGAGTTCCTCGAGGCTGCCGAAGCTTTGGTGATGCTATTTGGTTCGTAACACTGAATAATATGCTTTTGCTGCAGCTCACTTATAGATAGACCTCCTTGGCTCCGTCGCATTCACTCCGGTAAAGAACGACTTGCTAGGCAACATCAAGGTGGGTTTAGCACGGACTCGCGATCCTCAGCATTTCATTGACCATTTTGCATGATAGAAAATTCGTGACCGCCAGTTGGCAGCTCCAGCAGAATCCGAGACTCTTCAGCAACTTGTTGTGAACGAACTCAAGACTGGAAAGCACACGGCGACTGAAGGCCTGCTATGGCTGGTCCGGTACGTCCTTCAAAACTTCGGCGTAATCCTTGGAGTCACTTCACCTAACATTCAAAATCTCTGCAGTGGTCTCGACTTCACTGCCCAAGCCCTCCGCCTCAATCTTTCCGATCCTGCTGCTGAACTTTCTACTTCTTTCCGTGCTGCATACGGCACTACCTTAAAACCACATCACGGCTTGCTTGTCAAACCGATTTTCAGTGCTGCCATGTCCGCAACTCCTTATAGAAAGGACTTCTATGCCAAGCTTGGTCAGGACGCTACCAAGGTCTCAACTGCGATGAACGTCGAAATAACTGCTTTGGAGAAAGTAGTAGGAATCCTCCATGAATTCCTTAAAAGTCCAGCAGCCAAATGGTGATCTGGTGTCGTTTTCAATCCTTCATGCGACTGGCAGAGGGCAACTATACCGCTCAAACGCGTCCGCCAACCTTTTCATTTGCGGCGAATTGCTGGATGGGATATTCCAGCACACATCTCTCATAAATGATGCCGTAGACAACTAAAAGACATAGAGTCATCAGTTGATATGTATAAGGCTAAGATACAGGCATATACGGATATACCTCTGAATATACAAATATCTCAGCGCCCAGCACCCCTCCCAAATGAATGAGAACCATTTAGTTCGCATTCAGCCGATACAATTAGGATAACAGCCTTCAGTAGTCGTAAAAGAACCCTGGGTTGTGGCGTCAGGGATATCCTCGTATCTAAGCCCGCTTCCACCCGGTTGAAGCCCACGGGCAATAACTTTAATAACGTAGACCCATCATGCAGGGCACACCTTTCCGTTCCATCCTGCTTCAATGCAACTATCAGCGCCGAAAGCCAGAACTCAAATACTCGGCTCCCGTTTAATAACACGTTATAGTAGCGATGCTCTCTGAACGTGGAGTTAGGGTCGCCTTAATTCTCAAGGAGCCGTGGAAATTTCCTCCTAGCGAAAGCTCCTTGTACGATAAAGAGAAAAATCCGAACGGAATCATCTCACTCGCGACCGCAGAGAATGTTGGTATTTCAGATATGCTATATCGCAATGCATCCTTTAATACTAACAAAAACCGGCATCCTGCATCCAGTTCTTGGTCCATGATACATTAGAGGAATATATAAATAGAAATGTATATATACACTATGCCCCGAAGAACTCAAGAGTAAAGCTTTCCTTCTAACAACCTGGGCTTTAGATATCCATTCCCAAAGCCGCATTTACATATGCGTACGGTAGCCCCTATTGCGCTGCGCTCACTGTTCCTATCGCCAGGCATATAAACACCCATTTCAAACCTTGCACTCCCATCTCATCGTCGCATATCGTCATAGCCAACGGCGTCACTGCGGTGAACGACTTGTTGGGCTATGTACTTGCTGATCCCAATGATGCTATCATGATTAATCGTCCCATTTATGGAAAGTTTGGGCTCGACTTTGGATGCCGAGGGGACGTGGGGGTAGTCTATGCCGATACAGAACCGTTGGAAGTGTTTAGTGTGGATGTAGTGAAGAAGTATGAGGAAGCGATTGTGACGGCAGAAAAAGGAGGAGTGAAAGTCCGCGCCATGCTGATAACCAACCCGCACAATCCTTTAGGTACGTAGCACTTTTTGTGATTGCTAGAATTTTCTTGGAGCCTTTGCAACTTAGCGAATAGGTGGAAATCTCATCAAGTTGTTAGGGCGTTGTTATCCACCGGAAACATTGAGGGAGTTGATGCGCTTTTGTCATCGGCGAAATATTCATTTCATCAGCGATGAAATATATGCACTCTCTGTTTTCGATTCCGGGGAAACAGGTACTATTCCATTCACTTCAGCACTGGCCATCGATCCAACGGGACTGCTGGATGAGAATTATATTCATGTCATGTATGGAATGGCCAAGGTCTGCATCCCGCCTCCAATGTAGCAAATCGTATCGATGCTAATATCTAAAAGGACTTTTCTGCCCCTGGGCTCAAGCTAGGTTTCTTAATCAGTAAAAATGCAGATGTCCGAAAGGGCGTAGCCTGTGCTAGGTGAGTAAACCTCTCAACTGAATCATTGATTCCGGTGCTCATCCTTCTGTTTAGTCGATTCGGGAGACCCTCGGGAGTGTCGATCGCAATTGCTTCTCAGATGCTGAATGATGAGGCATTCGTCTCCTCATATCTTTCCCTATGTAGAGAAACGTTGGCCCGAACGTACAAATTTGTCACCGCCCTGCTTCGAGAGAATAATATTCCGTATTTACCCGGAAGGTGATGCGACATCCCCGACGATATAACCCACCCCTTGCCATATGAAATAGGACATAGTACTGATAAGAGACTAGCAATGCCGGTTACTTCGTCTGGATTGATCTATCGGCGTTTATTCCGCCGACCACAGAGCAAAAGCCGATGTCAAAAACTGACCGTGAGATTGCACTCGCCGAACGTTTCGTTGAAGCAGGTGTGTTTCTTCAGCCCGGTGACGAACAATCCTACACACCAGGGTGGTTTCGACTTGTATACACTCACGAAGAGGAGATCGTGACAGAAGGAATTCGAAGGTAATCGATTAGTTTCCTTTTAGCCCTGCAAAAGCTTTTCACCCCTTCTTAGTGCTAATGAGCGTAGGTTGGTTTCAAGCCTAAAGTCTCTGGAATGGTTGTCGAATGCGAACTTGAATTGAAACTTAAGATAAATATGGTTCAGTAAGATTGAAGAACATGCGACATACGCGCGACGAGCCTGGTGGGATCTTTTGAGACCAAATTGAAAAGATAACTTGTAAACCAAACGGCAGCCTAAGTTCACTCGTTACAGTTAACGTACTAGTCGGTCATGAGATTCTCTTCATCCAAGGGAGGTTGCACCACAAACCAAGGAAATGCGATGAAAATGAATCGAAATGGTTCCTTTGATCCGTCAATAAATCCCCTGCGCCAGTTCCAAAATGCCAAGTTTAGCCTTCACCGCCATGCCTTTAAATCGCGTGTATGTGCATAGAGATCGGTGGAAATATACAGCGTAACTCGCACCAATTCAACCAAGGCCTCTAATCTATGATGTTTCTAATGCCGTCCTTCGAATTGCCGCAAACACAGCTCTCCTTCTAAACTTGAAGGACCAAAACCGCTAGTTTAGTGAAAGGATGTCGTTAAGTCGCAGTCCATTATAGAGAAACGCCTTCTAAGTCCCTCGTAAGGACAGCCATCTGCGCCCGCTTCGCTGCCTCGGCCACGAGACTAAAGTCTTGCAGGAACGGAGCTGTGGCGGTCGGTCCTCCTTTCTCCTGTGTGGAGGGACGTCCGCCTTGAGCTGCTCCTCGATTCTGGGAGAACCCGGATTGAGGTTGTTGAGACTGGCCCGACCGCGTCAACGACGTGTTGGATGACGGGAAGCTGTGGGAGCACATATTTGCGGACATGAAGGGGGATTCATCGGCTGGAAAGGGCTGAGGTTGGGTAGACATGAGCTGCTTTGCAGTAATGAGCCCGTTTGCGTGTATGAACGACTCGCGTGCTTGGTGAACTGTTCGCAGCCACAAAAGGGATAATGTCGCATTCGACTAGTTACACGATTTCAAGGAAGCGACAGTAGTTATGAACGTTGATTTAGAACTCATTGAGACAGAGAAGGCCTCAAGGACGAGAGCAGCTGTTTATAAAGAAGAAAGGAGAAAGAAAAAGAAAGCAGTGATCAGCCTTCTCAAGCTTAGTGCGGGGGTAGAGGCTGAAAAGGTGGCAGATCATAGCCGTTGGGGTGAGCACAGGTCAAGGGACCCTGTGGAATTCAATGATTCATGGACAGCTCCGGGGGGCCAGGGCCGAAGATGAGGATTGAGTTAGTTAACCGAGCTGGAGTTACCAATTTATCTGTTTTGGCGATACAGTTGAACCGACATTTGAAATGCCAGTACGGAGTACTCCGTACGTAGCACTTTCTTGCATTCCCTAACACAAACAATGATGGCATTCCATCCACAGCATGTAGTCCGTGCTCTATACGGAGTACAGAGGAGAAAGACAGATCCAAAACCGACGGAGGTGTGGAACAGAAGTCTTTCTCCCCCTTGGTTAGCTCTGTACTCCGTACCCCGTACAAAGAAAGCTTGCCCCTTTTAAGCGCCCAACGCTCGATGAGGAGGAGCTTGGCGCTGGTAAGGCTTGGCGTAATATCCATGAAATTCGCGGTCACCTGTTCTGCACAAATTGCGGGGTCGGATCATAGAAGATCCGCTCCGGTTCCAGATGCAGCCCATCAGGTTGGTGGGCAGTGCTCCGTAGAGACCTCAGGAAGAATTGAGTCCATCCTCTAGGTGGTTGGCCTCTTGATGCCAACTTTGTAACTGGGACGGAGTGTTTCGTACCAGTCAGTACGGTATGGACGCAGAGCAACTGGTATAACGGGAGAAGGGTCTTTTATTGTCTTCTTATACCCCCTCACTCGCTCCGTATTATCTGCTGGGCAGTTGTCTTGTCCTCTGGTAACAACAATGCACAACTCTCTCATCGAATGGCTACGCAGGCACAATCGCAAGCGCAAGCAAAAGCGCTTGGATCGGCTAGCGGAGCCGCCGATGCCAACGCTTCTGGCGGAGCGCGAACCCGCCCCCTAACCTCAACCCCTTGCTTGCCTTCAGCAACAGCCAACAGTGCCCTCTTTCAGCGCGTTCCTCCAGAGATTCGGCGGCTCATTCTGGTTGAGGCCTTTGGAGGATCTCCAATGCACTTTGACCTGCGTTTATTGCATCCTTTGAAGAAACACCCGCCAAAGCGTTCCGGGACACATGGCCACTCAGCACCCGATGACTTTGCACCTCGCCAGTGGCAGTGGTGCAGCTCTGTATGCCATAATGTGCACCATGGTTACGCACTCACTTCGCCAGGCTACGAATTCTTTGACCTGGACGACCTGTCATTTGGAGGCCAGCTCATGCTGTGACGCCTGGCCAGGCAAAATGCCTATGAAGTGTCTCATTGGTGCCATGGGTTGGCTCTTGACATGTCCGCAGGCATATGTTGAGGGTGTTGAGGTGCTCTACGGGACAAACCGGATACGCATTGAAGGAACATATCTACTGCGTCGGCTACCGGACCCCCTGTTGCCTCAGCGTCGTGCTGCGATTAGGTCCGTTCAGCTATATTGGAATATTCACCCGTGGCTCGATAGTCCAGGCTCTCGTAAAAGGGAGAAATATCCCTCCTGGCTCTGACATTGAAGGATTCATCTCATTGCTCAATATTTTCCCTGAAGTGTTGCCCAATATCACGTTTCTGTACCTCTCTTTACAGGGGAACTTGGGGTTTCCTGCCGTGGACAGACGAGGAACAAGTGAAGGAGATGAGATGACCATCAATGCAAGCGAAGAACTGCTACAGCTGGTTGATCAGATGGTCGTAAAGCTACATCGTCTCTCACATTGCCACATCTCGCTGCCGACTAGCTACTTCCGCGCACTCAATTTCAAGGAGAATGGAATACGTTTCACTCCGCACAATTTGTTTTCGCAAGAGCCGCTGTGGCGGGTTCTTCCGGTTCAAAATGATTCGCAGCAGGAGGAGGGAGCACGACCTGTGCTCAAAGGCTACTGGATACGTCCGGGAGAGCATGATTGGTATCATCCACAAGATTACATCCCGGGGCAAGTGTTGAGACTTTGAGGGTGCATCGAGCTCAGTTCCTTGAGCTGAAAATACCCTTGGATAGTTGGAGATTAGAAGATAGCAACATTAATAGCGAATTTGTACAGAGTACATTGCAATAAATAATAGTTCTCACTCGGAGAATCTTGAGGAGGGACGCTGAGAGAAGAGAAGTTTCTAAATGTATAAATTCAATAAATTTAAGATCCAAGCTACTTTAATAATTAAATAAGCAGTACGCCGTAGTTAGGTAGCTCTTGAATGAAGCTGTAAACGTAGGTCCCCCATATAGGCTTTTATTTTTCTTTTGGACCAAGCACAACAGTCCCTCTGGCTGAAGCTTGGCAAAAAGCAACGGGGCGCTGGGAATCCATTGGCGCTCTCAAAAGTGATTTATAGTATTTCGGTCTGTCTCAAAAAAAAAAAAAAAAATTGCCGTGGAGTTGGGCAGTTAAACAGTGTAGAGGTAACCCATGGAAGCTTGGATGTTCCTTCTCGCGAATGCTTCATGCAGTGTACTCTCTGTCTGCGATCTCGTAAGGATTAACGGCCCAGCAAGAGGTCCGACTTCTAATGCCCATGGCGGGGGCTCTTCCTTCAAGAAGTTTTCTCCGAGCTGAGAGTCATCCATGGAATTTCCTCGCCGGAGGCCGAGCTCTAGCCGCCAGTTGAAAGCATTCACTAGGGCTTCGGCCATGCTAGCCAGTATGGCGTACCGTATTCGGTCATTGTCTTTTTGGATCGGGAACTCGTGAAAGGTGCTACCGCGCCTCAGCATGAGAAAAGAAATATTCGCATTCATAGCCCATCATAGTCAAGTTATCTACGCAAGGGTCTTCATGGAGGCTGTAGAGGGATCGCAAAGGCGCGTCGCGAACACGGAAAAAGGGGGATTTCATACATATAGTTGAGACAGGCCAACCTGTCTCAAATGCAAGAGCTCGCCATTTTTCTGAAGGTCGGGGAGTGGTAGCCCTGAGGGCAGCGGGAAACGCCAAGGGTAGGGTTGAAGAAACTTCTACAATAACCTCCATGAGTTCGGACAACGGCGAAGGCGATTGAAAGAGACTCGGATTTTCAGCGGGGAGGCGCTTTGAATAAACATTTGAGGTGCCATTGAACAAGTCTATCAACATGTGAATTTTTAACTTTAAGCAGCCCGTTGCCCAGGGATGGGATTTGGCGGAAGTTCACCACACCTCAAGCCCAAAAAAAGCCCCGCAGAGCCTCAACGGTGGGCACAAAAAAATTAAAAAAAAAAAAAAAAGAAAAGAAAAAGGTAATTCCTCGATGTCGAGGATTGTGTAATTTAACCATTCTTGCCTATCCTTCTGTGATTCCTTCCACCCGCCTTCATGTCATCCAATACCGAAGATAATGAGAATTTCGGCCTCGGTGCCGTCTTCCAAGAACCAGAGGGCTTTCTCCCGCCTCCAAAACCCCCCACATTCGCGGAGCATCGCATGCTCTCCGGCGAAACTCTGAGCATACGACTTGTCGGTGATCATCCGCTTTATGTACATACGAGCCAGATGTTCCACGTCCCAAATTCTCTTACTTCTTGAACTTTGCAGCTGACAATTTTGCCTTGAGAGGGCTACCTACTTTGGAACGCCGGCAGGATAGTATCAGATTATCTCGAAACCCACGCGGAATCATGGATCCAAGGCAAAACCATGTTCGAACTCGGCGCTGGCGCCGGCCTCCCCAGTCTAGTCTGCGCGATTAAAGGCGCGAAAACGGTCGTCGTGACGGACTATCCGGATCTAGACCTGATTGCCAATCTGCGATATAATGCCACTGCCTGCGAGGAATTGATTCGCGCCAGCTCGCCGTTTCCGTGTTCTTTGCGCGTAGAGGGATATCTATGGGGCGCTGATCCAGCCAACGTTTTGAGCCATCTAGAGTCTCCTGAGGAAGGCTTCGATGTGCTCATCCTCGCCGACGTGATATATAACCACCCTCAGCATCACAATTTAATAGCTAGCGTGCAGAAAACGCTTAAAAAGTCAAGAGATGCTGCCGCATTTGTTGTATTTACGCCCTATCAGCCCTGGCTGTTGGACAAAATCGCTGCTTTCTTTCCCAAGGCTGAAAGCAGTGGGTTCCAAGTGACGAAATTGTTTGAAAAAGTATTGGATAAGCTCTTATTCGAAGAGGACCCTGGAGTGAGTCTCAATGTCGTCCTGCCAGCTTCGCAGGGCTAACCAAGCTTTTAGGATGAGACACTTCGACGAACTGTATTCGGTTATGAATTAAGGTGGAAGCAAGAGGAATTGGAAAGCTGATTCAAGAATTTAATGGGGGCGATGGAATAATTGGCCAGGGGTAGTATATGAACCCGCGGGTCTAATTCGATGAATCTCTTCGCGCAAAGGCACAAATCAGTGATTTCTTATATCATTATTTCATTGAAGAGCGCCATGGGTTCAGCTGTGCTATTCTTGACATTTTGAAATAGTATGAGGCTTGGAGGGCACTGATGTATAAGCAATAGTTTCTCACCAAGCATGCAAGCCATTTGAGATGGCAGAGACATAACGGAGAAGTCAAATTCGCCATGGAGGCGGTTGCTGTTTTCCATGCGGGACCTTAACCCCGTACTTCAAGTCCTCAAGACCCCAAACTTCCTTTAATGATGGTAAACACGACTTTTTGGTTTCAATCAACTCCGAGACTTTGGAGATGTGAAAGGCACAACTTCCTGAACGATAGCCGCGTATGGAGAGAAATTGTAAATTTGGAGGAAGAATACTGGCCAGCTTGAACTCTGCAGGAGCAGGAAAATCCGTTAATATTTTAGGGTGTCCAAGCAATGACTGAACGCCTATATGAAGGTGGGTCAGCGCAGCGAGTTGCTTTAGGGATGCAATGATTCCCGGTAGATACACAGGGACGCCGCTTCCTAGCTTTTGGAGACATTCATCTAACTCATGCTTGTGTCCGAAGCGTATCACTCCTCGTGTGATGTCCATAACGTTACTATCCAAGTCAAGATCCAACAGACGCAGTGTATCTTTATGGTCGAAGAGGGCCTGCTTCAACTGTAAAGGTTCGAGGGCGGTGAAGTTACCACGATCAATCAGTTCATCTGGCGACTTGATGCCTGTTGAACAAGCGAACTCGTTAAGGGTCTTGAAATGTTTAATGATGTTAGCGAGGAGGCGAGAGGTCATGCAAGATGATTTAATGTAAACTTTTCGGAAATTTGACGACCTAGGTGCCAGGACGCGCTGTTCACGCTGTGGAGCTTTCATGCAGCTCACCACGAGTTTCTCGACATTTGGATACCTTTGGAACAATTTCAAGCTATTGAGTAGGTAAGTTTCGAATGTCTCAGGTAAAAATTTGCTGCCAATATGAACCTCTCGAAGGTTCTGCAGGGAATTCATATTTTTCAGAGGCCTCATGGCGTTGTCGCTAGCATTCTTCAGAACAGACCGAAGGAAAGATTTGGTGGACAATCTACAAAGCTTTAGCTTTTCAAGGTTTGGCGAAAGCGTCATAAATGCAATCGCAAATGATTCCAAAGCAGCGGGTGCTGAAAGACCTGGAGGTCCCTGGCGGCAGGGTCTCGAAAAAGGAGTTAGCAGAGGCCTCTGCAGAATAACATAGGTAGAAATTTGTGCCACAAATTCATACATTTGTATCCAGGAGAGCAGCATTTTTAGTCCCGTTTCATCAGTCACACCGGCGTCATTGAGAAAGGGGATGATAGGTTGAAGCTCCCTATACGCATTCTTGTCTTCCGGAGCAGTTTCGGGTAGACGTGCAATGGGTGCAAAACCAGACGCTGTGGGCCAGATGTATACCTCAATTTCACGGACATATAGCCGCAATCTCGGTTCTCTGAGCATCCGAAGTAGCAACCAATAAGCCCGTACATAGCAAAGGTCGCTCTGCAAACATATCCGATGATAATATCGCCGCTCTGTGATATCGATGACATGGTGAAGGTAGCGACGTACTAAGGCGAGGGATATAATATCGTGAAGAGCCTCCAAATAGGCCACGATTTTGAGGATGAGCTCTGAGGGTAAGTTACTAAAAAAAGCCATTTTTTGTAAGATGGTTGCAGCTCTTTTCTATGTCAGGGCGGAGTGAGGGACATTGAGAATCTCGAAATTGAGAAATCAATTCAAGGTAAGAGAATTTGGGAGTGAAAAATCCTATAAAATAGCAAGGTCCTTGAATGGTGCCATCATCCATGATGGACTGTGATCTACTAGGTACTCCATATATGTACAGAATTCCATCAATTTTCCGCGGAAACCAGCAGAAGAACCATCTGGCCCACCTCGCTCAGGGGCAAAGTTCCGCTCCGTGCCAAGAGCCCGTTGTTTAGCTATTAGTTAGTTAACTGGTTGGTTGGTTGGTTGTTAGTTAGTTACATAAGCTGCGCGCGCGCTCGACTCCGCCGAGACGAAAAGTCCCGCCCGTTCCAACCAACCCCGCCATCCCCGCGCCGTTCTCCGCTCGACAGAATGCCAGTGAGTCTTGCTTGTACCTGGGCAGCCCAGAGATTTTCCTCACACATCTTCTAGCTCATAATCCTAACCGGATACCCGTGCTCTGGTCTTACCTACCGGGCCAATCAACTCTCCACCCTGCTTGAAGACCTCCAAAACCGCCTCCACCCTCCATCACAAGCTTCCGAAGAGGTACCACAAGTACAACAGCAAAAGGGTCGCTATAAGATTCACATTGTCACATCGCATGATGTTTCCCATCCGCGAACGGTTTATGATGCGGCGCGTTCTGAAAAGGAAGCCCGCGCCGTTGTGTACGGGCGGGTGAAGAGGTTACTGGGAAAGGATAGCATCGTAATCGTGGATGGGATGAACTACATCAAGGGGTGGAGATACCAACTGTGGTGTGAGAGTAAAGCGGCATCGACGACGTGCTGCGTGGTATGACATGCTTTGTTGTTTGAGGAAGGAAAAAAGCTGACACAGCGGTGATATCAAGGTGCACGTTGGAACGCCGATAGATCAGTGCGTCAAGAATAACGAAGCACGTCTCCAGAAGGTGCAGAATGGGGATGATGAACTGAAGCAAAACTCGCAAGGGCCAACGTCCCAGAGCGCCGAGGAGATTCCTACGGCGAAGGTGACATATACCCACGACGATGAACCCTATCCGCCTGAACTCTTACAAAATTTGATCTTCCGCTTTGAAGAGCCGTCCACGTCAAGTCGCTGGGACAAGCCACTATTTACTGTTCCTTGGTCCGATCCCACACCACCTATAGAATCAATTTGGGCTGCATTAACGGGCCAAACAATATCCAACGCATCTACTGCCTCCTCTTACCTCACCATCACGTCTAACCCTTCGAGTCTTTCAGAGCAAAATTCATCTACATCAGTCCGCGACACTGCTTCCACGGCAACTACGACGCCGCGCACCCGCGTCTCTCGCCCCAAAATCGTTCCTCATCAAGCAACGATGCAACCACCCACCACCGACCCCGGCGCCCTTTACGCCCTCGAAAAGCGCACATCCGAGATCGTCACTCACATACGCAATTTCACCCAAACCCACCCTACAATTTCCTCTCTCGGTGTCTCGAGTACACTGACCGACCAAACAGCCCCTGGGATATCCGTCCCTATCCCAGACATCTCTATACCCGTATTTATTCCTAGCACTGCTCTCGCTGCATCACCAACAGAAGAACTTGCTGGTGCAGGAGGAGTATTGGCGCTGCCACGACTTCAGAGGCTAAGAAGACAATGGGTGGGAATGAACCGGGCGTATCTTGGGCAAGGCCATGGGAAAGGTCCGGGATCGATGGGATCAGAGCAAGTAGGCGAGGCGTTTGTGCGATTTTTAAATGGCGAGTTTGAGGGGGTGGAATAAATAGGAATAACGGAGGAAACGGATAGTTATATCCGCATTTAATGAAAACAGAACAGCATTGGAATCGCGACCATGTCCATTCGAACATAATCGGCGGCGGGAAAATCTTGGTACACAAAAAGAGCGGTTCTTTCAAAAATATATTACAGTACGAAATGAGGTGCAACTTCATATTGTGTCCATTCTCTACTTTATCTTACCAAGCTCTGGGCTATCACATCTAGTTCGCCCTGATTATTTCTTTCCTGTATGCCCGTTCAAATGTCTGAGCAGCGGCAAAAGAAGCCCGTTGAAAACAACAAAAATCATATTTCTTCATTTGCAAGTCCATATGCAAATAAACTTAAGAGCTAGAGAATCCTATGTAGCTCTGATATGGCAAGTCCATCCAGATAAGATATCCCAATCCAAGCCATTTCCCGCAAAGTCACCCAGTAATCACAATGCCACATACATACACAGCAAGTCGATAGTTACATCCGCCCCGAGGACACGCACCAAATATGAAAAAAGAATATAAATAGAATCCCCTTTGCCATACACAGCCATCCACTTGATAGTCGTGATTTCTTTTCACCGTCAATCGCAATACATGAAAACACTGATAAAGTAAGACACTTCTTGAAAAAGGCAAGACAAACAAAAGGGATTCGTATCATCGTAATCCGGTCAAATATCCTTTAAAACGTTTTTGCCATATCCCTAGGCAGGAGAAAATTGGGCCTGTTATCCGCATTCGTCGAGAAAGAAACATTTTTTTTTCCCCTAGAGGTCCCGGATGCAATCCATAAATCGGGCCGTGGGAGAGTCCAAAACTGGGTCGAAACCGAAAGAAAAACAAAATAGAAAACGCCGATACTGATCATACAAAAAACACATGTGTAATAATCACCAGAGAAAAGTAATTCCGAAAGATGTTTTTAGGTGGGACTTATGAGGAGCTCCCGGATCCTCTCTTCGTCGCCAATTGGCTAGCCTTGATATATCGATAATTCAACGCATGGGTATGCAGTTCCTGAAGCCTTGCATTAATACGCTCATGCATTGCTGGGTCCTGAGGATTGATGTTATCGAGATCTTTCTTGATCTCTGACAAGCAAGCATTATAGTTCTTCTCCGCATTCTGAAGCTGCTGGTCGGTATGTGCTTGGGAGGCTTTCATGGCAGCTTGCGATTGGGACTGAGCCTGTGTGGGTCTGACCCGCTTGATTGTCTGGGTACCAGAGACGACACCCTTGCGCTTGCGGATAGCTGTCTCCTTCTTCTTGCCTGCTGGAGATTTTCCTGATGCGATTGGCGAGCCTTCAGGTGAGCTGGCCTTCTCGGAGCAAGTATAATCATGCACACGCCTCATGTGGTCATGAAGGTTCCAGCGACGAGGGAATCCGTTTCCAGGAATAGATCTGTCACAGGAAGGGAAGCGGCACAAGTGGGGGTTCTCGCCGTGACCATGCATCCCGTGGGCTTCACGCTCATGGCGGAATAGGCATGCATTGGAGGAGAAGTGGGCATCAACACATTGTGGGACCTTGCATCGATAGGGCTTCAAGTGGGAATCCAGATATTTGCTAGTAATCACGGTCAGTTTGTCCGGTGAAATGTCACTGTATTGACTTAGGAGGACTTACTGGTAAGTGCACTTCTGAGTTGTAGGAGTATGCTTGCAAGCGTTATCTCCAGTGGCGTACGGGCAGTGGTATTTTCCATCGCTCCGGGTTGGAAGAGAGTAAAAAGCATGGTCACGAGGATTTTTCCCGTCAGAGGGATCCTTTGACTTTTGGCCCATAGTTTGTTGCAAGGAAAAGAACTCTGACTCCTTGTCCGAGGCGCAAGTGATTGCAGCAGAAAGAATTGGCCTATGGGATTGCTTTTGTGGGCGTATTGTCCTATTCGATAGTATCAAGTATTAGCCTCGCCCATTAAGCCTGATATACGATGCAAGCGTAAATCAGCATTCTTGAATTTACCTATTTGGGTCCAGCTCAGTGAGAGGTGGTGTGAGAGGGTGAAAGGGGGCCCCAATGCTGAAATTTTGGTTGGAAAGAGAGGATGTATCAGAGAGATCGACAAATTGAGAGCCGTCTTGGTTAGGGAAGGTGTACGTTTGAGTGCAAGCGGAAGTGACAGACATATCCTGACTGGCCTCGGTGAGTGGAGGCGTGGCCGGAAGCCTGTTGATACGGCTGCCACTGAGAGTCACATTGGACGCGGCGTTGATATCGCCAGAGATAGAATCCCACGGAACCTGTCCAAATGTTTCAGATTTGACCATCCTCTGAGGGGCCACACTTAATCCCATGGGTTTTACATCATTCATCCCGGTAGCATGGTGCATTGCGTCATTATCAAAAGAGAAGCCTAGAGCATTAAAATCCTGATATCCCTGTGGGTTGCGAAAACATAACTGTGGGCTGCTGTCCTGAGAGCTTGAGATGCCAGAAAGCTGTCCGAATTCAGAAAGAGACTGGTCCATGGATCCATCGGCCTTGGGGAACAATGTAGGAGAACACGAAGAAAATGGAAGCATCTGGGCATCTGACATATCATAATCGCCCGCTTGGATTGATCTGGTGTCAAACGATTCCTCAGTAGCCTCGCTGGTGGAGCTTATATCGGAGCTCAACAAGACAGCATCATTAAAGGCCCATTGGCTCAAGTCATTAAAGCCGCTTTGGCCATTAAACGTTGGGGACAATGAAAAGGCATCTTGAGAGTAGTCATCATCCGGGATTGTCCTGGAGATATCCAAGAAATCATGGCTTGTGGAATTTTGAGTGGGGGGTAGTTGGGATTTTGTTGATTTAGAGCTTGGTTTGGGTATTGATAGCCTCAGTGGGCCCGTCTTTGCTTTTGAAGCCATAGTGACTGAATGTCCTGTCGGCGAAACACCAGAAAAAATAGACTACAAGCACAAAAGTTAGTATTACCATCGCCTTAAAATCTCAAAGTTCTCGAACGTAGCAGCAAGCAATAACTGGGCAAAGGAAATGATTTAAGATATCCGTAGGGTCCCTAATATTGGTTAGCCGCACGATTCCCTAGTCATGACTTTTACAGCAGCATTGTTACGAACCAGGAATCGAGGCTCAGGAGACACGTTGCTAGTCCGAGCAATTATTTCATACTATCGATGAAGAGACCCTGAGAATTGCCAGTTATGAATAGAGGATCCAAGGGTATTCCGGGCTTGGGGCGTTCAGGCTGATCTGTCGAGACTGGGCACACAAAACTGGGCCGGAAGAAAGAGCGTTGCAAGTTTGTAATACATCACATAGGACAGCAAACGAGTAGCGAGCACTCAGATCCGAGGACTGGCAAACAAATCCTGGGGGTTCGTGTAACAGGGCACTGTTCTGTCAGCCAGGAAAACGAAGAGCGACGCATTGATGACAAAGCCACCGAGCACGAAATAGCGGGAACATCCATGGCCTGGGCTGGCGCCTGTGTCCATGTATCTGGGTCGTAAGGCCATCCAGGAGAAAGAGGCAACAGCTAGCAGACTGGGTTTGTGTTTTTTGCTGCATTGAGCCCATGCTTATCGACAGAAGCACTGCTCGTTAGTTGTTCATCATTCTTTTGAGGACATGGCCGATCATGAAGAGTTCAAAAAGATCCATTGGCAACTCCGGAAAGTCCTCAGGTTCGGGAGTCAGAGAAGCATCATCATGATCATCATTTGTAGATCCACGGACAACCCATATCTTGGGTCGAGATTTCATTATCCAACGGAGAATGCAGCATTATGCACTCAAAAGTTAGTCAGAGCGTACCCAGCCACGCGGTTTGCGAGAGGGCCGTCGTGACGATGGCTAAAGAGCCTCCAGACAGTAGCTTGAAAAGTGTATTCCAGGAATATCGGCGTCCATTTGGGCTGTCCTTAAAGGTTTCGAATCATCTCGGCCAGGCATCCACGGATAACAGAGTCGAAGAAACACAAGCAAAGCCGAGAAAGAAAAGGTACAGAAGTCAAGGAATACATGACATGGAACAATATTTGAGGGGGAATGATGCAGTGCATGAACAAGAAGAAATGGGAACTACCTGATGTTTCTGAGGAGTGAAGGCGCTTATTTAGTTGGGAGAAAAAAATGGGCTGAATATCCTTGGACCTGGCAACTGGGCTGATCTATCTTCAGGCAAACAAGAAGCAAAAACGAAACCTGTGGACTGGATTCCAGTGTTGGGCCGAAGTTGGTCTGAGAATTTAATGTCCAGGAAGAAGCGGAATGCAAGGTGTCAAACGGTCCACGTAAAAAATAGCCTTTTTGCAATCAGAAACGGAGAAGCGGTCGAGAGATGTCTAATGGAGAGTAGATCGAATGATAAAGCGTTGGGACGCAGCTGTAAGGAAGCCTGAGAGATGATTTGAGGGGTTGTATGGAGAAAAGGAGGAAAAGAGAGGAAGAAGGAGAGGGCAGACTGGAAAAGGGGATTTGATCAGGCTTTAACTGCGGGTGAACGCCGCCAGAACCGAGCCAGCTCACCCATCCACCAATATGATGCAAGGCGGGGCACAGTGTAGCAGTGCAGGACGGCATTAATGCAGCCTTTCTGCAGCTCGACGACGCTTTTATACGGTTATTCCAGCATTGATTCGACGGCGGGAGCTAGTGGGAGTGATTCCGCCGCAGCAGGCCACCCCTCCCACGGCTCTCAGCTCCACATCGCTTGACGTGGCAGACGGATGCGCCGCAAGTGTGTTCCCTTTCAGACTGGTGACCACCAGTCGCACAAACTCAGCGACCACAGTGGGAATCGGTGGCTGATTTGATTCGATCCCAGCGAGTCCGAGAATGTGATTACAAGGGACTCTGCATCAAATGTCACATCATCGGCCGTAGCTGTGTCAGGTCTGAGTGACAAGAGCCAGTGGAACAGGCACTTCTCGCCTGCCAATACGGAGGCATGGCTCGTACAAACATATTTACGCCCAGGAAGGCAGCAGAAGATGAGAGGGGCCTCAGCCTGCCAGAACAAGAGAAGAGGATGACGTTCCTACGAGGTATCCGAGATGGGCTGCAGCGGGCCGTCTACTAGGGCGGGTTACTGTGATTGGTCCTTACAATAGATTGGGCAGCAATGCAGCAACTTCAGCCATTCCGTTCTCGTGACGCCAATCATATTTTCGGTAGGAATCGGAGATGAAACACTCAAGTATCCTGGTCAGAACTGTTTCGTCTGTCAGCTTCTGGAAACATCAAGAGGGATCAGAATGAAGGCAGGTCAATCAACGTTGGGCTCAAACTCAGACAAAGGTGAAAGAAAATGATGATGGGTTGTCGTTCAGTGGTCCAGGGACCTTCAGGTGAACTATGCTTAAGAATTGGGAATCATCACAAGAGGCCCAGGAGGTGAGTTCGTTGGTAGGGTTCTCTCTCTTACCTTTTGGGTGCCGGTCTGGTGATGGCAATTTTGTGCCATATTACCAAGGTGTTGTCGACCTTCGACATTAAGGGCATACCGTCATCCTCATCAACTTTGCGTATTGGTCCAGATACAAGCAAAGCAGGCTGCTCTGAAATGAAACGGAAGAGAAGAAAAAGAGGATGAAAAGAGATTTTGCAAAAAGCTCAAATTTCAATGCCAGTGTGCTGACTAACTAGTTAACTAACTACCTAAACTAACCAAGTCAACGAGGTTGTGGATCAAACAAAGTCAAACATCCAAAACCGAGCAAACTCGACAGCAAGGTGATAATTCTCCGTCAACCACTGCGTCGTTCCCCGAGTTCTCTGTTAATCGCATCAATCAGATCATCCCTAAAAGGTTTAGGATTTCGTATCGCTTCCTCTGTCATATTGAATTCCCTCTCCCTCGCCCAATCATGGACTTTGTCAAAATTCTGGCATGCATGCGTGGCCTCGAAATCAGGCTTCACGGGCGAGAGTGCTCCGTCATCGTTAAATGTGATGAGAGTTGTGTCTGCCTGGCACATGAGCGCCTGGCGGACAATATCGATACAGTGGTCTGCATTCAAGCATGCTTAACGTTATGGACACATCTGACAATCACCGCCTGGCTTCACTCACCGACATGGTCTACAACTGAAATCGATTTCCCTTCATCCGTCAGCTGATAGTGGTCGTTGTGGACATGTTGACGGATTTTATCCTAATATCTTTGCATATTAGCTCTCGCTCTTTTTCCCCCTTCCCAATGACTTGCTACTTGCCAGACAATGCAGCTGATGAAAAACAGCTAGCTTGGCGAGGTGATATCCACGTCGAGAAGGCACCTCGACGCTGGTTTTCTGGATCCTTTTCAGCTCCTGGGCTGTAACTAGGAAAGGCTCAACTATCAATGTGTCAATATTTTTTATTTTTACTACCTTATGACTGTTAAACGCCGACATACCATCATAAAGCTCTCTCCAAGCGTCGTCAAGCCCGGAGCTTGGAGCCCCCTTGTATATGTTTCTGGTGTCAACCCTGCCGTCAAATCGCACAGCCTGGAATTCCTTGACAGCTTGTGCCGGCGCTGGTATCGACATTAGCCTAGTTCTCCCCAGCGAGGGTGCCATGCCTGTTCAAATGGGGCACCTTACAATAAACGGCATCAGGTAGGCCCGATACGTTCGTGCACGATGTCTTTTCACACCCTGAGCTCCGGAAAGCCAGCATCGACAGTCTTACGACAACGCCAAGCAGCACAAGACACAGGAGAAGGACAATAAATGCCGAACACATTAAGTACTTCTTTCTCGACTGCGAATGCTTATTCCATGGATTTCTTTGACATTTCCCCTGTTCGTCACGGATAATGCCCCCACTGTCCTCGTCATGCTCTTCCGGCGGAATAAAGGCCTCATTCACTGCTTCTGTGTCGATTGAGAAATTACGCGAAAAGTATTCCATTTTCTTCGATGTCCTTGCCAGCGAAGTAGTTCTCTAGCGGGCGATGGCAGAGGAAGAGGATGTGTCTTCTCGAACCAGCCGATGAGAAATCCGGGGGACCTATGCGGCCTTCTCCTCATGACTATCCTTAGCCATGAATCTATCGTCATTTTAGCGTGGCTCATCGGTCGACTTAATCCTACGACTTCTTTTTCGCGATTGCTCTCAGGTCGTCATTTTGATGAGATGGTTGATTGACCTGAGTTAATATTGACGCTGACGGTTCCATCCACGGTACCTCCTGCAGACTTCAAGGTCTGGTCGTCGCAGAATAGATTCCAAAAACCTTAAAACTATCCGTCGATGATTGCCCGTGTTCTCCGCTGGGTCTACCTTCCCTCGCCAAACCATCGAGCCCAAACCATGGACCATCCTGTGAGTCGTTAGCGCATCCAGCAACCAAAGCTTTCTTTGCTTACTCGCTGCGCCCACCCACGTTGAGCTGTTGATGACCACAAAATGATACACATCATATACTAAGTCATTCTGATGTGATTTCGACGTCTCGGCTAGGGTATATCTTCCCCCAGGCTGTTCGATGTTCTCGGGGCTTTTTTTCCCTTTCTTTCTTTTCTTTTCTTTTCCTTTTTTTCAAACATCTCTCCCACACCGGTCTTACCTTCGATACTTTCGTGCTCATATCCTATCACTACAGGGTTACTTTTCTTATCTTACTAATTCTTTCACGATGGTCTTGAAGAAAATGAAGCCTGGTTTTGCATGTGCCATGGTGGGCATCATCTCCATCCAACTCAGCACTCCTGGTGCAGCTACACCATTGAAGTCGGATAAAAGTAAGTGATAGTCCACGACCCAGAAATTTTCCTCGCTTGTCCAAGCTGACAGGCCTCTTAGCTGCCATTGGTGCACTTGCGGCCGGCAACGCGAGTACGTAGCAAACAGCAGATAAATATATCTCACGGTCATCAGCTAACAAAAACAACAGCTGGCCTTCCGTCTCATGTCACCATCGAGTGTGTCTCCGGCCAGTGCTCCGACCGCGACCGTCAGACCTTGGCCCAAGTTCTTGACATGATTGAAAACGATCCCGCAGCCACCCAGGGCTGGGACATCACCTCGTTTGTGGAGATTGAAAACGGTCCCGCCAAGCATGAAAAGTACGGCATCAGCTTGGCTCGTCGCCAGGACGCCGTCAAGAACGAGACCGACTTGATCGACCTTGACCTTGCTAAGATTCACCACTGCATCGCCACCAACTGTTCTAGCGAAGCCCTTGACGGCATCAAGCACGAAATCAGCACCTCTACTCTTCGCTGGCTCTGGCCTATTTTGGGTAAACTTAAGGGATTTAAGTTCAATTATGGCCTTGAATATACTAGGCAGTAGATATTCGAAATGTACCCCGTTGAATGAAAGACAGCACGGTGTTTTGACCCTCTAATTTTGACAGTATTGATGATGCTTCTATTGGTTATATGTACTGCTTGTTCGCATGCTTGTTCGTATGCATGTATGCATGGTGTGTGTTTGAAGTTGGCTTGTGTTATATGTGCTTAATTGTGGATTTCGTTTGGAGTGTGCATCCTCAGCTTGAATTTCGACCAAGCTCTACTTGCCATAGTGTCATTATTTGCCTGATTTGCATGTACCCAGTTATATGGATTCTGTCGCTTTCATCCTAATCAAATCAAATCGCGTTTGTCGCCTCATTGCCTTACTGTTCTCTCGAGAGTAACTGCCCCCCGGCAGCCCATTTCCGAAAGCGGTAAGCGGACCTAATCCACCCACAAGCGACGCTTCAGATGTCGAAGCACCACCCCGGCTCTACAGCACATACTCATCGTCTGTTGCCAAATCGCCGTTTCAAATCATCCACTTCCCGTTTCCATCTACCTTTAACGGCCAAGAAGACTCCAAGTTCAGTCAATAACCCCATGAATTGGACCGGAGGTAGGCTCTTCCGTCATTCTTTCAAAGACAAGAGCACACTCAAGGCCCGCGAAAAACTACATTTTGCCAAAGCACGAAGGTTGGCATTCAAGGGTCGAAGAGCGGCTCTGTCGCCACTCAGAATATCCGGATCTGCCCTCGAGCTTCAAGGGGCTATAGGGCCATCGACCATCAAGTTTAAGGGGAAAGGAACTGGACTAGAGTATTCTAAGAGCACTGATAACGGTCAGTATTTCAAGGGAGATGAAAATCCGGAGCCTCCTTTGAAAACGCGAAGCCACCAGCCGCCTAACGGGCATTTCAATAAACCACCCAGAAGTCGAGGAGGCCAGTTCCTGGAAGAGAGCCTTTTAAGATCCCCTACAGCACGGGATGAAAGCATTGAGGCCATACGCCGCAGGCTCCTCCAAAAGAACGACTGGGCCGGCCTTTCCATCTCACGTCCGCTGAACGTGCACTTTACCACCGAAGAGGAAAGATACAACTGCGGTCGAAGGCGACCCCTCACAGAAGCAGATCGGGAGAGGCTGACGCTTGCCGGAAAGCAGCGAGTCCCTATATTCCGTTCCTACGAGTGGCCCTCGAAGAAGCGGAAGAAACAAAACAGGGACGATGACTCCTCAACTGCGCAAAACCTTGATGCCATCAGTATACGCATTAATGAGCAGAAAATGGTACCTTTGACCCCCCGACTGCGAACAGAAAGCCATTTTCTCAGCCAGGCTTCGTCGGAGTCAATGTTGCTCGACACAGAGGAGGCTATTGAGGGTTACGACTTTGAGTCATCGTCTATAATTGTGAATCCAAGAAGTAGTGGAAATCTAGACGTCTTCTGGAACCAGGATAATGATGATTTATCAGCAATCCAAAATCAGGAAACTGAGGAACTAGGTCAAGGAGCGACACGTCTACCTTCTTCAGAGCTATCTAGGCTTCCGGTCTTAGATAGAAACGGTACGTTCACCGCCCATGGACACCAAACTAAGTACATCCCGCCGGGTTCGAGGGACTTTGTAATTCTCAATGAGAGGCATCTGAAAGCGGTAGAGACGTCCTCGGGTGTGGCTGGGTGTGGGAGAAAAGCCCTGATAGGCGAATTAACTGGCAAGCATAACAATCCTCCTTTTTATAAGGGATATGAAATGCCTAAGGGACATATAGCAGACAGCTATATGGAAAGACAAATGCACCCAAGCCTAGCAAAACCATCAAGGTCGGTCTTCTTTGGTCAGACCGTAGAAGAAAGGGCAGATGATTTCCCAAATGCAGACGAAATTTGGAAACGACTGGTGTTCGGACCAAAAACCGAAAGAACACGGGCCAGCGAGAAATTGGACTCCCCTTTCTTCGCAAGCAGAAAACCAATTGGTATCGAAGATACCAGCAGCATCAGTGAAGCGGGTGAATCGAAAGACAACATCACCGTTCCAGGCGAAGCATCCACTACCAGTGATACATCCAAAATTGCCATAAATACGTCGATAAACTGCGCTGCATCGGTTGTTGCGGATGGCCAGTTTATGCCTTCAGAAACAGACTTTTTGTCACAGTTCAGCCCAAAGGGGGGTTATATCGAAGAATTTCTGGGCGGGATGTCAACGTATAACAATGATGCAAGTCCAAACCAGTCGATTTATTTAACTTCACCGGAAGCGATGCCAAAAAAATCAGAACATACTGCAAGATTTGGATGAAGCAGCTTGCGGTAGCCATACACGGCTAAGTCAGAACTCCGTTAGGTCATCCCTCGATCCTCTTCATTTGGAGATGAATGCCTTTGAAAACCCAAGACAATCGCTTTCAAGAAAGTCCATTTTTCAAGACATTCAGAAGCACAGACAATGAGCGTATACATGGGCCTGAGATTTTAAGGAGAGTATGTCGGAGTTGTCCGCCCAAGCTTGCCTATTTGTTGCTGGGGAATAACACTTCATCTCGTTATTAGTGGAAACATTTGCATTTTAACTTTAAAGCTTCTAGAAGATTTATATCTCCTTTAGTATTCATAATTGCCTAGTGAGCCATGAGATAGGAACCTCGACCCCTTTATACTGGAGGGGATCTTTTGCTCATGGACTCGGTATTATATTTATCCGAATATTCTCCAGCTACCTAGACTAACTAACTACCTTAGGCTAGCGCGTAGTCGGGAAGGCAAGATTCTATGTTATCTTATCAGTGACTTTTAGTTAACAGCAGGACGTGATGTTCCCCTTCGACCACAGGCCTTGACGAGAATCCATTGAGCACTAGTGACTAACAGCATCGATTCCTCCATCAAGAACTCATGAAGTTTAGAACGCTTCAAAACGCTTATTTCCTTTCCCACCTCCTTTCACCCATTGTCTCTTTCCCGGTTTTTCCTTCCAGTACCTCCGAAACTACGCAACTCCCACTGGTCATCTGGCATGGCCTTGGCGATGACTTTGCCCGTGAAGGCCTGAAACATATCGCACAACTTGCCGAAGATACAAATCCCGGCACATATATACACATTATTCATGTTGGCGACACGCCTGAAGCAGACCGCCAGGCGTCATTCCTTGGCAATGTGACCGTCCAACTCGAAACTGTCTGCAAGCAGCTTGAGTCCGACCCGATTCTCAGCACTGCGCCCGCTGTCAATGCACTGGGCTTCTCTCAGGGTGGTCAGTTTCTGCGTGGATATGTAGAACGATGCAATAGCCCTCCCGTACGAAATCTGGTTACGTTCGGAAGCCAGCACAATGGTATTGCAAAATTCCAATCGTGCGCCGCAACGGGTGACTGGGTGTGCCGTGGCGCTGAGGCACTTTTGAGATTTGGAGCGTGGTCGAATATGGTGCAGTCTCGGTTTGTTCCGGCGCAGTATTTCCGTGATCCCGAGGAGCTCGACCAGTATCTCTTGCATAGCAATTTCTTGGCTGATATCAACAACGAACGGGAGATCAAGAACGAACAATACAAGCGCAATCTCATTTCGCTTAATAAATTTGCCATGTACATGTTTAAAGATGACAAGCTGGTTGTGCCGAAGCAGAGTGCGCATTTCGCCGAAGTTAACAGCACGACTGGGTATGTTAAGCCCCTTCAGGAGCGAGCAATCTACACTGAGGATTGGCTGGGTCTGAAAGTCATGGATGAGGCTGGGAGTCTGGAGTTTTTGACAGTCCCAGGGGAGCATATGCAACTGTCTGACCGTGTTTTGAAGGAGGCGTTTGAGAAATACTTTGGTCCCGTCGAAGTTGATCTAGCTTCACACCCTGAACTTGTACTGCAAGTTCAATGATTTAATTCCTTTTGCTTCTTCTTTTTGAAGTGGGTATCATCTCGGATCCTGCTACTACAGAACTATTGTTAGTATAACCGCCGTACAATCAGTGGAACAACTGCGTCCATTCTACGTCACCCATCCTTTGCTTGAGCCGTCATTTCAATCACGCTTTGAGACTGCTTTTGTTAGCCCGAGGAATCTATCTTTCCATTGCTATTTGTACATCGATCATGAGCTTTTTTCCTATGTTTTGTTTATTATCCAGGAACGGTGGAGAACGAGCATGTACGGTAGGTTCACAGTAATTGTTATATCTCCCAATGATACTAATAATAGCAGATGAAAACAGGCACTATATAATTACAGATACAATAATGAACATCACTACCTCAGCCTCAATCCTCTAGCTTTCCTCCTGGTTTTCCTCATAACTATACCAGCTGTGCTGTTCATAGGGACGCCTAGTTTCTTCTTCACATCATGCATCTCAATATCGGAGTCATCTTCGTCATCAGAGTTCATCATATCAAGTACATCGTCCTCAGGATGTGGCCCCCTCGGTGGTATTCTTCCTCTTTCATACGGCCTTTCCCATTCTCCGTCTTCATTGAGTGGGTTTAGTCGGTAATACAGCCCTATTCGTCATGCAGGATGTTAGCGCGGGCCCACATTCGGGGCTGTTAGGAAGTATATATGAGAAAATGTCCAGTTTCATACCTCCAGCGAGAAGCGCGTAGCTATCGGCATTTCTCCTCTTTTCAGGGGTAGTTAGCATTGAAATATCTGACAAACCATATGCTTCTGCGACACCTGGAGAAAGGTCACTGGGAACTGTTCGATACCGTCGTAGCCTGTTAGTATTTCTACTAGAGATCGCGACAATAACATGCTTGAAATTTCTGGAGGGAAAAAAAAAAGAAAAAGGAAAAGAAAAGAAAGCATACAGTTCCGTGGGTCTATCGCATGCAGAAATTCATGCAACATCGTCACGCTCAGGTACGATTCCAGCAAATTCAAGGACTCGCTCTCCACGAGAGGGTCATTCCAACCCTCAAGGATCGCATTCTCCTCCGACACCGGATCGCCGTTCCGATTCAAGCAAAGAAGCACGGCCGACTTAGGATTGTTTCGTCCTAGTTCATATGTTACTGCGATTACTCCCGGGACGCAAACTTGCCTCCGGTTCCCCGGCATCACTGTTGGCTGCATAGTCGTGAGAAATTCACGATCAAGGAAGTGGCCTGGTCGATTTGGAACCTCAACCATATGATCATCACCACACTTAATGATTGCAGCTCCATATGGCCGGGTTCTAGTGTGTTCCCCCACCTCTTGTTTGACTCGTTTCATTGTCACTGTATTCTCTTGTGTCAGCATTTGCAGAAGAGATAGCTTATTAGAATGACATGTATCTTATCTTACTTTCGAATGCCTGAAGACCACCAGGATTACCCAGCAGTTTGTGCACAAGGTCATTATTAATCTGCGGGTCTTGCAGGCCAGCTCGAAAAGCTGCGTGATCTGCCATAAAAAATGCTTCGTCGGCGGCTTGTCGAATTACCGCCCTGAGACCATCGCAGCTACTGTGAATGGTATAGCAAGTTATCATGGAGGCAAAGTTGAGAACGGCACAGCCGAGAAAGAGGAGCCTAGTCAGTTTATTCATGATTCTCATATTATATACCCACATCTTATCGCATCAGACAATTTGAAGGACCCGGGAAAGGCGCTTTCGAACATGGTACTTCATGTAAAAGACAAAGGAAACAAAGATATAGCAATTTGGAAACTTTTCTGCCATCAACATATAGAGCCTTCATACAGGCCAACGAAACACATGTATTCCTTTTTGTAAGATATCTCCGGGAAAGGGGCAAATACTGTTTACCTGAAGCAGGCCAAATTTTGGGGATTAGTTCTCAAGGAACAGGTGGCAACCTGCGCTCATTGCACGGAGGTCTTTTTCCATAATAGGTGTGGGCTCGAGTGGACTTGGGGGACTGAACTAGACTGCAAGCATAAAAACCACGCCCTAGAGGGATGGTTTGCATGGCATGGTGCATCTCCGTGAATCGCCAGCGTTCCATGGACTGCTTCATATGATCTACGTTGACTTGGTGGTGACGAGCCCGGAGAGTATCAAATCGCCAATCAATGAAGAGGGCGTATGCTCTAGGTTTTGGGAATAGAGCGAAGGAGTTATGGCTCTAACAGGATAAGAGCTATAAGGAAGCACCGTAGAAATCCTTGGAAGCAGATCAAAACTCTGTGTAGCATGGCCGCATGAAGAACGGGCGGCTGCGTCTCACGGTGCCGTCGTACTTAGGGAGTATCCCGTTCGTCGGATTCCCTTTGAATGCACCCGATGATTTGGCACGCATTGAAACATGAATTAGGAAAAGTAGGTGAATACTAGGGTTGTCAGCCTAGTATCGGGCTATAGAAATAACAAGATCATCTAAAGAGCTGGAATGATGTAGGCCAGCTATTATGAATGCCAAACGGTGGCTAGAAACAGCCCCCCTCGATAGACGTATCACCAATATTCCGGACAATTATCCGTAAGCAGTATCTTGCTAAGGAGCAAACAATTTCGCAGTAACCGCTAAGAGGAAGTACACACTTGGACGTGCTTGAAACCGTTTGACTCTCTCCGCAACGGGTGTCAGCATGGGGCCCTGCGCAGGCCATATGCATTTTGCACATATGCTATGCGAGCACATGTACGACTATCATCCAAAACCACACGGAGGGCTTGCCGATGAAGTACGTTTGGCTCAAAAATAATAAAACGGCGGCATCTACCAGCAAATAGTAGAGAAGTCGCCTCATTTATGAGACTGCGCTTCATATTAATTAAATATTTATAAATGCGGCTCGACGCCCGTTCCGACGGTGCGGGACCGGAGCGGAGGGGCCGGAGTTGGGGTTGGGGTTGGGGTTGGGGTTGGGAGGAGGAGGGGGCGGAAATCGGGCGCGGGTTAGCGCAGAGATGCCGCCGGCGGACTAAAACAATCCTCCGAACAGTACCAGCGCATCACACGAGGTCGTCGCTGTGGACTTTGGAATATGCATTCGATATCCCAGTGCTTTGAATATTACCTCGAATATTTAATATGCAATGGGGGGCCTCATAGCTGCTTTTCCTCCCCATGAACGACGGTTTATCGATCCGTCCCAGACCCGACGAATGTACCCCTTGTCATAATGCGGTTGTCTTTAACTGCTTTCTTACTTTTTCAAAGCGTGTTTGGGCCATGCAATGCCAGTCCCCTCACAAGGCTGCAGCCAAGGGCTACCACGGCATCAGTCACACAGGTCGTCGTGACGACCACAAGCGGTAGCTCAACGTGGAGCCAGACATTCACTCCGACACGTCTGACGAAGTACGCGTCGGCTACTGGTCCAACCACAGTCACTTCGACGGATAAAGCTGGCAAGGTCGTATTAATAGGAGTCTTTGCAGGTGGTCTCGCATGGGTGGGCCTTGCTGGCCCCAAGCCCATCCCTCCTCCGCCAACTCCACCACCAGAACCGCCAGAACCGCCAGAACCAGGTGATGATTCCAAGCACACCGAGGACAAGCCAAAAGAAACCCCAACGACTTCAGAACTCATAAACACGAAGCCAGCACAAACACCTTTTATTCACGAGAAGCGGGTGTGGAAAGAATATGAGTCGTTTCGCAAGCAGAAGCCAGTGAAAGCGCCCCATGATGTCACGAATTGCGCCGAGGTATCCGGGCCGACTGTTCAGCGGAGCATTGCCGTGGACAAGATCAAAGGGTTCTGCAAGAACAATAAAGACAAGAAAATAGACAACGAGGGGATTCAAGACACCCCTTACGTCGGACGCGGGCTAGTGCTGTCGCTTTCCACGAAGTGGAATGAAATATGCCCTGCAAAGTTGGCGAATTCGCTCCGTCATGGTGATTGTGAGTGGCTCCTAAAGTCGTGCTTAGACAACTGCGACACCAATACCTTGAAGAAACACGGTAGCTTCATCAAGGATGGGTGCTTTATTTGGGGAGCGATCGCTCAAGAGTATGAAGGCGATTTAGAATGCGAAAAGGAAAGGGGAATCAATGACGACAGGGGAGTAAAGCGGGACGATGTTGCGGTAAGCAAATCTTATGTACTACAAAAGCGCACACTTGGTTAACCAGATATGATCGGCAGAAAAGCATCAAGGAGTTCTGCGCGAACCCCGGGGGAGCGACAGTCAATCCGGACCGCAAACTTAGCCGGCAGTATTACTATGAAACCGGTAATTCGGCTGCGGAGCTTTCCGTCAGCTTCAGCCATGATTCTGATCAGTGCCCGGACCATATCCCGGAGTACGAAGTCGACCAAGCAGCATGTGAACGTTTCCTCCTCAAGGCAGTTGACGGGTGTGACACAAATCAAGTGACCGCAAAGTATGGAGGCACGGTACGTGATCATTGTGGTGTGTTCCGCGTCAAGACAAAGAACGTTGAAGCTGTCTTCTGTGGCATCGAGGAAGGAGACATCATAGGCGACGTAAATGACGTAAAATCAATGACTCGGGCTCAAGCACTGGAAGCCATTGACCACATATGCGGCGAAAAGATCAAAGTCGACCCTGACTTTAAAGTTGATCTACATAATTTTCATCAAAAAGCAGAAGGAAGCGGGCAAGCTGCGTATACATCCTTTGGACAATTTGTCGTAAGATTTCAAGCGTCCTTTAACGGAGGCTTCGACGATAAGGATTGCCCCAAGGGTAAACTGCACTTCATCCAGAAGGAAGAGTGTGTGAGAAAAATGAAGGTTCTGATCGATAGTTGTGGGTTGCCCTCCTTCAATTAACTAATATGATGGTGACTGCGTCGATTGACTGACTTGGGGACTGCAGGCGACACAGGTACGACAGCGAAGAAGCGAGGAGGTTTATTGCTGGACAAGACAGCTCACGGGTGTGTACGGTGGACTCTCTATGCCCAACGGGCAGTGAATGAGAAGTGAATTATGGAATTAGGCAAAACATTGTCAGCCAAGGAAGGAATAAAAGCCAATTTATCCCAGCCCAGCGCTTATCGGGAAGAAGTTCCAATCGGCTCGATGTGGACTTCGGATTCGTATTGTACCCACGCCTCATGGAGCCGTTTCCAAGCGTTGTAACTTTAGGTGATGTTGACAGAGGTGACTCACTTGCTGGCATTGGACAAAATCGCGAGTAGACATAAATGTAAATTAACGCACCTCAATCTTGGTTGGCGCATGCTTTAGTTGGCAGTTTTGGATATTGAAATTCTTTCTGTTGAGTTAAAAAAACACGATTGCAGGTGTCAAGACGAGCTTTTCGTTTTGCCGAGGGTCGTATGCTGGCACCTTCGTGAATATAAATATTTTCTCATTGAATATAATATAGATCAGGCGACTTGCCAGGTCGAGAAAAGCCCAGTTGCTGCGTTATCCCTCAAAGTCCATAGATTCTTACCCAACCGATAGTCATGCACCACCTACAAGAGCAGCCAAAGGAATGGTCCCGTTCCATCACCGACGACAAAGGCGAAGAAACACAGTTTGTCATCTCCACAGATCGGTCACTGCTCTCGATCCCGTCCATCATCGCGGCGTTCAATGAAGACTACGTGTACTGGGCGCGGTCCGTCCCAGAAAGCGCCATGAAGCAGATGCTCGACAACTCAGTCTGCTTCGGGATATACAAATCCACACCAGCGCCCAACTCCGACTCTGGAGAACCCCGGAACCTCGAGCAGATTGGCCTGACACGCCTCATCACCGACTGCGTGACGTTCATTTACCTCTGCGACGTGTATATCCATCCGGAATACCAGAGCTGCGGGCTTGGGACGTGGTTGATGGGCGTGATACAGGAGGAGATGGACAAGATGCAGTATCTGAGACGGCTGATGCTGATGACACGGGGAGACCGCACGCGCACGTACTATGAGCGGCTGTTCGGCGTCGAGGTGATGGGGAAGGCGGGAGAGGCGTATGTCATGGGCCGGCTCGGGGCGGGAAATTGCGTGTGACGGAAGCGGCGAGTCGGCCCGAGGGGTCGGGGTTGGGTTTGCTTGGCGGAAAGATACATAACGCGGGACGGCGCGTCTCGGCAGCGAATAGAATTGCGCGGAGTTTTGAGCGAGAAGGCGATAGGGAGTGAACCTTATTTGTCATGTTGATCACGTGATAGCCAGCTTAGTTAACGAGTTGAAGTGGCGAAATTCGGAATCGAAGGTTTGTCGTGTTTGTTTGCTCAACGCGCGACGAGCGAAATACCTTCTTGCTACTCACCTCTGCCCTTCTGTGGTGCACACATATTTAGTCCAGTTAAGTCCGTCCATTACACTCTGCTAATGGCACAGTCTCCTTCGGAGCTCTTCGCCACATCTTGGACTCTTCACCGCCTCTCCCCATTATATCATACAGCAGAGTCCAAACGCACCCTTCTCGAAGATGCACAGGCATTGTCCATGTACGCGAATCGACTCCGTGACATGCTTACAGGCGATACCCTTCACGGAATCCGACTCTCTCTCGACGACAATTCTTTGCTAGATGAAGCCCTTGCAAAAGCTGGTTCCTTGAAATCTTGCAGGTTGGAAACTCTACCCACCTGGCACTACTGGAACGAGGAGCGTTCCTTGCTCGAGGATCCGGATCAGGAGACTCTCACCATCACTGCGGAGCAGTCCGCCGGTATCCTCGTCACTCTAGAGTACGAAACCATCAAGTATAAGGCTGCTCTGCTCTGTGACCCCGATGGATATCACACGCCCCGTGATGATGATGCCACCCATCTCCCGCTCTTGGTAACGCGTATGCCAACTGCGCTTCGCCAGGCGTTCCTTGCCTTCCTTGGAATCAATTTTGATGCACGATGCTCCGTCCTCAGGCTTCCATCGGGGTTTTTATGCTCATGCTTGGAAACATATTTGGCGACGTTACACCAGAGTGTCCGGGGACGCCATGATGCCCGGGAAGTTATTGAACGGGTAATGAAGGAGGTCCAACTAACACTATCTTTTACTGCGCCTGTTGCGCCCGCTTTGAAGAGCGTAGAGGTGTCTTTGCCCCGTCAGTCGCTGAGTGAATTTTACACTCGTGGTCTGGATAAGTCAGAGGCCTTGCCTAAACCAGCGTACCGCGGCCAAAAACGCAAATTAGGCTCGAACACATCAGGCATTTCAGGCACTGAATCACCGACTCCATTCATATCGGCATTGTCAGACTACTTCAGGACCCATCTCGCCATGAATATTGATATCAACACCTCTATTACCACAACTATCATTCGCACACCAGAAAAGCATCACATCCGACTAACGAAAATTGCGTCTGGCGCTTTTGTCATTGGCTTCGAAGGGCGAATAAAACTTCTTGCGAATCCCGGTCGGACAATTCTTCTTGACGACTCACATATTGACGAGCCTGATGCCGAAGACCTCCCGGAGGATGCTGAGGAAAGAGAGAAGAGATTTATCTGGAAAGCCAATGAGGAGCTGTTACGGGCATTGGTTGCCAGGGCAGCTGGAAGTCAGAGTCAAACCGAGAGAGCGAGTATGACGAACGACAGTATAACTTGAGCCGAAACGACCGTGGGAAAAAAGGCCTATTTGTTACATTCTAGGTGCCTTCCCTTATATCTGCTCCGTAGTCTACCAACCTCCCCGTCCGGGCGGTGCGAAGCCCATTTCCAACGGCTATCTCTCCAAACGCCGGGTTAGTGATCTTCTGGGAGTTTGTTGGCACCGAGAACATGGATATCATGACCACTGGTCAATAAATGCTCGAGGATATATAAAGTCGCATATCCTGCGTCGATTTGAGCGTTATGGGCAGCTCAGAGCTCTGCATCAGCTTCCTCTAGCAAAGGTGCGCCTTTATCTACAACCGCGTCAAGACTGATGCAAGACGATGGACCTTATTTTCAGAGCTATGGAGCTCTACGAGTGTGTCAAACAGTCAGGATTCTAAGTAACTTGGTCTGACAAATTTTACTGTCGTGAACTATACAAAACTGATTGTGTATTAAACAGCATGATAGTGATCACTTTTGGGAGTTAAAGGTGCGAAATCTCACACGCCGTGTTCATTGATTAGCTGTACTTTTCAAACAATTACTTATACGTACATATTTAGGATAAGGGGTTCAGGAAGACATTTATCTTGCTTCAACTAAAGTGGCTCATACATAACCAAATGCAAGTGCTACGCACGCTAAAGTTTTTCACCCAAAAAGAAAGGAAAAAACCATATCCGCTTAAGAAATCCATGTTAATAGAAGATTGAATCATGACTTCATGAAAGGCGCATCATAAACTTCAAAACGTCTGCCAGCGTAATATTGTACCCCGAAAAAGCTCACTCGCCCCTAAACATCCAAAACGGTCGATCCAAACTACTCCATATGAATATGTGGTGTCTCCGTGAGCTTAAGAGCCTCATCGACACTCTCCACAAAATGCGTCATTCCTCCACAGATATCCACGATACCACTCTTCACCATTAATCGAAAGACCTCGCTTTCCGGTCGAGGAATTCGACAGAAGAACACCCTAACGTCTTGATCGATATATTCCTGCACAATCTCAGAGAGCACCTGGACACCCGAACCATCAATGCTCGTAACACCGTGGATATCAAATATCATATTCCGATTATGCTCTGGGGACCTAAGCCGGGGAAGAGCTGGGTGAGCAGCATTGGTGCCATAAAACTCGAGCCGCCGGAGGCGGTTCTTCAAATCACCTGTGTTTGCAAATGTAAGCGGTTCTGGAATCTTCACAATCAGACAGCCTTCGATGAATTCGACCCTCTCCGGATGGAGCTCTGCATTTTCAAATCGGTTGTCGGTCCCAGAAAGCTTGCCCAGGATTTGGATGCGGGGCTTTGTTGCGTGTCGAATAACTTGCAAAATGGATAGACCCATCCCCAGGGCTATGCCAAGGTAGAGGGAGTAGAAGACGGTAGAAACAAAAATAAGAAGCATAAGGATCAGTTCTGACCAGCCGCGAATGCGGATGAAGAATCGGATGTCATCGGGGCATTCTTCAATGAGGGACCATGAGACAACAGATATTACAGCGGACAGGACACCCATCTTCCAGCTGTTAACAAAGCGTTCAAATGGACATGCTTTTCTTATTGGTTATTAACTTACCGGAAGGTAGTAAAAGTAGGGCAATAAGTATACGATGCATATCACCGTAATTAGGCATAAAAAAATGCTGCTCATGGGCGTTTTCCCACCGGTTGCAGCGCTAAGTTTGCTTCTTCCGTAACCGCCAAACGAGGGCAATGCCATGAAGCACCCGCCAAGGATATTAGCAGTCCCAAGAGCAACGAGCTCTCGATTAGGACTGTAAGTCATACCCTCTATTCCGTCTTGAACTGTGCTGCGAAGGCCCTTGGCAGCAATCGAAGACTCGAAGAAGCCAAGCAACGAGATAATGAACGAAGTACTCATGGCGGTCCGTATATGATCCAATTGACTCCATTGGAATGGCCAACGGAATCCAAACGTATGATTTCCTGCTCCCTTAATATCGCCCAAAATATGCAATCCTTGCTCAGCCCAGCCGAATTTCCAGGTAAATATCGCGGAGAAAATTACGACGAGAAGCTGATCAGGAAAGAAGACAACGCTTGGAAATCGTGGCTCCAAAAATTTCTTGAGCGTGCTTCAAGTTTTCTTCAGTATTGATCGTAGTCTTTTGGATGAATGCTACTTACCGAAACATCATAATAATGGCGAAGCTGCCGAAGGAGACAGCGCAGGTCAAAGCATGGCTATATCGAACGTTTAGAAATAAGAATACCAACTTATCCCAGCTGCTCCCATGGGTAACCAGGCCATCATGCTTGGCTCGATCACTCAGGCCCATCTCTGGAACGAGTTGGTCAACGAAGATGACAAAACCAATTGCACTGATGAACCCCCGCAAAAATGGTCGGCTGAGGATATTATCCAAAAAGCCCAACCTGGTAAGGCCTGCGATCAGAATCATCGCTCCGGCCATCCCAGTAACGATTCCGGCGATCTGAGCGTTTGCGAGGAGATCGTCGTCAATGGATTTCCCATCATCCACCGCGTTGCGAACGACCGTCGCAACCAGCAAAGAACCAGGAGCTTCTGGGCCGACTATGACTTGTGGGCTGCTTCCGAGGAGGGCGTACATAAGCGGGTGGAAGACGAAGGAGTAGAGTCCATTAAGTGCAGGGATGTGGGCAACGTTAGACGCCAGTGACAACCCTAAGGGAATGTAGACCGACGCGACGGTTACGGCGGAGATAAAGTCTCCACGAAGATATCTCCATTGATATTGCGATATCCAGTTGAAAAATGGCACATAGTATGCTAAATACCTATCGTCACAGTCCCCATTAGCTACCTGAATTCACAGGGGAAGCTACGGATGACCTACATAATCCGCCTGTTCTTCACGCCATGCGCATCGGCGAGTTGCCTCGTCGCCGATTTACCCGTCGCAACGTGAAAAGGAGCCGAGGAAATCCCATCTCCTCTTATACTTTGACTTGAGCTCCCAGGCAGCGTACACCCATGTCGTAGGCTGGGACTGGCGCTTGTGCCGCGATTAGGGTATTGGTGAGTGTCAGGAGAAAATGTTCCATGCCTTGAGCCGCCTGCGGCTATACCATTGCGTTCGAGTTCTAACAGACGAGAGGTTTCGTCCTCCACATTGCCACTATTGGCGTCTGAATGCCCTGGCGCGCCTGACATGGTAGTAAATAAATGAGAGAACCTGTTGGATACGGAGAGCCGTCGAATAGGTGGGCGATGCTCCCAGGTCACTCCCTTCGTTTGCTTAGGAGGAGCTATGTGAGATGTGATTCCTGGGCTTTACCTATGAGTACGGAGTAGAAGGTTGCAGGAACTGTTGCGCTGAGAGGCACAAGTTCAGATAGTTCTGGGAAGAGTTGGCTGGCGCTCATGGGTGTTTCGAGGGGCAAGCCTTGGTTTGGAGGTGCATAGGAGAACAGTCACAGACTTAAGTTAATTAAATAGTTAGTCGTTCGGTGAGCTACACACATGGCGTTAGGGCCCCTTTTTGACGCCTCGATTCGGGCCTTGGGGATAAGACTGCATTGCCGGGTGTCTGCCCATCGCGAACCAGCCAGACGCAAGCAGGCGGCGTCCTGCTTCTTGTCGTCAAATTCACTGGCCAGAATCGTGATTACATCATTGCTTATGGCATATATCACGTGATCTAAGCCGGCTCCCCGCTAACCCTTTTACACAAAAATGCAGACTGGGCGACGAGCACGGAGGGAGAGAAGTCTGCCACAGTCCGACTTGGAAGAGCTCGACGAGTCGAGTTGCAGCGTTGTCGAATCCAAGGGCGCTTGCTATTTCCAAAACACGCTTTCATCCTTACGCCATCCGTAGTGATTGCAATTTTCTACTTATCTGAGCCTGCAAACCTTTTTTCTTTTTGTTTGATAGGATCCTTCGCCTCCCAGAGAGGTGACCAGCCCCGCCATCATGTCGTTAACGAATTGTCGGTTCTATGAGGAGAAGTACCCGGAGATTGATAGCTTCGTGATGGTGAACGTGAAGCAGGTTGGTTGCAGGCTGCGATCATGCATGATAGCTCTAACCTGACATGTCTACTTCCTAGATTGCGGAGATGGGAGCTTACGTGAACCTGCTTGAATACGACAACATCGATGGGATGATTCTGCTATCCGAACTATCCAGACGTCGTATTAGAAGTATACAGAAACTCATTCGCGTCGGGAGGAACGAGGTCGTCGTTGTTCTTCGTGTAGACAAGGAAAAGGGTGCGCTGAAAACCTTGGCTCAGTCATCCACTCTCAAATGTGCTAACGGGAATGTGCCTGCAAACAGGATATATCGATTTGTCGAAACGTCGAGTATCCGCCGAAGATGTGGTCAAGTGTGAGGAGCGGTACAACAAGAGCAAGTCTGTTCACTCGATTATGCGACATGTTGCCGAGAAGACAAGGACTCCGATCGAGACATTATACCAACAAATTGGATGGCCATTGAATAAAAAATACGGGCACGCCAACGATGCTTTCAAGCTCTCTATCACGTGAGGCGATGCCATCACCTTGGCTATGGAAGCGGATGCTGACTTGTTCCGCAGAAATCCTAGCATTTGGGACGACGTTACCTTCCCTAGCCAAGCTGTCAAGGACGAATTGTTGTTGCACATCAGCAAACGACTCACACCACAGCCGACCAAGGTTCGTGCAGATATCGAAGTTACATGCTTCAGCTACGAAGGAATCGACGCCGTCAAGGAAGCTTTGCGAACTGCCGAGGCCAACAACACCACAGACAACCAAGTCAAGGTGAAATTGGTCTCTCCACCGCTATATGTTTTAACCAGTCACTGCTTGGACAAGAATCTCGGAATCAAGACGCTGGAAGATGCAATCAAGGGTATCACTGAGAAAATTCGGGCGTCTGGTGGATCCTGTGTTGTGCAAATGGCTCCCAAGGCCGTCACCGAAGAAGATGAGGCCGATCTCCAGGCACTCATGGAAAAGAAAGAGCGTGAAAACCAGGAGGTCAGCGGTGATGAGAGTGTCAGCGAGAGTGACGATGCGATGGTCGAGTGAATTTGAAATGCATTTGCTTTATGATTTGGAATGAATTTTAAAGATTATCGCTCGCCCAGTCTTCCAAATGTGATCTTGAGGGATATCTGAAGGGTCGGCACTGGTATGAAAATAGCGCTAGACAAAAAATGGAAAACATGGGAATCTCGCATTTGTCGCTCTTTGCATATGCTGCAGTCCTCCAGTTGCAGCGCTCAACAAGCTGACTGTACAAGTACTTACGTGGCGACCCAAGTTAGTGCCATTTGCAGAGTCCAGTGTACTCCAAGCATCCTCCCTGATCAGCATTAAGAGCGGCGTTGCTGGTGGCTGTCTGAAGTGGCGATTTATACTTTTTGTTGCTCCGTAGTGACCGATAGCTGATACCTTCCCCGCAACTCCAAGACGCGGGTTTGGGGAGCTTCTTCGCCCCAGTGCGTACCAGGAACAAGCAACCTCTCTCTCGTCCGGGACGAGTCGATGGTCAACGATCACCAATTGGGAATATCGAAGAGTTTGTTTTTAGTGTTGGAGTGACCGATTTTTACTCAATTGCTGTATTAGTCCGTATTGTTTTGGCCTCTTCACCTTACGCAAAATCTACGACGTTCAACCATGTCGGGGTTGTTCAGTGGCTCGACCGAGGAGGAAGCACTAGTCGATGTCAACGAGCATGATAGGAGTGAGTCAATTGGCACATGGAATGGCCCTTTGGATGAAATCTTGCTGATAAACACTTCATAGTGCTCCCAAACACGGAGGCCGATGGTCCTCCGCCTTCCCTTCCAGCGAAAGAAGTCACCAAGGTAGCTCTTCAACTGAAGCACCTAATCGAACAAATTGTTCCCTGCGAGCTCGAAGAATCATCTATAACCAAGCCGAATAGTACAGTTATTACCAAAGCTGTAATTGAAACGGCAAGACACGTTGGAGGGGACGAGTATAGAGCTTGCGTGGTCTTCGGCCTCCTAGCCTGTGTACGATGGTTCAGAATACAGGCCGTCAAAGAGTTGTGGGACACAGAGCTTTATAGTCTTAGGGCAGTGGCATGCGAAGTTCTTGCGAAGCGCATGTATGTTACCCACTCTACCGTCTCCTGAAAACCTGGTTTCTTAACGGAATCCATTCCACGTGCAGACTCGAAAGCGACGAAGACCACTATTTCCTAATGCAAGCGGTTCTCTTGAAGCGATACTCGATTGTCACTAGTGGCAATGAAATAACTCCTCCGGCTAATGTTATCGAACGTGCCGTTGACTTGCACGCGTTAGAAATTATAGGCTCGTCAGGGTATCAGAAATGCATCAAGTACCTCTGGCATGGCTGGGTCTGCCAGGACGAGAGAGATGCCTCGAATTTTGTCGAATACAGTGAACGAACCAATACGTCTTATTGGGCTCACTTCAACCCGGACAGAATGCGAGTACCTATTTATCAAAATGCGGTACAGATATTCTTCTCTCTATTGTACCTGGTGCTCTATACCGTCGTTATAAATACAATCAACTCTACTGGTGACCTTGATGTAGTTGAAGGCATCCTCTACTTGATGACTTTTGCCTTTATCTGTGACGAAGTTTCTAAGTTCTGGAAAGTCGGTCGCAATTATTTCGGATTCTGGAACGCTTTCAATTCCACTCTCTATCTCCTTCTGGCCGCCTCGTTCATAATCCGGCTTGTAGCTCTTACTCGCTCTCCAGATTCACACAATCTTGAAAGGCTGCGGCTGAACCAGCTGAGTTATAACTTCCTGGCTTTCTCTGCGCCTCTTTTCTGGGGTCGCCTGCTTTTGTACCTGGACACGTTCCGTTTCTTCGGCGCCATGCTCGTTGTTCTGAAGGTTATGATGAAGGAAAGCCTGATATTTTTTGCGCTCTTGGGCGTGGTTATCATTGGCTTCCTCCAGGGATTTGCTGGAATGGATCAGGCAGACCCCGAGAATCTTATGACGCCGTCGATGATCCTTCAAGGAATGGCGAACACTGTAATGCAAAATCCTGAGTTCGACTCCTTTAAAAACTTTGCCTCTCCTTTTGGCATTATTTTATATTATCTTTTTACGTTTGTCGTCATGGTTGGTAAGTGATCACTTCGGGTCTCGGATGATAAGACAAAGGACAGCGTCTAACTGCTTCGATAGTGTTGTTGAACATCCTTATCGCCTTGTATAATAGTGCCTATGAAGATATCACCGGAAATGCAACAAACGAATATTTAGCTCTTTTCGCGTATCGAACGCTTCAATTTGTCCGCGCACCAGACGAAAACGTTTTCATCGTGCGTAAGTAGTTCAAGTGTCCCCTTCCACGTATCTGCGGCGATACTAATTGTCTTAGCTTTCAACCTCGTTGAAATCTTCTTCCTCATCCTTCCATTTGAATGGTGGCTCCCGAGCGCTCGCTATGAGCGATTGAATCATTACGTCATGGGAGTCATTTACTCCCCACTCCTCTTCATTACCGCCTTCATCGAAACCTGCCATGCCCGTCGCATCCAGGTCAACAGGCGCCTCGGTGAAGAAGAAGATGATCAAGTAGAGGAGTGGGAAGAAGCTGCTGCGTTGGTCGGTGCAACTTCCGTTACGATGGACTGGGACCAGAAAGTGCAAGAGATAAAGCCGAACGTGGAGGTTGACCTATGCGTTATAGAAGTGAGGGCCTTGAAGCAAGAGCTTGCAGACTTGAGAACCCTGGTTAAAACATTGGTAGAGCAGAGGGACAGAAGGACAGCCTCTGGAGAGGACCAGGGTGAAAATACACAAGTGAACGGAGCGGACGATGATTCTGGCGCGGAACAGTTGATCTGAACAGTCAGTGTAGGACCTTGGATTTTTCGCACAGGAGCTGGGTTTCCTTGCCTTTTTTGTTATTTAAGGTGGTTTTGTGCTTCCCAATGTAGGTTACTAGTTTCGGGCTATTGAAATTCGAATGAATAATGGATGGGGAGCCTGAAGCTAAAAATTTCGGCAGTATCTGCATGTAGTTGTACTCAGTATGTATATATGAGATCTGTATTAATCCATATTTCCTTCGATAATAATGTAAACCTCTTAACCTCCTGGGGCGGTAATATATTGACTAACGGTACTCTAAACGGCTACTGGCTATATCTTTGCATCAATCCGGAAGTATATACTAAGGAAAGGGAACCTTGTATCAGAATCAAATGTGAAGCTCTTCATAATGCCAAAGAAAATCAACAATTCATTCCTTCTTCATAATACGCTGGTAATCATCCTGGATAATTGTCATGAGTATCAACAAAGAAGAGCTATGAAAACGCTAAGCATATCTGTATGGACAAATCAAGTCGTCGTTATCATTAGTATATACGAGTCAGCTATACGCTTCAAGCCTGGGTTTCCGTAGCCTGATCACCATTAGCAGGCAGGTAAATCCCGGCAAAATCCAACTGCTCCAACATCCCATTAATCTTGTCGATTTCTTTACCCAGCTCCTCTGCATTCATCGTAAGGCTGGCGGCTTCGTCAAACTTCCTTCTACGATTAGCATCCGCAATCATCTCTGATACGAAAAATTTCTGCTCCTCGAGTACTATCAATCGTTCTCGCAGTAACCTTTCCTCTGTTTCAAGAGCAGATAAGGCGGTGCTGTTATCACTGGTCAGGCTCACGCGGCTGTTCGCATGTTTATGGGAATTGATTGCTGCAAGTGCACGAGGCGTTGATCCGTTGGATGATGTAGAATCAGAATGGCGACCATGAGGTGTTGCATGTTTAAGGATCTTCGGAAGCGTTTTCAGTGGAAGCATGTGAAGATGAAGAAAATTCGTGGCTTGGTGATATATGGACTTTTGGAGCTTGGATTGTGTCGGGGAGTCGGTAGGAAGATCACGGATGCGGCGGGCTGCAACATCATATTGAGCGAAGGAATCCATAAGACGCTTGCGTACTTTAGAAGCTTCTGCTAACTGAGCCGGAGAAGGGGGGTTTTCGGGATCTCTGTATAGAAATTGTTAGCGCCTCTTAACGTGATGATGTCTGGGTGTACCAACTGTAGGGCGCTCAAAAGTTTCTGAAACCGAGGTAACAAAAGTCGGATTCCCCTTTCGAATTGAACAAGATTTTTGTATGCCCGAGCATCAGGAGGCTCTTTAGCTAGATCTAGCGCGAAATCCCGTTTATCAAACAGCGTAGACTTGCACTCCCTGCAGAGCCGAATATCTATACTAAGTTTTCCTGCGTTGGCCGGCTTCTCTGATACACGGGGCATACCTATAGCAATTAGAAGTCGAACATAATGGAGAGACTTTAGACTTACTTGTTGCTACATCTAACCCAACCTCAGAAGAGCATTCCGTGTCTGGATCACCACAAACTACACGGCCACATGTCCGACAATGGTGTCTTCGGAACGTATATGTGGTAAATTCTTGCTGACAAAACGGGCACCTCGGAACGCTAGCATCGTCTTCCCAGCTCACAACAGATTGTTCAATCTTTTTCCTCTGATCTCCCTGCCAGGAAAATGACCATTTCTTGTTCGTACCCGATCGTACCTGTTCGGAAGGAAGCTCGGCGAGAAGCTGTGTCAGCCGACTGAGCCTTTTCTCTAACCGCGACACTTCCAAAAACGCTCTGTCTACCACTGGCTTCCTTATGGATTTGAAAGCTACGGTATGATCGCGTTCCGCCCCTGCGTTTGATGTCAGTTTGATTCCCCAGGGTGCTGGAAGGAAATGGAATACCAATTTTATCGTTGTAGCCCGCTCTCGACTTGTAGCATGTCTCACATACCCGACACCATAAGCCACGGACGGGATCATGTTGGGCAGATCGAGATAACTTCATCTGGTACATTGTGTGTTCCTCGCAAAACAACCGTCCGCATTTTCGACAATTCACGCAACCAGTTGTCATAGTGAGTTGTTTTTCACACATAGGCTCCAGGCACACATCGTACAGACTACGCCGTTGCCAATGTGCCCTAGTCACAAGTTCATCTGGGTCTAATAGCCTGGGTGGCTCAACAAGCCCGTTTGTAGAGGATCGAGTCGGAACGGAGGGAGCAAACTGTGGATTATTGTTTGACTCGAAGACATCCAAGCCCTTTAGCTTTTGGTTTAGCACAGCTAACGGTTGGAATCGTTTCGCTTTCTCAACTTGGATCTGAAACCAGTCTTTCACTTCGACTTGTTGTTCGTCCTCGAGATTCCGGTGAGCATCATCGAGATGTCTATGAGAGGTGGGATCAATATTTTAGGAGCGGTGATTTTTTGGGGGGTTAGAGATCTACCTATTCAGCTGCAATAAAGTGACCTACATAGGTAATTCATCAGTAAATGCATCTCCGCCGCACCTCCAGAAGTTAGGCTCACCATTTCCTCGTTGCAAATAGGGCAGGCGAGATAGGTGTTAGCGGCTGCGGCCGCAGTCCTCGAAATGGATGAGTCTCCATTTTCTAATGATATCCTTGATACCAGGTCCTGTGTATCCGATGAGAGTTGTGAAGCTGATGCTTGCGAGTTTAGGGAAACGCTACTCGTTGACGGGGAATGCAGCTTCGAGGGTTGGTTTACGGATGTGGACGGGAGTGTGGGATTTAATGATCTTCCGCTACCGAGAATCCTTCCTCCCCCGAGAGTTCTCCTTGACATGTTGATAAATTTCGAGAATTCGATCCGGTGTCGACGTGCTCGTTCGAAACGGCGAGGCACAGTGAGCGGAGTCGGCGGATGGGGATATAACGAGCCGCCACGAGCCAGGGGGCGAAGACAGCGTCGGTGATTGACCAACCAACTAGTGATCCAACATGACAACTATGCCCATTCTTGAATTCATCAATGAATCAACTCATACACTTCACGCCCCCTGTTGAATGCATGTTTATTGAGAGAACAACCGGAGCGTCTTCATAGCGCTGCGTCACCTAGTACTACGAGGCCAACGGGCCAAGTCCCAAAGGGGAAAAGCGCCCGTGCGTGATACTGAACCTAATTCCAGCCAAGGTTTGAGCTTTGTATCACGGCTTGTTCGAACCCGCACGCCGCGATTGAAGAAACATCATCAGCAGACAGTGAATACAAAATGTACAAAGTATGCCAAGGGTGTCTGGAGAGTCTCATTTCGAATAACTCTGATGTCAAAAATAGGTCAGTGCAACATTCGCTCCCAAGGGACTGCCCCTTGATCCTTTGAAGTAGTCCTTGTAATATTTTCGGGAAGGTTCTTTTTTAACAATATGGGGGAAACTATTGAGTTCAACGACATTATCAAGGAGGAATTCAAGCTGTAAGTATAATTTTTGTCAAGATTCCCATAATGCTCTTCATGGCGTTCCGCATCCAAAACATAGGAATGGGCACAGTTCCTTGGAAATACCGAACCTTGCTCCTGGGTCTTCTAGAAAGAACCACACAGACGTCAACCGGCAGTTGTTGACGTACGGAGTACTCCGTACTCCGTATAATAATCGGATGTGCCAACGCCTATTATCCAGCTTCCAGTGCCAAATAGACCTTCCATCTGAGCCAAGCATACATTCACATCCCACAACACAAAACAGCGATGAAGGGTGGGGCAAATTCATGAGTTGTTATTGGCTAAGCGCCAAATAGGCTACAGGGTCATCATTATTCCGCAACCTTAACCTAACCTGAGCTAGCTTCTTACATAAGCCCTATGAAGACACCGAGATCTTTTTGTGCAGACAATGCCTTTGTGAGGGAGCTGCTGGTAAAGCGATCGATCCGACCAGGTTGCAATCCGCAGTCCCAACGACTCTGCAGTTCCTGTATTTTTTTTATAGACTCAAGAGCCTGCCTTCCTACCCCTTACAGTAGTTCCAGGTTGTTTTGTTCTGCATGGCCGTTTCCATGATTTTCGCTGGTTAGCTTCTCCAACATGTACGTGAGCTCCCTGTGCACTCGAGTAAATCTTCACAACGTGCTGACACCCCGATCAAGGACTCGGCTTATAGACAACGCCCAGATACGATCTGCGGCCCTTAGAAAACCTCTCCCAGTCCAACTGCACGCCTATGTCTGGCCCTTCCTCATCATATGGCCGGCGTTCCTTGCCTTCTATCTCTCCCCCGAACGATACGACAAATACATTCAGGGCTCCGAGTGGACCTTCGTCTGGGCTGGCTCAATAATTACGCTTCAAGCTTTGCTATGGTTGATGACCAAATGGAACGTCAATATCGATGCCCTCTTCACTACCACCGCTGCAAAATCTGTCGACGATGCCCAGCTCATCAAGGTCCTTCCCGTGGCTAACGCTGGATCGGCGGAGATCTGTCCGTTGATTACAGAGTACACTGGCGGAAGGAACCATCTTTCGTTCATTTTCCAGAAACGTCGTTTCTTGTACTATCCCGAGAAAAAGTCCTTTGCCCCTCTTTCATATGCTCTCGACGTCGAACCGAAGCCACTTTTAAGAGAGTTTCAGGAAAGCCGCGGGTTAACATCCCCCGCTCAAATCGAACACATCCAGAACCATTATGGCGATAATACATTCGATATCCCGGTACCGACCTTTGTCGAGCTATTCAAGGAGCACGCCGTTGCCCCGTTTTTCGTTTTCCAGGTCTTCTGCGTTGGGTTGTGGCTCTTGGATGAATATTGGTATTATTCGCTGTTCACACTATTTATGCTCGTCGCATTTGAGAGTACGGTTGTGTGGCAACGTCAAAGGACCCTGAATGAATTCCGAAGCATGAGTATCAAACCATACGATGTCTGGGTGTACAGAGAAAATCGTTGGGTTGAGATCAGCAGTGATAAATTGCTCCCCGGTGATTTACTCTCTGTGAATCGCACGAAGGAAGACAGTGGTGTTGCATGTGATATTCTCATGATTGGCGGTAGCGCGATCGTCAATGAGGCTATGCTCTCAGGAGAGAGTACCCCTTTGCTGAAAGACTCTATCCAGTTACGTCCAGGTGATGAAAGCATTGACCCTAACGGACTTGACAAGAACTCGTTCCTCTACGGAGGTACAAAGGTCCTGCAAATTAGTCAACCCAGCTCTACCTCAGATGAGAGTGCCAACGTCCGATTCAACGCCCCGCCTCCTCCCGATAATGGAGCCCTCGGTGTTGTAATCAAGACCGGGTTCGAGACCAGCCAGGGTAGTTTGGTTCGCACTATGATATACTCGACAGAGCCGGTATCTGCCAACAACGTGGAAGCACTGTTGTTTATCCTGTTTTTGTTAATGTTCGCCATCGCAGCATCCTGGTATGTCTGGCAAGAAGGGGTTTCTAAGGATCGAAAGAGATCGAAATTGCTGCTAGACTGCATCTTAATTGTCACAAGCGTCGTGCCGCCAGAACTACCAATGGAGTTAAGTTTAGCCGTCAACACTAGTCTCGCCGCACTCAGCAAATACGCCATCTTTTGCACCGAGCCGTTCAGAATTCCATACGCTGGGCGTGTTGACATCGCTTGTTTCGACAAAACTGGAACTTTGACTGGAGAAGACCTCCTGGTGGAAGGTATCGCAGGTCTGACTTTGGGACGAAAGGGTGCAGCTGTGTCACCAGATGGGGCACACACTCAAGTTACAAAAGTCGAAGATGTGAATGACGAGACTACCCTTGTGCTTGCTACTGCCCACGCACTTGTTAAGTTGGATGAAGGAGAAATCGTTGGTGACCCAATGGAAAAAGCGACACTCACCTCACTGGGGTGGAAACTTGGCCAACATGATGTGTTGACTAGCAAACCAGGAGCTCCTGCCAGAGTTGGAGGGCGAGTGCTAGAATCTGTTCAGATTAAGCGGCGATTCCAGTTCTCGTCTGCTTTGAAACGACAGAGCGCGGTGGCAACCGTCACTAGCACAGATAGACAATCGGCGAAGAGAGTCAAAGGTACCTTCGTCGGAGTGAAGGGTGCCCCCGAAACAATCAGCACTATGCTCGTCTCCGTCCCTCCCTACTACGAGGAGACATTTAAGTACTTTACCCGCAATGGAGCTAGAGTCCTTGCGTTAGGCTACAAGTACCTGAATTCCGAGGCAGAGTTGAGCCCCGGGCGAATCAACAATTTAAAACGTGAAGATGTTGAAGCCAATTTACATTTTGCGGGTTTCCTAGTTCTTCAATGCCCTTTGAAGGAAGACGCTGTCAAGGCTTTGCAAATGCTCAACGAAAGCAGCCATAGAGTGGTTATGATCACTGGTGACAATCCCTTGACCGCAGTTCATGTCGCGAGACAAGTAGAAATCGTGGATCGGGATACGCTTATTCTCGACGCCCCAGAGCACGACACTTCAAAAACAAGGCTTGTATGGCGCAGCATCGACGATAAGTTTTGTGTTGATGTCGATCCTACAAAGCCGTTAGATGAGACAATCCTCCAGACAAAAGACCTCTGTGTGACAGGGTACGCTTTGGAAAAGTTCCGTGGCCAGAAGGGTCTTCGTGACCTTCTTCGCCATACTTGGGTGTATGCACGGGTATCACCGAAGCAAAAGGAAGATATTCTTCTAGGCATGAAGGATGCTGGCTACACAACGTTGATGTGCGGCGATGGTACCAACGATGTCGGCGCCCTAAAGCAGGCCCATGTCGGTATTGCGCTCCTAAACGGGACACCTGAGGATCTCAGTAGGATTGCTGAGCATTTCAGAATGACTAAAATGAAAGAAATATATGAGAAGCAGGTTTCTCTTATGCAAAGATTTAATCAACCGACGCCTCCAGTGCCTCTGCACATTGCTCATCTCTACCCACCAGGACCTAACAACCCAAATTACGAGAAAGCTATGCTTCGTGAAGCCGAAAAGAAAGGTCCAGCCGCCGTTGCTGCTCTGCAACAAGCAAATGGAATTCCTACTATTGTCTCCCCAGGTGCCCAAGCCCTCCAGCAAGCCAACGCCAACCTTACACCTCAGCAACATCGCGAGCAACAAGCGAAAGTTGCTGCCGCTGGACTTGCAGATAGGCTCACCTCAACTATGATGGAGCAAGAATTAGACGAAGATGAGCCACCGACACTCAAGTTGGGTGATGCATCTGTAGCTGCACCTTTTACCAGCAAACTAGCCAATGTAATCGCCATTCCAAATATCATTCGCCAGGGTCGGTGCACTCTAGTCGCGACAATTCAAATGTACAAAATTTTGGCATTGAACTGCCTCATCAGCGCTTATAGTTTAAGCGTCATATATCTTGATGGTATCAAATTTGGAGATGGGCAAGTCACGATCAGCGGCATGCTCATGAGCGTTTGTTTCTTATCTATCTCTCGAGCAAAGGTATGCCCGTCTAACTTTTAACGATCATATGACCGTCTTCTAACCGTTCACACAGCCAGTCGAAGGGCTTTCCAAGGAACGTCCACAGCCAAACATCTTCAACGTCTACATTGTCGGCTCTGTCTTAGGACAGTTTGCTATTCACGTAGCTACGCTGATCTATCTTTCTCAATATGTCTATTCCATAGAACCGTATGTTTCTCGCTTGTTGTTTATGCCCATAAGTTAACTAATACCTTTGAAAACAGGCGCCATGAGAACATCGACCTTGAAAAGGAATTCGAACCTACTCTTCTTAATTCGGCCGTTTATCTACTTCAGCTCATCCAGCAGATCTCGACCTTTTCCATTAATTACCAGGGCAGGCCCTTTCGCGAATCCATCCGTGAAAATCGTGGTATGTATTGGGGTCTTACGCTGACTTCACTGGTCACGTTTTCATGTGCTACCGAATTCATCCCCGAGCTTAACGAAAAGCTGCGCCTGGTGCCATTCACCTTTGAGTTTAAAGCTGTGCTGACAACGTTGATGATTGTGGACTACGCGGGATGCTGGCTGATAGAGAATGGGTTGAAGAGGTTTTTCAGCGATTATAGACCAAAGGATATCGCGATTAGACGGCCGGATCAGATCGCACGCGAAGAGGCAAGGAGGCTGAAAGAGAAGGAGGAAGAGGAGAGAGAAAAAGAAGCCACGAGGAAAATTTAAGATTTTCCACAATTCGTAATAATACTTGCCTGCTGTCTACTTTTTGATATTCGACCCTTTGTGTTACTTAGTTTGATTTAGATAGATTCATTTCGCTTCCGTCTAGATAGGGCATAGATTAATAACAGCTACTCATGTGCTCAAGTCCGTCCTCATGAATGCAAAGTATTTGTCCTGGACGACGGTGTGATGCTTGTCCCAAGATTGAAGCAGGCAAACGGCAAAGCAGACGCAGAGGTTTTACTCTGCTTGCTTCACGGAAGTCAACTCGGCCCGCTCCGTCACAAGGCAGCCAGGAGCTTTTACATGATTTATTCGAGGCTAATGCGGCTGTTGGTTCAAATCATTATATTGCCGCTGAAGGATGAGCTCAGCCCAGCCAACATCGGTTGATTCCGCCAGCGGCCGGAAAGCACGGAGTGGCGATTAAATGACCCTACGGTTCGGAGATACGCGCTTGCAGTCTCCTCTACACAGCCATTCAGTTTCGGCTGTGTAGCCGTTACCCGGTGAAGATGCAACTAGTAGCCTATCGTGTGATTCTCGTTGCTGCAATGGCGTCTTCGTATTTCTGCAATAAAGGACTAGTCTAGACGAGTCGCTCAATGAAATGCGAGGCAGGGTTCTAAGACTCAAGGACATTCTCTCAGCTTGTGGATCAAGCAGAACCGAGTATCCCGTGAGCCTATTAATCCTTTAAACGCGTAGGCCTACAGTTACAGCCCGGGAGGAGTGTATGTACAGGGAAATTTGACGTTGCTCAGCCTTTTCGCTTCAAGATTTTCCCGCGCTATCCTTCAATGTAACAATCCGATTTAGCACAATTGCATCAGGCTTCGAGTCTGTGTCGACGGTGAAGTAGCCCATGCGCATGCCTTGGAATCGAATACTATACGGTTCCACCATACTCGCATCCCCGTCCTCCTTTGCTTTGGTCTCACCCTCTCCTTCACCGCTCTCCTTGTTCTGTTCTTTCGGCCAAGGAGCAGACCGACAGACCTCGTCGAATCCAGTTTCGATAAAAGCGTTCGTAAATATTTGTTCGGAGTCGGGGTTGATGTCTGCCAGGAAGCCATCTGGGTGGGCAGAAGGATCATCCGACTTGAATAGCTGGTTAAACGCGCGGACCTCTGCACGTTTAGGACTGCTGTGGGCGGGTGACTCGCCGACCCAGTGAATGTAGCTGCATAGTAATCAGCACCAAGGCTTGTCATTGAACATGGAAATATCTCAGTCCACCATAGAAAGAACTTACGTTTTTGCCTTCTTCACTGGCAATCCCTCAACAGGTTTCTCATACTTGGCATGAACACAAATAATTTCCCCGGTCTCTGGATCTTTCTCAAAAGAAGTTGCGGTTATGGGATGAGGCGCTTTCATTAGACCAACCGTCTTACCAGGTGCTAGGCGGAAATAGTCGGGGGAATCGACCTCGCGGAAATCCGACTTCTCTATATACACTACCTTTGTGAACGGTACCTTACGGGACTAAGTGGGAATGTGTGAGCCTTCGCTGTCCAGAAAAATAGGGATAATATTCGATTCTTACCCCGAAAGATGGATCCTTCGAGAAAGGCACTTCGACCATTTCAACAAAATCATCGGGAAGATCATCGATGATAACCTTGAGCGGCTCGAGTACAACCATCAAACGTGGAACAGTGGTTTCCAGGTATTGACGGACCGTTTGTTCAAGCTTGACGACTTGAACGTTGATTTTAGCTTTGGTTACGCCTAGCTGATTGACAAAAGAGAGGATAGCTCCGGGAGGAAATCCGCGTCTGCGCAACGCGATAAGAGTATAGAGACGGGGATCATCCCAATCCCGAACATAGCCTTTTTTAACCAGCTCAATAATCTTACGCTTGGAGAGAACGGTTCCGGTTATGTTCAAGCGGCCATATCTGCCAAAAGTTTAGTACTGAGACGCTTTACAAACCGGGGGATGAGGTCGCGTACTCTCTTTGCATCGGCTTGTAGACGTCTAGCTTATCGCATAACCATTCGTATGATTCGCGAGAAAGCTCAAACTCCGTGGTACAAAGGGAGTGTGAAATATCCTCTATACTGTCACAGAGGGGGTGGGCAAAGTCATAAGTTGGGTAGACCTTCCAGTTACTTCCGGTTCGGAAATGAGCCTTGTGCTCATGGTCGAGGATTCTCCAGGCAAATAAATCCCACATCTGCGGGTTCGGGTTTTCTAGATCCTGTTTCATCCGAAGTGCAGCCTCGCCTGGTTTATATTTTCCATCTCTCATAGCTCGGAATTCGGTCAAGGATTCTTCAATGGGGCGTGATCGATGAGTGCAAGGAAAACGTTCGCCACCAGTTCCTTCACCGCGTTGAACTTTTATCTCGGCCTCTTTTTTTGTTATTTTGCTCGTGTTAGCTCAATGAACTTAGCAGTGATGGGGGTCTTCGAATCACGCACTTGTGCAATGGCAGACATAGGCACCATCACGGCGGATCAAATCCTCGGCAAGCTGGTAGAGCTTCTCGAAATTATCGCTGGCAGCTGTAACACGGATAGGCTTGAAACCGAGCCAATGTATTATATCTTCAATTGCCTTATAGTACTTTTCCTCTTCGCCCTCGGGATTCGTATCGTCAAATCGCAGAATGCAGCTGCCACCGTGGTATCGAGCGAAGCCGAAATTAACCGCAATGGCTTTACTGTGGCCAATGTGTAAAAACCCGTTGGGCTCGGGGGGAAATCGCGTGATAACCTTTGGGATCTTATCTGAAATCGGTCTCTCTTGATACACATCGGCCAGGAAACCGACTTTGAACATAAATTCGGGGTCTTGGGTGACATCTACACCAGCGGCACCTCCTGCCTGTTTTTTAGGGCCCTTATTAGCATTTTTGGCACTATTATCTTTCGGCTGCTTCGCTGTTTTTTTCTTTGGCGGTTTGGCCTCCTTTGGCCGTTCGGGCAGCTCGGTGGTACCCGTAGGCGCGCTCATGGCTCTTTCAAGAATCAGCTTATCCAATCAAACCGGTTCTCAAGCTCAGTACGGAGAGCAGACTGGCATAACCAAGAGCTATCCAAAAAAAAGATATAAAAAGGTGCATGAACAGGTAGCATTTCCCTGGCGGGGGAAGACTTTCTTTGATATTCAAGTTTTGGCGGGGTGAGTCTGACTCATCAAAGCTCCCCAGTCGGGTTTAGCGTCGGTGTTATCGTGCTTCCTTATCTTTCCTCTGCTAATGGCAACTGTGCCTTTCTCTTGTCCTGCTCCAGTCGCGGTGATGTTGGATGAGGTGAAACTCTCTCCGCTGTCGAGGAAGACACGGGGTCGACACGGGATCCTGAGCGTTGAAGCTCATCAGCAAACTACCTGTTTGGCCCCCAGCGAATATAGTTACGGCACATTATCTAGAGTGATGCTGGAGCCCTTCACGTCGTTTAGGATCCTCATCCTCATAATTTTGCGGATAGCGGCGGAGAGCCAGAGACTACGATGTCCTCTTACCCTCTATAAGGTCATTGCATATGACCATGGGTAACATTATCACGACGACGGTGGCCTTGGTGCAACGTGCCCCGGGTCCCTTCCACTTCAGACAGGACCACAGCTTTTCGAAAGTGCTTCTTTGCGTTCGAAAATATCACGAGGAGAGGGAACGAAGGCGGGTGACTTTTTCAAAAGCTTCCCCACACAATCTGGAGGATATGTCAAGCCAAGCCTATCGCGCAATCTTCTTCCGAAAAAAAAAAAAAAAAAAAAAAAAAAAAAGGAAAGAAAAAGAACTCTATATGTATGAACGGAGTACAGAATATGGGGTATGGAATGAACTCCGGCAAGTTCCACAGCATCCGGAGTATTGTGATCTGGAACTTTTGTTCTTGAATTGGGGGCGGTTGACTTTGGAAGCTCACGGGATGCATGATCAACAAAGTAAGCATATACGGAGTACATGGACTATATTACCGCAGACAGACGGGAGCGTTTGCAAGCAACAAAAATGCATGAACACCAATCAGTGAGCACTCACTGCCAAGGAGGGTTGACCGACATTCAATGCATCGGCACGGGGCACAAGGCTCTAGAATAACTGGTTTCTCATGGGAAACAAAAATGGAAGTTCTATCCCTTTGGTACACGGGCTTCTCTTGGAAGATGAGCCGCGATTATGAGGGGTTCCTCCGCATCGCTCCGCCGGGGGGGGGGGGGGGGGGGGGGAAGAATACTATGCGCTTGAGCCGCCGGAAGAGGTCAGTTTACCCTGCGAAGACATCGCCCACCCGTGAATTACTTCCAATTCCCTCTCGGTGTCCCGTCGCAGAACCGTATCATTTTCAAAAGTAAAGCGATTTATGACCAGTGAGCACTTTGACTTTGCCACGTGCTTGTTCAGCCATGTTATATTCCCGCATGACAGGAGCGACGGCCCTCACTGATCCCATTGGGTGATGGTTGGAAGGCTTAACCCCGAGTGAGAATGACCACGCGATACGCCGTAAGCGTGGTTTGGACTTCCTGGGGCTCTGAATGAAATGAACAGGCAATACCCTTGAGTTCAGAGCCATGGCCGGCGCGGCCGGCGCTTGCTGTGGACGTCGACTCCAAAGGAGAGAATACAGCCAAGCGAAAAGAGTGTCCCCTTGGGGCTCAGTTCGTAAAAATTTTTCGTAAAAAGTAGTAAGCGGGACAATCAAGCTTCTTTAGCCGGCACAACCATGCAAGGGTGTAATGCACCACGCTCGTCTGTCCAATCAAGAATCAATGCCGCCAGCGTTTTGAGATCTGGAATCGTTTCATGACGAGATCTTGAAGCCGCAGCGTTCACCGACCTAAAGTTCCCAGGGCACGAGATCCTTGCCGTGCCTGGGGGTGGTGGTCATGATTACTCATTGCACCAGGCCAAGTGCCATCGAAGCCGCCCCAACCAACTAGTTCACTAAGGAGTTAGTGCCGAAACGATGGTGTCGGACCAGCTTTGGGGCCTGCTTGAGCCTCAAAGGAAAGGAGAGCGTGCAGGTCCCCGCACCATCACACTCGCGTCCAGGCAACTCTGTGGGTTGCAAGAATAGTGGCACGAAGTTTCCCGTATTAGCTTCGTGCTCGAGTTACCAAGCTCGAGGCCGCTGGACGAGGGGCTCATCCGGATTTTCTGGAGGCTCTTTGTTTGGCCGATGCTCCCCTGGAGCCTGATACGTCGCTGCCGACGAGAATGGGGCAGTAGGTTTCACAATCTGCCAGGAACGGTCGGACTGATCTACGCCCTTCTCAACGTAATCTCCCACGTATCCTTGGCCTTGTCGCCTGCCATCCTAATGGTCCCAGTTTCACTGGGGTCATGCGACGGCGATCATCCTATCTCGGAGCCAGCATCCCACAGCTCAAAACTCAGCCACACAGTGAAGATGATCCCAGCGCTTTCTCAAGACCGAGCATGTGGCTCGCCGAAGGAACGTTTGGCCAGCGACCGAGTTGGTAACTTCAGGCATACGGAGTCGTCAACGAGCTAGTGCACTCCGATCCCTCTCCCGGGTGGTTCGCTGGAGTTGGGACCAAAAGAAATGTCGGGTGGCACGACTTGGCGGCAATGAGGGGCCAGAAGCTTTGGTGTCTCGGCTGTGATTTGCAGCATCGTGAGAATCCATCCCTGAGGCAGAGCCGCACAAAGGTCATCGACAGTCGCCTTTTGCTTTTTCCGTCCTTCATACCAATCGAGACCCTCGGGCCAATGACGGCTTGTCGCTTCAGGCTTCGCAGCCTTGTCGTTCCCCGGAATTGTTGAGTTCCACTGCCAATCAGCATGGGAACACTGAAAAGCCGCTCAATCACGTCGAAGTTTCGGCTGAACCTTGATTGAAACCATGTAACTGAGATCGGGGCGCTAACTCGTGAACTAGCAAGCTCAGCGTATACATGTAGTTCTAGTCCAAGAAGGAGAGATAACGAGTTAAGTTTTGTTGGCCACATGTGTGTTTTAAGCCTCATATTTGCCTCTTGCTACCATTCAACAAAAGGAACAGATGTTTCACTCATTGAAAACTCCTTTTGTCCCAAACTTGAGCCTCAATTTTGATTCGCGACACAGATATATTTTAGGCAATGCCAAAGAAGTGAATCTGGCAGTTTCGCCCATACATAACACCAGCATCACAGCACTGCTCAACGACTCCAGCTCATAGGACGGCGCATTGATGCTTGGTTTGAATCAAGAAAGTCTTGTTGAACAAGTGAAGCGCAGCTCTGGATTGAAAGAGTGACTCTAAATTCTTATCAATAATACCCTTTTCCATGATGATCTGTTGTCCTCGGCCTCACACGTCCCCAGCAGCACATCCCCCGCCCTTGAAAAGTTCGAAATCCAAGAAGACTTGCTTCGCTCTAGGTTAATACCTGGGCGTTTGGCTAAAGAGACGGAGGGACATCTGCGATTTGTGTGCTCTTGTTTCCCTTGTTCGGTTCGCGCTCGACTGTCATGACTCAAAAATTCGACTCCATCCCTTTCGACATTTGGCATGAGATTGCCTCCTATCTGGGGCCCGACGACTACGTCAACTTGAGTCTCGTCAACAGGGAAATGTACGAGCTGTTGAAGGATGACATGACAGCCCGAAAATCTGCTCAGGTATGCCTGATTATGGGATGGCGCCCCGCATGCCCTGCCCGATGCCCCCCCTCTCTCCCACCCATGGCTGGAAAGATGTTGAGCACTGACACGTCTTACTAGAAGTTTATGTTCCACAGTGCTGAGTGCAGGTTGGCTGCAAGTGGGCAAATCAGCTACTGCCAAGCCATAAGACGGGCGTTTGACGTCCGGGAGGCTGTGGCCAACGCTCAGCCTTACTCTGCAAGCGTTGTCGCGTACGCGGAGAGTTTCCAATTCAAGCAAGGTGTACTCTGTTACAAATATCGCGATACGCTACGGGTTTTGAACGTCCGTGATGCGGATGACACGGAGCAGGTTATCGACGTCAGAGTGGCGTTTTTTGAAGTTGTTCTCCGCCGAAAACCCCACGATTCCGGAGAAAGAACCCAGATCACCCTCCTTCATTATTCAGATGGCATTGCTTCTTGCTTATGCAAGTGGGCTGGCCTTGCCTGGCTTGTCGCTTTTGATGTGCGCCCAACTTTCTCCGAAGTGGGCACGAGTCGCGTCAGAACCATGCGCCAACTATACTCAACGGATGAGCTTTTTGTACGCAACAACGCGTCATATCTTTACTACGGAACACATTCAGGAGAGGTACAAAATAACCATTTTGACTATAGGGAATGGCTAATTCACGGAGTGTACCTACCCGAGGACCGTAACCTCACAAAACGGCCTCTTCAGCTTGAAAATGTCGTAGGGTCCGAGGTCGGATCCACTATCTGTTTTGAAATACGAGATGACTATCTCTACGTGGTCTCCAACCAGACATCACACGAAGAAGAGGAGGTCGACTGGACATCGTTCTACGTCTGTGTGCGTATTCCTCTCTCGCAACCAACACAGCCCATATGGCGGCGATGTTGGCGACGCCAGCATCAAGAAGGGCCCCTGAACGATTCCTGGACCGACCTGTCCCTGAAAACGGATGAAGAGACAGGAAATCTCACCATCGTTGAATGTCGGCGAGAATGGCGAAATGGCGGCAGTGAAAACTACAGGACGTTTTATATGCAACCGATCGACCGTCCAAGTGCTCAGGCTGAATGGGAGGCCGATGATCTCGACCCGGTGACTGCCAATTCTCCCCTTCCTGGAGATGAGCCTCCGAGTCCTGGATTTCCTTGTTATAGGCGCGCTGCTGAACTACCAAATGATGATCCATTGACCCGTACGCTTGACGCTTTTAGTAAACCCAACTATGTTCCTCCACGGAAACGTGTACGACGGCAATATCATGATGAATATACTTTTGAAGAGAGAACTTCGGATTCTCGAAAAGATTTTCCACTATCGAAAACCAAATTTTGGACGTACAACCACTCCGCGTCGTCATTTGTTGACCTCGTTAATGACCCACGGCCAACAAAAGGATTCTCTGCACAAGCAGATCGATTGCGTCTCCGCATTGGCTCTCGAAAACGTAAGTGTCCTATCGACGAACAGGGCGAAGAAGTCGAACGTGGTTCCTTATACCCCCCAGAATATTTCCACGGCTGTGGTGTGCCTGTTAAATGGTCTGAAGAGCGTTACAAGTCTCGTGGAATCAAGTTCTGGCCACCAGATGACGCCCCAGAGGAGCTTCTCCAGCTCCTCTGTCCGCGCACGGCGTCGGGGCGGATCGAAGCGGCCGCTGATGAAAGGATGATTGTTTACTTAACAAAAGCTTCACAACCGGACGGTCCCAGACAAGTGATTGTACTGATTAATTTCGACCCGACCATCAGATTCAAGGGGCTCAAGCGGCTAAGTCAGCCCTCCTTGACAACCACATCCGATTCCGGAAACACAAACACGCGATCTATCGAGACAGACGCATTCGCTACAGCTTCTGCGTCCTCCCAGCCCAAATCCTCTTCCTTCCCATCTCTTTCCAGAGCAAAATCCTACTCTACATCCAGCCGACCATACTCGCATGACGCGGTTAAAGGCCCCGCATGTCGCGGCAAGAAGTTACGCTACACAGAACCACGGTGGTTTACTATTGAGTCAGCGTCGTATCACAATATGCCTGGATATTGGCTTCGTTGATTAAACCAAGACTGAGGGCGTAGAGCTACAACCCGGGCTGCGTCGGAGACATAATATCACCTGGTAACATGAATTAACCCTCTTGATACTACCTCTAAAAGCCATAGAAAGAGATGTCATATGGTGTCGACAAAAATACCCTTTTAGCTCGAGGGCCAGGTTTGGGATGAGGATCAGCTTTACTCTGGCTTGGCCTGAGGCCCGGGCGAAGGGGCGTGAAGCGGAGTGAAGCTGAGTGAGGAAGGGCGAGGTGGGGGGAGAGCTGTAATCCTCATTGGCGAACTAAACACCTCTCCCTTCGTGTTCTCCATAGTTACTGTAAACCTTCTGATTACTCTTGTGCCAAGTTTCATAGGTTTTAGGCTCCAGCTTTCCATGTTTCACAAGTTCATAAGAAGCAAGTTATTGAAAGGAGCTGCAACAGGCCAACAGAGCAGATGGTTTCTGGCAAACTAGTTCTTGATCAGATTCCATGACAGGCCTCTGCCTGGACGCAGCTGCAAATTATGGAACTCAAATACAAATGGGATCATAAATGGCTTTGTTTGAGTAAATCTCAAATGAATGAATCAGTCAAAAGAACTGTTTAAAAGGAACATTTTCACAAGTTTGTCCCAGCGATCCTTCACCACATTCACATTCTCAATGTATGTAATCTGACACATCAGAAGATCGGCTTTCATCTCAGTCTAGGGAAGATGACTTGCAGAGCGTTAATGAATCTGACCTGGAATCTCACCATTTTCGGCGATCCGATCAGTGCAAACATCTATCATCCGGCTTCGGACTCCTGCAAAGGAGGCACATCACATTTTATTCATCATCCCACAAAGACCCCCCCCCCCCCCCCCCCCCCAAAAGGATTCTGCCATCCGAATATTGCTGTTTGTGGAACCACACTGTCCACAGATCGTCCAGTAAAATTTCTCAGCACGGCTTTAGTTCCTCCCTAGGTCTTCCATACACTTGCTGAACTGCGACCTTGTAATCCGGGAGCAAGAAGGGGTCAAACATGAGCAGCACCAACGATGGCTGGAAAGAACTGGATGCAACTCAACCCCCCTTGAGGTATCTTGTCGAGTTGACGCCCACAGCAAATTAGCGATGAGATTAAAGATGGCGTTCCATATCTCATTATCGCTTGCCTTTGAAGGATAAGCCTATCAAGAGGTTGAAAAAAATCACAGCTAAAGTCGCATTATAGGTGTGTAAATAAGCCTGCAAGCTCAAAGGTTATGCCCTTGACGGTGGTCACGTCCTGCTGCACCTTGACTGCCTGCTCTCTATGCAATAACAGCTTTCAATCTTCCCGGCGCACTGATCCGAGATCGCTCAAATTGCCTTTAATTTTGCCTTGAAAGTGGTAGAAAATGTAGAAAAGTCCACTTCCGTAATGTGGTCCATTAGGGAGCTCAAGAAAGGGACAAAAAAATGAACGGCTTCTACGCACTGGAATATTCCCCGCACCAGCATTTGTAGATAAGGCTACCCACGGGCCATCATGAGGTATTGGGAAATGCGACTGTGGCGTAAAGCTTGACAACGTCGTCGTCAGTCGAACCTTTACAAGGTTCTTCGGAGTTAACTAGGCTGTACAGGAGGGTGCCGAAGGGAAATATGTCGTCCTGGTTGAGTCTTTGTGACCGGGTAGATCCTTCCACTCACTCCGAATTACATTCCGCAGTTCAGAATCCTAGGTTCAGATCTGCTTTCTTCCGTCGTCCTCTACCTGGAACAAACCCAGCCCAGTCAAATACTCTGTCCCCGGCGTAGGAGCTGTACATCAAAAGTTTATTCTCCCTTTCCCCTCAACGGAAGACGCTGAGCCGGGTCTGGCGGGCAAAGAATTAATTTCAAAACTTTCTGGGCTGTGGTCTTGTCGTAGCAAGACATGCTGAGTTCATACAAAGCCTTCGATGTGAATGTAAGTGCGGTGTATGGGTTTGACGGATCACAGGACGCCTGGACCACGCGTACTTGCCCGAGAATGAAGATCACGACCGTAGCCAAGAGGAATGTCAGCGGTTGCATACTGTGTAAAATGAGGGGGAAATTTAATGCCCGGGTATCTCTGGCTCTGTATACTCAGATTTTGAGGGATCCCAGCGTACTTCATTCATCTGGCAGTATAAGATGGAAGGTATTCCCAATATTTCCGAAGAAGGTAATTCTTGCCATCCATCTGCTGGTCCAACAGTGAGTGATCCCGGATCATGATGGCCCAGTGATCCCGTCGGTGTTGAAAGAGACAGTATGCAAGAGTGCGGCGGTGGTTGTCAGCTACCAGGCCTTGACCGAGCATGAAAAGCAATGGACCACCACATCTGTGAAAAGGAGAGAGAGGGTAAGACACAAACAGCCATGAAATACAAGGAGTCAGGAAGTACATAGGGATAATAAGAGGAAAAGGCGCTAGTTCTCCTACTGTGCTCCAGAGGTGATTGTAGCTTCTTTTTTCAAGCCATCAATAGTCATTGCCAACCAACCAGTCCAGCTATAGTCAGCTGGCGGGCGGAGGAAGTAAGAAGAACCAGGGGAGTTTGATCCTCGCACATTTCTGTATGGCTCTTTCAAAAGCCGGCGGAGTTGGGAACTCAGCCTTTTCCCCTGTGGTTTCCTTTCAAACAAGTTTGAGGTCTAATGGGTTCTGCAGCCAGTCGAAGAGGAACAGATCTGGCTCCTCTGACCAATACATGTTAAAAAAGCGCACCCATCAAGTTACTGAATTCACTTGGGCCTGATAGGAGCTTGTGCTTGATGCGTTCCACAATAGCTGATGCTTGTTGTTTTTGATGGGACACTGATATGCTAAATCACTCCAAATCAAACTGTTTCAGAGTCACTTGTTTGAGCATCAGCAGTTATGACAATTCATGGCTGGATACAGATGATAGGTGTTAGAGAGAAAAAAAGCCCTTAACTACTCTTCACCCCTCGCGCGAAACCTTGATAAGGGAAGATCACGTGAGGGACGGAGTGCCGATAAAGGGTTTGAGTCATCGCAGCGATTCCCCCTCTTCAAGAGGAGGTTTTGATGGCGACTGCTCGAGACATATTCTCTAGACACTCTGCTTCAGCTCAGTGACACAGAAAGAAGTTATTTTGCTCAATTGCCTACCAATTGCATTCAGAAATGGCTGGGACAACTCTCCACCTCCGTGCGGAGGACAAGATTCTCGAGCACAGGTATGATCGTACTCCTCGTGTCTTTCGGCGAGCATACGATAGGAATCACTGCGTTGGGTTTCTCGATTGAGGCCCACCTAATGCTCCTCCAATTCCAAACCACCCAAGTCTAACAAATCTCGAGCTAGATCCGCACTCACTCCGTCGACTACCCGTGCTCTTATCGACGCCGGCTACAACATCAAGGTCGAGCGGTCACCTACCTCCGCTCTCCGCAAGCGAATTTTTCCGGACGAGGAATTCGAGAAGGCTGGCGCCGAATTGGTTGCCGAAGGAAGCTGGATTAATGCACCCAAGGATTCAATCATCGTGGGTTTGAAGGAGCTTGATGAGACCAAAGATTTCCCATTGGTGCACGACCACGTCACATTCGCGCATTGCTTCAAGAACCAAGGAGGTTGGGAGAAGGCTTTGGGAAGGTGGAGTCGTGGTGGGGGTGTTTTATACGATTTGGAATTTCTGCAGGTTTGAGCTCCTGGTGCCGGGGCCTACGAGGGCTTTCTGGAAAGGCCGCAGGGCTAACGCTCCATATTACAGGATGACTCGGGTCGAAGAGTAGCCGCTTTTGGTTATCATGCTGGCTTTGCCGGTGCTGCGCTTTCATTGAAGACCTGGGCCTGGCAGCTCGAGCACCCGGATGGCACCCCACTTCCAGGTGTCGACGAATTCACCGGCGGGAAGGGTTATTATGTCAATGAGGATGAGATGGTCAATCAGATCCGTGCCGATATTGAAAGGGGAGCTAAGATTGCGGGTCGCAAACCACGAGTCCTGATTATCGGTGCATTGGGTCGTTGCGGAAGGTGAACCGACCCATTTGGACATCGCTTGAAGTAAAAGCATAGCACTAACACGTCCAATAGAGGAGCCGTCGATGCATGTGTCAAGGCAGGTTGCGAGGATATCCTCCGATGGGATATGGCAGAAACGGCGAAGGGCGGTCCTTTCACCGAAATTGTCGAATCCGACATGTATGTGCTATCAGTGGGAGAATAGACGTGCTGGATTGCTGACGGCGGATAGCTTCATCAACTGCATTTATCTCACTAGCAAGATCCCTTCATTTGTCGATGAGGACAGTCTCAAGAGCCCGAATCGTAAGCTCTCTGTTGTGTGTGACGTGGTATGTACTCCTCCCGCCAATTTTGGGCGCAAGGGCGCTAACCCAGCGGATTTATAGAGCTGTGATACCACTAATCCCAACAATCCTATTGTAAGTCCTGATTATCTGTGTAACTCATACAGGCCTTGAGCTAACTGTTTGCTTTCTAGCCCATTTACAACGTAAACACTGTATGTACATCTACTTTCATTTATTCCTAAACTCCAGCTGATCGACTTGCCCAACAGACCTTCGATAAACCTACCCTCCAGCTTAATTACACCAATCCTCCTCTCAGCGTGATATGTAAGTGTGGCTTGTGCTCAACCTTATGCTATTTGCGTTACTTTTCTCCTGCAAAACGGAGACGCAAGAGGCTAAATCCGGATTTTCAACAGCAATCGACCACCTTCCAAGCCTTCTCCCAGCCGAGTCATCCGAGGCCTTCTCCACAGATCTCCTACCGTCCATGCTCGAGATCAAGAACCGGACCTCCCACCCCGTCTGGCAACGGGCGGAGAAGCTATACAGAGAGAAGGTGCAAACATTACCCGCCGAGTTGCAAAAGGTAGAAGTTTAGATCGTTGCTTCTTTTTGGTATATTTGATACAAAAGGAGAATACATGGATTGCATAGATGGCACCTGTTGGGTATTTCGGGGTATAAAATTAAAGATGACATAATAGATGGCGGAAAACGATAGGAGATTCCATGGGTATAGGCCTATGCTGGTATCAGTTTAAAAGTTCGAAACTTCTTCAATCCAAAGGGCCAGGAGATCGACTTTGTATGGTGACCTCTTTCGTAGTTCCACTCGCTTCTCTATCGGTCGACGCTCCAACTCCGAGCGGTGAAAGTCAATGATTAGGGCCCGTTGTAGCTCATCATTCCACAAAACGTTTCCATGACGAAAGTCCTTATGTATAACTCCCGAAGCTCGAATATCTCTGTTAGACCTCCTGATCTTGCGAGTCAACGCCTCGGAGTGCTCGTGCTTAGTTGTATCCTTACCACCCCAGGCCATGAGCAGCATGTGGCGTATCTGTCCGCCCCGATGTAGAAAGTAGACCATTCTCAGATCGACCGCTCCAAGAAACACAGGGACTGCAGACCCCTGAGCCTTTTGGAGGATGCGGTATACATCTGCTTCGCGAGAGACCTCATTCCAGAGGAGGGACGTCGTCCCCTTTCCAACCACTGTATAGCCATATGTAGCGCAGGTGATTTTGAACGGTGCTCCAAATGCACCACAGTCTCCAAATGGTGTGCATTTGTGATCAAGATTTTCATCCAGCTGTTCCTTGAGCAGCTGTACCAGGCAATCTGCAGTAATAAGATGATGCTTGCCCTCTCGGCCTCGTCGGTGAAGCTCCACATTAGGGCACTGGCCATCTAGCATGCGGCTATGTTTAAGGCTGAGTAGACACTTTTGTGTGCAAAATTGCTCTGCATGGTGGTTCTGTTGCTTACGGTGGGTGCGTCTTGACCGTGGCGGTTGCTGTATGGACGGGGATGATGTGATCTGCCTGAGGTTCCGCTTGCGTCTGGGTGGTGCTTGGTTCAAGTCGGTGTCCGATGAATCAGTGGGTTCTGAGTCGTATGCGGTTGCCTCAGGTGCACAGCCTGCCTGGGACCGCGTACGAGCTCGCCGGTCTCCCGTTGCTGGAGACGTCAAAGGGGAAGATGGAAAATATTCTGAGCCTGGGAGGGGTTTCCTTAAGCTCCTCCTCCGGGATTTGAGCTCTAGTCGAAATCTATTTCCCACACGTGCAGCTGCTGAATTGCATCGTTGCGCACTGAATATCCCGAGGACGCAAAGGAGAACTCATTAGACATAGGCACAAAACCCGAACGATAGCTGTCTTCGGCTCCTGCAAAGCCTGCTCATCTCCAGTATTGACTTCCATATTGGGTTCGCAGAGATAGAAGTAAAGCGTCGCGGGATCATCATGGCGCACATGAAGAAGGATAAGGGCGAAACCATTTATTATATAGGAATACTCGAGGCCTTCATGGATCATCACATGATATTCTTGGGCCAAATCTGCTCCAGTTAACTGTTCAGCATTATATTTCAATTTCTGAGCGGGGTCAGTTGGAACTGTTTCCCTTTGAACGACCTCCTCCCAGAATTCCATTGGGCGGAGCCCTACCCGAATATATTCCACTGGGAGCTTGTGGGGAGGCTTAAACTCCCCTGTGGTGATCAGAGTGTTAGTGCTATCATCCAGGCGACGGACGCAGAACTGATCGGGACTGGGCTGGCGAAGCGTCCCATGCGTTGCACCTGATATATCTGAATCAAGCTTATCCAAGGTATTGGCGTGATTTTCGAACTGAATCCCATCTCCCAGCGAGAATTCGCTTCGAGCATTTGGGATTTCACACAGCTCCGCAATCACATCATGCACATGGTCTTCCACGCCGAATCGCTCGTAACTTTCGAGGTCCTTTTCGCTGGCTAGTAGCCGGCGATGAAACAAACGCCCAAGGCCCTCCAATACAATAATAGGTGAAAATATCCGCGGTGCATCTGCCTCAGATGCGCGGAAGTAATTGCGAACGGTATCCTACACTTCTTGCTGCCTTGCTAGACAGTCCGTCCAAAGACGAAGCCGTGTAGGGCAAAGTTTCCCCGAGGGCTTTGTCAACGAACCCTTTGTAGAGCGGGGTGCCTGTGCAACCCTTAATGATCAATACAATGAATCATGACAGGTTCGAAGATATTCGTCAAAGGTCGTAAGGCGCGTGCGCTCGATTTCTCTGAAGAAAAGAGCTTTGTAGTCTGGTGAATTGTTTCCTGCCATCTGGGGCCGTTTGCTGTTTAATTTTCAACCAGGACTATCAACTGCTACAAAAAACGCAGCTCTTGGGGGATGTTATGCGGTGGTTGGCCTCTCACAACCAGCCTGTGGCGTTGTAGGTCTTTGGCAGCAGTTTGAGAGCAGCTGCTGGACAGCAGGTATACAGCCAGCATCAGTGTCCGACCAGAGAGATCTCCTTGATATACAGTATATCATCAGCATCCTAATAGTAGTTGCTAATGTGCAGATTCAGATTCAAAAAGAAATGTGGTCAAGAATTGCTGAAGAAATGCAGATACCTTGGAGGGCTGCAGCGCCAATGCATTGGCAAATGAGGAAGAGTGAAACGGCACACTGAGCAGAGGTGAGACTATTCTCTTTTATCACCTCCCACCACAACCACAGGCAACATTTTACCAGAGAAACAAGTCTACTGTAGTATAGGCCAGCTGACCACTGGCATTCCAGCAGATTCATCACCTCCCAATCATCTAAAAATATGGGCCAAAGCAAGACGACCTGGCGGTGGTCGCAATCTGTAGCAACAGAAAACGGGATCAAGGGGCGTAGATCTGGGCTCGAGTTTTACATCCCTTTCGGAAGAGCACAATGCTCCGCTCCTCGGATCCCAAAGCTTTAATGGCAAGAGAAATATTACAGAATCAAAAAAGGGAAACAAATTTAACTATATACATACATACACACATGCACCGCCCTTATCACATCGTGAGAATCATTTAACCTGTCACATTTATAGGTACGCTAACCCGAGTCATTCGCCTGGCGGCTTGAGCAAGTGACACGACAGTGTACTGAAAAAGATGCTTTCTTAAAACTGCATCTGCTCTCTGATTTCCGGGGAGTTCAAGAACATGCACCGCTCGCGAAGTTTCTGTGCGCGGATAGCTGGCTTTGCCCGACGGCCATCCCACGGCGATAAACCTGCCGACGGGCCTCCAGCCACATAAATACTCGTGTTGTTACCTCTCGCGAATGCTTTTTCCCATCCTTTCAAAGTCTCCTTTCCCCGAACGGACGGACGGCCGACACTGGCGAAGGATGACCAAGACCGTGAAGCTTCGATCGCAAGACGGCGGTCAGAGTCGACAGGGTCGAAAGGGTATCCGGGAATGTCATAGTGAGAAATGTTGCCAAATACGTATGCGAACTCAGATGTGTGGATCGCACCGAGGCCGGGGCTGCCTATCGCAGCCAGGATTGGGGCGACAAGAGTCTGGTTGAAGTCATACAAGTAAACGTCGATATCTTTCCGCGCCAAATTCTCTCCATACCAGATCGGCATGCATGTCATGATGATATCTCTGAACATTCTGGCCGAACGGTAGAACTGCGCAGTGCGGTTAGCCGTTGGATCGTCAGAGAAATCGGAGCTCGGATAAAGCTCAAGTAATGACTTGACCGAGACATCCGTCATCGCAGGGAGATAGCTGGAGATAAAGTTGAATGTATCCTCTTCCGTATAAATTTCCTGGGGTGTGTAATACGTGACATCTTCCTCGGTCCATCCAATCATTGTCCTCACTTTCGCGAAGCGACCTTCGGAAACGAGAGTTGACGGTGCATCTGGTAGAAAATCACCGTCTACCGTCGGCAGCCAGGAGTCTCCAATATTGTTGGAGATGTCGGCCACGTGGACCTCGATAGACTTATTCAATAGAGGCTCCGTGTCAAAGTCACGCAGACAAGCAATGGTTTCTGGGGAGTGCAGATCGGTGGTATTGCAGCCAGTGGCGCCGGCGACCAGCTTCATTTCATTGATAGTGAAGTCACCGGTAATTCCGGGTTCGAGAGCCTGGCTCTGACAAATGCCCTGTTGGAACGGTACCGGCTTTGTGCCACCATATGCCATGGTGTGGAGGCCAACCGCAAGACCTAAGTCGATGTCAGCAACCGCAGAAAAAGGAAGAAAATGAAACATCGCCAGGTTTGTACCTCCGGAAGATTGGCCGAATATCGTAACTTTCGATGGATCCCCTCCAAAAACTTCGATGTTGTCGCGAACCCACTCGAAAGCCAGTCGCTGGTCCCTTAGACCGGCGTTGGTCGACTTTTCCTCTCTAAGAGCATCTGAGATGGCGAAGCCGAACACTGTTGTATATATATTAGCATCACACCGTTTTTGCTGAAGTCATGCTGTTCTGATAAACGTACATCCCAAGCGGTAATTGATCGAGACATGAATGATGGGCATCTCATTTTTCATAGACTCCAGAATCATTCCATCCGGTTCGTAGGAGAGGTCGGCATTTGAGCCAGTCCAGAAACTACCTGATAGGCAAGTTAGTCAACATTCCCACCCAACCAACTCGGCATAAAACTGCTTGCCTCCGTGGATGTAGATCATAACGGGTAATTTGGAGTCGGAGGACAAGCCCGGGGGTCGAACAATATTCAAATTAAGGCAGTCTTCAGAGATATCGAAGATATTTGACAACGTCAAGGGAAAGTTTGGATTGCCGGTCTGCTGGGGACAGGCGGGCCCGAATGCTTTGGCCATGATCGTCGATCCTTCCTCGGGCACATATGGCCGAGGGGGCTTGAACCTGTGCTCGCCGCTCGTGTCCTGGCCATATGGGATGTTCAGAAAGACATCGAGACCATTCCTCGATATCCCTTCGTAAGTGACCTGGGTCTCAGGATCCGTCACGCGCGGGCTGGCCGCCGCGTTGGCCGCCACGGTCAACGCCAGGAGTAGAGCGGACTTCATAGTGCCGCAGAAACAGAACAATTGAAAAACGTACGTTCGGAAGAAATGGGCTCTATGAGAGACCACATTCATATATATATATATCGAGCACTCGGTACTCTGGGCCTTGGTTAATTTATCATTGCATGAACCTGTCCGTGTTACATCGCCTCCGCGGGGAGTCCTCTGGGAAGTTCTGCATGGGTTCCACTGTCGGGAGAAAGGATTGGCGGCCAACCCAACTCCCGTCCCCTGGGGCTGAAAGTGCACGCCATACTCAATGGAGCAGGTCAACAGTTCAGCGTGGATATTCATTGGTGCGGCATGGGGTTTCTGGAAAACAGGACAGCCGACAGGGCCCAAGGATGCAGCTGCAGGGCAAGCGAGGGAAAATCCCCAGCCGCTGACAACTGGCGATTTGCGACGCATTCTCCCCCCAACACCCCGGTCAGCCAAACGGTCCTTGACGGTTAGTTACTTAGGCTTCACTTGCGGCATCAAACCCCAGAAGGAAGGAGAATGGGATAAGACGGAAATGGAGATAGAGACGACATGAGCGCAAAGTTGAGTTGCTCAGTGGGATCCGGAGTAGTCAACTCGTTGACTCGGTGTTAAAGTGGGGTGACAAAAGCGGTCAAGATTTCGCGCGGGACACATTTGAGCGCAACAAACGGTAGTTAGTTAACTGCCATGCACATCGAATATCTATCGAATCCACTGGTAGTTGGCGCTGGGCCTGGAAGACGAGGAAAATTGAAGTTGCAAGATGCCGCTCGGGAGGGTTGTTTCGAAGACATTCCAATACATTTTCGTCAAGGGTTCACAATTATAGCGCCAGGGGGTCAATTAGACGACCAAGATCATATGCGAAGTTAAATAATTCCCGGAATCCCAAAAAAAAGAAAAGGGTTCAAATCGCATCAACTCCTACCCTCTCATTTTCAGCGCTACGGGGCAGGGAATTCTATGAGGCCCTCCATTCCCCATGTCGACATCATGGGAGAAGCCTCGCATGTTTCTTTCTACTCAGCGTCCGATTTTCTCCTTTGTGGGCGGTTACCGCTGCCAACTATTTCAATACGTAGTAGTTACCCTACAGTACGGAAGGAAAGCTCAGTGGTTCAAGAGAATGTAAAACAGCGTCCTTTGGATATAGCGCCAAAACATATACCTATCCTTATTGATATGGCATTGATAAAATAGAAGCTATGTAGTCGCATGTAAATGTAGTCGGATCCCCAAGATATGTGATAATTGTCAACGGATAAATTTAACATCCTCAATTGTTGAGTCTAACATAATTTCCTAACGCAATAGTTAGCCTTTACCTGTCACACAAATGCACTCAACGGGCGGGTAAACGATGTTAAGCCATACCAGGAAATTGTCCAACCTTTCCGTTTATTCTTCCCGTCCACCACTCATTCTCGTTATTCGTCCTTGACACAATTTCAATGACATCTCCTGTGATGAAACTCAAGTCTCCCACTGCCTGTGCTTCATAGTCATACAGCGCCGTAACAGTCTCGACTTGCGCGGCCGCGAATTTAGCTGGCTTGGGCCTTGGTGGTGGTGGAGCAGGCTTCGCTTTCGCCGCAGCAGCAAGGGTGCCGTTCCCAAAGGTACCCGAAGCGGAGCTTCCGATTAGGGGGGATGTAGTATGCGCAGAGTATGGAGGAGGAGGATTTTCTGATCCGCTCGCGGTTCGTCGGGAAGGGTATGTTTTTGACTCCGCAGCTAGCTTATCCTTTCCGCCGCCGGGTGTGAATTTTGAGCCCGGCCGTCGGCCGCCTGTGGCCTTGAAATGGACTATTGATAACTGCTCAGTACGCTCTTTGACGTCCCCCCGTTTCCTCTCGTATGCCTCCTCCACATCCGACGTGAGGTCGAAGTAACCAATGTTCAACCCTTGCATCTTCTCATGAAGTGTGTAAAAGACATTGAGCTGCATATAATAAAATGACTGGAAAAGGGGCTTGATAAACTCCGCCTCCAACGCAAATAGCTTCGGTAGCTCGTCTTTCAAGAGGTCGTTGTAATAATTGAATTCTTGCGTCGCCTGCTCGACATCATTCTCTGCCCTATAGAGCGCCTTTTCATCTTTTAGCGATTTATCCTTCTTGTCCTGGAGCTTTTTTAATGAGGCGCGATGACGGTCATAATCCAGCTGTTTATGCTGTCGCTTCACGGCAACCTTCCGAATAACTTTGATGATCTCCAGCAGCTGGTCGGCGGGACTGATGATTCGAGATTCGATCAACTCGAGCTCGGGTTGCAACGTTGTCAATAGCTCCCTCACGATGGACTCGTATTCCTCACAAGCTTGGATGCCCTCCGGGTTCCCCTCGGGTACTAGCGTAGTCGGATCGGAAGCTCGCCCGGAAATAGGCTTATACAGTTCGGCAATAGCTTTGGAGAACTCGATCTGGTGGTTTAACATGCCTATAAAGTCCCAGCTTTCACATTAGTAAACAAGAACAATCAGCCAGGCTACAGCAATTTGAGCGCCTAAGCCCGGGGGGGGGGGGGGGGTTGAAAAAAGAAAAAAACAGGCGGAAGGTTCGGAATACCAGTAATTGCCTCGAAATACTTTTTCGACTCATCGTGCAGTTTCTTTGTCTCCTTCTCGAGTTCTTGAAACCTCCGCTCGGCGTCTATATATACGGGATCCTTTGTATTCTCGCCGAGGTTGAACCTGGCCTTGAAGGTCTGAGGAGCTCGTGCAAAGCTCTTCTGTATTCCCTTCAAACTCATCGCAGGAACTCCAAGCGTACTCTATATATATGCAACCACCGGGAGAGTGTGGTTTAACAGTTCGCGATTGACGTAAATAGACCAGGGGTAATTAGGAGCGTTCTGCACCGCGGGGAAACTCGATCGCTGAACCGCTTGGATGTGATCGAATTAGTAGGGGGTTTCTTCGGTTGAAACATTCAGGAAGGCATACCTGACGGACGACACGGAATTAGCGCATAGAGAATCAATATTACTCTTCACAAACTACAGTGATAGCAAGAACAGCATCGATCCGTGGCGAAAACGATTGTTTCAACAGAGTGTTTCCCTCCCAGCGCTCTTTATGTGGCTGACGCTGTCCGGCGATCGTCACTCTGGTGTGGCTGAGAGCCAAGCCATCGGTTCTTCGATCGAATTGGACTAGCGCGATCTACCCGGCGCACCGACGTGTGGCTGTGAAACAAGCTCCGAGCCTAACGCCACATACGCTGTTGTGCTTCTGGTACGGAGCACGCTACAGTGCCTGCTTCGACGGGGACGATTCCGCCTACAAAACGGCATCCTCCCGACTCCTAATCAATTCGGGGAGCGAGGGTGTGTCTCCTAGCCTACGTCATCTACCCTTGTCAGTCCTAACGTCAGAGTAGGGCTGAACGATACGGAGTAACAGATCTGCCGTTCTTCCCCGCACCGTCATACCAAGCCTTGGACTCGGCTGTCCATGAAAGGAGGATCGTCACTTGACGTTTCATCCCTGATCAGATCTCCGGAACAATCCGATAGGTGGGCTAGTACCAGTTCTGAGATCCCAGACCAACTTCTTCCATCTTGGTGAAATCCGTCATAACAATCATATGTCCTGTCTGAAATGGGCTAAGACGGGGAGGGAAGTAGCGTGTAGTGCACATCAACGCTCGCTAAATTTTAAGTTTGGCTTGTGAACCAGGAATCTTGCACTGAAATGGGTAGCTGATAGCTCAGCATCAACATTTTCTCCATCTGAGATGGGAGGCTAATGATTTCAAAGATATCGTCGTTGAAGACTTTATATACATCACAACAACCTGAGCATATTAGAGAAAGTCATGTACAGACATAAAAGACTATCGCTCATAGATTGCTGTTCGCAAAGCTCCAGACTGCTGGTAGCACCCGTCCCCTGATGGGATAGATTGCGGGCGGGAAACATGAATGATCATGCCGCTTGCGCCTCAGGGTTCTGTTCTTTTTTCTTATAGTTCTCAATAACGTCGGCGTCAACCTCTTCCTCAAAGACATTGACGTGTGTGGATGCAAACTTCCTCGCGCTTACCCCGCGCTCAAACAGGAGATCCAACTCAGCAAACGACCTACCTTGGGGTTCCGGAATCCGGAAGTAAGTATAGATGATGCAGAGGAAGCAGCTACCGCCCCAGAAGAAGCCAGCATAGTTACCCCAGCCCCAGGCGCTAGGGTTAAGCATGTACGGAGTCAGCACGTTGCAGATGATGGCCACGATATTGTACACGTTTCGACCCAGCACGACGGTCTTGATCTGCAGTCGTCTCGTGGAAAGTTCCGAAACGAGCGAGTAGCAAACGGTTCCAACGGAGAGTTGGTAGATTAAGGCCCAAATTATCATCATGCTGCCGGTAGCTAGGGATCCTTGGTCTCGATGCGCCTCCGGGACAAGTCCAAGGAAACCCATGATAAGGAGCATGCTACAGAGACCGCAGAGACCATAAAGATAAAGCGATCTACGGCCCACGCCAAGAGTCATTAAAAACCAGGCCCCGAAGACTCCGACCATGTTGATGGCATACTGGCCCATAGCAAAAGAATATGCGTGTCTGGTCTCCAAGCCAGCCTGCTGAAGGAAGTACGTGGAGTAGTTTGAGAATGAATTGCCGCTCAGGTTCTGGATAGCCCACACCATACAGACAATCTCAGTGCGGCGCAAATCGATACCCTTGAAACAGTCCCAGTAGCTGGCTCCCGCCGTTATTTTCTCTTCCAATGCCGTTGTGTGCACCATCATGGCAATCGTTTCGTCCGCGTTGAAGTCAGTTTCCCGGTTCAAGCTAGTTAGGCGTAGGAGGGACCGCTTTGCATCCTTAACTCGGCCCTTCCGGACAAGCCACCAGGGTGATTCAGGAGCCAGTGCTATTCCAATGCAAAGGGGAAGCGGCCACATCCATTGAAGACCATACGGAATCCGATATGCCCACTCGTCGTTTCGGTTAAGCATAGATTTGATCACTCCGATACCAATGAGCTGCCCAAGGCCCCAGCAGAAATTGACGTACGTTGTGAGATATCCCCGTAATGCGACAGGACAGACTTCGGATGCATATGTAATAGTAAGGGTTTGGAAGACGCCCCATGGAATCCCGCACAAGATCTCAGCCGCAAGTAGGGTCTGTACGTTCTGCGCAGTAAAAAAGAGCGATATAAAGGCGGTTAGGAAAACAAGACAGGAGATGATGGTTTTGCGGTAACCAAAGCGTTCCGACGCCCAGCCATTAAGGAACAGCCCGAAGATCTCGCCGACAGCCGCACCGTTGCTGAGACCGGCTTGCCACTGAAATGAAACGAAACGTTGGCCATCTGTGTTCTCTAGATTATCAAGTAAAGACGAAACGGCGAGGACCATAAAACGAGGGCAATAGGCAAAGCATAACATACCGGTGCTGGAACCTGGTAGGTCCCATCTGGCAATTGCACTCCGTACTTCCGGTTGAACTGAGGAAAAGCATAAAAGTTGCCGACCAGGCTGATGTCGTAGCCCTCCATGACGATGCACGTTGAAATGAGGATGCTCCACCCAACGGCCTTCGGATAGAGCTTGATACCTTGGAGTAATGTCATCTTGTGTTCCTTATCAGTTGCTGACTTCGCGTTTTCAAAGAGCTTTTCCGTCGACATGGTAGGGACTCCATAGTACTCCCTATCCGCCGACCCAACCGAATCCACCCGCACCGGCTCAATGCCATCGACTTCTTTCTCCGACATCGCGACAAGCGGGTGGGAAAGCAAAGAAAAGAAAAGAAAAGAAGAAAAATCTCGTTCGCGATCAGCGTACCGGGAAACGATACTCGTGTGATAGCGGTTGTGGCCTTTTTAGAGCGCAACGGTCGAGATCAGGCGGAACCTCTCGTGGCGGGGAAGACGGTCGACTTTATTGCTCACGATACTTAGCCGGAGGTGGTGGGGGACGGGAGGGATCTTATGTACGACGCCGGGCAAATGACCACTTTAACTGGAAAGTCAAATTCTTGCGATCACAGAAAGGAACAGAAATGGGCGGAAACCACAAGCTAAGCTCAACCCCACAAAAGCTGCTTCTATCATTGGCCCACCAGCCAAATTGAGTTGGCTTTTCCATCGACGATGATCATCTTCCCCTGGCTTCGCAGCAATCAAGCTCAACGGGGGGCGGAGTTCGTTAACTACCACTAACCAGTCTCCCACCGGAGCATTAAACAAGGGGAGCATGCTTTGAGGTTTGTATGGTTAGAGTTACCTACTTAGTTAAGATCAGTATAACTACGGAGTAGTTTACATGGGTATTCAGCCTTACCAGACTGCCATGAGCTTGGAGCTTTTGGAGTCTTCAAGTTAGGTGTGAAGATGTCCTCGAGCTTGCTCTTCATTCCACAAAACAAGGGAATCAGAAAATATGTAAGAACATTTAACACAATGGCAAGCCAAGGATAATGACATGCCAACTGCGGCACCCCATAGTTACATACCGCACGGTGATGAATAGTTGACCAGAGTTGATTCCAGGTCTTGGTTCCAATTCCAAATGAACTTAGTAGGGTTCAGGGAGCAGAGCACACTGGTTCTGGCTTGTCCCCTTCGATGAATGTATTTAGGAAGATAGTTACAGAGTAGTTCAAACAAACTCCGAAACAATTCTTTAGTGCGAAACTGGCTTTGACCCTTGCCTCAAATAGTTTAAAAGCCGAACCATAATCTTTCTATAGGTTTCCACGTGGAAATCTGGAAGCAGATTTCAGAATGTAAATAATCCAGTAAACGACCGTCTGGCAAGTCGCCGGCCAGGTTTGATTGATTTGATCTTTGTCATTCTTGCTGTCCCAGCTCGGCTATTATTCTATATACTCAGTACAAAGGAGATGATTGGAAATGACCGTGTTTGAGCTCGTCCCTCAGAGTACGGTGTGGTCTTTTGTGACCATGTACCACAGATGATGGTTTCATAATGTTAAGGAGTCCGGGACAGGCGTGGCATTCGAAGGATTGGCTGAACATCACTGGCTGGGGATTAAATCCAGTCGATGGGAAAGACACATGATTTAAGTATAGGGAAACACGAAGAAACCAAGGTACCAATCCTGCCAAAGTTTACCAAGCAAGTCCTCATGCTCTCCATGAGTGCCTTTACCATGGTTCAGTTTGGCACTCTACTCTTTCCCAGCAGATTCTCACTATATTCCTCCAAAGCATTGACAAACTGAGTTGCCTGGCTGTAGGCTTGAAAAGGGCTGAATGATCACCTGTGGGGTGGATGAGCCGCTCGCCATAAGTTCTTGGTATCAATTGATACCATGAGACTTGCTGCTAAAACTCATTGGAAGAACCAACTTATATCCCCGTGGTTGTACGGAGTAGGGATAATTCGAGAGTCTGTTTTCGACAGGGTGAGGTACCCGCTGGGGCCGCCCGCCAAGATCTGGTCTGGCCCCGACTGACTTAGTTAACTAACTACTTAACCCTTGTGAGACACTGGACGGGAGCCTCTACTGTGTCCTCGGACGTTGCGCCGAAGCAGATCAGTATACGGTGTGGACTGCACAGCCTTCATCTAAAACGCTGCGCTGTACTTTGTACAACACGGGATTTCGTCCTGAAATAGATCTAGATGTAGCTCTCCTGTTTCTGCAATTATTCAGAACTCCAATACAATCTAGGTCCATCAAGATACCGGTGCCGCTTGCATACAAGTCGGTCTTTGATGAGATTGCACAGCCTCCGTCACACCACCAATGATAAGGGCTTCCCCACCACCCATGCCGTTTCTCCCTAGTATGGAAGCAGGGGGGTGTTGTGCTTTGAGGCTGCGGGTTACAAGGCTCTACCAGCAAGTCGTGCTTATACCAAGAAGCAGCCAAATGCTCGACTTTAGATCCTCGAACGCGGAGAACTCTTTAGTCCTCGTGTTTCCTGTTCCTTTCTTCTTTCTTCATTCTCCATTTTCAAACTCTGGACTAATTTGCTCACAACGAGTAGCCAACAGTCGGGAGGGGCGAATGCTGAGCCCATGCTTGGAATTGTTCTCGAAGAACCCACTCCAACACAGACAAGGAACCGCCCAGCTCAGAAAAGGCCGCCCAGCTCAACCCCTCGGAATCAAATCACTACTCACCGATGGGGTTCTCCAAATGCAGGTCGCATTATCTTTGGTGTGATCATCGCCACGTTTCTCATCATAGGAGCCATTGTCGCCATCGTATCAAAGGTTTCTCGCCTCAATTCTGACAACTTTACGCTCTCACTATCCCCCATGTCGGGCTCGACGTACTATCGCCGCTTCGCAGACCCAAATTCCCAGTGATAAGCTGTGGCAGCACGCGCCTAGAGGCACTATCCCGCAATTGCCAATTCGATGTCTCAGCCGCCGCGTGGATCCCACCTCTCTGCTACGATCCTGACCTCGCTCGTGCTTCACAATCTGCAAACCTCACCTTAGCTCTGCTTGGTGGCTCAGAATCTTTCCAATGGTGGTCAGATGCCAACGGCACATTGCCAATACGACAGGATAGGCTACAGAGCTTGGACAGCATGGTGGGATATACGTGGGAGAAGTTTCACGTCACAAGCTGCTTATATAATTGGCAGCCACTTCTCAAAACAACAGAGCGAGTGAGAAAAGGCGAAAGAAATGTATGGGTGCAGGGTGAGGTGGTTTCGATGCGGAATATTGCGCATTGCATTGAAATAATTGCGAATCAGGAAGTGAAGGTTGATGCAAAGACAGAAGTAAAATTTGCATTTGGGAAGTGTACAAGGTTGGATCCCACTGCATAAGAGCTTTGATAGATAGCAGAACGTGTGGAATCTTGTTTTCTTTTTTTTCTTCTTCTTCCTCTTTTTCCCCTCTTTGCATTCCTATTTTCCCTCCCCTCTGCGGCTTGTGTGGTTTCTAGCTAATTTTTGATATCCTCAAAGTCTTTGTATTGTACTAAAGTCCATTAATGAGCCATTCACACACTACAGTAGGACTCTGAGGAGCTTATCGACATTGGTCCGAAGAGTGTTCGCAAGTTCCTCGAGAGTGGTTGGTCATGGTGATTAACTCGTCGGGTGGTTCAAAACTTTGACATCATGCTCAATCGGTTGTACTCGTAGTATAAAATGATGATGTCCAAAATAGAGATTGGCGCCCACTACTACGTAGTTAACTTTCATTCCGGCCGGCTTGGTTGTGAAGCCTACCAATGGGAACTTTCCCCAGGTTCGGAGAGCGCTTACGAGCAGCCAGAGGAGAGCATACGAACCCCCCAACCGACAAACTCTTCTCCTTGTCATTCCACAGCGATGTTCAGGAAATCTTCTCAACAAATTATCCAATTCAATGGTTATATATTGCCACTACGCAGACAAAGAATAAGATGCTTTTCAATTCTCTTCTCTCGGGGCAGGGATGCGCGAATTCGAACTCCAGGATTGTATCTCGAAAAGCCGGATGGCACTGGTAGGTCATGTACTAATATCCTTTCACACGCCCTTTGTATACATTTCTCACTTCTTGTCAGAGGAACAGGCTACAGAAGAGGACATTTTCAGATACAGTTGTCACCGATGGCTGTAAGTTTCTGATTCTGGTTTCATATTCTTGATTTTGAGTTTTAGTTGACAAAAGGATAAGTTTAACGAGGAGGGAACTTTCGCGCCATTATAAGTTTTAACCTTCAAAAACTTCTTGACATTGCTGTTAATGCTGATGATGGCGCACAGAGCTGTCAGTACCAATTGATTCTTTTTTGTTTACGGCGAATGTGACGCGTACTAAGCCATCCTACAGGTACAAAGGTGTTAAAATTTGTTGAAGGCCTCCATAATAAGGCTCTCCTTTTGACAATGAACAATGGCAAGGAAGTATTTGCAAAACTTCCAAACCCCAATGCCGGTCCTGCCCGATATGTGACAGCATCAGAAGTCGCCACAAGGGAATTTGTCAGTCACCTGTTTAAATCAAGCCAACGATCTGACCACATGTTATTAGCTCCGTGAAGTTGTAAACCTGCCGGTCCCTCGGGCTTTCGCATGATCCTGTGATCCAGCGAACCCAGTTGGAGCCGAGTACATTATTGACGAGAAAGCCCCTGGTACGAGATTAGGGAGTATATGGCACCAGTGGCCTCGAGAATCCAAACTGTGTGTGATTGAGCAAATTGCTGATATTGAACACGCACTTACAACTATTAAATTCTCCAAACATTGCTGTCTTTATTTCAAGGAGGATTTACCAAATTCCTTTCGAGAAGAGAATGACACCCTGCTAGTTGAGCCATCCGGGCAGTCAGTTTGCCTCGACCGGTACGCTATCGGGCCTCTTTCAAGCGCGGACCTTTGGTGTAGTGGCCGAGAAGATATGGGATTGGATAGAGGACCTTGTAAGTATAAGTCTTGTGTATAAAACAACATGTATCTACTTATTCACCAATGTCATGCAGCGCGACGACCTGACGATTACGCCAGAGCTATGGGAAAAAAATGAAATGGCGTGGGTCAAAGGACACGCGTCTCCTCGAATGAACTACTATGTATCACTCAAAGATCCTGAGCTCCCTGACCAGGCTCTTACCCTTCTCTCAAAATACCTGGAACCTACCCCTTATTTGGTACCCAGTGAACCTGAAGCCGCCGCAAATGTCCTCTGGCATCCCGATCTACATCTAGACAACATTTTCGTCGACCCAACGACGTGTAAGATTACCAGCATAGTTGACTGGCAGAGCACTAGTATCGCGCCACTGTTTTACAAGTCCTGCGTACCTAGGATGTTCAGGCACGACGACCCAATTCGAGAAGCTTGGGTGGTCCCATCAAGGCCAGACAATTTCAATACCCTGAGCATGGAAGAGGGAACAGGGGGTCGATCAAGACCTAGAGAACGAAACGATCCATAAATATTACGAAGCAATGGTTTATAGACGCGCTCCTTACCACTGGAAGCTTATTGGGGCAGCAGAGAGACATTCAACTCAAACGCAGGCCAACATGGCTCGTGACTGGAGTCTGGGAGAATAGTGATCTCTTCTTTTTGTGTCAGAGCTTGATTGCTATTGCAGCCCTGTGGGACACACTACGGCCTGCTGAGACGACAAAGTGTCCGATTGACTTTACACGGGTTGAACTAGCCCTTCACGCGAAAGAGGATGAAAAAATCGCTGGGATCGGAACTATGCTCAAACTATTTCAAGACCAGGGAGTTCTTCCGGTAGATGGGATGGTGGACCAGGAGGATTATGAGGCGGCGAAGATCAATTGTCAGAAGTTCAAGGATATATTCGTCGCCCTGGCGAAGGACGAGGAAGAAAGGGAGCTATTCTCTAAGCTCTGGCCGTATCAGGACCAAGAATCCAAGTGAGGGATATAGCCTACACTAGTGATCACACACACAGAGTTTTTACTATCGATGTGTACGGAATAGCGCTGGAATTTGGCCACCCCGGCGGCTAATCATGGCCAAGCCGTTAATGGATGCCACAGTTTAGGAGATATCGAAGATGTTGGAGTAGCCTAACTTCTTGGCATTTCCCTTATGGCTACAGGTACGGAGTACTCCGAACAAGGTTGACCGAGCGACATAAGTATGCCAGGCACACCGGACCTAATTAATTATAGTATGCAAGCGTATTTGTAGTACAGAGTATCCAACAGACATTGTTAGTGGATGCTATGAGGAGCATCCGAGGGACAACTAGACATCGCAATTTTAAACAGAGCCACAGGTGAGCAGAACCACACTATTATGAATCAAAGAATAAGTTCTGTAGCTTATCATTACCTTGCAACTATATGCAAAGGAAACCATGATATTAGCATATAATGAACAGGATTCACAATGGTCATGCATCATCTCTTAGACCCTAGAGAAGAAGACCATCTCTCCAGCCTGCTGCAGTTTGAGAATCTTCAGATTACTCATAATCAACAATGTAACTATACAGACCACATTAGTGACTGAAGAATTGTACACAAAGTCCAAAGGTGACTCACCATTTCAACGTCCCCATATCTCAGAGCAGGTTATGAAGCCTTTCATCATGTGGGACAACTTGGCATGCTGAAGACTCGCTATAGGTTGAATGCACATTAGGTTGGTGGCAATAGAATAAGAAGGGCATATGGGAATAGAAATGGAGCGCAACTTACAACCATGCTTCCGTAAATGCTTCCTGCATTGCATGGATTTGTTCGTCAGAAAAATGCTGCACTGAATCAAAGCGGACGCCGTCCACTTTTGTCATTAGGATGTAATGTATATATCCACCTGGCATCAGCATGTTGCCATCTTGAATTTCTCTCTTAGCGGCAATAAAATGGGGCGTTGAAGAGCAGCGATGTTGAGTTAGTGTCCTAAGGGCATCTTCTTCTTGTTTACCGAACTTGGAGGCCGGCTCTCCGTTGACCTCCCATTCCCTGTCTTCGGGTGATTCGCAGGGGTCAGAAGGGGCTCTACGCATCCAGACATCAACATTCCAGCTATCCCTTTCTGTGGACCGAACGGCACTTACAGTATAAGAATCTTCAACATGGCCTCCTCTGGGCCGTCACTTTCATACTTCTTGCAAAGGAAGACCGCTTTCAGCTCCCAGGATACATGGATATCATAGTCAAGAGACATAATCCTTGTAACCGCCTTCCTTTTCTGATAGTTTCTCTTTTATGACCCAAGTGCTGTGCGTTGGTTCTTCAAAGGTGACCTTGCGGTCAATCTAAGATTTACCAAACCAGGGCATGATTCGGAATTGGTGAGATCAGAGCGATGGACTTTGAGTTAACTAAGAAGTACAGTATCCGGTGCACACCAACTCGAGAATAAAATTACCTCAAGTTGAGGCCAATCATGGTGCCTGCTGATCTTTATGAATGCCCTTTGTATCGCTAGAATTCATTCAGTGCTCTGTGTGTCACAGAGGAACACATCAAAAAGGTCCACCATGACCTCTGGATGGTGGTTGTGAGCCACAACTGGTTGCATCGTCTATTGGTTGGGAAGTGGCTAGTTACATGGGAGCCTGCGATCATCAGTTGCTTGAGTTATGGAAGAGTAGTGACAATCAGAAGATGGCCATTCTAATTCAGAGACAACTGGTGCTGGAAGGCTCTACACCATGCCATAGCGCATGCTTCTGAAAGCAAAGTGGGTACTGTTTAGATTTCGTGCAGTCAGGCAGTCCGCGTTTTTGCCGTGGTGCAGGGGATAGCTTCTGCGCCTGAGCAACAGAGAGACCCTGATATTTTCTATTTTCATTAGAATTCCGGGCGTGCATCTGGATGGTGTTTAGTATCAATGCCATCGGCCACTTAGCTAGTTGACAAAAGGTGTGAAGCATTTTTCGTGCTGGCGAAGTCGATTGTCGTCAAGAACCTGTTATGAGATGATACTTTCACAGCTGGAGGTTTCAGCTGAGAAAAGCTGAACTTCAGCCCAAAGAGCGCATTTCGTCGGAGCGATTGTGATTTGCGATCTGTTGGTAATCCACATTAATAATCACGCTGGGTTCGGCATCCTTTCCGGCTTTCGGAACAGCGACAGCCAGGACCAACTCAATCAAACCAATTTCAAACACATGCTGTGATACAAGAGTCGGAACCATCTTGCGTGATCATTAGCTGAATAATAGAAAACCAGCCTCTGCGAAACTGAACCACCAGACGCCAAAAAGATGGCCGTTTGGCGACTGTATCACACATCTCGAGTTGCTCGCCCGAGAACTGCGGGCTCAACTTTAGCCGTCGGACAGTCCCGACCGGCCACGCTCAACAACGAACTGCTCCGCGCTCAGGGGAATCGCTTGGAAAGATGAATAATCGGCGGAACGGCGGGTTCCGCTCTCTTCACCCCACCAAGGTTATATCATGCGTCGCGATACCCCGATGAGATAAATACGTCTCTTCACCCTCACTATCCCGGTTTGATACATCGCCCAAGCAGCAGATTCTATCTTGAGAATATAACTTTTGTTGCCTCAATTAACACGTATCCTTACATACCAGCATCACAATGGTTCTCAAACTCCACGGCTCTCCTGTGTCAACATGCACCAAGCGTGTGGCCATGGTGCTCCACGAGAAGAACGTGCCGTTCGAATTCCATCCCGTCGACCTCGCCAAGGGGGAACAAAAGGCTCCTGAATTCATCTCGCGTCAGCCGTTCGGCCAGGTTCCCTACATAGTACGTCGCAGCGGGATTACGAACGGCTCTCTCGATGAGAATTTGGACTGTTCTAACACAGAGAGATTAATAGGACGATGACGGCTTTATCCTTTACGAAAGCCGCGCGATTTCGGAGTACATCGCCACAAAATATGCCGACCAAGGCACACCACTGGTCCCCAAGGACATCAAGGATTACGCTCTCTTCCGGCAAGGTGCTTCAATTGAAACATCCCACTTCGATTCTCATGCTTCGAAACTCGCATACGAAAGATTCATTAAACCGTGAGTACAAGGCTGGGCCCCTAAAAAGCAAGATCGGCCAAAGCGCATCTGATTGCTGACGATTTCTCTCCTTAAATCGCGCAGTATTTACGGCTTGCAAACCAGCGAGGAAGCCGCGAAGCAAGCTGAAGACCTTCTCAATGCAAAATTAGATGTATACGAACAAATCCTCAGCAAACAGAAATACATTAGCGGAAACGTATGTCACTCAGACTCCCGCTTGCAGTCGAGGTCTCCTTCGTCGTGTTGATACCTTGCTCTCTAGGCCCTCACGCTTGCCGACTTATTCCACCTGCCATATGGTGCGTTGCTCGCTCTTTGTAAATGCGACGCCATTGAGAAAAGACCCGCGGTTGCTAAGTAAGTGGAAATGAACCGGACGTTGACAGTGCAACAGCCATTTCTAACCACAGTGCATTTTAGATGGTTCAATGAGCTCGTTTCTCGTCCATCTTGGCAAGCTGTTCAGGGAGGTGTAAAGGGAACAGCTTGACTCTGCCCGGTGTCAATAGTCTTCCAACCAAAGATGTAAAACCTTCGGCCGCAATTAGGTCCCGGGTTATCACGCCATCACTGTCGGGGATTTTCTACTCCAGTATCCCTTAATAGATATCAGTGATTATAACAGAAGAGTTATTATGACAATCCAAATAAATCTGCAGATTGCTCCTCCTGATAGCTTTTGGCACCCCCGTACTCCGTAGACTGTGCTCAGAATCCCGGGCGAGTGCCGGCCGAAGCTTGCGGATGTTTGTTTGGTTTGCATCGGACGGACGGACGGACATAGGGGCTTCCAAATCAGGAATAGTGCACGGATCAGATAAAACCGGCAGAATTTGCCGCACAATTTGTCAGCAGCTGGCCGCCTTTTATCAGATCCAGCCTATATTTTATTTTAACTTCACACCCACCTCTTCAACAATTCTCCCTATTTCCCTCTCTTCCATTTCTTTCCATTGCATTCCTCTCTGCATCTCCAGTGCATTGAGATTCATCTGCCGAGATGTCAAATCTGGCACCCCAGGCCCTCAGGCAGGCCTCTAGAGCTTGTTCGAGACGACTATCCTCATCGACAGGTTTATTGAGGCCTTTTTCCGGCCCTGGTACCAACGCAGCTCTCCATCACAGTTCCTGGCGCAGTTATGTGTCCGAGAGCAAGGCCCAGACCACCGCTGACGCCGCCATCAAGGCTGAGCAACGATTGTTCACAGAGCAGACCACACTTAAACCTAATAGCGTGCAGGTACCCGGAGCTACAGTGACTGGAGATACCCCAACGAGTCCGAATGCTGGGATATTGAAGCAAGCCACGGTAATGGACCAAGGTACACGCCCGATCTACCTTGATATGCAAGCAACCACCCCAACAGATCCTCGGGTTCTCGATGCGATGCTTCCGTTCCTCACCGGTCTCTACGGAAATCCCCACTCGAGAACACACGCATATGGCTGGGAAACAGAGAAGGCGACCGAGCAAGCTCGAGAATATGTTGCGAACCTTATTGGCGCCGATGCGAAGGAGATTATCTTCACCAGTGGTGCAACTGAGAGTAATAATATGAGCATCAAGGGCGTGGCGAGGTTTTTCGGTCGGTCCGGGAAGAAGAAGCATATCATCACCACGCAGACAGAGCATAAATGCGTGCTCGATAGTTGTCGGCACTTACAGGACGAAGGTTTTGAGGTGACGTATCTACCCGTCCAGAGTAATGGATTGATCAGATTGGAGGATCTCGAGGCTGCGATTCGCCCGGACACTGCATTGGTCAGCATAATGACCGTCAACAATGAGATCGGTGTTATCCAACCAATGAAGGAGATCGGCGCTCTCTGCAGATCTAAGAAGGTTTTCTTCCATACCGACGCTGCTCAGGCAGTCGGTAAGATCCCGGTGGACGTCAATGCCTGGAACGTGGACTTGATGTCGATATCCAGCCATAAGATCTATGGCCCGAAGGGAATTGGGGCCTGCTACGTTCGACGCAGACCAAGAGTTCGCATCGATCCTATCATCAGCGGTGGTGGACAGGAGCGTGGTCTTCGCAGTGGAACCCTCGCTCCACATCTCGTTGTTGGCTTTGGCGAGGCCTGCCGCGTTGCGAAAGAAGATATGAAGGTGAGACACCATTTCATTTTATATTAACTTCACGTACACCTTTTCCTGAAATGATTAAACGCTTTAATATGCATGGCTTTCTGAGAAGCGGTGGATGAGCAGCACGATTTTCGTGTTTCCGCCGCTTTGTGATTTACATAGCAGGGGTTATGATATTCATCAGGGTCCACACTACATAGAATAAGACTTGCTTTTTGTGGCTTTGTCCAAGGCGCCTTCGGCTGACGACGCTCTTATACAGTACGATGCAAAGCATATCGAACGACTCTCAAAGAAGCTCGTTGACGGTCTCCTCGCCATGGAGCACACCACGCTCAACGGTGATCCGGAGCGTCACTATCCCGGCTGCGTCAACGTCTCCTTCGCGTACGTAGAAGGTGAATCGCTTCTCATGGCATTGAAGGACATTGCGTTATCTTCGGGCAGTGCTTGTACCTCTGCCTCTCTAGAGCCAAGCTACGTGCTCAGAGCGCTTGGGAACAGTGACGAGAGCGCACACAGCAGCATTCGATTTGGCATTGGTCGGTTCACGACCGAAAGCGAGATCGATTACGTGTTGAGTGCGGTCCAGCAGAGAGTGAAGTTCCTCCGCGACCTGAGCCCTCTGTGGGAGCTGGTCCAGGAGGGCATAGACCTAAATACAATCGAATGGAGCCAGCATTAAACCTTCGATCTTCTACTGCTGACAGGGCCTTTTCGAAGACAACCTCCGCCAGTCTGTCGATTCAACAGCGTAACGACGGGCCATAAAAAAAATTTCTCCCCGTATACCTATTACCGCCCACCGCCTTGACGTAGAGTGAAACATGATCACTCTCTGGTGTTCTAGCACTCGTGGGCGTCCGAACTTATCTTCTTCACTATCCAATCGCGGCACCTGATTTTGTGGCGAGCATCGAATGTATTTATAACGAACTTTTCTTTTTCCATTTTCCGCTTTTCGTTTTTTTCCATCTTTCTGTCCTGAAAAGAGTTTGCGACTGATCCGTGGAAAAAATTGAACCAGGATGGATACGGTGCTTCGGAAAGGGATTGGCTGCGTTGCTTCCATTGTTCGCGGCCCCGAATATTATATTATTATTATTATTATTATTATTATTATTATTTTAAGGGCGTTCGAGAGAAAGGCCATTGCTCGCTTGGTAGTAGGACACGAGCAACAAAGGATGATGGATGATACCTCGACAAATGGTTCCATACCCACTGTACATAGTTACACATCTGATGACTTCTGTATGATAACTTTTGATAATCCACCTTCGGGCTTCTTTGCCTTGAACACTTTTTATGTTGGGGGTACATCAACTCACGGGTTATGCACTCCGTACCGATTCGCTATACGCATCATAGCCTGGCCGGAGCTCCGTGGTCTCTATAATCCACATCGTAAGGATAGAAACTTTAAACCGTCCAGCTTGTCCTATAAGGCCACTATCAACATCATTACTGAGGCATTCTTCTGCGTGCTGTGTTGAAAAGGACAATGCGCAACGTGTGGCCCAGGAGGGTTCAGCGCACTGCCTTTTTCTTTCTTTTTTTTTTTTTTTTTGGCCTGGATTCCCCAGCTGCGAACGCAACCTTGTGTGATTAACTTTGTGTGTTTTCCATCAGTACAAAGTAGAGAGGGCATTGCGAGCTGGGTTTGTTTACGATAGGCTTTGAGATATTGCCTTTCTAACCAGTTAACAAAATATATAAATTCCACAGCGAGGGAGGGAAAAAGCTGCGTCATCACGAGCTGTTGTGACGAGCCGGTGAGGTCAGTGTCTTTTTGTCCCCGGCAACAAATACCCGGGGCGACGAGCCAGCTCCCCTCCATGGAAGAAAAGAGTTGTCTTTCTTCCACGACAACCATGCTAAAATGTTCGCCACCCAGCCCGCGGATATCAAGACGTTTTGGGGGCTGCTGTGCCGGCGTTTTAATCCACGCGCCCCAGCTGCTTTGAATCACCGGGGCGGCGGTCGGTTGCGTGTCGGCTGGTTGACTGGTTGGCGGTTTGACTTGACTTGTGTGTGAGTGCTCCGGAGGTTGGTTGGACTGAATCATCGCGTGCCTGGATTACGCTGGACAAACCACGGAGTACTCCGTAGCTACTACATATCATGGAAGAAAAAAAAAAAGAAAAATACGTAAACAGAGAGCCGAGGTCACGCAAGCACTGGGTGGGCAGTTAGTTAACTAGTTTATTGGTCGTGATGTCCGGCCATGCAACACTATGTACTCAATAGATTTTGAGGGTTGCACGCATGGCAGCGGGTATTTTGGCTGTTGGAACAAATCACTAACCAGTTAACCAGCTCTCCGTAGTAAGCTCACCAACAGGCCAGCCAGCCAGTCAGTCAGTCAGTCAGTCAGTCAGTTAACAATAACAACAAGATAAAACTTACCGCCTTGAGGATGGGCGTCGTGAGTTCGTTCGACCGTGCACAGCAGCAGGGTGGTGGTACACTTGGGTTTTACCAACTAACCCACGGCCGTTGCTCGGTCTCTCTATCGATGCCAGCCGCTGAAGCAGCCGTCGGTAGCCCCGTCTTGCCGGGAAACTCTCAGCGTCATCAGAAAAGCTCCGACTTTGCACGAAAACCCCCCGTGATCGGTTGGCAAGTTCCAACCAGGAATGACGGCAAAAAAAAAAGGCTAACTAACTAATACTCGCGAGTGGGTTGGACGGCGGAAGTCTATTCCTCCCCCAATGAACAAGCTGCTTGGAAGGGCAGACCGGCTCGCTGCTGTGCGAACGACCTTGATCGGGCTTGAGGGTCTTTTTGTCTCTGTGTTGCCAAGGAGATGTTGTTGAATCTCTCAAAACGTCACTTGGTCCAGGCCCGTCTCACACACACACCCCTGGTTACGTCGGCGGCTTTTGGGGAGGGGTTTTTAGAGCGTAAGGATACTCCGTAGCATTCCAGAAGGAAAAGAAAAATAAAAAAAAAAAAGTAAAAGGTAAAACGATCCTTATCTTCCCGTGTGTCGTTCCCCGGTCCCGGTGAACTCAAAGTGTATTTTATCCATTTTTCCTTATACTGTCGCGACCACCCCCGGGTTGCCTTCACGAGACACAAATTCATCCTAGAAAAACAACTCCATCTCACTGCTCCCACTCTTTTTCTCTCCTGGAGTGAACTTGTCTTCTCTTTTGCTTAATTTCAACTTGGGAATGTGAACAATCCCGTCTCCTCTTCTCGCCCTTCCCCTTTTTCTCTTTTTTCTTTTTCTTTTTTCTTCTCTTTTGCCCCGCACTCCCTCACGGAGATGTTGCCGCCCGTCCCCAAGCTGTCAGACTATGGGATTGATCCCGAGTACGGCTTTCTCCCCTCCGAACCACCTCTGGCACGGCTGTCTGACTACTACTCGCCATGGGAGCACGTTATCGAGAACCTGCAGTCGCTGGTGCTGAGCGGCAGACTATGGGACACCGTCAGACGCATGCCCACTCTCTCCACCGATCATCTCCACACCGCTCCCGAATGGCGACGCGCCTATGTTGTCCTCGTCTTCATGCTGCATGCGTACATCTGGTCAGGAGATAAACCTCAAGAGGTATGAAATCATATCATCCCTATTTGATTGGCAAACCGCCAGAAAAAAAAGAAAAAAGCAAAACAAAAGCCCGTCACCAATCACCCTTGTCGTCCTTGGCAGGGCTCTTTAACCGCTCCACGTGGACCTCAGATGCTGACAGTTGGGGCCCTTTTTAACTATAATAGAGAATCCCGCCGCCACTTACGATCCCTCTGTTGGAGGTCTCGGAGCATCTGGAGCTGCCGCCCGTCGCCACATATGCCGGCGTTTGTCTGTGGAACTATCGTCCCATCTTCCCCGATGAGCCGTCCCACGATCTCGAGAACCTTTCGACGCTATGTACCCTGACGGGCTCGATGGACGAGCAATGGTTCTATCTGATTTCGGTCGCCATCGAGAGTCGCGGTGCATGCACTCTGCCACTCATGCTTGACGCCATCTCAGCGGTCCGCGCAGGAGACACCAAGCAGGTGGTGGAGTCCCTTAACAGGTTCGCTGAGGTGGTCGACGAGATCAACGTCTTGCTGCAGCGCATGTACAGGCACTGCGACCCACACGTATTCTACCATCGCATCCGGCCTTTACTCGCAGGAAGTATGAACATGGAGGAGGCAGGCCTCCCCAGAGGCGTACTCATGGACGAAGGCGCCGGCAACCAGCAGTGGAAGAAGTATCGCGGCGGCAGCAACGCGCAGAGCTCCCTGATTCAATTCTTCGATATCGTTCTCGGCGTCGAGCACCGTCCCACCGGCGAGCCGCGGAGCGCACCGTCTTCCGGGGAGGACGGAACCGCCCGCCGTCGATGGCACGGCTTCATGATGGAGATGCGCGACTACATGCCCGGCCCGCACAAGCGGTTCCTCGAACACACCGCCAGCGTGGCGAACATCCGCGAATACGTCGAGGAGAACCAGACCAACCAGGAACTGACGATGGCCTTCAACGCCGCCGTCGCCATGGTCAAGGCCCTCCGCACCACCCACATCACCATGGTCTCACGCTACATCATCGTCAAGTCGCGCGAACGCAACACTGGGACCCGTCCTCTCGCGGCCGGCGCTCCGGCGCTCAACCTCGCCACGGCGTCCACCGAGGGACGCGGCTCGGGAAGCAAGAAACTCCGCGGCACCGGAGGAACCGCGCTGATCCCGTTCCTCAAGCAGGCCCGTGACGAAACCGGCGAAGCGGCCATCGGCGCCTGGGGCAAACAGGTCCTCGACTCGAAGAGGCCCGAAGTGGCCAAGGTCATCGAGCTGCCCAAGGTGGGCGAGACGATCGAGGGCAGAGTGGAGATCCTGGGCCTGGCGGGGACGTGGTCGATGGAGGAGAGCGAGGGAGGGTTGTGCCACTGGTGAAATGGGCGACAACCCCCCCGGGATTTCCTTTACCTCTATCAACCCGTGAGATACGTGATGCGTGTAATTTCTCCCCCTTTTTTTTTTCCTTGCTTTCTTTTCTGTCGTTTATATAGCGCCGCTGGTGAACCATGATATCCCACCCGGCAGCACTCTTTCGTGTGCTCGACAATAAGACCCAAAAACAAGAAAAGAAAAAGAAAAAAAATAAAAGAATAAAAAAATAATTAATCGGGAATATGCTTATTCTTTCCCCTGTGCTGTGATACGGAGAGGGTTAATTTCGCGGCCTGCTCCGTCTTCACTCGATTCTTCTGTTTTCAGGGTTCGGCGTTCTAAGGATCATTGAATCGCGCGCGCACGTCTTGTTTCTGCGTGATTTTCTGGAGCCTGTTTTAGATACTCTGCTTAATTAGTTATTTTGTGTGCTAGTCTTGCTGATGTTGCCTACATGCGTCGCCTGGCCTTTTCTCTTTCTCTTTTGCCTTTTTTCCTTTTTTTTGGTTTGCGCAGAGAGAGAGAGAGAGAGAGAGAGTGCGTGCTTGAGATCCAGCCGGTTCATCACACCATCAACATGAAGACATAGTGCTTCAGCATGGTTGACCTCCGCTTACCTGGATTTGAGATATCCTAGCATAACTATATACATCGCTACACCCTAGTTACTACAGCTTACACTTGAAGAAGGGGGTGAGGGTTTAGAGTCACTTGTTCTAGGAAGAGTATATGCCTGCGTTGCTCTATGAAATTAAAACATTCCTTAATTCGAGTATACGAGTCAAAGCAATGACCTGAAAATCGAACAGTTATGTATCTGAATACCAGGAGATCTATATATGAATCTCCAGGTTATTGTCGAGGTAAATCAATAATCAAAATACCGTCGCTTTCATGGCTCCGCACGGAGTACGTATTTACAACCACCTAGCTTCTCGCGTCAACACTCAATCCCATCCCAACCCCAGCCTTCCTGATCAACGCCTTCTTCAGAAACGCTTCCCTCGCCAAGCTTCTCGTCAACTTCGCCCACGTGTCCAGTCCAACCCGCCCCTTGACGAGTCCGGTCTGCAGCGCATAGATCGCCCGCTCGATCCCGCGTTCATCCGCGACGAGGTCGTATATTTGTTTTCCGACGACGGTCGGCGGCACGAGGACTTCATCGATCGGTGGAAGACCTGAGGGATATCGGCCGGTGGAAGGCTGTTCCTCTGACGGGCCGGATGTAGATGACGACGAAGAGATTCGGGCACGCGCGTCGGCGATGATTCCGTCGGCTCGATGGAGAGATTGCTGGAGGATAGACGTATTGGATTGCAAGGTGGCGTGGAACGCGTTCAGAGCTGCGATCTCGGATTTCAGCGTGGTTATGGCTGCCTGTAAAGCTTGGGATTGGGAGTTGAGTGGTTGGAGGCCGGAGTTGGTTTTGTTGATGTTATCGTGGAGGGTCTGCGTTAGTGTGCGGGAGAGTGTTTTAAGGAGGAAGTCCTTCTCTGGATTTGGCGGGATGGGTGGCGGTGCGGCTGTGAGGGCCTGGGATGGGAGTTCTAGATCGAAGGGGGAAGTGAGAAGATCGGGAGCCGGCTGCTTCCGCCGCGCTGGCTCTTGATGTCTTGCTAATGGTTCAGGAGGTTGCTGGGAGGGCAAGGGATATTTGCCTTGTGGGATAGGTCGGTGTTGAGGCGCCGCGCCTTGCATAGTAGCTGGCTGACCATATGAAACGGGTTGACCTGATCGGTGAACCGAAACCTGTGGAGGAGGCGGGGGTGGTGGTCCGCTTTGGGCTGTTGGGGTGGTAGGGCCAAGGCTCTCTTGTTGATATCCTGGATGGTGCGGCACATGTCCGTGCTGGAACCGGCTCGGAGGTTCAAGCGTGCCTGAGCCTCTGGGCTGATGTGCTGGATGGCTTACACTATGGTTAGGCGAAGCTTGACTGGGCAATGGTGGTGGTTGGACGAAGCCGCGTCTTGGATCACGGAGCTCATCGGGAAGAGGTGGAAGCGGAGGTGGCTCCGTATACTTCTCAGGTACTGGTATTTCGCCCGCCGCTTGCGGTTCGACCACTTTTCCCGGTTTCGGCGGTAGCTGCGGAGGAATCTGTGCTGGTCGAGGACTAGGGTTTGGTTGGGGTTCAGGCCTTGCAAGCTGCGGTGGAAGTGGAGGAACAGCCGGAGGGGGCCGATCGGCCTGGCGAGGTATGGGCCTGCTTATCTGCGCTTGCTTAGATGTCACGGGAGGTTCTTTGGCGAAAACCTCTCGTAGAATATATAGAAAGTCCACGATAGTAGATCGCTGAAGGGAGAAAACAACACAATCGTTAGTCCAAACAGGTATATTGGGTTATGTCTCGTGCTTACATTGCTTGCCTCCGCCCAGTGCGCCAGATAGTGGTGATATATCCGCCCCTCCCCGCTAACGTGTTGTCCCGGTCTAACGAACATATCCTTCGTCGGTGTGACATACACGATGGGCGGATCTCTCGGGTATGTAGTTGGCACCCATACTGTTATTGGAAATCGATACAACACGCCGCGAAAGGAAACAGGCAATGTGCCGAAGAGGTTAAGGAGTAGCGCAGATGCGCCGTTTTCATGCGCTGTCGGGAGGGAATGCAATTAGTATGCGATTTGCTAACACGGCGTGGAGAATCCCGTAGAAGGGGAATCTGGACTCACTATACACATCCGTCCTAGGCGAAAAATGGGGGTACTGAGCCAATAAATGCGCTACATCATTGTATGTCCTGTTGGGGTCGTGATATGCCTGGTTCGGATCTTGATTGCTCTAAGTGAGAGGAGCCCCCGGCAGAATTAGTAAATGCACAAGCTGGATGGGACACAGGATTGGGATAACACACACTTGTAAGAACACGATAGAGCCAGTCTAGTGTTCTCTGTGGCACTGTAGCCATGACTCGTAGCTATCTCCCGCTCGGCCGTGAAGGCATCATTGGAGCGGTTCATGGAGGCGTCGCAGGAGGTATGATGTATCCCCGATCTTACCCAGATTAGTCAGCAATCGCCCTGAAAACACCGCTGGCTGAGTCTTGACTCGATCGATTACTAGAAACCTGTGTACTCTAGGCTTGCGATCACTTGAGGAATTGGACAATGTTCCATTGGTAATATATGTATGTATGAGCAATCCACGAAGTAAACCATGACACCTCACCGCACGAAACGTCAAGCAAATATCGCTTTTTTTGACACGATATAACAAGGAGAAACGGGAACGGGAGCGGGTAGATATTAGAAAAAATAGTTCCTTCAAACAGCCCATTATCATTCTCGCGCGCACTCCCATATCTGCAAGCCATCCCAAGCAATAGGGACTCGAAAAGTTAAGACAAACCAAAAGTCACATTCGTCCTTGCCCAGCTTTATGCCAGAAACAATTTCCTTCTAGTCTCTCGTATTTATTGGCCCTTTTCAACATCGACGGTAAAATCACGGTCCACGCGGATTTCAATAGCATCAATATCCGGATAAAGGCGATCTAAATGGTCGGGAGAGGAGGTACGCTTTGCAACGAGGGTCGAAGCCATTGACGTCTGTGCCGCGGAGGAGCCCTGAGTGAAGAGATGCCGCTGTTGAGTCGGACCCCTATTATCGCCTTCAAAGCTGTTTTTGACTGCTTGGGCTGCCCACATGGAGGAAAGAGGCAATGAAAGTGTCACTAGCGTAAGGACAAGTGGAGCCATTTCAGCAGCGTCGATAAAGTGGTGCAAGATGGAGAAAATAGCTAAGTCGTGAGTTAGACGCCGCGCTGACATATGTAAGGGTGTACTGGAATGGAGGGAGGTATCATACCCGGAACGATCATTGACTGGCAGGACATAATAAACATCACCTGCATTGCTCCAAAACCAGTCAAACCCAACGTCCGACGAGCATAAATGGCGAAACCGAGTTTTGCAACAAATATTGTGCTAAAATAGCAGATGCTCACGGTGGTGAGAATATTTGTTAGGCTCTGAAGCCATATAAATGACGCAAAGGATTTCAGATTTATGGTTGCTCTGCAATTCTCAATTGTCTGCATCAGTCGACATCCTATGGCGGCAAGAACCAACACCACGGAGAAGCTCAGAGCCAGACGCCGATAGGCACTTCGGATTGTCGAACACAGGACGTGGGTTTGGAACAGCAACGATACTTCAACGCAAATCAGCAATAGGGCGTGGAGGATCGCGCCCAGAAATGTGTTAGCGTAAGCAGCGACCGAAACTCTAGAGAAATCCGGCGCAAGCATAGCATAAACATCCGAAAATCCGGTTGTATAATAGATGCAAGAGCAGAGGATGCGCCCGAAGTTAAGGACCAAGGCTACAGCGTTCAGCATGAAGACTGGCGATCGCCTCTTGCCCGATGGTGTTAGCAGCAATAGGATGATTATCATCGTAAGCGACGCGCCAAGCTGACAGCCATATGCAATGCTTTGGTTGGTGTTGTCTCGTAATATCCAATCGATTTCTGCGAGGGATCTATGAAAATCGGTGCCGTTGGGATAGTAAAGGCGAACTGGTTGAGTAAAAGGGTCAAAGTCGTTACCGAATCCGGATGTGTCAACCATATTGCTCAGGTTCAGTAGAAATGAGTCAAGATATAAAAAGTGTAACTTCCTTCCTGGGTCTTGGGTATCTCAAATTGCCTCGTGATGAAAGACTGCTAATGAGAAAACATGAAGACCAGAGATGAGTTTTGCAGGGAAGCTCAACGAAGACGAGAAAACCAGAGCTCTCTCCGGGGTCCATTTGCTATGTTGATGAATTGCATATTTGATCTCAGATAATAGTAAAAGATAATGGACAAAAGGAGGGTGGGGTCATTAAGCAAGCAATCCATAGAATTTGCCCCGGACATATATTCAGGGCCAGGCGGACAATCCTAGACAGCAGAGCAGCGATCATCTTGGAGCAGTAGGACAAACAGAATTCATACATAAAAGAAGAATATGAAGAGCACAGAAGAGCAAGCAGCTGAATGGATAGGCTGAGGTGTCAAAGTAGGTAATGGATTGTTTGTCAGCAGCCGGGCCGGCAGCGCCAAAAGCCACAATGCAAAGAACAATACTAATGCAGGTTCATATTGATGCAGAGAACAATACTAAGCCAGACAACCTCACGCCAGACCCCAAACACTAAATATAAAGCTTACAGAGCGTTCTGCACAGTTGTTCACAACCCAGAACCACCCTATCAGCATGCTGATAAATTGGGGAAAGTGGCAAGGGCTGATCATACAAAGCCATCTTCTGCTGGCAATTAAGATCTTTTTTTGGAACAACCCGCAAAAGAACAATCCACAGTGGGTATCAGGCGATTCTCAACCCGAGACAGCCGCTCTGGGAGTTACCAAGAAAAGAAAATAGCTTGTTTGCTCCAATAGAACTCCGCAGTAGATATTGGTCAGCATAGATCGCGGGAACGGAAGGAGGCATATCCATTACAAAAAATCGAGAATCTAGCGGTTCTCTGCATTTCAGTCGAGTAATTATCCAGGCAGATCGGGAAGGGCAGAAAGAATACTCCGTATTGTGAAAAGAGTGCCCAAAGATACGGATGTGAGGTTGATCATGACAGAATTCGCCCGTGGCTTGGGGTCGGCTTCAACACTTTGTGGGCTGACCACAAAGAGCAATGTGGCCCTCCCAGTAGGCTTTGTAGACAAAGCGTGGACTAAAGAAACCAGTATTAAAATTGGTGAGCAGGAAGTGCATGCAGTTCTCAAACCTATGAGGTTTCCGATGGTCCGCAACTGCACGGGGATGGGTATAGACATAGGTAACATTTGCATCCCGCATGATCAGGGTTTGTGGATCCAATAAACCATTGGGGGCAAATGTACGGAGCATGTACTCCGGACGCGGAACATAACAAACTTGTCTGAAGGGTTATAGGTGTGTGGATGGGCCGAAACGCGACTATCCAGGCAAGGAAAATTTGGGCACAGCAAGTGTCTGTTGCGGCAGGATTCCCGAATCTTTCGATATGTCTGGTTCAAGCTCGAAATAGGCACTGTCGACCATGCTAAACGGGCACTACCAACGCGGCCCGCATTTTAGTGTAATGACCACAACGCGGATTGTGGTCAGGGCGGGAGAGCCTCTCTTCCTTTGCTCTGCGCTAGAGGCGCATCCTCGCGGTGTGATCACAGCGGGACCTATCATAATTTGTAGAATTAAGGGCGATCCCTCAGCATAGAGCAGAGTTCCGATGAGTAAGTCATCACCACCCGCTCACTGCTATCCATAGCGGCGTCTGCACGGGCTAATAGCTGGGCACTGGCATGTGCCATATCAGGGGATGGGGCTCGGTGAATTCCAAAAGGGTTCAGAATGTCAGCGACTGGAATCCGCAGCCGTGAGGCAGAGTCCGTGCCAGTTCCCAAGTTGGGGTACCGTTTCGAATTGACACATGGGTGTGAGGATTAAGAAACGGCTTATGGCAAGTGAGCAATGTTGTAGAGCAGTGTTGGCGGTTACGATGAGCATATATCGTCCGGCATGATTGTGAAAAGGAGCTTGCATGGATGGATCAGTTCAGGCAGCCTCTCAAGCTCGGACCGGAGCGAAATTCCTCCGGCATCGTCATCCCTCCCTTCGGGTCGGCACAGTTACTGCCGTCGGTTTGCTATCATCTCAAATATTCTTAAAACGTCAGCCAGGCTTGTTCACCGAGGATAAATTTGCATTGCTTACACTACCAGGGAGGCAAGCCACGCAATTACCAGCACCGGCGCTCACGTCACTCCGATACCAACCATGACAGAAGAGTTCACGCCCCCTCCTCTACCCCCGCCTTTCACATCAAACAAAACTCCGCCCGTCCTTCTGGCTCAAGGTGCTGAGGCTCGCCTGTATAAAACCGATTTCCTCAATCCTTCATTTCCGGCAGCGTTGAAATTTCGCCCTTCGAAGCCGTATCGGCATCCGATTCTTGATCGAAGACTCACGCGCCAACGCGTTCTCCAGGAAGCAAGATGTTTGGTTAAGCTCTTGAAAGAGGGCATATCGGTACCGGGGGTCTTGTCTGTTGACTGGAATACGGGTCAGGGGGAAGATGAAACCGGGAACGGAGGTGCATGGTTGCTGATGGAGTGGATCGAAGGCCCTGCCGTCAGACAAGTTGTAAATCACTGGGAAAAATGGATGAAGCATTGTGAAAGCGCTACTAAGGGGAATAATTCTGGAATGAATGAAAATTTTGAACGCTCTGCCGAAGAAGATATTCGTTCGCTATTACGAAGAATTGGACGTGTCATTGGCGCCCTGCATAAAGCAGGCGTTATTCACGGAGATTTGACGACGAGCAACCTCATTTTGAGGGGTCAATCCAACGAAAACACTACCAACATAGATCCGCATTCAACGACCTTGAAACCCAATTTGGAAGGAGAAATTGTTCTTATCGACTTTGGTCTGGCGAGTCAAAGCGTACAAGACGAGGACCGAGCGGTGGATCTTTACGTGCTTGAGCGAGCCTTCGGAAGTTCGCATCCCAGAACAGAGATTTTCTTCGACGAAGTCCTCAAGGCTTACCGAGAAAGCTTTAAAGGTGCAAGTTCGGTGCTTGAAACACTGAAAAAGGTTCGGATGAGAGGCCGAAAACGAAGTATGATCGGATAACTCCCGGGGACTTAAGACTTGTTATTGAAACCTCTCGCCTTTTATGCCGGAATGACATACGGAAAAGAAATCTTGAATAGAGACGAAAAAGCTGTGACAAATGTGAATAAGCATCAGCTTATTATTTTTAATACTGGCGCAGCACTGGAATTATACAATGCCGTCAGTGGCCATTTTGTGGCTATGAAGAAGTACGTATACATGTTCCGACTTCAGCAAGAGCAAAATAGCCCTTGTTTTCAATTACTCCGCGGTCTTTGACCACTGCCGTGTATTTTACCACCCACTGTGGTTCAATATCCCCTTTGATACCACCATCGTCGGCATCTGCGGCTACTGCCAAGATGCCTGCGCCATTTTCTGCGCGCGATAGTAGATCTCGCGTTGTACCTCTGGGAAGGATATCAGTGCAATCGTTGTGCGTTAGAAGCTCAATATTTTCCTCCTTCGCGTACAATATCAAATCCTTTGGTACAACACAGCAATCTTTAACGTTTATTTGGTCCACGGAGGGTCGTATCTTGGTATACGGAAGAAATTTCTCCAGCCGGTCCTTATCAAATTCTGCCAGTCCAAGTTGCGCAATCATCCCCTTTTCGTGAAGCGATTCCAATGTTCGCCACGTCTGCACCATATTGTTGAACTCCGACTCCGCATCGCCATTGACCACTTCCTCTTCTTCGTCATCTGCGTCAAACGCGATTCCGGGAAACGAAACGATGAGGAGATCTATAGAACCGACGTGTAGCTCCTTCAGAACGAGATCGATGGCGGCACAAGTGTGTTCGCACCTCCTCGAGGCCGGTATCCCTGGCAAGTAGAACAGCTTCACCGTGATATCATACTGAGAGCGGTCCTCTGTCAAGCCAGACGTTGAGAAATCGATGGCCGGAACGTAGAGGGTATCAGCATCTTTGGAGGTCCACGTGGTGTAGTCACTGTAGGCGAGTTTCCGAGGAGGCGAATGCGTCCCATGGAGGCTTTCGTTTGTATGGGCGGGTTCGATCTGCTGGGCTGCGACGAAGTTGTACCGGAGCGAATTCAACAGCTCGACATTCGATTTCGCGGATGTAATGCGGCGGACAACAGATGGCCCGCCGCTGACAATGTTTCTATGAATAGTTCCAATGTTAGAATGGACAATTTTTCTAGGAAGCCAGATGCATTTTTGCTTACGACGTAGACAACACAAGCTTCATGATGTGGCTGTGGTGGAATGTTAGCAATTTTTTATCAGAAGATTCTACCAAAGACTCAACCAGCCGTCACGATGCACTGGAGCGGACCTCTCATATAACTGTCGCCCGGCGAATGCCTTCGCAGCACTCCTCTTCCGCGGTCCTCCAGCCCGCCTGCATTTGTCAGATCGAGATCGGGAGGGCTGCGGGGCAACAGGATCCGCCCACGCGAGTCAGCACCGTCTGATTGGCCTGCGGCTTCACCAGCTCTTGGCAGTCTTAGTCAGCACGGCGACTGGGCGAAAAGGCGGCTGTTTTTGATTGCGCAGCCGATCCATGCTTCTTGGATGTGAACGAGATTCCTCCCCCACCACCGAGCAAAAAAAAAAAAAAATCCAACTCTGTCTGTCATTTCTCGTTTGAATTCGAATTGTCGAGGATAGTATGGCAATTAAGTAAGACTGTTTCGTCTCCGTCTTTTACGCTGCGAGGGAAACTGACAGGACCAGCTACCTTATCCTGTTGTCGAGACAAGGCAAAGTGGTATGTTTTGGTCGTCGCCCACCGCACTCTCGAATCCTTTTCTCGTTTCCTTCTAATTATCTCCGTCCTAGGAGAGAAAATTTTTCTAACTTTTTCTCCAGCGTCTAGCAAAATGGTTCATCACTCTTTCCCCCAAAGATAAGGCAAAAATCATCAAGGATGTTTCTCAGCTCGTCCTCTCCCGACGCACTCGCATGTGCAACTTTCTCGAATACAAAGGTGCGCCCCTTTTCCCATGACCCTTTGGACAATCGTCAGACTAGATCGCTAGCTCTTGCAGCCTTTTATTATATATTCACGTACTGGACGCGGCTAATCGATGGATAAAACGTTTAGATTCCAAGGTAGTCTACCGACGATATGCATCCTTGTTCTTTATCGCTGGCTGCTCCTCTACCGACAATGAGCTCATAACCCTGGAAATTGTCCATCGATATGTCGAACAGATGGATAAGTACTACGGCAATGTCTGTGAACTAGATATTATTTTCAATTTCCAAAAGGCATATTTCATCCTCGACGAGCTGCTGCTCGCCGGAGAGATGCAGGAGAGTAGCAAGAAGAATGTCTTGCGATGCATCAGCCAACAGGACAGCTTGGAGGATATGGAGGTAAGTCCTTTTTAACATAGTCCTGCCGATGAAAACTACAGTCCCTCGCCTTCATATCCGCTTCAATGCTCCAGACAAGCTGTTGCCACTGCTGGCTGGAAAATTAGATGCTAATTCGCGATTCTTCTTGGCGTCTTCAGACAGAGCAAGATATTGTGACGAAGCTCATGTAGCGGGATAGTCCCTTCTACTGGTTTCAGGCGTTTATCGGTTTCTTCGCTGTTTTATACCACAATTGCACCCGTTATGCCCGGCGTTTATCAAGGGGACAATGTATATATGGCGTGCTCATTCCATCTTACTGATTGAGTCAATTGAGTTACAGGAAGCTGCTGCGATAGAAGCGAAATTAGAGCGTTTGGGAATATAGTGCCTTCTGACCTCCATACCTCATCGAAGAAAACGGGGACACTCCAAAGAGCATAGCTTCCACCAGGCTATGAATTCGGCATCTTGTGCACGACATCAAACCCATGGATGTTTTGACAGTGGCAGCATGCTTTCGGTATTACCTACCCTCCAAAGGCATTTGTGGTGTTCTCCTCCAGAGTCTATTGACGCCTTTGTTCGCTCTTGGCCAATTGTGCTCACACCCCCTCCGCGGTGCGCTAGAAGAAGAGCAGCAAAGGATGCAGTACAAGGTAGACTAACCATGGTTCTCTTTGCCACACTTGGTGTCTCGCCTCTGCCCCTTTGTTTGGATCCCGTGAATGAATGGTGTGATGTCACTGGCCGGACCGGCCAAGCGTGTTCTTCACGTGACATCATCGGTTGCGATCGAATTCCAACACCCAACTGGCTGCATCCTCAATGCGATTTCAATCCATCAGCATCTTCAGCTTTCCATCCTTTTTCCATCAAATTTCATGGCTTCTTCGACTATATCTACTTCCTGCTAGACGCTATCGTCTGGCGTAGTCGATCCGTAAGCGTTGTCCTTGCAGCCAGCCTGGAGAACCCTTATCGCCCTTCGACTTGCTTCCGCAGGACACCGCAGCAAGCACCGATCATATTACACCCCCAGGGACCTCCGGGCCTTTACTTATCGATCATCTAGCGCGTCACCCCGCGTTTGGTTGTCGCTTTTTGAAGTTCGACCCTAAGTTATCGGTTCCTTGACCTTCGGCTTACCAGCAGCTATCTACCTCGGCTCCACGCTATAGTCGTGTTAACAACAGCTTCGCGCGAATTGAATGAACTGTCCATTCGTCCGAATCCTAACATTTACGCTAGAAAATGAAGGTATGGTGATGCGAGTTCGGTGATCACAGAATTTACAATCGCTTAAAGAAGTATTACTTGTCCAGTTCCTCCCACTGAGCGAATTCGAAGACGTTACAAACGCCCTCAACTTTGACACTCCTGACTGCCACGTTGTCGGAGGATGCGACCTCTATACTACAAAGGCTGCTGGTGGAGATAAAAAACTGTACAGAAATATTGAGAATTCTCTCGAGTCGCAGTATGAGTCACTTCTGCGACTATCGGCATCACTTTCGCCACCGCATGCCTCTTCCGCGGCCGCATCGCTCAACCTCTCGCGTTCCAGTCCCTTTGGCCCATTAAGTGAGCACTCAAGTCGTCGAACTTTCGCATACCTGATCGCTACTCTCAACGCAAGCCATCCTGATTACGACTTTTCTCACTTATTACGACCTACAGACTTTCGCCGGGAGAAGAGTTTGAAAAAGGTCATGAACACGATTGACAGCACGTTATTTAACCTGCGTCCGCAGATGGCGAGGGATGTTACGCCGCCAACACCGCTCAGCGGTTCTGCGCCGCATGTTCCAACAACAGCACATTCGTGGGGCCCAAGGATGTGGAAAATAATTGATGAGCAAATGTCGCTGAAAGAATGTAGCATATATTGCTACTCTCCCGAAGAAGATCCTTATGACGGAGATGATGCTTCCATATGGAGCCTAAATTACTTCTTCTTCAACAAGGCGCGGAAGCGTGTCTGTTATCTCTACCTTCGTGGAATCAGCGTTCTTAGTCGACTAGCGGACGGCGCCGCAACTCCAATCGCAACGAAAAGAAACATTGACGATGGATACTTGACCCCGGATCTTGGTGCACGGAAACGTGCACGATACTGGTTGGGTGATTACGCCTTTGCCAAGGCCCAAGACTTAAGTAGCGACGAGGATGACGAAATTGAAATACTTTCCGGACCGTCTAGACCGGTTGTAGACGACCAGGGGAACTATGCACTGAGCGATGAAGAAGTACGCTCGAGGTCTGGCAGTAAGGCGAACGCTGTCAGAACGATGAGCGAGGAGGTGGCAGATTCCATGGAATTTTAAAGGGAACATGAAATCGATTCGTTGAGTTATATCCTTTAGGGATCTGCACACTTTAACAGTCGGCCTCGGGACATGTTTGTTTTATGATATCCTTTTATTTTGTTACTCTGAGCTATCATGGTGTGGTCCTTTCGTTCGATTGCGTATCGCTTTGCTTCAAGTCTGTAATTTTTATGGTGTGATGATGACGGTTGAAATGGTTTCTCTTGATTTCTTCATATTTTTATTCTCTCCTCTTTGCTGCTGGTCTGTTTTCAACCTGGGCCTTTTTTCTTTTGGAGGGGATGTGGGCATCAGCGGGTGAGGCGCTATTTCATGTGAACTTCGGGATGACTGGACATTGGTGCGGCTGTTCATACACATTGTTAATACGAATATGACTTCAATAATAACTTCTTCGGCTCTTTATCTGTTTTGCTTTGCCCGGCTGGATACCGGGTAGCATAGATGAGGGCTCGGGAGCGAAGCTGAGTAGATGACGTAAGCGGAAGTCACCAGTTCGATTCTCGCGACCATGCTTTCGTAGTCTGTACCGCCCAATCGCTGCTAGAGGACGAGTACGGGCTCAGTCTACTCCGTACCTAGATTATTATAGCCTACCAGATATACACAGCAAAAAAAGGGGGCGCACAATTGCATCATGGCCGACGCTGATGAGAAGGCCAAGGCCGAAAAGCTTGCAGCTGCCAGGAAGAGGGTATATCGACACCCAGTCCGCGTGTTAATGTTGACATGTGTCCACTGTTTGCCTCCTCCTTTGCTAACGTTCTCAATGATTCTAGGTAGCGCAACTACAAAAGAAAAAGGGAAAGAAATCAGGGAAAAAAGAGAAACCCGCCGGTGGACCGAGCAAAGAGCCCGAACTTGCTGAACCAGCCCCCGTCCCGGATGAAGCCGATGCACCTCCAGAAGCACCAGAACAGGAACCCGAACCAGTAACAAAAGATGACGAGCCCGAAAAAGCGCAGGAGAGGTCGACCGAGTCTTTCCCAGATGCCCCCAACGAGACTCCAGAAGCGAATGCTTCTGAAAAAGCCGAAGGCGGGCAAGACGACATTGTTCCCTCCCTAGAATCCCGCCATCGTCGCCAACCGTCGTTATCCATCCAGTCCAAGATGCGCTCCTCGTCTTTTCGAAATTCGTCGATTTCTCAGACTGGCCTGACTCCTACAGGCTCCGGGGTGAAATCTCCACCTCTGCCGCCACTGAGTCCGGATGGAAACACTGCGCCTGAGCTGTTTAGAAAGCAAGCGCTGAGGCTAGAAGAGCTAGAAAGGGAAAACAAACGGCTGGAGCAGGAACTAGAGACGGCAGATGCCAGATGGAAGAAGTCAGAGGAGCAGTTGGAAGATTTGCGCGAAGCGAATACGGAGACAGTGGAATTAAAGGAGAGACTTGTCACAGCAGAGAAGAAAGCAGAATATGTTGAAAAATTGGTGAGTTCACATCTGGGATACCTTGCTGGCTTTATTGCATTGGATGCACAAGAGATGCTAACTCCCAAAAGAAAGCGGAGATTACAGCCCTACAACGCCAGAATTCCCATCTTCAAACAAAGTCGCACCGGTCTTCAAACAGTGTCACTGTATCTGGGAAACCCGAATCGCCACCATCTGAACTCCAGAGCCAACTAGAATCTAAGTCCGCGACAATTGAAGCCATGGAACTAGAGATATCGAATCTACGCGTCCAACTCGCCTCACAAACAGAAAAGGCATCTACAATAGAAACCCAGCTATCGTCCTTGAAAGATGAATTGTCTTCCGTTCGAGCTGCTTTAGACAAGGAAGAAAAGGAACATGCAAATACGAAGAGTAGAATGGACCGGATGATTGAGAAATCCGTCAGCGAGGGTGTGACTCAAGCTTCCACCCAAACACTAATCAGCAATCTGAAGGATGAGCTTGAACAGGTGAATAGCGCAAAGGCAGAGGCGGAAAACAGAACAGCCACAATGGAGAAGAAGCTTGAGGCTCTCGGCAACCTTCACAAAGAATCTGAAATTAGACACCAAGCGCGGCTTAGAGAGCGTGACAAGTTCGAGAAGGATGTGCTTACGTTGCGTAGAAAGCTTGTCACAATCGAAAACGAGAATTCGCGGCTCAAGGAGGAGCGTGAAAGAACTCGAAAACGCGAGGTGGTAAGCACGGGGGACGATGAGGCATTAGACGACCTCGAAAACGAAGAACAAGCCCGTCTAGAGCGAACAATTCGTGAACTTGAAGGGGAGATCTTCGACCTTCGGCGTGGTATTTGGAAGGAGAGAAAACGGGAGCTTACCGCTGACCACGGCAGCGATGTCGATGTTGCTGAAACCCTCTCTAACCCTGGGGGTACCTTTGACGATGTGGATCTTATTGGTGGCCCCAGCGGGCCTGAGCACTCCCGCCGTCGCAGCACAGCGGCGAATAAACCACGCCAGCATTCATCTTTCGCAACGGTGCTGTCTAGCGGTATCGCTGCATTTACGGGCACCGCCCACCCCCACAGACCCGGCTCGAGTGGCCTACGCAGAAGTCTTGAACTCCTTTCGGAAAAAGATCGCGAAGAGTTCTTAGAGGATGATGGCATGTTTGACGAGGATGCATTTGCTAGAGCGCAGGAAGAAGAGGAGACCAAAAAACGGGCTGAATGGGAACGTGAGGTGAAGAATAAGCTGAAGGGTTGGAAGGGATGGAGATTAGATTTGGTTGATTGTCGGTATGGCGCTCAGGGTGCTGGTGTAGGACTGGGCGAGATATTTGAGGTCTAAGTTGGAGTGCAATGGTAGCTGAACTTTCGGATGTATTTTATTGTAACTATGCCAGAAGCTCTTGCAAAAACATCGGCAGTACTACGCCGTGATCTGGAGCTGAGACGCTCTCTCCTAGTGCCCAAGTTGATATGTACTATGATAATTGCCGCAGCCGGATTTAAGGGGTGATATGTTTGCTCGGTTTGACCTGTTTGTCGAGACAAAATTATTTCCCGTTGCTGATCCCTTGCGACTCTTACCGGAGGTCGATATCAAACCGTCAAGGCAAATCCTCGGCAGGCGACACTTGTGGAAGCTCAAGATCTGCTAGAGCTCTGCATAGCACGCCATAGACGCCTCCTTAGCCCAAGTTTATGAGCCTACCACTTTTCACGTTGAAAAATATGCTGTTCTGGTCCAAAGTTCCACCCACGATCATCAGCAGGGAGCCTGGAGACCAGTAAGTATGAAAGCAGATTTCTTACATAGTAGTTTGCCTGTCGATTAATTAGCCAAGTAGGCGCCCTTCTAGCAAATCGCCATGCTTCTAGGCTCTCTGTGAATCTTTTGATAAGATGCTGGGGCGGACTCCGGGACGGGCTCCACTCCTGACCCAGAATCAAAGCAGACGGGGCCGTTTGAAGAAAAGAATATCCACGATGATGTAATTCGAGATAGATGATTGTACCCGAAAGAAAATTTGGAGAAAAATTTGCCTGACGACGTTATAAGTCAAAATCAACTTTTGGTACATTGGACAACATCGGGTTAGAAAGTATTGGAGACATACTCAGAACGGCGGCATCAGAGGGAAGAATTTCTTTAAAGAAGATAGGGAAATGACGATTGCTATGAAACCTGGGCACGAATTTGCCGTTTTTAAGGGGACGAAATCCGGCAAAGTCGTTCGGGATATCACACGCAGGGCCGCCTTACAGGGGAACGAAGTGCTGGTGAGGGTTACCCATTCAGGGCTCTGCGGATCCGATCTTCATTATCGGCATTCCGGCTGTGTCCTCGGGCATGAAGGTGTTGGTGTCGTCTCTGAGGTCGGACCGAATGTGTTAAAGTTGAGAGAGTAAGGCTGAAGTGGATTCCAGTACTAGCTAAAGTAACAAGTTCAATTTCTAATAACAATCTGTAGGGGAGATCGGGTTGGCTGGGGCTATCTCCAAAATTCCTGTGCCCACTGCAAGCAATGCATCAACGGCCACCAAATACATTGCCCCGATCGCCAAACCTTCGGGAACCACAACAAAGACCAAGGCTCCATGGGCCACGCTGCAATCTGGACCGAACCGTTTCTTTTCAGGATTCCAGAATCCATCACAAGTGCCGATGCCGCACCTCTAATGTGTGCAGGTGCCACCGTGTTCAGCATCTTCGACCAGTATAACATCAGGCCGACAGACCGTGTGGGAATACTCGGTCTCGGGGGACTGGGTCATATTGCCGTTCAATTTTCAAAGCACATGGGCTGCCAAACGGTGGTGTTCTCCGGTACGAATGACAAGAAAAACGAAGCTTTAGCACTGGGTGCAGACGAATTCTACCCCACGCATGGGGTAGAGGAGTTCAAAGATATCGAGCCGGTTGACCATCTCATTGTCACTACCAGCGCCCAGGTGGATTGGGCTCTATATCTACCTGTTCTTGCGCCGCGGAGCTCAGTCTACCCTCTCACGGTAGCGTTTGGAGATTTCACTATTCCGTATATGCCATTGCTGCGTCAAGGTCTCAAAATTGTGGGATCCATCGTGGCTTCGGTGCCAGTACACCAAAGGATGATTGAATTTGCGGCACGACATAATATTAAGCCAACGGTTGAGTTATTTGATATGGACGAAGAGGGTATTGAAAGAGCTATGGACCGACTGGCAGAAGGAAAGATACGGTATCGTGCTGTGCTGGTTGCGCCAGAGTCTACCTAACCCTAGATAGATTATTAAGCTAGGTAGACAACTATGAAGGACCCAGATTCAATTACATACCATCCTGACGCTCTCACTAATCGTCTGGTGTATTTACAACCTTGAAAATGAAACTATCAAGCATTTTTAAGGTTTAGACGGCCCTGTCGATCTTTCAGGGGTGCGAGTTACCTCAGTTGAATTCAACAGGGACTGAGACTTGGGTATTTTACTTCCGGCCATAGTCTCCTTCTTTGTCTTCCTTTAATATCAACACAGCATAACTGGTCATCACAAAATTGCTCGTTGAACATTGAAACAGGGGGACAGTGATCCATTCTAATCAACACATATTGCTATATATTTAAAGATACAAACCACCTAATAAAGTCCCCAAAGGCAAAGACCATGTTGCACATACGCAGTTATAACACAACAGTAAGCTCAGACATCCACCTTTTCCGTCCAAGAAAAAGGGAAAAACTCCATATACTCCCGAGAATGTTTCAAAATTCAAACTACTCTTCAGCCTCATGATTCCCCAACACGCCCAGATTTGCGCCCCTTCTCTTTCTTCCCCATAATTCAACAGCCCATAATGCAAAGTTGAACACCCAGCCTCCTGCAACCAACACCCCCGAAACAACATTAACCAGCCTGACCAGCAGAGCGAGCAAACTCCCTCGTTCCTCACTCACAACCAGCAAGATAGGCTCTATATCGAATTTAAAGAAGATTCCTGGAACGGAGTATGGGCCTTGTGATATCGTACGAGACTGGGAGGTGACTGCATATTGGTTGGTGAAGATGGTATTCTTGCGCTGGCTGGGAGTGATGGTGGAAGGGTCAGGAAGCCGTTGGCTGTACGGATCAACGGTTCCGGCGCGGGTGTAGATTGTGGGGACGACAGAGAGATAGTATTGATACTTATAGAACTTGTCTTTTGTAGCCGCAACTGTTTTATCCAGTGGGTTCAATAACGTTGGATAATGAGGGCCGAAGGACAGTTCAGTAATCAGATGTGTGAAGTTCATATCTATTGCAGTTAGCAAGGCAACAAACACATAGAGATCCGGGCAGTAACATACCATTTACATTCACCATGCCGGTCGGATCATAATACCCCAGTCCCTTTGCGGTAATATGAAAGTTTCCCTGCACCTTGTTTCCTTCCAAACTACCATAAATCCGGCATGAATCGACCACATCTTTACGTTTCAATTTCGGTCCAGGAGGGAACTGTCGCTTCCAGCTCCGTCTAACTTCACCCAGCACATGGCCTACATGCTGATCCTCCTCCTGCTCAGCTAATCTCACATTATCCTCCGCGCTCAATGTCTGATATTGCCGAGACCCGCCCTTTCCAGCAAAATTCATTTCGCGATTCCAAGCGTCCCAGCTGGTCGGAGTTTTGTGAAGTAGCTCCGCTGCAAGGATAAAATCTCCAGCTGCATCCTGCATATTCACACGCAGTGAATCGCACGGCATCCGAACGACAAGATCGAGATTAAGCTGTATTTCCTCTGAAACACCTTTCTCCACACTAAAGTGATGGTTCTCCGTTCCTCCATGCCAGGAGATGAGCTCCGATAACACAAGGATACCACAAAAGAGAAAGGTAAAAACGGTCCATTGGCCTCCGCGACGACTAGCCGTGGTATATGTAGGCTTGGTCTTTGCTATAATGGTACATACATCCGTCAGCATTGCACTGATTTGAGAAGCGTGGGAGGTTTCCATGTGGCTCGAAGCCAATTGCTCCTTGCAAAAATGCCACCAAAATCAACATAAGAAGGGGGTAGCTTACGAAAAGCATCGAACGTCCTCAAACCGGCCGCAATGCCGCTGTTCTCCCCGAACGCATCCTCGTCGAGGCCATGGTCCGCAAAACCGTTCATTGCGCCGGCGTGCGGGCGGGGCGTGGAGAGCTTCCAACCCACCTTGTCAATGGAAAAGATGCATGAACAGCCGCTAACAAAACACACCGCGAAATCGGGCCCTCCTCGCTCTCTCACTCCATCAAACTGCCGGAGCAACAGGTCGTGCTGCCTCGACCACTGCGTGCCCGGGTACCTTGTGCTTATTCATCCACGGGGCGGGATAAGGCCAGATCTCCAGAATCCCGCACCGCTATTCTAAAGTAAGCAAGCCTGCAGGGGTCAAAGCTTAAGGGCTTACTCATCAGCGCTACAGCGGACATAACGTAATTCCCAAGCGAGCCGATCACCCAAGCGAACCGATCACCATTTCAAAATTCCACTCAATTAAAGAACTCTTCCACTTCAACGCGCAATTATGCCACCAATTCGCAATAAAAATTCTTCGAATTCAATTGAGAGAGAGGGAAGACTTGAACTCGCAATAAAATCTATTAAAAATCAAGAAATTACCTCTATTCGTGAAGCTGCTAGAGTCTATAATATTCCCTACACTACACTCTATGACCAGCTAAAAGGATGAGCTCCACAGGTGAATTTACACACAAATTCACACAAATTATCTCCTGCTGAAGAAGATAGGCTAGTTGAATGGGTGCTGGACCAAGCTAAACAAGAAATTCCCCCCCAGCCTGCATTGGTTGAAGATACAGCTAATTATCTTCTTACTATATGGGATTTCACCACCTCCACCAACCCCCCCCTATGTGTTGGCAAGAACTGGGTGTCAAATCTAGTGGCACACTGTCTGGAGCTCCAAAGCCACTATTCCAGATGCTATAATCATGACCATGCTAAGTGTGAAGATCAGCAGGTTATGAAGAATTGATTTAAGACCTTGGGGAATATAATTGCTGAGCATGGGATTCTGCCAGAGAATATATACAACTTTGATAAGACTGGCTTTGCTATGGGACTCTGCACCACTACTAAGATTATTACTAGTAGTGAGTGCTATGGCAGAGCAAAGCTTCTACAGCCTGGCAATTGTGAGTGGGTGACTGTAATTGAAGCAGTGAATACTTCAGGATGGGCCCTACCCTCCTACATTATTCTCAAAGGTCAGGGCTTGTTGGAAGGGTGGTTTGAAGGCCTTCCAGAAGACTGGAGACTAGATGCTAGTCCAAATGGCTGGACTACTGATGAAATAGACCTTAAATGACTTCAATGGGTCTTTATTCCTGTGGCAAATCTATACAGAGTTGGCAGTTCTATCCTTCTTATCCTGAACAGGCACAGCAGTCATCTTATCCTGGAATTTGATCAAATTTGCAAGAATAATACTATAATATGCCTTTGCATGCCACCTCATTCCTCCCACCTTCTGCAGTCACTAGATGTGAGTGTTTTCTCAGTTTTAAAGTGAGCATATGGAGACCTAGTTCAGCAGTGAATGTGGCTTGGATTTAATGCCATTTGGAAGACAGATTTCCTAGATACTTACTCTACAGCATGCACTGCAGCCTTCAAACCTCAGACTATTCAAAATAACTTCAAGACAGCTGGAATAGTGCTCTTTTGACCTGACTATGTTCTCCAGCAGCTGGATATTCAACTATGAACCTCTACCCCCTCATGCAGCCCTAGCAATTCAACCATGTCCTGGGTGCTTCAAACACCTAGTAATCCTCAGTAATTACACCAGCAGACAAATAAGATCAAGAGCTTAGTGGAGGGTCAGCCTCAAGACTTTGTGGAAGGTTTTGACCAAATTATCAAGGCCTGTGAATATGAAATGGTCAGTGCCACAATTATGAAGAAGCAATACCAGGATATATTCAATGTGAATGAGATAGAGAAGCAAAAATGCAAGAGATCTAGATGCTGAATTCAACAAGAAGTAGGAGGTTTAACTAGAGAAGAGATTGAAAGTCTTCTAGGTCCATCTACAGTATCTGCAGAGCCTGCAGCACCTGTTGAACCAGCAGTTATTTAATCCTGCAATCCCCTGCCATCTGAGCCTGCTCCATATTAATGAGCTCCACAATACTGTAGCAATTGTGGCACTCTTGGGCATACAAGATTAAGATGTCCTCAACCAAGTGTAATTTAATTGAATTTAATTGAGCGTCGTTGTGTTGAGATAATTTGAATTCAAAACTAACTAGTTGGGATATGGTGGTTTTGGTGATCGGTTCGCTTGGGTGATCGGTTCGCTTGGGTGATCGGCTCGCTTGGGAATTATGTTAGTTGGGCAGTTTATTGTTTCGATCAAGCGAGCGGCAATATCAATGCCATAGGATTAAAATAATTACCGTCTAAGAGATATTGACAGGAAAGGAATTTCAAAACGAATGTAGTGGGTGGGAGAAGCGTAATCTGAAGGGGCGTGTCAGAAATTAAAAGAAAAGGAGACACGGTCTAAGGGGAAGTTTAGGGAATTAAAAAGGAAAAGTATAAGGAATCTAGAAGCGAACAGAGTGGCTGAAAAAACATCAACTGGGCATGTTAAATTGGTGACATATATGATGGAGAGCATGAGCATAACAAAGGAGACACAAAAGAGGAGGAAAGCAACAAGAAGGGGGAAGAAAAAACAAAGAAAGGGAGGCCCTCAAGGATTTCATTTAAAGCTGGCTCAAAAGACAAGCCTAAAGTTATACCATCATAAGACGACCCCCAGAACCATGAAAATGCACACATTAAAAGCCTTAGAACCAGAACACACTTTAACCTTGATGTGATGAAGACAAAGACAGCTGAAGGGTATGAACTGAATATTCAAAAGGGGATATATGACCAGAGGGTATCGTTTATCTCTCTAGGGGAAGAGCAGGCGTGTATTATCTTTCTAGACAAAGGTCTGGAGAATAATTGCTCACTAAACTCTAGTCTTCTGTAGGGATGGGTTAGTACATGTGCATTTCAGTGACAATTATAGATGACGTACCAAACTAGTTGCAGCCGCAGCCGCAGCCAGGTCTAGCTTCCCACTCGCACTTCTGCCTGCAGCTCTCGGGAGGGCAGAACCGGCCGCGGGAGGAGGGTTGGAAGTCCGTTTTGTCGCCGGCGTGGAGGTGACGTTTTGTACCGTCTGACGTTTTACAACGCCGGGTCTAACGGGAGAATTATTGGATGAATTCCTTGCCGCTCCTCGCTTCGACGGTGGTTCCGGAAGAGGGCGTACGCCTGGCGTTGAACCCGACGTATGTCTTTTTGCGGGAGAATGACCCATGGACGTTAAGTGCAACCTTGCACGGGGATTGAACTTCATGCCAGTAATAAACTCGTGGTTCATCGCATCGTGTGGATTGAGGCGACGCGCTGGGTCCCATCGGAGACATCGTGCTAGGAAATCGAGGAACGCGGCATCGTCGCATTTTAGCACATGGCGGAGACTCTTGGAACTTGGCTTTCTCCGACGGCCTTTGGATGAAACGACATCGCGGGGTTTGCCGGTAGAGTCAAAGAAGAGTTTTCGTCGAGTGCTTTTTTCGATGAGATGCTTCTCTGGAGGGCCAAAGACTTCCATAATACATGCCAGCTGCTCTTGTTCGTTTTCTCCGGGGAAGAGAGGATAGCCCGTGTATAGTTCAGCCAAGATACAACCAAGACTCCACATGTCAATGGGCATGCCGTAGGACATGCCTAAAATTACTTCTGGGGAGCGATAGAAGCGGCTCTGGATGTAAGTGTACACTTTTTCGTTCTCAAAACAACTCGAGCCGAAGTCGATGACCCTGATTCCGGTTTGGAGAGGGTTAACCAGCAGAATATTCTCCGGCTTCAAATCACAATGGACAACCCTCTTGTTGTGAAGAAGGACAAGTGTACTCAAGATCTGCTTCGTGAACCGTCGAATCAATTTCAGCGAGAAGCCACGGAACTCGTGTGCCTTGATGAATTCATATAAATTCATTCCCAGCAGCTCGGTAGATATGCAAAGATGGCCACGGAAGTAAAAACTTTGGACAAAGTTTACGACGCTATGGCGACGGTTTGGGTCCTGTGACATTGGGTCAGTGTCATAATCCTACATCTCGACAATCTCCAATCGCGGTAATATCAAGCCTTACCCATTCTTTCAGCTTCTGTAATATATTAACTTCGACAAGAGCCTGCTGATGGAATCTCTTTTTGTTTCGGATGATCTTCACCGCAACAAGCGTGCCCGTCTTGTGGTCCACACATCTAACAACCTGCCCGAAGCTTCCCTTTCCAAGGACGTCTATAATTTCATATCGATAAGCGAGGTGGTCTCCTATCACGATGTTGTAGTCGCCACGATCATCATCATAGCCGAAATTGCCAGTCGACGCATTTAGATCACCAACAAGCTTTTTGGCTTTGTGAGTGCCACAGAAGTAGATGTCTTTGAAATCGATAATCTCTCCTCTTTCAAAAATATTAAGATTCGCAACTTTTAGAGCCTGGGCAGGAGACGCCCGCTCCTTCGGGCTCGCTCGGCGACGGAGATCCTCCAGCTCCCGTGCTGCAACCTCAAAGTCCTTTCGCTTGCTACCAAGTTTGCGCATCTCTTCTTCAGCAGCAGCATCATCTCGATCGCCGATCTGATCTTGAAGACGAGGTTTAGGAGTTGGCGACGGCTTCGATCCGGCCAGAAGCTTATGCACAGGTGACAGGATTGACGAATTCGGTTTGTTACCTGATGCCTCCGTATCACCAGAATCAATGGTCAGGCTTGGATTCTTGGCAAGGCCCTGCTCGCTACTAATGCTTTGGTTCCTCCGTGGTGACGGCACATTTACCAAATTAGAAATCGATGTGCTTCTCTTCGATTTAAGTTGAGCCTGTTTCGAAGTTGGGCTTACTCGCGTGGTGGAAAGGTTGTTCCACGTCGCAGACGCGGGAAGTTTGGGCGGTGGCATACTATCATATTTGACAGGATCCATGGAAGCGTCGGAGATAATTTGTATTTTGGAGTGAACTCTATCATCTGCCCTCCGCGGGGAGGGAGGGGGAAAGCTTATTTCCGTTTCAGCATCATCAGGCGTGAGACCAAAGGCAAACAGATCTGTGTTTGAGAGCGACGAGATCTGAGTTTGTGGCCGCGGACCGATGAGCTTGCTAGGCGTAGGTTTCGAATATGAGTCCGATATTTGGTTGCGTACAAATCCAGGTTCGTCACCACCTCGAGGAAGGGAAGACGAGATGTAAGGAGAAATGTTCCTTGAGGATGAAAATTCCAACGTATCGAAGGCACTGGAACTATTCTCGGCTCGAAACTTTGCAAAATCCGTTCTGAGAGCAAAATGTGATGTGTTGCAACGTCCCGGATCAACGGGAGGGATTTCATTAAAGAAGCTAGCTTTTGATGCTGTCATCGGTGTACTGGGCGTTTTTGCGTTGATCGGACGGGGAGGCGTTGCCGCTACCTGAGGCGCCAAGTCCTGGGATGCCTTTTCGCGCAACGCATCGATTTTGGTATTTATAGGAACACTAAGGGGGAGTAAATTAAGAGGAGGAAGCTTCAATGGCTGGAGATTCTTTTTGCTGAGATTGACCGGTGGCCTCTGTTTCGTCTCCTTGGCGGGAGTTTCGGCAAGCGTTCGCTTGGAGACATGGACACCATCCCCAGGACGGCTGGAGCTGGAGTCCGAATCCAACTTTGACATATCAGCAAAGTTTGGAACCTCTAGCGGTAAGCTAGATTTTCGGGAAATGAATGATAGATGATGCTCATTCTTGGGCGACTCGTATAGTTTGGGAATAGCGGGCACCGGAGGGACGTCGTCCTCTGTGTTCCTGATATTATTATTATCCGTTCTAGGTTTAGGTGTAGGGAGCCGAGAAGAAGAAACGTTTTGCGAAAGACGTGCTTGGAAGGAACCGCTGGAGTTGCGCGCAGAATTATAGCTTGTGCTAGACGATAAGGATATGCCAGAACCGTACGATTTGCGATGCTGGTCTGGAGTTGTCCTGGTGGATGACGGCGTCACGCTTTTCCTGGGTATTGCTGAAGGGGATGGAGCTGAAGATCGTGGACGGGGAAAACCGAGATCGAGATGTGTGGGAGAGGTTCGGGGTAAGGGAGGGGGGTGTGGAATAAGTGACATCCTCTTCATGCGCCGTGCATCTGTTGGGCTGATAGTTCGCGCGCCTAGTCCAGTGGCATGCGGTGGCATGATCGAAATCCTCTTCGACGAAGATGGGGTGGTCAGCTTGACGATTGCACCTTTCACAGGTGTGCGGATCACATGGCTCGAAGATCGAGAATGGTCCCCTATAGTCGGGCTCGTCGTCGCATTATCCCGCACGGTGTGGCTTGGTGGTTGCAGCGATCTTGCCTTCTGGCTGCGAACTGCATGTAGCGCTGCTGAATTGAAGGCGGAATCCGACGTCTCTTGGTGGGAGTTGCGGGATGCAGCATTTGGCATCACCCGATTCTCTTCCATTGTTTTCTTTCTCGAAAAGCTCGGCCTTCGCATAGGAGGGGGAAGGCTCTCGCCATTTTCTGATACCAAACTTCCAGGCCCTATCGATTTTCGAGGTCGCCGAGGAGCGACCATGCTGGTTGGTACGGGGGGAACGTAACTCTGGCGTCTTGCTCTCCCTGTCGAGGATACAGATGACGGAGCAGGTTTTGATCCCGCAGAAGTCTGACCGGAGCGCGTAGCATTGCTAAGACGCCGAGTCACACCTGCTGGTCGCGGCTCTTTTGCAGTCTGAACAGAAGGACCCGTTGTCCAGCGATTCGTAGGTTTTGGGATGGCTACCGTACCCTCGTAACCAGCCGCACCACGACCAGGCAACGGAAAATGGCTCAAACTAGGCTCTTTTGACGTGATGCTGTTGTGGAAATCATCAAAATTAACTGGAACGAGGAACTCCCCATTTTCCGATAGTGTTTCATTTTCTTCGTTCACCGTTGAGCTACCTGCATTTGACTGAGTTCGCGACGGAGGATTGCCGGAATCTAAGGAGGTATTGCTGGACCGCATTGGGTTACCAAACGTGCTCGATGGAACCCTAGAACAAGCACATATTAGAGTGGGTAAGAAAAAGACATAGAATAGCCACGGATTCGAGGTACCGTCGCGCAGAATCCACATCTCGGGAGCCGAACGTTGAACCACGCTCGAGAATGGACTTTCTCCTCCTGGTTCCGGTGACACCAGCCGTACTCCCGGCATGTGAATCGTACGTCTGGGAGCGAGCAACCGAAGCGTTCGAGGCGTTTTTGCGTAGGACTGTCCGTAATGGCAGTTCGGCTGCGATGGGAGCATTTGAAATGTTAGCAGGGTTTGATGTCTGGCAACCGGGCCATTCAAAACAAAAAGAAAACAACGAAAAGCGCCTATACCTCCAGAGCTAGAGCTGTCATTGTGATCCCGAGTTGACGAGTCTGACAGGGACATGCGTGACTGTGATGATTTGGGCAATCTCTGAGGGGGGATCTTGTTCGACATGGTCGAAATGGCAGAAACGCCCACCATAGGTCGCCAACCACGGTCGCACGCGAGCCTTTGATCCGAGGGAGAGGATGGACACAGCGGAGGAGGGTGCAATTAAGGGTACTAGACGTGTTTGAATCCAGCAAAAACGTCTAGAAAGGTCAGTTCGATCGCCGCAGGTCGTTGAGAAGCGAGACCTGTCGAGTGCCGTTTACCAATCCATGACACACAGAAAGAGGGAAAAAAACCACAAAAACGAAAAAAAAAGAAATAAGGAATTGGCGTCTCCAGTACGGTTCGAAATTGGGGAATGCCGCAAAACCGTCCCTCAAAGGGGGGTGAGATTTGCAGCGGCAAGAATCGAAGCGAATTGCTTTGTTTGGAGAGACTGTTGATTTTTGCTCTCCTGGGAATGGGAGGTCTCAGCAAAGTAACGGCGCCGGCTAACTAACTAGCAGGTAATCCCAAGTTTGAGGTTGACAGCTTAGTAACCCGCAGCTGCAAGCTTCGGCGGTGAAGCACAGTTGGTCGGGAAACAACATGCAACATACGAACATACGCTTTGTTAATTTCACGGCGGGGGGTTCTATTGAGATGAAAAACGGGGGCAGATTCGATTGTCATTATTTTTCCCCCGGAAACGACGTGAGTACGGAGTACAGCCTACTAAATAACCCCGCTACACCGCAACACCTAACTAGTCAACAGTAACCACGTACTCCGTAATTTTGCCTTATTTATCCCTCGAAGCGGCGGCTGGATTGCGATGTGCTGATGGCTCGGGAGGGCGAGCGGTTCCCACGTGATGTTACATGGAGGCGGCCGCTTCGCTCCAGCCAGCGAGGGCCCAAGGGGGGTTTTTCAACTAAAGACCATCCTGCGGCTACTATCAGCGTCGAGAGGCCTCCGCAACGGGCGAGATAACGGTCGCTTGGCTGCATGAACTAGTCGACGACAGAATACGGAGCCAGAAAATCGCTGGGAGGCTGGTTTCACTCTGCCACACCTTGAGCTGGAGGAACGGGGATCGGTATGACATCCGACCAGGTTTCGAGAGCACTCTCCACGACGAACGAAGGGGTGAGTGCAACAGGAGCAGTACTGCCTCACGCGCTGCCGGAGACGACTCGAAGAGAAAAAAGCAGATTCTCCCCAGAGAACAAACGGGCGGCTGCGGAATAAGGGGCTGGGTTAGTCAGCAGGTTCCTCGGCTCGGATAAACCATACCGCGAGAGAGCAATTGCAAGGAACGAGTGACGCCATGCGTGTCACATGCAGGCGCTGCGCTGGTCCAGCAGGAGCGAGACAGACAAGACAGGGCGGCGTGCTGGACAAGCGAACGGCAGCTGGCCCTGCTTCTATCTGCTTCCGCTTGACGGGAGACGCTGCTTTTTTGACAACGTCGTCCCCTTCCGGACACCATGGAGGAGGCATCAGAGACCCGCGCGAATCGACATGACCCGGCTGCTCGCAGCGAAGGGCATCGCGAAGCTCCATCTCGCAGCAGGTTGTCCGCTATGTACGTCAGAGACAAACTCCATGATCTGAGACCCGGTCACTCTGCTAGCTCCTCCGTCTCGTTACAGGATCGTCTCTTCTCCAGGTACGCTTTTGAATCACGCTCGTGTCCCTTGATAAGACGTGATGCTTAACTTTTGGACCTCAGGCTCCTGCAGCAAGTGATGCCGGCAGAGGATGGCGAGGAAGAGGAGGAGCCCGAGGAGCCAAAATCTATGGAGCGGCCTCCGTTCAGTCTTCCAACAATGACAAACAACTTTCGACGGTTCAATGCAAGGTGGGCTTCTCCGGAACACACCCAACCCCCCCAAGTGGATGCGCCACCGGACAAATCCATGCTAACAGCGAGGTTAGGATCGGCATCGTTTTTCACTTTCAAAACAGACTGGTGAAACTGTTCAGCTGGAGGAAGCCAACTCAAACCTGGTCGTTTCTCTTCGTTTATTCCTTTGTCTGCCTGGACCCCTACTTGTTGCTCATCTTGCCCTTCGTGGCTCTTCTCTTCTATATCATGGTCCCGGGGTTCTTAGCTCGACATCCTCCACCTCCTCCAAACACCTCGACCTCCAGCACAACGCCATATTACTCCTATGAAGGCCCGGCCCTTGCGCCTGCAAAAACGATCAAACCAGTCCCGGAAACATCGAAGGACTTCTTCCACAACATGAGGGACTTGCAAAATTCAATGGCTGACTTTGCTAACCTACACGATGCTGCTGTTGCTCTTTTATCCCCAGCTACAAATTTCTCGGACGAAACACTCTCTTCAATGCTGTTTCTTCTATCCACCGTGCTCGCGGTGTCCCTTTTTCTCACAGCCCACCTTCTGCCTTGGCGTTTCATCTTTCTCTTCGCTGGTAACGCCGCAATTTTGTCCAACCATCCTCGCGCCGCAACAATGCTGAAAATGTTTCAGCTCCAAGACGAGTCGACGACTCAGGTTTCAATACAGAAGCAAAAGGAGCCAGAAAACAATATCGTGGTGTGTGGAATATCTGTCCCAGCTACTTTATCTGGTCTCAGGGCATTACTGGAATCACTGGTTGCAGTCTCTCTTGATTCGTACCCCGAAGAGAGGGAGGTTGAAGTCTTTGAACTACAGCACAGAACGCTTTCTCCTTTTTCTGGAGCCTCAGAGTGGGAACCGTTCCTATTTACCCCAACTCCATATGACCCTCTTTCTCCAGCTAGGATCGCGGGTGATCGACCAAAAGGTACCAGATTCTTTGAAGATATCCGTCCTCCACGCGGATGGGCTTGGAAAGGGAAAAAGTGGGAATTGGATCTCGACTGTAGGGAATGGGTAATGGAGCGCATGGTCACAGGGGTAGAGTTTGAAGTTCCCAGCAGCAACGGTGATGGAATTGGTGAAGAAGTCGGTGGTTGGGTTTGGGATTTGCCATTTCAGCCCCCCAGCGAAGGCCTGCAAGATAACACCGACGAGCCAGGCTGTGATGAATCACAAAATTCATGCTCTGACGCCACCATTAAGCCAGAGAATAACGTCTCTGGGGTCAGCGGATCATCCAAGGTCGAATGGGAGGAAGCCACTAAACATGCCGAAAGGACGGGGGAGTGGAGAAGAAGGCGATGGGTGCGGGTTGTACGGCGAGTCAAACATGACGAGAAAGTTGCAAATGCCGCTTGATCACATCTCTATCACCATTTAGACATGTTGGAGGTTGACCAAATCTACTCCCGGATACGCCCATCTGGAAGTACCATGCCGTAATACCCGCAAGACCGGGAAACTTATTTAAATTACGATTATATCAATTAGCGCTAGTGAAATCGGCAATTGGCTCTATGTTTTGACAAGATAAAAAGGGATCTTTAGGAGTTAGGTTATTATTGACGTTCCCCGTAAAGCTGAGATATAACTACTTATGTATCATTACATTGTTCCTGGTCGGAATTGGCTTTGGTAGTCTGCTCCGTACCGGATGCTCACCACCGGGACAAGTTCCTTCTCGGATCGAATTTTGGTTCAAGCAATATACCTTATATATAAACTTGATAATAATACTTCCTTCTGGCAGCCTAAGACTTAGGATGCTGTTGGCCGCCAGGAGTGAAGGCCTTGTGGATTGGTGGTTGGTGGCTTTGGGCTTAATTTGTTTTGTTTGTCCTGTTTGCAGCAAACCTCAACCCCCTGCTGCAACCCAACAGTTCAAGTTCTGACTTGTTTCAGCCATGCTGGAACAGTGCAAGTATATGCATGCGGTTGAAAATTGATTGCTTGCAATTTAGACATCCAAATGTTCTCATTCTCATTGCTTCTAATACCCATTAAGGGGCTTCAATCAATACAGGTGACACTTTGTTGAAAGCATGAAGAATGAACAGGATCAATATCATAAAACACCATTTCCTTATCATATCCATAGAACCCTTCCGTTGGGAATATCCTCCAAAATTCTAGCCTGGTGTGTTCCGTTGCTTAATTTGGTCGTGTCGCATCACAATGGAGATCACGGCCTTCGGAGACACTTCAAGCAGCTGCAAATAAAGCGGCGGCAGCGACCACCTTGGCCAGAACCCATTTTTTAATCTCCATATTGCGAGCAGAATCGTTAGGCTTTTCGGAGGAGCGGGTGGGAGCAGCAGTGGCAGTATTGACGGGAGTATCGCTGGAGGCAGTGACACTGGCCTCGGGCACCACCACGGTGACAGTGACAGTTTCGGGTCCGTCGAGAGTCGTGGCTGTCTCGATGAATGAGCTATTCACTGGTGGTTCCGTTGGGAGGGGACGAGAAGTGGTCATGCTGATAGAGGCCAAGCCAGGAAGATCTGTGCCCAGGATATCGCCGGCAACGGAGGTCGCAGGCTCGGTCGCCAGGCTGTGGTTCCAGTATGGAAGGAAGGGATCGAAGCTTATTGGGACAAATCTCTTGCGGAGTTCCCGAAATGTTACCCCCAACCTTCCTTGTGTGTCGTTTAGTTTCGGCTTGGTTGGCTGGTCGAAAGAACCGGGTGCACCTCCACGCACACACTTGGCCTCCATGGAGCTGACTTCCTGGCCTAGAAGTTGAGGGAAATGTCAGTTTCAATCCGCAAGCTTTAAGGAAATGCTCTTAGCTCGCTCTTAAGGAGACCTTACATCTTGCGTCAACCTTTGCGCCAGCCGGGTCAAGGTTCGCCAGCCTGTTGGATGAAGAATCAGCATCATGCTCCAGGCATATGACACCTATAACTACATCGGTTGTGCGACACATACTGTTCAGCACAATTAATGAACTCAACTTTGCCGTCTTCCGAACACTTTTTCAGGAAGTCTACTGCCGTGCAGTATGTTCCTCCCTCTAGTCCGCGACACGGATGCGGGTGCCTTTGGGAGACATCCAGTCAGTTGGGACAGAGAACGCGGGTACAGCGGGTTGGACTTACCTAACATTGCGCGAAGCAACGCCAGCAGCAAGGAATGCGATAACAACAGTTTCAGGGAGCTTCATCTTGGCCACACTCGTGATACAAGCTGATTAAATGATGTGGTGCAAAGAGAGATATGACAGTGAGCCAAAGCTGGGTCGGTTAGAAGACAAGGCAAAGAACTGAACAGAACTTCGCAAAGTCGATATTGCTTGCAAAGAGAAATAGTGAGGACAGGGTGAATTTATGCGTGAATGAAAGACCCTGTTTACCCTCGCAACCGGCCAGTTCCGTTTTAGGAGATCACGTTGCTTATGTTGCTGTGCTGGTATTTGCTGCACGGGATGACCCGCTGGAGTCACACTCCGTTGCTAAATGCACTATGCATTTCTATGAAGGCGTGCTCTGGTTGGAGGTGACTTGATCATCGTAGAGGATATATCCTGTTGGTTTAGCTGGCTGTGAGAATGGCGCCTGCATGAAGAGAGTTGAAGTGGTGTGGTATGTTTAATATACTGTAGCTTGGTCATACTTGTGGATATGTTGTAGAGGACTCCGTAGGCATATCAAGCATGTAAAGAGTAAAATGACCTGAAAGTGATTGATAAGTCCACCGGAAGTGGCACGAAATGTGGATCGAGAAATGCAGTGGACTCTAATCTTCTACAAGCCAGAGTGGCAGAGTTGAAGTCCTCATATAAGTCAAGTTGAAAAACGTAATCCATTAATAAAGTCTGTACGGGTTGAGGATATTCTATCCCTAGCTCCTCCATTCCAAAGTCCACCGTAAACGCCATATTTCACCCAAAATGCGCACGTAACCGAGGCCATTATTTTTTATTTCCATGCCATTTTCTTAACCTCCTTCTTATATCTCCTTCGGTCTGCTGCATCGGATTAAGTTTCCTATCTCTCACCATCGCAGGAACGTCGTCGCCGTATTTGTCGACCAGCCGTTGTAACCACTCCTCTTCCCGTTTGCTCTGATGTCTGGGCTTTCTTTTCTTGACTCTCTCTTCTTCAGCTGCAGCTTGCCGCTCCAGGGCAGAAACAACGTCCGTCGAGGCACCCGTGTCACGTAGAGTAGAGTCCTCAACGTCCGAAAGTTCATTCAGGGGATCATCGAGGGGGTTTGTTCTTCGGCGTTTATGCCCCGCGACCTCTATTGTCCCATCGTCTCCATCTTGATCGGGTTGAATTATACGGAGAATCTTGCCAGTTTCCGGATCACGCTCCACCCGGGCTTCACTGGGTTGTATTTGCGCAGCTGTTTTCCCTTTTGTAGCTAAGGAACTGATGTTATTGAGTGCGCCTGATGAGACTCCCTTTTCCACACCACCGGTCGGGGCATTTAAACGGGTGGCAAGCCCAAGACGACGATAATTTTGAGCAAGCGTTAATTTTTTATCCCTAAGGCAAATTGTTAGCCATGCCTGCTTGAAGGGGAGCAAAGCGAGCTACCCGCTATGGACTCACCAGTTCTGCGCGATGATCGAATTTCCCAGCACATTAATCTTCTTCTTTCCACTCTTCGACTTTCCGCTCTTTATTTTGATTTTGGGTGCCGAAGAGCGATTCTTCTTTTTCTGTAAAATTCGACCCATATTGATTGAATGCAGCGATACCTACTCTCTTCAAGCTTCCACCGCGACTCAGCAAAAATATCGATGTTTATCTGTTTGCACCGTATCTTGGCATGTTTGCCAATCTCCATAATGCCAAGCCCTCATGAAACTTAAATTGCGGATAGGGCTTGTGGCCTCACGTGCTCGTATTGATGGGATCAAGTCCAGCTCAGCATCCAGGGGTTTCGCGACAGCAACGTCAACTGTTGGGGAAATATCGAGTGATGCAGAGAGGCAAACATGGCGTTCAAGATGCTTTCAAGGGCGAGGAGCAATATCTCTGTTTTGTTTGTCTTGTGTCTTATGTTAGCTCTGTCTACTTTGGCCATCGCTGGAACGGAGGTCGCAGTCTCTGAGCTATCAGCATCGCAAATCGAAGAAAAGCTGCAAGTAAGAAATAATATCAAACGGGGCCTAAGAGGCTCTATTTTTGTAATCTGGCGATATCTCTAACGCTGCACGAAGGAATGCCCACTGGTGCAGTCATTAAATGCCCACAAGCAGGCCACAGCTCCGCAAACCACGAGCTTGACCTCGAAAATATTTGCAGTCCTATTCCCAGGCAGTCCTGCAGTCAATGCCATTCTGGCAACTTTTTATATTTCCGGTCCTCCGAGTAAGCCGTTTCGTTTTAATTGTGTCTTCAATGATGGCCACTCTGAACAAGAATTTAGACTTCCTGCTTGCATTATGTCCAACAGACATTGATCCATCCTCATTATCAGTGATGGTGGCATTCGCTGTGGGAGGGTTAATGGGGGATACCCTCTTTCACCTTCTTCCAGAGATATTCTTGGGAGAGGATTCTCCCGAGCACGCGCGTTTTGTTCTCGTCGAACCCAACAGAAACCTACTTCTTGGCGCTGCCATCTTGGTCGGGTTCCTTACCTTCGTTGCTATGGATAAAGCACTCCGGATAGCTACTGGAGGGGAAGGGGCGCATGATCATGGCCATGAACACAAACCGGCCAGCCCTAAAGGTGGTGACACTGCAGTAGCATCCGGCTCATCTACACTTGACGGCAACACCAAGGATCAACCAAGACTGCGCAAGCCGGAGAAGCCCGCAGAATCTCAGTTAACCCAGGAGAAAGAAGTCAACCCCAGCGTCAAGCTCGGTGGATATCTCAATCTCATCGCTGATTTTACTCATAACATCACCGACGGTCTCGCAATGTCCTCCTCTTTCTATGCCTCCCCAACCATCGGCGCAACAACCACCGTCGCGGTCTTCTTCCACGAAATCCCTCATGAGGTTGGAGACTTTGCACTCCTTGTGCAGTCCGGCTTTTCAAAGCGGAAGGCTATGGGTGCTCAATTCGTCACTGCGGTTGGCGCCTTTTTGGGTACTTTCATCGGTATTGCCATTCAGGAGCTTGGCGGGAATTCTGAGACGTCTGCTTCTTCTTCATCGTCCGCAGGTTTGCTAGGAACTAGTCTTACTGCCGGCGATTTACTCCTACCGTTCACCGCTGGGACGTTCCTCTATGTGGGAACCGTTGCTGTAATTCCAGAGCTCCTTGAGACTGGCAAGGATAAGTCTACCGAGTTGCGCAAAACTATTAAACAGTTTGCTGCGATGTTTGCGGGTGCAGGTATTATGCTTTTGTAAGTTCTTCTACTTTTACGCTCTGTGATTTTCCAACTGCACTATCCATTTATCCCCGGCTCTAACTCGGCGTCCAGTATATCGTGGTCATAACATGATATTTTCGATATTCAAAAGTCATAGAGGGATGAATCAAATCGAAGATTCGAAGGCAAATGCTTAAGTAAACACTTACCGTTCTTATTAACTATTGAAAGCGAATTGGATTAGGCGCGGAGTGTGCATTAGGGTGTTATGCATTTGAAGCTAGAAGTGCCTGTGTTTTCCCATAGAGCTCAAGTGGATATACTCCGTGCGGAGTATTTATTTACACACACAATAGCATTTGGCGTACAGCGCAGAGAAAGCTTAGCTCCCTGATGTTCGCTATAACAATGGATGCAATTGTCTTGTAACCACGGGCCCTCAACGGGGTATCATAATCCCTGATGTTCCCCCAACCGAATTCTGGCACAGCACAAAGCGGAGTAAAATTAGGTTTGAGGTGAAAGGCGGGAGCCGTCTAGACTCCCGGAGCTTTCAATGCATTTTACAGTGTCAGCGTCTTCAGCGAATAACGAAACTGCTCCTTTTTTTTGTTGTTTTTCCTTTTGCCCTCTCCTTCCCCCCCTCCAATGGCAAACACCTTTGGATCAGGCTCTCTCGGGTTATACAGGGATACGTATTCCTACAGCCCTGTCGGCAATACCTTACTTTGAAACATATATGGGGTATATTAATATGTATGTACTCCATAGATTGTACGAGACTCTTTCATGACATCACTGTTTATTGCCTTCGTTTATTTGAACCAGTTATTTTGAACCAGCCTGGTTTATATCAAGATACAAACTTCGGGTCGGAGTGTGGGAATAGCGGGATGAGCTATTTATGTATGTACATAGTTGGTTCCGCAGCAGAAAAAGGGCAAAGAGTTCAATTCCAAAATGAAGTTCGTCTTCTGTCTTAATACCTTTCTTTAGATCTATGTAATAACGCCAGTATCAAACTCGCCAGAATAAAGTAAAGTATCCGGGAAGAAGTGTGGAATAGACATGATTCAAAACAGGGCAAAAGGTAATGGGCAGGCTCACATATTTAGATATACAGGGAAGAGGATGAAAGTGAAGCATCAAGATCCCTAAAGGATTCAAAAACATTGATGGTGCGTAAACTTTGCTCAACATATGCTTGACATGGAGCAAACGAGAAGGAAAATAATTCCGTGGACGCGGCTGGTCGATGAGTCGGTCATTAAAAGAGCAAATAGAGAGTAAGAAGAAGGAAGTGATGCTGTCACTCATTATAATGGTATACCTACACCCAACCGTTAGCAAAAGGAGAGAAAATTCCAGCCCGATTATGCTGGTTGTCGGATACTCACAAAATAGTTCGGTAAGCCGTAACATTTCCATCCCAGTCTCCTCGCCATCTTTGCAAAGCCCTCTGTTTCAACCAGATGGTAGAATGGGAAGGCAGGGAACATAGCCCCATCTCTATGAACTTCGGCCTTCACTAACAATACGGTACCTCCCACGCCGTGTAGTTCCATAGTCCGCTCAGTATCACGGTTTGGACTTCGGTCCGCCAAATGGGCCATCAGTGTCCTGTACGTCGGCATTTCCGCGTAACCTTCTAGGATGATCTCATCAGGGCCCATGCGGTTCGCGAGAGCCAATGAGCTATCAGTATCAAGCCAGGAGTTGTAATCATAAGGACGGATATCCATTTTCTTCTTCTCTGTGTTCATGTAGCGTTGATAGCAGTTCGGGACGAGGACAGGCTTGTTGTGCCTTGTGAGATCCTGAATGAGAGTCGGCGGGGTCTCGATGATGTCGGCATCTATCCATAAAACCCAGGAGGTACTGGGACCCAACGTGGTGAAGAGCAAACTATTCCTTGCCCGTGCCATTGCCTCCCGGCGGATCTTTTGATTGGAGAACTTGTGCCGTTCCTTCTCATCCTGCGACGCGATTGGCGGGTCGAAATCTTGCCGTAGGATTGTGATGCTGGCGAATCTATCATCCACGGGACCGGACTGCGTCTTCGTGATAGCCTTCTGCAGCGCAGAGGTGGCAGCGTTCCCTTCTCTTGTCTTCGGGATGATAAACCCCAGCGAAATGTATTGATGCGGATACGTCAGCTTCTCCAGATTCTCCCAGTACTGGGGGTAAAACCGAGCCAGCGGAGTGAGTATCAGCACTCGTTCGTGTCTCTCTGCGGAGTTCACCGTCGTAGTTACATTGTTCAAGTTGTAGTTGACCACCGGTGGAGGGATGCGTCGGCCATTGGCCTTGAATAGCTGCGTCTTGAAGAAAGGCTTCGTCGGCGGGGAGAGAGGATTCTGGGCAGCATCTTTCTGTCTCTGAGCGGCGGTAACCGTTCTCGAGTTCGGGGAGAAAATGAAAATGAGGAAACCGATAGCGAGGGCACAAGCTAGGACGAATGTGATGGGATTCGTACGCCGCAGCGATCGTACGGCCATGGTGGCCTGCGAAAGGGCTTAACAGCTGGGAGAAAATAACACACGCAAAAAGTACTCGGAGCACAGACGAGGTGCTCCTCGATGAGACCCGTCTCTGATGTCCTTCTCGTAGTCGTTATCTGGCCGTTGGCTTCACCTTCGATGACATGGTCAAAACTTCAATGGGCAGGGATCCAGCGAGCGGAAACAGGAGATATGAAACAAAGCGACAATGATGACGATGATGAATGGAACTAGCCAAAATAACGATTAAGTTAGGAATTAAATAAAAGAGACGAGCAAAGAACCGAAAAATGATCACAGACGCGCGACGATACCCGGGGGGAGGTTTGTGTATTTTCGAGGATTTAACTTCGAGGTGGTCAAAATTGGATGCTGGCCTCATTGGGGCGGCTCACCAAAGGGCGGCCGCAGATCATCTCCTCAAGTCGCAACATGGGAGACGTAATACCTCCTGGGACTTCTCCGCACAAACCCTCTTTTGATCTTCAGGCGAACCGAATGCTCAACACGCCGGTTCATTCCAGCCCACTCCGTTAGCTGCTCAGCAGACCAGACGCCACCAAGGTCATTTTTCTCAATTGGCTACGCAGAGTACAGAGCAACCAGACCTTTCTTCTGGGACGACGACGTTAACTAACTACGTGGTGAATAAACTACAAAATACTCCACACACCGAGATCGACAGTGACACGGGATCGGGCTATTTCTCGCGTAGCCATCCATGCATCTCGGTCTTCCAAACACGCGGATGGATTGATTGACCAGGGAGTTGCTTCGTACCAGGGCCCTTCGCGGAGGAGCGGCTGTTTCATATGCTTCCTCTATTTATGGATATTACGGTAACCATCTCATCACCCCTTCAAAGGCCACCAACGCCATGGCATTCGCAGGGAACGCCCTTAAAAAGCATGGCAGGAACCCTCGCCAGTAACCCCTCCAGCCGTTTTCTCTTCCAACGGCGATTGCTGCATCCTTCCACCGCCGGAACTTCCTCTCGCCGTCACCAAGCCCGCCTCCCAATGGATCCGTCATGATACGCTGCTTTACAACATCGGATGGGTATGATGTGATCCAAAACACTTGCGCTGAAAGGCCGCCAGCCCAGAAGTTGATTGCGGGTGCGGAAAGCTTGGTGTACTTCTGCATCACTCGCGAGAAAATATCATACGTGCCCCACCAGAAGAAGAAGAAAGAGCGGAATAGCAGTGTCGAGCAAAGACCGTGATAAAGGCCTCGGATACCGTGGTGGCGGAGCTGCTTTTGTAAGTACCCAGAACATTGCGATGGGATAATCGCCCAATGTGAACATGTAGTTAGGGTAAAGTGTTGCTTACAATTTTCCTCGTGCAGTCGACCGGGCCGCTGTATAGTCGCTGCTTCTTATCCGCTGCGTATTGAATCTGCAGTCGAGCTTTGACATGTTCTACAGGAGCCGCTATGAAGCTGACCGTCGAGCCAGCCATGATTCCGGCAATTCCGTGGCCAAAGGCTGGAAGCCTGTCCGGTGTATCTTTGCTCGCTAACGGGATAATCGTCCGCAGTCTCTGGTTGCTGAAAACGTGTTCGAACAGCAACCGTCTATAGAGGGTTAAGGAGCCTAGCATCCTATAACGGGAGGGAATGAGTTCTGATGACCGGTTCATTTCTCATTCGAAGGAGCGAAGGAACCTACACGGAGTCCATGACCATCCACCCCATGAGAGGGGGCGTGGCGCCCTTATACAATGCTGTGACGCCCTCGTTACGCAGGGTCTGCAAGAGGCAATCTAGCGGACCCTTGAAACGTGTGCTTTGTGTGGTTTGCAGCCGAACCTTTATAGTATCGAACCTTTTTTTTCCGGATACAGACGTTGGTCAGCTTTATCATGCAAGCAATGTAAAGCAGCAAGTCAATATATTTTATTTTTTTTTTTTTTTGGCATTTGGGATTAATGTGTTGATATAACATACGGATGGCCAACTGTGAATTGTTAAAAAGAGGAAACAGGGACAGCAAAGTCGTTAGCATATCTGAAACCATTTTTGTACGTCACAGCAGCCCGAAGATATTATACAAAAGTACGTAGGGAAACTGGAGATAGATACCGGTGCGGATCGCGCGGGAAAAAGCCAGCGCAACCTAATAGTGATACGGCCGAACGAACGAAGAAGCAATTACGGAGTTGCAATACTTACCACTCAGTTTCGCAATCCCTGAAAATACTCCAGCTACGAAGCCTCGATAATCCTTCTTTGTCTTTGCATTACTGGCCTTGCTCTTGGTCGCTATTGCATTCTGACCTTCCGGAAGCCTGAGTCGCTTATCGATGGGCGGTGGGGGTAATGAGAGTCCATCTTTTAGCGAATCCGAGCCTGACATGTCTAACAATTTGTGAGAAATGTATTCGGCGGCGTCAAGACGAAAGCCGAGCTGCCGGTCTCCCACTTCCTCCTGCTCTTCGACGTTCACCAGGTTCCTGGCAGGGGCCCGGGATCGTAGCAAAAGAGCCTAACTGATTTGCCTTTTGTCGGTGTCGGTTTCAAGGCAAGACGTCATTCATTCAGTTATCGACCTGAGCGAGTGAGGGCAACATTGCAACGTCCTGAAGGCGACGATGATGGTTATTGTCTCTGCGCCGTCGGAGACCTGAGGGCCCAAAATCCCGATACCGGCAGTGCGCACGGGCCAAGGTGCCTTGCTGACTAACTAGTTAAGGTCACTGGCGTCGAAGCGTCATTTCGACGGTTTATTCAGGAGCGTTCATTTCTGCCCACTTACACAGACCTTTGTAATAGTGTCTAGTGCTTGAGAAGCTCGTTTTGCGGTGATCAATTCCCGATCCCATGCAATCTCACCATCGATTCCTGGCCCGTACATGACCGGTACCCGCAGCGCAATACTACTCCTTCACCACCCCCCCGGACCGGGCGAACTGGTCGTCCGGATCCAAAGCCCATCTGCCAAATAGATGATGCAGCGAAAGAGGCTACTGTGAGCTGCCACTGACTAGTTATCATTCATCTCCACATGAGATTGGAATGCGCTATTTTTTGGGTCACAAATGACGATGGCAGGTGACGGCTGCTAACTCTGCTTCATACCATCTTGTGATTGCGACAACCCAAGAATAATACCCTGATACCCTTTCCAAACTCGCTGCTAATGTAGGATCATAGACAACTTCCGGTACAGTGGCTGGAAGTTCCCGGCTTCCAAGCTGCTGGAAGGCGAAAACGTTTGGCCCTGGTGATCGAGGTGTAGCAAACCTAGCTCAACGATCATACGCGACAGGAGTGTATCATGTACGAATAGGGCATTCAGACTACCCTTGGGTGAAGCCATGGAATTATTAAATCAGCCAAGGTTGCTACAAGGGCCGTGTTGCTCGGCACAATAGGATTGTCGGGCTCCTACACATAACGGACCTTCTCATGTTCACGAATGCGTCCAGGGAGTGTTATATAAGGTCTCCCACAGACCCACAAGAATATCAAGTGCTAATACGGATGGCTTTTCGATGTTCAACTTATTCATGTTAATGTATCGACTGGAACGATCGGCACGCAGGAAGCAATTAGCAGCAGGCATAAGAGCCTTTCGGGCGTCGCTACCACCACAATAACCCGGGAAGCAAAGGTTTAGCGGTATCAGTGTTAACATATCCTCGAAGACCGAGACATTTGCAAAGAGCAGTATTATCGGAGCTAGAGCCAAATTTCTAGCATTGACCCAATACTCGAACGACGCCAAAATCTCACACTGTCTGTTGCGATTAGTCGCCATCGTGATATGCGGCTGGGTAACATGAGCCCCTTGAAGCCTTGCTAAACGCAAGTAGGTATCTGTGATCAAGAGAGAAACAAGTTGTTCAGGTGAGCTTTGTGATGACATGTCCATTAAATAGTACTGGGCAACAGCATGTTGCTGTGTTGGCGGCTAGGCAATACCATGTTCCAGATGATTTTATACCAGAAGCTCTTTTTTTGTCGTATGAGGTTGATTGATTAAGCGCTGCCAGCCCCATGTCACAGTCGATACAAGCTAATGATAGCAGTAGCACATGACAGGATTGCTCCCTGGAAAACTTATACTGGCTACCAGGAGTGGTCTCACATTGAAATTATTTTGATTCATGAGGCTATTTTTATAGGTGTGAATGTTGTTATATCCTAAAGCGCAATCATACATTTAGGCTGAAACGCGAGCCCACCTTTATGCATTCCTGCTCGTTTCAAGCAAGGACATCTTAGTGCCAAAGAATGACAGAGATATACCCCACTGCGGTCTTATTCCTTAAAACTTTCGCCTTTGTATTCCTTGGTTACACCCACTTGTGAGAATCAAGATCAGGTAGTTAGTACACTACTGGGAAAAAAAAATATATAAATGGTAGCTAGCAAGCCTGAAGCGCCTGAAACATAGTATGATTGTCAGTCCAATGTTGTCATCATGCATTATTTTGACCCCATGTTTCTGTAATTTATAAATAATGAGGTCTGAGAAACCAGAGCTACCTAGCTATGGAGTGTACTGAGACAAATGCGGATTTATAGGTCTGACTGCTAAATATATACCTCCTTTAAATCTCAACTAGGTCGCTTATAGAGCGAATAGGACTTTCATAGAGAGGTCATCAGCTTCATTCGTTATCCTACACCTTCACCCAGCGCCTGGGTTATCTACAGTGGAGGATTTTTCAGGTGTATAGTTGGAAGGAATATTGTTGTTAGGAAAGCAAATATCCCGCGAAATTAGAGTGCATTTTCACAATCCCACAGATCATTAGCCCGTGCAAACCACGACTATAGAAAGATACTAGGTTTTTGGCTTTAATGAACAAATACCGAAATTGAATTAAGAGACTCTATTCCCGCCCCTGTTAAGAGGATGGAGGAGCAGACAACATCCAGTATTCATTCCAACTTGAGTTTATGGTTTCCAGCTGAGCAAGGCTCATCTCAAGAGCTTTGTGGGCCTGGCGCAGCCGCAGAGCGGTGCTGTCGAGCTGTTTAATGCTTTCACGGATCGCCCGAATGTCATTGATTGGTATCAAGATATATCAACGGAGGGGGTGTTTCGGCACGGCTTATTGACAGAGCGGACATAACATCACCTTGAGCTGCCCCAGTTTGAACAATTTGGCCATTGTCAGGGTTATCCGTTGGCAGGATGCGGCGTTGAGCAGTCGCTACATTTTCTCGGTCAACACAAGCTGTTTTCAAAAAAAAAAAAAAAAAAAAAAAAAGAAAGAAAGAAAAAAAAAGGAGGAGAGGGGGGGTTAGGAGAAGCAAGGAAAAGAAAAGACGGGGATATGATCTGTACCTAATGAGCATTGGGGAGTATTCATGCGCAATACACAGTTTGCACAAGCCCCTTGATGGTAGTCACACAACCTCGAAGCAGGCCTCCTTCCGAAGCACAGGTCTCACATGGAGGCTCATCATGCAGCACGCCGAAACCCTGAATAAACGCAACATAGCTGTAGTGTAATCATCTGGCAATTCAAACCGTTATGCAACATCACTTCTTGTGCAATCATTGACTTGCAATATATCCAAAGATCCATGTCTAGGAAGCCACTCAAGTTTACGAATATTTAACAACTGCCCAAGACCCCGCAAAAGAGCCGAGTTGGAGGAATAATCATTGGATATTTCTTTGAGCATCCTTTCGATTTTATCTAGAAATTTATTCCAGTTTAGTTTCCTCTCAAATTTTCATCGACGGGATGGATATCTAGCTGTTCACTTTGCTTAGGCTGAGGAGTTGCAGTGCTTTGGGAGCTGTCATTGCTCTTCACAGCTTTATTGGAAACAGGCTGCCGAGCGGCAGAGGTTGAAAGCCGAAAACTACGGCTATTTCTAGTCCCTCAACTTATCTGGGACCTTATCCGAGTCCATCTCGCTGACCGTAAGTATAGAATATCGAAATAGCCGTTTCTATGGCAGAAGTAAGGGTATAAGGGAGAAGATAGAATGAAAGGAGAAAAGCAGGCCTTGAGAGAGTAGGGTCCAGCAAGTTGTTTTCATGTAAAAAGTTTTCCAGAGGTAGAAAACCCCGACAACTTGACGAAACAACACATCAAAGATGGGCTTCTCCGGCATTGCCCTGACGACCAAGGGGAACATACAGCTCCGTGACGGTCCGCCTTCGATAACCCAGCGTGACGCTGTGGCCCAGCTATTAACCCAGTGAGCGCCGCTCTGGGTTCGAATCTCGGCAAGAACGTAGCACCAGGGACGGTAGCTCCCTTTGCGGGGAAACCTTTTGCCTTTTTATTCCATGATCGAAATATTATTGACTGCTTTAAAGCAGACTCCTTTTTTCCCCTCTCCATCTTCTTTCAGAGAGTTCCATGAGATATTGGGTTGTGAGCTAACAAGGCCACTATATCTTCCCAGATGTGGTGGAGCAAGAGATGTCAAACAACACCACGAGCAGTCAGTAATGTAGGTACTCGTCGTCCTAATTATAAATATAGCAAATAAGAAACTCATAATAAAACGAACACCCGTTTTATATTCGAACACGTTGGCTTATCCTGGGATTCCAGTCCTTAAGGAGGTCCCCAAACACAGTTTTAGCGCCTCTGGAGTTAATTCTACTCCTTGATGCGTATATTGCATGACAGCAAAAGCGCCAGCTTGGGGATGGGTGGCTGCTTTCGTCCGAGCAAAGACCTGGCCCCTTTGAAAATGCTACTTAATCACAAGGCAGGCGACATGTCAGGGTATACAGATCTGGCTTCCAGCAGCAGATAGTAATATGTGCGACGATATACAAGAAACGAGTCCAACGTCTTTCAATCACACGATTTAACCCGACGGGGAATACAGAGGCAGCAGGTATCTGAAAATGGACTACAAGAACTGGGCGGACAGATGGCATCGTGCAACAACAAGTCGGGGTTATGCAAGTATCCTCCGTATGCCGGCCATCTCGTCGTTGGGCAACTCGGGAGGCTTGACGGAATGCCATGCTTCCAGCCGCTCCTGCCAACTACGAGAGACCCCGCTGCATGATCCTCAAGGAACACGGAGTATAAATATGTCGGTCAACGGACCCAGGATAGACTGCTTCTCCCACCAGAGCAATCTTATGCAGGCTTCGAATTCAGATTAAAATCCCAATCCCAGAGCATACCTCCCAGTATTTTCCAAACCGAAAAATGCGTCTCTCTAAGACACCATTGCTCGCTGTTCTCGCGGCGATAAGCTCGTTGACGTCCGCTGTCAACGCTGAAGTCAAGTGCCACAACCAAGGCATCCCGTTCACCGTCAGCGAGGCAGACGTAAGTCTCCAAAAAAAAAATAAAAAATAAAAATAAAAATAAAAATAAAAAAAGATAAAAAAATTACACCACCCACCTATCCCCACAACCACCTTTTGACGCCGCAGTTCTCCGAGTCTAACGATGGCTTTCTTCATCCAGTCCGCAATTTCCGCAATTTGCGCCAACCTGTCCAACAACGACCAGCCGGGCCAGGACGTCCGAGAATACACGCACGGCAACATAAAGATCGAGGCAAAACTTCACTGCGTGCCGCTGAACTCGAGGTGCCTGGGTGTCCTCCGCGAGATCATCGAGAAGTGTGATCAGGGGTCGGAACAGAAGTACGGTGGGCAGTATCTCGGCGAATATTGCGGGGATTATACGATCACTGGGATCCAGAAAGGTGCTTAAAAAGGACAGCCGTAGTCTCCTAGCTAAACCATGTCGCTTGTGTTCTGTGTTCTGTTTTCTGTGTTCTTTGCTCTGTGCCGGATGGCTGTTTCTGCTTTGATGTTCGAAGGCAGTTCTTTTTGTGGACGGATCACGGAGTACACACAAGTTATTCTGGCTGCCAAGAAGCAAAAGGGCTTGGCTTGGAAACGGGGGTTTTCCACGACGGCCTCGATGAACTCCTGACACCCATCATTGTATGAAACGATTTAATAAAGTGAGATTGAAAATCTCGCTGCAATTACGGAGCAATTGATAAACCTAACTAGTCCTTTCGAATTACATGAAGAATACTCCTGATCTGGGATCCCGCAAACTAGCCACATATTGCAGGCATTAATGCTGGATAGAGACCGTATGGTCAAACAGTAGAATAGCCATATCCTTTGAAAAAAGAAAAAAAGAAAAGGGAAAAAAAAGGATCCATAGTCACATTTCACACAGCAGACAAACCATTCAAGAATCAGATTCAAGCTCCTCTTCCTCGGGTTCTTCGTATTCGATCAGGAAATCCTCACCCTCTCGATGGTACGGCCACTTGGGCAGCATCGCTGACGGGAAGTCGTGAAGGCGCATCTGCATCGACGAGCACGTAGCAAAATGTTCCGGCATATCCTCCTCCAAGTATGCCCTATGGTATCGTTGATCGAGAATTTCAAGCAAGAGCTCATGCGTATCCTCCATCTCGACGATGGTGCGCTCGAATGCAACAGTGCATGCTTTGCAGTAGACGCCAGATTCAGACGCGCGGGTGCTCTGGTCGAAATACGGGAAGGCAATCGTGGCCATGAAATGGCGCGTGAGGGGGAATTGGCGGCAGAACAAGAACCGCGCTGGTGCAATGCTCATGGGGGTCGAGCGGGGAAGCGTCGCGAAGTTACCAGTGAGCCAGGTCGACTGTGCCGATTTCTGGGCTTGCTTCTGGGCCGAGCGCTGGGTCCTCATCTTCCGCCGGTTGAAAGCTCTGACCATATTTGCTTCGCTTCCATACAGACCGAGAGCAAGCTGCTCGGCCTCGTACGTGCTGACCAACGTGTCGCGGTGCACCCAAAGCTCATTTGACCGCATGGTCCCATACCATCCCGCAAGGCTATGGACAACATGCAGCTTGCTCGCAACGTCTGGAGGAAGCCCGTAGTTGGAGATCACTTCGGTAAAACTAGCCACATACAGCTCTGGCGCGATGAAGTGGCAATTATGGCAACAACGGCGCAGAGTCGGGAGGAAGAGGTACGCGCCGAATTTCCCGCAGGCTCGACACCAGGGCTGACAAAACTCATCGTAAACCTCCTCAAGACTGTACTGTTTGCCGACTCCCGTTATTGCTAGAAGCTTGAGCGCGTCCTTTGCGTGTTCCTCGAGTCTGCGATACTGGAGGACCGAATCGACGACGGCCCGGTACGACGAGCTTGCAGCGCGGAAGTTGGCCAAGGTGACCACGTCGAGTTTGAGACATATCTTGTAAATCAACTCGAGAGGCATGCGGCCAAGCTTTCCAGCAGATTTGAACTTGGGGTCCGTTTCCTCATCTGGGCCTAGCTCCAACGGCTCGTCTCCATGCCATTCGGCAGGGTCGAGGTTCAGCTTGCCGATCCAGGGCTTATCCCAACGATAAGCGGTCCCAAAGGACATTGCGAAGAGTCGAAGAATGAAAAAGTTATATATCTCTGTATAAATGGATTTTTCATTAGTTCAGTCCGCAGGGGACTTCCCCGGGTCAAGCAACAAAGAATACCTTCGAATTCTCAACCACTTCAACCTGAACAGTGAACTATCTGCAGGGACTTTGCAGATACAAGGATCAAATTGTGGAAAGGAATGGTTCAAGTTGCAGGGCCTTTCCTAGGTCAGCCACAGGGCTTTAATGCGAAGAGTTCTCAGTAGCCACTGAAGTTCGCAGACACGTTGACAGCAATGAGTGCCTTAAAACACAACAACATTGAAAAGGAAATATTGTTTACGCCGAGCAGCGCAGATACTAGTGCAGAACACTGTGTCTGTCTTTCATATGAACAAGTCATGGCTGGCATTCAAGCGAACAGACACCCAGTCAGCGATGGCTGACTGGCAGTTTCTATACCAGCAGTGACAGATCCAGCAGCTGGAGTAAATTGGCTGTGAACAGCCAGAACACCAAGAGAATCAGCCGAGACCCCCCTAAAGACATCCATCTCGAGGCTTGTCGGTGACGTGCATTCACGTGGTATCCAGGTAGTATAGACCACAAACCGCACAGCACAGTCAAACAGCAATTCCATCTTGCACATAGGGTCATCTTGCGTGAAAAGGCTACCATTTGAGCAACAGGTTGAATGTTGCTTGGTTGGTTACTCTACTGGAGAGAAAGAAAAAAAAAAAAGGGGGGAATTTGAAAGGAGAGAACCACCAGCAAAAGAGTTGAATACGGGGAATTGTTAATCCGAAACCGGGAAACCTCCACCCCCTTAAACTCCTGATGAGACAAAAAAAATGACATCTGCATTTCCAGATCATACACAAGAGTCAAGGAATTCAGGTTCTAGGGGGCTGACAACTATTTTCAGCTCGGTTTCATTTCATATTTCAGAGTATATGCTGGCCTTCGGGCGCGAGGCTGCTAGGAGGACATTCAGATTTTCAAAGAGAATTCACAGGCCCAGTATGGGGAAATCGCCATGACCTACCATTGATACAGCATGCAGGTAAGGAGGTTCAGCATATGTTAATAGGTTCGTCTCATTTCTTCTTACAGTAATATATTAAAATCCATCTTTCAAAAGAAACTGTTGTGTAAATAGGGTAAAAACATGTGGTCCTCAATTTGAAAACAAACAAATCCACACATGTTGCCAGCCCACAGTGAAGAACGTATCCGAACGAGAATGAATTCCCCCGAATTCCAGGGGGGATGAGGACTTTTTTTCCGAGATGGGAGGATAGAAATAATGAAAAATCCAAGCTCGATAAATGGGACCAGGACTGATTCTCTATTGATGCGGAATCTAACAGTCTAGTCCTTTAACAAACTCCCCCTCGTGTCCTGAATATCCATGGACCCAAATGGGTGCCAGTATTAATCAGTCCCAGTCTATGGTGCACATTTCTACGTTGCTTTCTTTCTTCTTTCTTTTTTTTTTGTTTTTTTTTCCCTTCTGTTTTCATTTTTAGCGGTGGGGTTGCTCCGAAAATTCCAAGGAAGTTGTGACAGTTTTGATTCTCTCCAGAGAGAAAGCGATGCGAAAAGTGCGGTATGCAATGAGGTAGTGGGCATTCATGGTGATAGTAGGTAAATTTCGGTGTCGGAGTGCTGCCATGTAAGATGATCGTAGCAGAAAAAGGTCGTAAAAGGGGGCGACGGTATAAAAGACAAAGCAGGCATGCAGCCATCGCATGAGAATAAAAAAATCGTTAAGAAGAAGAATTACAAGCGGGTGAGATGAACTATAAAAAGACTGCGCTCTTCATAGCCATCACCGCGCCTTCTTCTCTGTTCGAGACCCCGATGTCGAGGCGATGCGCTCATTCTCGCGCTCGAGGAGCCTCTCGAGCACCTCTTGCGGAGGAGGATGATCACCCCTAGACGTGCTTTCGGTGGAATGCGGCGTCGCAGTGAAATAACTGTCGTCCTGCTCTTCCAGGCTGAGCGGTGTTACGGGGCCCGGACTGCCAATCGGGGCGAGACGGGGCTTTGCGGGTCGGGGACCAGGGGTGGAGGCTGGATTGCGAGGCGTCAGGGCAATGCTGGCGATAAGCTCCCGGTACTGACGTAGAGCCTCGCGAGAGCTCAGGGAAGGGCGCTGTTGGTTCGGAGATGGAGACTGCGTGAAATGGTTGTTTGGATTCGAGGACTGGTAGACGGCGGGGTGGAATCGAGGGAGGTTTCCCAGGTGCAGAGCAGGGGAGGCCTTGGAGGAATGTCGAGATCGCGGACGGGAGGAAGCAGTGGGAGAATTGGACCGTATAGGGGGAGACATGGCAGAGCGCGATGGTATGGGCACCGGCAGGGTGGTAGGACGCTCAGCGAACATGCTGCCCTCTTCAAGACCGAAGTTTTCCCGTGGAGCTGGCTGGGTGTTTGTATGCGTATGTGCAGGGTTCCAATGAACCGGGTGAAGTTTGAAGAAGCTCCTGTGCCTGTGGAGCCGTTGTGTAAGGGAAAACCAACGGGTAAGCCCTGTCAATTGTTGTTGGAAAGACTTTTGTGGTGGTGGATGGGGATGTCCTTGTGACCATCCAGAGAGGGGAGTGATTAAGTTAAGGGGAAAAGAGCAGATGACCACGGCCGACCGTTTGGCGAAGTGGCTGGAAAACGGGCAGATGATACGGGAGTACACACGACCAGCTGGTAGACAGTTTTTTATCAGCTCATAAATGATGTGTGTGCGAAAATAATGTGAATGTGAATTGCGAATGCTTGTGACAAAGAGCAGGAGGAGCGGTTTGGTTTCCCTTCGAGGCTTGTGGGCGGGAGGGCGGACGGCGGGACTTATTAATATGCAGAGCGCAGCAGCAGCAGCAGCGCACTATCGCCATTATGCACATTGGCGACTAATGCATTTGATTGAGCGGCGACTGCCGTGGCGCTTGGGAGTGCGAAATACGATTTTCACTCGCTGGCCGCTGCTACTTTTTTTTTGGGGGGGGCGTGAAGGGGAAGGGAAAGAAAGCGCGAGCGGCGTCGTGGGCCAACTATCCAGCGAGCTCATCAGATTAGGCCCAATAAGGAGTCAGTAAAGGGCCCACATTTCCCCAACCGGTCAAGCACAGGCTCCATTATGCGGAGAAAGCTTCCCAGGCCGGAAATCCACGCACCTTCCCGACCCACGCCCAACCCTCAAACTCCAGTACCCCTTCCATGAAATCATCACTGGCACTCCGTTGCGACTGCCCAAAAAAAAAAAACAAAAAAAGAAGGAACAATAATAATACTATGTAATAATGATAATAATATTAATAAAATAATTAACAATACTCCGTACTCTGTAATGAAAATAAAAAAAGCTAAAAATTTCCCTCTTCGGGAAGCCAGGCTATCCAGGCCATGCGCTGTTTCGGAATTTGAGTGAATTGCAGCTGCAGCACAGCAAACTCAAGGCGTGCAGATAACATCCGTGCACGTCTTCTGTTCACTACAGTACGTCCATGCAACACAATGCACAGATTGCCACCTCATCAGCTCGTCAGAGATCCCCACAAGGTTTTGATCGTTGACTTGCCTGAAGCTTCACGCATTTCCGGTTGAGATGGCCATGTCCCCGGTCTGCCGCATACGAGAGAGCCAACAAACGGATCTCGCACTCTGTTTTTCTGTCTCCATCAGATCTGTAAAGTCCATGCGGCACCCTAGCGCTGCCCTCTCCTCGTGGGAGATCGCGAGACTACGGAGTACAAATTCCAAATCTGTATGCAGCAAAAAGGACCCCCCTCGCCCCACCGACTAACCGACGTGCGCTAAGAGTTGCTCTGACCCGGGAGCGTGAACCTGGTAAGCTTAATTTTGGGGCTTGGACAGCCTGGCAAAGCAGGAAGCTTTCGCTACTTGGGACGTTTTCGCGCCATGATGGCGTCATCGGTGCGACCAGGGAAGCCCAAGTCCGCCCAAGTCGTCGATTTTTGGCGCTCCACGCGGATCAACCCAAGTTCCCTTCCTCCCCCCCTTTTCTCCACAGCACGCAGCGGGAGACAAAAAAAGGAACATTTTCCTTGCGCACACACAAACTCAACTCACTCACGCCCACCATCTCGGACCGAGTACGGAGTGCCAAATGTTTCGAGCGCGAACGGATTCAGGTCAAGCTTTGGTCGTGAAATTCAAGCTTGTGATTCACAATAGGTTAGTTAATACCGGTACTCCCGGGCTTCTTCATCCCGAATTCAAATCCAACCGTAATGTATTGTCCATTACATACATTCTCATAACTGTATGCATTTCAGCGCCAAGCTGTCCATAGCACATAGGTTAGATCCCAGCTCTCTGGTTTTTTTTTCTATATTTTGCCTTTCGTCGCTGTCCATCTCGTTGGCGTCACTGCCAACTGCAATGTTTCTGATATTCCTTGCATCTCCCCATTGTCCAAGATGTCCGATTCAACGGCCACCAAGATTCCGCTTCCAACCAATAAAATTCGCAGCCATCTGAGGACCTGAGCGTGCTGTCTATGGGTGGCTCATCTGTCCTTCCACAGAGCTCCCGTCAATACATGACGGTATGACTGTTCTGGAATACACTGCGTATCCACTCAGCAACCGACTTCGAGACCCCCGAATTGTGCTCCTCCCCCCCAGCCAGGTATTTTACATTGAGCTCCCCCGGATTGCGTCGGGGCTCCCTTGTCTACCTTGATGGGCTGCGGTGGGAAGTCAAAGCTGTCCAATTTTGCTGGAGCTCCCCATGATTGGAACCTTAGCTCGGAGCTCTGCACCGAAATATCCTGATTTCCCTCGCATTATGGTTGCCCAGGTGTACGGACTGAGCTCACCCCCCTTTGCCTCCAGTGCTATACGAGTCTGTCACTTCTCGGAAACTATATCGTGAAGCCGAACTACTCTCTGGCGCAAAAGAGTTTACCAGATACAAACGGTCTGCTAACAGGCTACGCTGTTACAGTCGACTGGTTGAATGCGATGCAAGGATGTAAACCAGGTACTGACTGACATTGGAAGAGAAAAAATTACCTCCAAGGCGCGGAAAAAAAGGCCAGAAATCAGACGAATATCGAGAAGGTATGGCTGAAAGAAGCTAGCACGATTCATCTGGGCCGTCATCGCTCAGATATTCCCGCACTCATTTCATTCTTGGAGCTTGGTTTCAGCTCTCATCATAGACTCCCAATAGGGACTCTCTTTCTCTTGAATCGTTGATCCATGATGCCCGGCTGCTATCACACAGTGTCTGATCCCTTTGCTCCCGATGACGCCAACTCATTGGCAAGACAACATACTCCCAAAAGTCGTCGAGTGAAGAGGTCAAGATCTATGTATATCTCTGACAACCCCGGGATCCTGAGATGGGTGTGGAGTAGACCAATAATAGTAATAAGCTGGTGGGTTGGCCAGCATAGTATTCAGGGCACTTTTCCCTTAACTTTCGAACTCACGGAGATGAGATTCTCACAACTGTCCGGCAAGTCTATCCCAACGGATGACGGAATGTACTGACTATCTCATCAATGGATGATAACATGGTTTGGATTGACTTTACTATATGTTTGCCACGCCGTATTTTGCAAATCTTCGGAAGTTGTTGATGATGCCAATGTAGGCGAAAATGAGGCTTTAAGGTTTGATGGGAAACCATTTTATTCAACCAAACGAAAAGCAGACGAATGCACAGAGCATGTAATTACGTACATGTGGCGTAGAGCAGCGATTCAAGCATGTGTGAACCAGGCTTGTACGCTCATATCTGTGCGCTTACGGAGTCATCAAGCTCCTGCTCTCCATCGAGAGGGGGGGGGGGGGGTTTGTCCAGGATTTCTGTACACTTGCTTCTCACTATTGACTGATTCCAGGCTAGATAGTGGCAGCTTCAACTTCCAAGGCATGGATTTGATAAGGAAAAATAATATCGCCCTATCTCACAGCCAAGCTATTGTAGCTTCATGGATGGAGTAATCGAGCATATATACGGAGTACAATACGGAGTATATATGTATCATTGATCGCAGCCAGGTACATATTCTCTGACGAAGCCTTTTTTTTTTTGGGACCACGCTAAAGTTCTAGTTCAACCAGACTAACCAGAGATGGTTAGCGAACCGGGATCGCCTCTCACGTGCTCGAGAGATCGGCCGGCGCCGGAAAAACCCAAGCAGAGGGGTCATGGTCTAGTGGTTAGGACATGACGTTGTGGCCGTCATAACCCGCGTTCGATTCGCGGTGATCCCAGCACCAAAAAAAAACTGTTCTTTTTTTGCGAACCGTCGCTCTTTTCCCAATTATTTTTATTATTATTTTTTTTTTTAATTTTTTCTTTCATCGAACCACTCGGCTCGTTTATTATTTGTTTTATGCCGATGCAAAAAGCCACTCGATCTGCCCATCGCCTTCCCCGCTTCTCCGGGTTGCCCATTCGAAACCGCCCGAATGTCACCGTTACCCCTGTGTTGGAGATCCCTTCAGAAGAAAAATTCTCTCACGGTCGCACCCCGTTTTGTGACAGCTCTCCCGGAAGCTGGCGATCTGCATTTCGTTCCGGGTTCAAAGATAAGCCACTTGGAGAAGTGATCTCTCCACTAGGGTGACGGGTCCCTGGAATCATCGAGGAGTCCCATGGACGGGGAACCAAGCGCAAATGACCCTTCATTTTCACTAATTAAGCGGGATCGTGGACTCTCCAATAACAGATTCCCCAAGGGGAGAACCGTTATATGCTTTCATCGCTTCCGTTTTGATCATACCATCTCTGCGGAGTTGTATCGACGACGACGTCGCCGTGTTTCTGCTCGTATGGAAGAATGCAGGGCCAACCCCGCATCTTGCCAAGCAGCAAGCTCGTACGGTCTGTTCCCTGTCCTCGTGAGGGCCGGAGTGCGTTGAGCTTCGACTCACAAGCGAGTGGCTGGCATCGTCCATGTCCTCCGCCCATACATATGCCCTGTCGGTGCAGCAACAACTGTATCTGTGTAACAGTCCGAATGGGCTATCACTGTTTTCGCGTTGCATACCCTTTTCTTTTTTTTTTTTTTTTGTTTCCGGCTCACGGGGCCCCTCCCACTTCGAATTACGGGAGTTGTCCGTACTTATTATGTATGGCTAAAAGTTTTCTCGACTTTTCCTAACGGGAAATATTTAACGGGGTGGTTGCGGGCTGCAGTCGACTGGCTTGGTTCTCAATGCTCGACATTCGATGCTGCCCTATCGTCACTGTACCGGATTAACGTTTGATTCCTGAACGCCACCGAATTTCGTCGCTGAGTCTATCATGCAGCTGTCGCTGTTATGTGTGTGTACAGGACGGCAATCTCGATGTTTCTAGGCGTCTGTATTGAGCACAACATACGATAGCCCTGGCATCCTTGCATCACAAATAGCGCATTTCCATAGTTACAGGTTTCGATCTTCCCGAGTACGGTTTGCAATCACTCTCTTCTGTTTGCGGCCACGGAAAGAAAGCCAAACTGAGCCGAATAATCATGTGAGATGCTGCCACCCGCAGCGTCAACCCGTCAAAGCGCCAACCAAGTGGGGGCCGACGCGGGAGCTCGCGGGAAGTTCCATGTCTTTCCATGTGGCACTACGGAGTACATACTCCGTACATATGTGAGTATGGAGTATTCAATTAATGGTGAATGGATCTGCTCGGCTTTGCGTGCCATTGTTTGTCTGCTTTTCACACCAAACAGCCAAAAATAAAACTGGCAACCGATAAGTAAAACACACTACGGATACACCGGTGCCTGTTCATGGGGTGGCGCTAAAACATATCATCCCACATGCTGGAATTAATCCCAATCAGGGTTACTGGGGAATCCTGCACTCGCGTCAACCTTCCTTGCACACCGCGCACGAGCTCCTATCTCGGTAACTTATTTATAGCTTTCACTCTTGGATCGAAGGAGCTAAACTTGTGGCTACGTCTCCAGCCCAATCCCCTTCACCCCTGGCGATGAAATTTCCAGGCATAACTATTCCAGCGCAATTGTTGTGCCGAGAAATGCTGATTTCAATACTGGAAGTTTGCGGATTTTCACGCATTCTACTTTCCTTGTTTGGCATGAAGCGCTTCGACGCCTTCAACTTTGTAGAAAAAAGATTAGGTCGAGTATTGGCTCATTATCTCCATATCTTCATCCTCTGGGGAACTTGGGTATTGCCAGGCCAATTTATTCTCCCAAGAATGGATCTGCTCTGGTGATAGTTATTCTAATCTCAGTGCTTTCCAAACGTCCTCGATGATATGCAGCTATAGTGCGCACTTGGCTCTCTAAGCTGCGTTCGGTGAGCATGTGGACGTATTTGATTGAGATCGGCTCGAAGTTTGCGAGCTGCTCGTAATTTCGGGAGGCTAGATGGTACAACAAATTTCGAAACGTTCAGATATAGCATCAATTGACCGATAAACCGGCACTGCGCTTCGTCTATGCGGCCAAGTCGCACATATGGAAGAGAATTATTTCAATTCGCCCCAAAGCAACCACAGTAAGATGATTCCCACTAATCTAATAAATGTACACAAATTCGTTGTTCTTCTGGTCCGTCAAATCTTGAAACGCAGTCTCACCTAATCTCTGATCGGCTCGAGCCTCCTGATCTCCGTTTTCTATTTCTTCAACGGCATGTTTAGTTACGATCCATGGAGTAATCCTTAATAACCGCCTGTTTCCCCGCCGCGACACGCGATCGCTGATGCAATTTGTTTAAGACCCTCAGGTTCATGACTTGCAGAATAACCACTGCGGCAAGAACAATGAACACACCAAATAGTGCCTGAAGGCCGCTCCGGTAGCTAGGTGCATCCCTCCGATTAAATAATAGTGGACCGATAATGTTGCCCGCGGACGAGCCGGCCGATATTTCCCGTCATGCCGGCGGTGTTTCCAACGATCCAGGCGACGATGAGCGGGTTTCCACCGAAAAGGAAGGCGAGGAGATAGTATGCTGCAAGAAGGGCTGCCCCGTTGAGCACTTCTTCCTCTTCAAGGCCTGCGATAACTGGGAGAACCACTGCGACGAGTACAGCAGATTTCAGACAAGCTCTTTGCGCAGCGTACGAGGCGAAGAGGATAAACAATAAACTGTACCGCACCAAATGGTATGTTGAGCAGCGAGGTACGATATTCGGTGAAGCCGAAACTATTCAAGATGATGGGGCCGAAAACATTTACCACTGAGTCGCCGACGTTGAGGAGCAGACTCATGCTGATCAAAAGGTAAGTCTTTGGTTCGAGAAGTGTCTCGAAGACATGGTCCCATTTGAAAATAGCATTACATCCAATACCCGTCTGGTTGACACGGACTCTCTCGATTGCTTGCATGCGCTCGTGTTCTGTCAAAAACGGTGCTGACAGAATATCGTTGTCGAGCTTCCAATAGACAATGGGAGCGGAAACGATGGTAATTATACCGACAAATAAAAAGATTCTGTGAAACAGGACGAAGTATTAACAGCTTTGTGGGCTCTATATAGGGCTGGGCTTTGCTCATATTTGCCATGACTTTAAAGTTTCTGATGGAATGTGGCCTAATCCGTACGATAGCGTGGACACGGCGATTGTTGCCAGTCCGTTGGTTCCATACCAGCCTGCTACACGGATGGATTGTTCAGCACGCCGATACCAATGGCTGGTGATGACGCCGAAGAGCGGAAGGCATCCAGCTTCAAAAAACGCCCAATAAGAACCGCGTTGTCATGAGGCCAGTGAAGGTGTGGCATCCTGCCATCGCAGCCTGTGAAATACCCCAGCCTAGGACAAGAGATGGCATAAGGATGCGGTGCGGTACTTTGACTATCAGGACCATCGAGAAGGGTTGCCATGCTAGCTGCGTGATTGCTGCAATGGACCTGAGTAGTGAATATTGGTTGCCATGAAGCTTGACATCTTCTTTGAGACCGAAAATAGCCCCGTAGCCGAGTGCTGACTTGTCCAAAATCTATGATATTCCGAGTCCCATCAGTCATCAGATAAGAGCAAGTGGACCTGGGCGTGTTGATTCAGCCGCCGAAGCAAGAAATCACTCACTTGCAGAAAAATACACCCAAACCAGAATCGAAAGGATCACTTTGGCTATTTTTCGTCGAATATGAGCATCCTAAAGCCGCAACCGCAGCCATTCAATCAGCTAGAATCGGAGAGCATTACTGCTTCCAACAGACAGAAATGTTCGAACCTACATCTGCTTCACTAACTTCAACCTGTTCACTTCCAATCCGTTCATTTTCTCAAAACTCATGGCATTCTTGATCCCTCGCCCAGAAATGAATTCTTCGGCCAACCTAAAGTATAAGGTTGAGTTTCCAAATTTACTATTTATATTGCAAATCTTCTGCACAGTGAACTACGGTTCATTTTCGCAGAACTTAACGAGTGAATGTCATCTCTGCGAGTTGCATAGCTTGCCTGACACTGTTGGGTGAGGCTGTTGGTTGAGTACAATGTTTCGACGTGCTGTTTTTGTCAAAGAGACGCGCTTTGTCCTTTGTAAAAAAAAAAAAAAAATTCACGTAAACCTTCTTCACGGGAAGGCTGATCAGAAGATCAAAGCTTGATGTATGGCCTCCATGTTGCTGGCATGAAGGCTATATTAAATTTTTTGGGATTGCAAATTTATTTCTTTGTGTACAAAAAGCTCCTATAATTTATGTAACTATGGATGATCGAACAACGACGCCAAATGTCAGTGACCATATTAGGGCTGATTGTCGATGAAAAACCACTTCATTGTGTACTCGACCAAGCTTATCCCTTTCCTTCCTGTCCCAACATTCGTCTCTTTATTCTAGCATCATCATCTAGTTCGTCAACAGCCAGGGACGACGCTTCAACACCGCTGACCCGTCCAGCATTCAATTGTGCAACTAGTCTCAGCATTGTAGAGGCATCGAAAGTTTCACGTGGGATGCATAGTTGTATATGCTGCCAGAATAGATACGAAGTCTTTACGGGGCGTGCCATGTCACCTGGAGACATGCAAGCTCAGCACGAATACATGGGCGACATTTGCCCGATCCGAAGCTGATGGCACTATGCCCATCGGGTGACTATGAATGATTAAGTTCTCGACCCGATCAGACTTGACGACCTCCATGAAACTCATTGCCATGTTCGCATCAGATGCGAGGAAATGCTGGATTGGCTGCAAGAGAGTAGCCCACCAGAAAGATGCTGTTTGCTAGCATATAGGATCCACAATAGAGAAAACTTGATGGTAGGGCTGTGTAGCCTTGGGCTGCCCCATGGTGTAGTTTCATCTTCACCGGCGTTTATTCAACCTAGAAGTGGCCCGCTTGGTAAGCTCTGGTAAGTCACTCTGGACCAAGGAGATTAAGAGCATGTCCCTCAATTGCAAAGGAGTTGGAGGAACCCCAGCAATGTCCAGAAGAACCATGGGTTGATATGGGGCTGGTTTCTGAAGCGATGCACGCCTTCAAAATCAATCTGATCGATATCCTGTGAAGCACGATTGGTTACCAATCCGCAACCCAAAAATCCTTCCAACTAGATCGGAGGAAGATAGATTTCTCGTGGATAATCGGAAGGGCATACCGATCTTTGCACTTTGTACAGTACCACAGTAGTCCAAGATTGCAACCAGCCGGTAGCAGACATCCGTCACGCTCATCCGGCCCTGGGCTGGGCTCATGGACCTCAGTGCGCTGGCGCCGGAACGAGTCGTGAAAGTTGGCAAATTGCCGGTAAGGCTGGGACAGAATGAGAAAATTCCAGGGCCTGGAAGCTTGTTTCCGGCTAGAAAGCGGTTACCTTTCCATCAGAGAGTTTGCCCGCTGAGCATTGCTGCACAAGCCCACGAACCGCCCAGTGAGCGGGTTTCGGGGGAGGCAACCAATCAGTTGTGCCGGTGGTCCAAGAGTAAACTTACCAGCCTAACGATGCACGAGGCGGATAATATGCCTGCACCGGAAGCAAGCGACCTGTTTGCCACACGATAAAACGACGGTCTGGATAAAGCTGATGCAAGCAGTAGCCAGAGAAAACTCAACGCCAACCGCCGCCTACTGCGGGCTGTAGCACACTATCGCCAAACCCCACACATCCTGCTTCCCGTGGATATCAGCTGCTTGCCGTGAGCGAGACGGCGGAGGTGAGACATACCTTTGCCTTATATCTGCCGTGCTGCGTGTCTTGAAATGCTCTGGCCCTGGAAGAAGCTGCCCCCAGTCCTTCTGCAAGGATATCTATCCATCATCATCATCACCATCATCATCATCATCATCATCATCAGTAACAACAACAGCAAGGCAGCAGCAACAGCCACCACCACCACGACCACCATCGTCTCCAGAGCTTAATCAATTTAACAATGGTCCCTCGCGTCCCGCAACCGGGCATCTGGTGCCCCGCAGTGACCTTCTTCGACCCCAAGACAGACACCCTCGACTTGGCCTCGCAGGAGAGGTACTACGCATACCTGGCTCGCTCTGGGCTGACCGGTCTTGTCATTCTCGGAACAAATGCAGAGGCATTCCTGCTCACGCGTGAAGAGCGTGCCCAGCTCATCGCCACAGCCCGTAAAGCCGTGGGGCCAGATTTCCCCATCATGGCCGGCGTAGGCGCCCATTCAACGCGGCAGGTCCTCGAACACATCAACGATGCATCCACGGCGGGAGCAAACTATGTGCTTGTCCTGCCGCCTGCATACTTCGGAAAGGCCACCACTCCTCCGGTGATAAAATCATTCTTTGACGACGTCTCCTGCCAATCGCCGCTTCCGGTGGTGATCTATAACTTTCCAGGCGTGTGCAACGGAATCGATCTGGATTCGGATATGATCACGACCATCGCGAGGAAGAACCCCGACGTCGTCGGCGTGAAACTCACCTGTGCCAGCGTGGGCAAGATCACGCGGCTCGCAGCGACACTGCCACCAGCAGAATTCTCTGTCTTTGGTGGGCAGTCCGATTTCTTGATCGGTGGGTTGAGCGTGGGTTCAGCGGGATGCATTGCCGCGTTTGCAAATGTATTCCCAAAGACTGTTTCCAAGATATATGAGCTGTATAAAGCCGGAAAGGTGGACCAGGCGATGGAGTTGCATCGCAAGGCTGCGTTAGCGGAGTCGCCGTGTAAATCTGGGATTGCCACAACGAAGTACGCAGCTGCGATCTTTTCAGCAAAAGCGGCTGGGATTGAAGATGCGGAGGAAAAGTTGCGACCACGCAAGCCCTATGATCCACCGAGTGAAGCGGCAAAGCAGGAAGTGAGAAAGGTGATGGCCGAAGTTGCGGCGATAGAGGCAGGCTTATCCTAATCTAAACGGTGGCTATGATTCTCTATCTTCGAGGCAGCGTGAATGTCAACTAGACCATCCGGATTCTTCAAGATCGAAGAGTCATGATAATGCTTTTAGATTTTTCAAAACTTGATTCCTCCGTATGGAGTACATGATCCCATCCCCCCCCCCCCCCCCCCGATTTCCTCAGAAAAGGAGAAATGAAAATCGAAAACGCAATAATCAGGAGAAATTAGCAAAGACAGAGAAAAAAAAGAAAAGAAAAAAAAGGAAAAAAGAAAAAAAGGAAAAGAAAGAAAAGAAAAGCTAAGGGCGTCACATCGATTTTCAACGAAGGCGATCCCAAGATCTGTTAACTCACTCATTATAAGTACACGCAGCTCCGACCGGATTGTAGCTAGTTAAGTACATAGTTTGCCTAACTAAGGGGAAGCCGAGCTGAATGATTACAACCCACGACTTTACCCGCCTTTGACTCTGAAATCCTGTCACTCTTTCGAGAAGGTGTTTATAAAGGTACTGCATTTTACACAGCTGACACGAAACAATTTCCGTATGTTAAAACGATGCGTCGTGGATAGCCAGAAGCGAGAGAAGGCCATGGGCCCTGGTCTAGCGGAGCGAGGGCGTTTTGACACCCTTCCGGCGATGGTTCAGCACCCCTGGAGGATAACCGTGCATTAGTGGCTACTTGTCAACCGGGCTGCATCGATACGATTTGGTTTTCCTGGTTGATTGTGAAGTATCCTTGCAGAGCTTAATCAGGTTCTTCGAGCACGCCTTTCGAAGACCTTTGGGCCCATGTCCCGTCTCATCCGAGATGGATTTGCAATCAATCAACGTGGGCACGCACTCAGCCTTTCCGACCTCCGATGGCTTGTCCGAGCGGGATTTGCTGACCCTTTTTTCTCGCTCGACTTCGCCCTTCTCTCTGACCCATCCCAACCTCGTAATCACCCGCTTTCTCATCCAAAACTCCTTCACTTGAACTCAAACGGTTTGGGGCCTCTTGTCATTGCTACTCAAATTTCACTGGACGCTCCTGATTCCCTTGGCGATCCCTGGCGTGTCGACTACTTCGCTTAACAGCGGCAGCCTCCCAAGCTTTCCCGTCTAGCAAAAGCTTAGCTGGCTATAGGGCAAATTGAAGAGAGAGAAGACCTCTTTCGCTCGGCATCTTCCATTTAAGAAGATTTCCAATCTCAGTTAAATCACTTGTGTGGCCCACGTTGCCCTCTTTAACTTTTCAACCGCTATGGGCCATACTGAAGAGCGTGCATCACCAATCCCAGGTTCCGTGGAAGACAGCCGCGCCGATGGATCTTCGGGGAGCACCGTGAACCACATCGATCCGACAAAGGAGAAACCTGCTGAAACTGCTGAACCTGGCGCTGCGCTCCAGAACTCGGACGAGGAGAGCGATAAGAAGATTGACCCAGGCAAGGAGAAAGCATCAGTAAACAATGTGTCATCCGTTCCTAACGGGGGGACGCGGGCTTGGTTACAGGTCCTCGGTGCACACTTTCTATTCTTCAATTCTTGGTGAGTCGCGGCTTTGTTTATAGATGCATATATGTATGCATCTGGGGGAATTATCGAGCGCCGTATTACATGTTGCCTCCCTAGAAGAGTTTTACTAACCGATAGTCAGGGGCATCGTTAACACGTTCGGCTCCTATGAAACTTACTACGAGATAGATCTTCTCTCAACCTCATCGCCATCTTCAATAGCTTGGGTAGGCTCTCTTCAAGCCTTCCTGCTATTATTTGTCGGCGCCCTTACCGGGCCGGTCTATGATGCAGGGTACTCTCGTGAACTTATCATCGGAGGCTCCTTTTTTCTGATATTTGGCCAAATGATGTTGAGTCTCTGTAGTGAGTACTGGCAAGTCCTTCTTGCCCAGGGATTCTGTATTGGAATTGGATGCGGATTGCTATGCGTCCCCAGTACTGCTATCCTCTCTCAGTATTTTACAACGAAGCTAGCCACGGCTGTGGGATTTACAGCCTCTGGTAGCAGCTTTGGTGAGTAATTGTCTGCCTTGGTGCAATTGAAAGGGCACGGGACTTAGTTGTCCGCAGGTGGTATCATCTATCCGATCGTCTTCCACCGGCTTCAGCCAAAAATTGGCTTTCCATGGGCCACGCGCGTCCTCGGCTTCATAATGCTCTCCACGCAGCTCGTTTCTATCGTGGTCATGAGAGTGCGAGTTGTACCGGATAAAAAACGTGCTATTTTGGATCTTGCGGCTTTTAAAGAACTGCCCTACTTTTTCTTCGTTTTTAGCGTATTCGTCGGCTTCATGGGACTCTATCAGCCCTTTTTCTACGTCCAGACCTTCGCTATCCAGAACAGCATCACCAATTCAAACCTTGGCTTCTATATCCTTGCTATCATGAATAGCACCAGTGCCTTTGGCCGAATCATCCCTGGCATTTTGTCTGATAAAAGTGAGTAGCATCGTTACAACATGACCTATATATGTGGACACAATCTAATATCCTGCAGTTGGACCTATGAATGTCATGCTTCCCTGTGCTTTCGTATCCTCCCTTCTATGTTTTTGCATCATTCCAGTCAAGAATGCGGCCGGCCTGATTGTCCTAATGGCATTATACGGCTTTTTCTCGGGCACATTCGTTTCTTCGCCGACCTCAATCGTCGTGCATCTCTCAACGCATAGCAGAGGTAAGATCGGGACAAGATTGGGCCAGTGTTTTGGTGTAGTATCTTTTGGATTGTTGATTGGTATGCAATTGCCCTTGACCAAATTTTGAGTGCCCCCATTTAGAAGCGGACTGACCCCGACCCAGGCACACCTGTCGGCGGTGTCGTTTACAAGCAACATGGCTTTTCCAGTTTGTGGATATTAGCTGGCGTCCTGATCGCAGCCTCGGGTGCGATCCTTCTCACTAGCAGAAAATTCTATAAGGGATTAAGTTTGATGATAAAGGCATGAAGGGTTTTGATAAAAAAATACGATGATCCCGTTTCCATTGTAGCTCTTAAGACCTGCTGATTGTATTATGGTCATCTTGACGAGCAGGGTTTCGGTACATTTTGCTATTAAACATTTCTAACACCTGTGCATAGACTTAGACTAATGATTTCTATCTCAACTCTTTCTGCCATGTGTCTCTTTTCCCATTCTACACAGTGATATCAAACCAAATTATATCTTGCTCTTCGCTTATTCTCATGTTTGCTGGGGGAACATTTAGTATTCACCGCCTACGAATATTCAGCCCTCTGTCCAGATCATTACAGGGAGTTAAACTATCAGGGTTCCTCTCAGGAGGACTGGTGGCTGCCTGCAGGGATGTGAGAGATTCGAGACACACAGTTGTGATACAAATTGCTCAGTGTAAATAATGCAGTTCTAGGACCGTAAGTTGGTGCGCAACATATGGCAAGAGATGATGGTGGGATTAAGGTAACGACGAAAACTTTCTAGGCCTCATTAGCCGTAAGCCTATACAGCACGGGGCACGGAGTACAGTTCTTTCGAGTTTGTGTTTTGAGTTTTGGGAATTGGTATGGGGATTTCAGTCGAGCTTACTAGTGTCTGGTAACGTATTTTAAATCCACCCCCACGTTTCATGAGTCAAGCTTACTTTTGCTTTGGCCAATGAAAGATCTGTTTCTGGCCACTAGTTGCCGGGAGGGTCCGGAGCGGAGTGTTAAGCTTAAAGCTTAGCAAATTCACAAGCTCCCCGCTGTCTCCGCAGTCCATCCGGCTACATAGTTACAACCCACCACCAAATCACTGGAATACATACAGGAGAGTCTGTACAGAATATCGAGCAATAATATTTACATCAGTTATACTCGTCCATTGGAGGTATTCTTCCTCGGCTTCAGGACCATGTAAAGGTTTTCTACTTTCACAAAGGACCTTTAAGACGTCAGTGTCGCGTGTCCTCAACATCGAAGTATGGTTTTCTTACCAAGCAAGCTCTTTCAATTTCTGGTCAGCGTCTGCGAGAGCAATTTCAAAGTCATGGAATAATGTTGGGACAAACTGCAGATCATCAGCTCTGCTCAGGGGAACGAGGAAGTGAAGCACTTTATTCCTACCTTGGACATCTCAAGCCAGCCGATATCTAGCATCAACGTTAGGGCTGGATATGCTGATACGGGGACCTTTGGAATACTTACTCTTCCCAATACAAAACCGTGATCCGCCACCAAAAGTAAAAAATACTCGTCCTACTCATTATTAGAGAAAAAAGCGCCTCTCGGATAAGATAAGACGATGATAGGGAGGCATACTCATCTGGCTAACACGATCTGGCTCTTCTAACCACCTCTCTGGCCGGAATTTATGGGCGTCCTCGCCGAAGGTGTCTTTATCTTGATGGATAACCCATGCGTTTGCGCCGACAACGGTCTATATCCCCTGTTAGTGTGAAGCTATGCCCAAGGAGGTCGGAAGTCTTACCCCACCGGGGAGATATTGTCCATCTATTTTAACACCTTGTGGGGGGACTACTCGCCCAAGATTCATCCCTACTGCCGGATGACAGCGAAGAGCCTCCCACATACATGCCTGTAAGTACGGCATGTTATTCGCCGTCTCAAGCGAAAATATGTCTCCATGGCCAATGTTGTTGGCTCTGGCTGTAGCATCGATTTCTTCCACCAGTCTCTTTTTACATTGCTCGTTCTTAACGACATGATAGAGAAGGGATGATATGGAAAGGGCCGTTGAATCGCTCCCTGCAAAGATATTGCTAGCAACCATCGATGTGACGCAGATATCATCCAGCTCTGGCTTTTCCCGCTGGACGTCAAAGAGCTGTCCCAGAATATCTTGGTGGTCGCTGCCTCTTTTTTTGCGTTCTGCAATTGCCTTTGCCGCAAATGTTAGCAAACTTCCCTGCCGGGCAGTCACCGCGAGATGACTACCGATTATTGGCGAAAGCCGGAGGTTGGTCCAGTACACCCAAGGTACGTATCCGACCCAGGCTGCACATCGCAGTGACTTATCGATGAGGCTAAAGGCACCATCGTCTTTGCCAGCATCCATGAACCCAAAACGCTTCGAGAATGTTACTTCTCCGATCACGTCTGTATGGTACGAATTTAGATATCTTCCATGGGCAGAATAAGAATGAGAGGACATACCAAAGGCAAATAGTTGGGCCCATTTACTCATATTAACCTGCTGACCCTGCATCTCGGACATTTTGGTCATGAAGAGCACCACCGCTTTGTCCACATAAGGCTCGAGCTTTTTCATATTGGACAATGAGTATATCTGGCTGACCAACCTCCGCTGCGCTCGATGAATGCTTTCATTGCGCTCCCCGAAAAGGTCCCACTTGCGAAGCCCCTGCCACACGCTGTACCAGTCACTCTTGCGGAAATCACCACCTGCGCCTTTGAAACCGTTAATACCATATGCTTTTTAAACTTTAACGTGAACTACTGACCGTATATCGCTTTGAGTGCCTCTGGATTTGCAGTGCTCACTTCATTTGGCCCTACTCGGACTAGTCTCCCATATTTTTTGTGTGTTGCAATCATTTGGCGATGCATATTGCCACTGCGAGCGTAGTGTACCAACCAAAAGGGTGTCCATTTTGCCCAGAGGGGACCTGGAATTGATCTCAGTGGATCGCGAGAGTGAACCCAGAAAGTGATCGCTAGTATTAACGCAATACCAATAACCAACGCGTTCGAAAGCACATCTTCTCTCCTAGAGTTTGAGACGGAGTAAATGAAGCCTTCAGCCATGGCAAGCGTCAAGAATCTTAAAGCAATGAAGCTGTTTCCGGAGACAAGATATTTAACTCAGCTCCAGATTGACGGTGGGAATAATTTTACTAGAGCCCGCAGAGAGGCTAAATATCAAGCACATCGGGGTCCTTGCCTGGCGGAAGAATACGACATGATCCCGCCACTTCAAGCATCCCCAGTGACCAGGGTCTTCTCGAGGACGCGATCTTTTCGCCAAGTGAGGAGAGAAGATGATTTTTTTGTTCAGCCCGACATTGCTCGGACTTTAGGATACGAACGCCCTAGCTGAGAGTGTATTGTGTTTACGGCTGATGTAACACTTGGCTGCAGGGTGGCAGGGTAGTCCTGGGGCTGTATGTCAATACTTCTTGCGCTGCATGATCGCCCACATATACGAGGAAGACTCGAGATGTCGAAACGAGAGACATTTCTCGAAATAGTCACATTCAACTGTTCCCTGAGTTGCCCGTAATTATTAATGACTTACGTAGACCCTTGAGAATCGGCGTCATCGGTGATGATTCGATACCCGCTGCATAATGACATTGCAAGTTACGACGGTGCAGCGCGGTGCAGAAACAAGGCAAGCCCGAAATCTACAAAGATTCGAGCCCTGGCCATCCCGTCGGTTGAGTCTCTCGCTTTGAAGAGATCCCGCAAAGTTACACGATCGAGGAAAACATTGCGAACCGGGCCCATAGTCACTATGTCAACGCCATATATTCTCTTATTTGGAGATCAGACGGAGACAAACTTTAACGTTCGAGCGCTTTTCGAATACAGCAAGCAGTCCGACCGCCTTCGGTCATACATTCAACGTTCGCAGGAGTCGGCGCGTCGTGCCTTTGAAAATGCGGCTGTGCCAGACGTGAAGAAATACGCCTTCGATTCGTACCTCGGCTTAGAGGAGCGTATCCTGGCGGAGAAAGTTCCTGATGTTGTCCTTCGCACATTACTCCTCTGTTTCACCCAGCTCGGGCACCTAATCATGTTAGTGTATCTACACTTCATGGCAACACATAATATTTTGACTTTCATCTAACATCGCAAAGGCGACTGGAGAAGGATGACAGAGTTCGTGCGCTCTGGTCAAAGCAAAAACTCTTAATAGTCGCTTCCTGTGCCGGTCAGATCCCTGCGGCTCTTGCAGCCGCAACACAATCCTTGGATGAACTGGCCGATGCTGCATCAGATATCGTGGCCACTTCTGTCCGGGCTGGTCTCGATGTTGATCGTCGAACGAGTGAGTATTCCGATGACCGTTCCGAGAGTTGGGCCACAGCAGTCGGAGTGTCATTGGAAGAGGCCCAGGGAGTTGTCGCTACCTTCAATCAAAGCAAGGTAAGCCATCGCTCTATCTGCTGATAGACCACCGTTACTTTTCTCTCATTTCAACTTTTCATTAGGACCTCTCTGCGGCCAAGGGGCTATATTGCGGCGCCACATCGGCCTGGGCTACAACCATTATCGGCCCTCCAAGGCTTTTACGGGAACTCTTTGATTCGACACCATTTGGTAAAGCTCGTGTGACCCCTCTCCCTATCAACGCGACCTTTCACGCTTTGCACGCAGAGAGACCCGACATTGAGACCATAATTGGAAAGGCACCAAAACTCGACAGGCTGAACTTAAAACGAGCAACCTTTCTATCAAGCGAGTCGGGAACGATTTTTCCGCCGCAGACGGCAAGGAAACTGCTTGGCGAGGCGCTTTTGAATATGTTGAATAGAATGACAGATAATGAAAAAGTATTCGGGGAGGTTCGAAACCTAACCGGAGATCAGGAGGTGTGCATTTTTCCCATTGTTGCCGAGAAGGTTGCGGCTCGATTGATCAAGGTGCTCGGAGAGGACAAGGCGCACATGGAATAAAGCGCTTAGTTTGAACCTAGGGCTGTTTAGCACTCAGCAGGAGGGACACTACAATAGAATTCAGTACAATAGAGTGGTGGATGCTGTCCAGATAGACAGATAACCGATCTTTCGGCAATTCACGTGACCATAATATGAAAAAGCAGCCTAAAATGGAATCTAGACCCAATACAGGTAGCTAGTTTTCCAGTAGCCAATTATCATCAAAGCTTAGGAAACAAGCAATTACTGGAAAGTAGTTCGTCAATATGAGGAGTAGGGTAGGACAAACGCAACAAACAGGCAGGATACAATCCACATTGTCATTTGGGCAGAAGTAACAGTCTACTATGAAATATTCTAGGTCTCTATTGCAGCTGATTCAATAGGCTCAGATGTCCATCGAGCTTCATCAACGCCATTGCCTCTCGTCCCAATGTCAAACCCAGGTTTTACAACTCCATCGAACTGTATAACCGGCTTCACGGTCCGAATCGATATGCCTAGATTTGGACAAGGCCGGGATTCGAAGAATTTTGGATCAAACAAATGCGAGGACTTATCCTTGAGCATGCTCATTACCCGCGAGATTAGAACTAGCATATGGTCGTCGTGACGAAAGACAGGCGAGTCGTAATGCCTGCGAAGTTTGTCCCAGGTCTCTTCTGAGTAAGTGCCAACATCCTCGACCAACCAGTTGTTGTAGTAGTCAAGTGCCAACTTATATCGTCAGTCTGGGTTAATCTAAACTCACAGCTGCAGAGAACAAACTTACATTTATCTTGTACGACCCACCGTTCTCTCCCCTCCGAATCAGGGCGTCTAACACACTGCATATTCCCGAAATGCCAGTGCTGCAATAGTCAGTGTTTCTTACTCTTTCGTTTGTGTGGTTGGGTGGGGATTTGTAATACCAAAAGTCACTATTTGGGAACACGGGAGTGACTGGTTCGTCATTTCCCATTGAGCGGCCAAACTCATAGGAAACGCCGGTGTGCTAAGAATGCTGCTTGTCAGGCCAGTAGAAACTTAGAAAGTATACGGATAAGGCACCTACCGCATCCGATATCTGCTGCCATCCACTTCTCAACCGTAATGGACCATGCCATCCAAAGCAATTGAGCCGCACTACAATGATCCCTTTGGATCTATCCTTGCACATTTCCATGATTTGATCGGCCCCAAAGCCCCATTTCTCCATGACCTCTGGCCGATAGCTTGAGACAAACACGTCGCACTCCAAAATAAGTTTTTTCATGGTCTCTCGATCTGCCTCGTTGGCAAAGTCTAGGGCAGCGTTTCGCTTGCCCCAATTAAATTCGGGGTGGTATATAGTCGCATCGGGTACAGAAGGGGATGTGATTCGCAGAACGGTTGCTCCCAGTTCTGCCAGCCCACGGGTCACGGCAGGTCCCGCGATGATGCGGGTAGCGTCGAGGACCTTAAGTCCGGCGAGGGGCCTTGATGGGTTGCTTGGCTTATTACCAACTGCATCTGTCCACCAGCAGGGAGGTTGAGTCTCATTGGCTTTGTACGACTCCCACAGACCAACATGCGAGTTCGCTATACCATGAAGTGTCCTTCGGTAGCCATTAATGTCGTGGCATATTGTCCCCGAGGTCTTGAAGACATCGTTCGATAGTTCGTCGATGCTCTTGCTATCGCACTGCGAAAGTGCTTCCCTAAACATAGGCAGTACCTTTTCAAACGTGTCTTCACCCCCAGGTGGCATAAGAGGAAACTTCAGCATTCGTAGAACAACATCTGGGTTGAGCGAGCCGTGGAGGTGGAAAAACCGACCGTCGGACGTCCTATAGATATTGGATGTACAGCATCGGTAGGCGCCTTCCAGCGACTTGTGGGTGTCAAAGTCTTTGAAGAGGCTGAGGTAAAATTCTTTGGCCGCAGCGTCGCTTCTGATGTCCACAAAGCTTATGTTTCTACCCTCAGGGTCAAGAGACCAGAGGGGAATGGACAAGAGGAATAGGGTTGCATGGTCACTGTGTTGATATACCTGTCAATGGCAGAACTAGACGAACTTTACCACATGAATAGGGATGCCTACGTGTTGATAAAAGCCTTCTGCGGAGGCACTCCATAGAGCTTGTCGAGGATGGCATTGACGTACGTCGCCTCGAGCGCTTTTAGTGCGGATACACTCTCAGCAAATCGCCAGTTAACAGGAACAATGGGGTCCTGAGATCCTTCGAAAACGACTGTATCGTACTTCTCCAGGTCATCGATGAGGTGCTGATGTGTTCGCGGACTACCTAAGATGCCTTCACGAAAAACTTTCGACGCTTGCTGAGGGACAGAATACAATCCGTTCTCCATGATGCCTTGTGCAACGATCCGTAAACCTTACTGTAAGCTTTGCGGCGGTTTTGAGTATGGCCGAGTTGGATCTCGAGGAGCAAAGCCTGATGTGTTCAGTAGATAGGCTCCTCATCTTTACTTGCCTTAATAATCAAACGCACGATGGCAAAAGGCTACTTCGCTCCTCTCGAAACAAATGGAATCCTCCAAAAATAACATTTTGATATCGGTGCGGCCGAACGGAGAGCAAATTGATGTTGACGGTGCCGGGATGGCCGTTGATCCTCGTCCCCGGTCCCATTATGCTCGAAAAGACAGGTTTTTAACACGGATACGACAGCAACAGGCACCTGGGTGTTACCGTGATTTTCCGATGTCTGCAGACATACGAGATGGATGCGCAAAAGCAGGCTTCAGCCCATGTTGACAGGGCGAGGTAAGGTGAAGAGAAGGTTCCTTGGCATCATCGAGGCTAATTTTAGGCAGTCGAAAAAGGTCCACATCGCGTTGGTTAACTAGTTACTCCACTCAGTTATGTAGTTACCCGATGTACCGGGCCGATCCGTATCGGGGCAATCAATACAGCCTTGTAATAACGCCGTTTACAGGGATTGAGGCCGCATTACCATCAAGCAACCTGGCAACTTCCGGCTATTCGTTAAAGGATTGAAGGCCAGTGAACCGCCTGAAACAAATCCCACTCGCGATATTTGGTCGTTTCCGCCAGTTCCTAGGCACTACAATTTGGAGATAGAACATCGTCTGGGCAAGAAGATAAAGGGAATAGATAATCAAATTGATCACGTTTTCGAATCTATCCAGTTTTTCCTTTTCAATATGTTGAAGGAACGATCGACAAGCGACCACCGTCGGATACCAGTACATTGCCATTCAAATAAGAGCCTGCCTTACTCGTGAGGAAAAGAACAATACCAGCCATGTCTGTATCCGCGCCTGCTCTACCCTCTGGAATTAGCTTCGAGGGGTCGTAACCACTTGCAGTCATGGATGAAGTCATATCTGTAGGGAAAACTGATCGTTTGTTAGTTTCGATGAGTTCCATTTTCACTTCATATGTATGTATGTATGTATGTACTTACGCCCTGGGGCAACCATATTCACCCGAATTCCATACGGGACCAGGTGTGTGGATAGTTGTTTCATCATGTGAGTCTGAGATGCTTTACTCTGTCCATACGCGAAACGACCGGTAGCTGCAAATCTGCCAAAGCCCAAGGTGCTACACGTCCCGATAATCTGGCTTCTGTGCATCCCATTGCCCCTTTCATTGCCAAGGTGGAGGAGCTTCAAGAACGCAATGGCTGTGTACCAGAAGCCCGCAGTATTGACCTTGAATGTCTCGGCGTATTCTTCAACCGAATGCCTCCAGTTAGCCTCAATAAACTGGTTCAGAGACGACGAGCTGGTCAGTTCAGGACTTTCGGGACCCGATGTCCCTGAATTACACCAGAGAACATTGATATATCCGACCTCTTTGGTAACTTTGTCGACAGCTGCCTGTAATGACTCTTTGGAGGTAACATCGCACTCGATTGGTATCACCACATCAGGAAAGGGTTTAGCAGTTTCTTCCAGGACGGCGCCACGACGACCGAGAATGTAGACCTTCGCAGCACCATTGACGGCGAGGGCACGAGTGATCATGCGACCAATACCTGCATGGGCATCCATAGTTCTGTTAGCTGCGCATTGCATCTTAGACAAAAACAATCGCGACATATCTTGAATACTTACCAGAGCCACCGCCGGAGATCACCGCAACGAGACCCTTAATGCTGAAAAGCTCAGGGGTCTCAATGGCTTTGGTTGAACTATCCATTATTGAGGAGTCGATTGAGGGCTATTTTCTGTTTTCTTTCTGGAAATGGTGTAAATTCCTGATGCTCTTTTCTGTATCTCTCTTTAAGAGGAACGATAGGTATAGACAAACTCTTTAGCGTAAAATTTACGTCACTATCGACCGGATTCACTGCCACTTTGCAGTAATTCGGTGTTGCAAATATCCGCCGCCCAGTCCATTACCCAGGTTGTTGTAACTTCATTTCAATTTCAGCGGCCTTTTCAGGTCTTGCATACGATTGGACAGGGTATTGAGTATTTCAAAGTAGATATGCGCGAAGCCTCTGGCCTCTGATGTGCATCATGTTGTTAAGTTAGCAAGTAAGTTCATCCAGGCTAAAGATCCCTGCACCTGTCAAGCTCAGGTTCCCCGCATGATTGCCAAGTGGATCGACGAATGGGAGGCCCTTCGTATCTCAGCCGAGGCGGATGATCGCCAGGTTGCCACCTAACTAGGGTAATAAGCCGAAAATGATATGCGCAGAAATCTGCAAGGAAGATTTCGCTGCATTCTCGACCGGAAAACGCCTTGGATCCCCCACGTTTCGTATTGATACGACGGTCAAATTACCTCATGCCGGTAACACAAGATACGAAGTCGGCTATAACATGCTGTCCTGGAAGTTCAGAGTAAAAAGCCGTTGGAAGGACGTACGCATAACTTCGTATAAGCATGCAACCGAAACTGGAGTCATGAAGTAAGGATCGCACTATGAACTTCGCCACGGCTGAGTTAGCGGCGTCAAAGATGTCTGTCAAACTCGTCTTACACCCAAGTACCAATGAGCAAATATCGTATCAGAGTTCAACGTATAAAACGTAATGCAAAGCACACAGTACTGTGTAGCTATTTTGCAATCTAACCCTGAGGGTTGAATTCCAATATCTCGCACACATTTGTACTCCGAAAAAAGGGGATAGCATCAATTCGCACGCATCATGGATGAGACACGAGTCGATCTGGTGGTGGTTGGCGGTGAGATATGTTCGAAATTTTCCTGCACGTCACTGGCTAACATGATGGACGATTCCTTAGGTGGTCCTACTGGAATGCTGACTGCTCTTCTGGCGAAGAGACTCGGAGTATCAGTCCTTGTGCTGGGTATGCTCCATCCCGATGACTCAACTCTCTTTGGAATTAGGAGGCTCGCTGTTAACCAGGGCGGCCCATTCCAGATGCAAAACCTCAGCCGCTGCAACTTGGAAGAGCTGATGCTTTGAACGCGAGATCTCAGCAATATCTCGAGATTGTGGGTATTCTCGACGATCTGATTAGCCAGGGTCTCAAATGCAATAGTAAGTCTCGAACACCGGGCTATCCTTGTCTCCTCCACCCTTGTTTCTTGTTCACTGACCACTTTAAATAGCCAGCTCCACCTTTACTAATGGTGGCTTCGCCTCCCGCCAAAGTCACTGGTGGACAGGCCTTCAACATGTCCTGCATAAAAATTTTCTCATGATTGGCCAGCCCGTGGTAGAGCAGCTCCTCGCAGCAGAGCTCAAGGAGTCTCTACTCTATAACGAGCGGGTCGAGTCGATCCGAGAGACTGAGTGCGGAGTCGAGGTAGCCACCATCTCGCAACGCATCGTGCACGGCACGTATTGCATCGCCTCCGATGGCGCCAGATCCATGGTGCGTCAGGCACTTCGTATTCCATTCACGGGTACCAAGCCTGAAATGCTGTGGGCCGTTTTGGACACCTTCATCGACAGCGACTTCCCTCGCTGCCCTGAGATTATCACATTCGAGCTCGATGGCGAATCCCGTGTCGCATGGATCCCGCGGGAGCGGGGTCTGGCACGTTTCTATATTTTGCTGGATGGCGAAGTCACTGAGGAGAAGTCGAAGGCTTCTATCAAGAGGCATTTGGCTCCTTACCGCGTCGACTTCACCAAGACTGAATGGTTCAGCACCTTTGAAGGTAAGTAACCAGTTACAGGTAGCGTTTAAGGCTCAACCTTGCCAACACATGTGTTTAGTGAAAGAGAGAATTGCCGAAACCTTCATATCCCAGAACGGCAATGGAAGGATCATCCTTGCGGGCGACGCTGCTCACTGCCATGCCGTTAATGGTGGTCAAGGACTGAATACCGGCCTGTCTGATGCATTCAGTTTGGGATGGAGAATGGCATATATTTTAAAGTATTCTGACAAACTAGCTCCTGGCGCGGCCAATCGAATTCTTCAGAGTTACGACGCGGAGCGTCGCAAGGTGGCAGAGAATGTCATTCGTGTTGCCGCACGCTTGGTGAGAGATATCAAGTATGAGGCCACGCAGTATGTTGGCAACGTGGAAAAGAACGCAAACTACATTACCGGTGAGCACAATTTTGCGGGAGCATGATCATAACCAGGTTGAAAATTACTTACCCTTGCTATTAGGGATGGGTATCGCGTATCATGATCTTGGCTCGCCTGCTGTACGCGAGTCAGAGGTGGGCATCTGGAAGGCCGGCCGGGCATGCCCTGACATTCTGTTGACAACCCCTGGCGCCTCGGAGTCGCGGTATCTCTACAGTATCGTAACTTATGGGAAGTACATGGTTCTTGTGGCCGGTGATCACGGTGGCCACTTTAACACCTTCAAGAGTCTCGTTCGATGGCTGAGGATATTACCGAAAGCGGATGAGCAGAATTGCCATCTCAACGGAGAGAGCGAGTTAAGCTATTTGGCCGAGGTTGTCAAAGAGGGGGAGAACTACGCCATTGTAGTTCGCCCCGATATGTACATCGCATATGCGGGTACAGCCGAGGGCGCGACTGAGTACTTGGCAGAAATCTTTGTCAGTTAGAATACGGATGAAGTTGGATAAACTAACCTCACAATTCGCTTTCGAATTAAGAGCTCCCAAATTTGCTTCAATGCCAGTTCAACCTGTAGTCGCCAACTGCTTCTGTAACTTTACCCATCGAAAAGGTAACAATGAGCTGTTGCGACTTGAAAACAAATACATGTACGGTGCGGACCATACCATGTGCTAGCTGGGTTCTATGCAGTGTTCACAGACAAAATGACAATGGGTACTTGCCGTTATCGATGCTGTGCCATGGTGTAACCATCAAGCAGGAGTCCCCACTTTACAGCGCTACAGGGATGTAGTTAATCGGGAAATAGGTTCCATTTACATACCTTGACAAGGCCCCAGAGCGGGCTCTGTGAAATGTAAATATTGAACAACCCTGCGCAAGCCTGCTAAAATATTGAATGCATAACCATTCACAGTTGCATTGACATGTCTTTGATGTGTCAGTGAAGACCTCATGTGTTGGTTGCAATCTGTGTCAAGAGCAGAGAGTATGTGTTTGAACATGGAACCCCTGAAGAGCAATTTTCCGCGCGCGGCGCAGCGCTGATCTGCAGGGAAGCCCATAAAAGATGGCCGTATCACATTATGGGATGCGATTGTTTCTAGCAACCAGTCTATTGAACTGACTGGCCAGTTAAATGATTATTTACCAGTCGGGCTGCTGGATATCAACACCATCATCAACCTCACTTTTGCCCACACTCTCACTTCCATGCATAGCAAGCCTTGGGAAACATGCACGAGAAGGCTGAGGAGCCCACCTGGTCCGGAGTATTGCGAGAGGCAAATATGCACATGATGGATACACACGTGTGTACGGGCGTCTTCGGCGCGAGTATGCGCCTCCGCTAACCCGATCGTTGTATCATAGTATGTAACCAGAAGCTTAACGGTCATTGAGTGATCTATGAGACCAATGATGAATTGCCAGGCTGTGCATTGCAAGTTGACGACATCGTATCAGGGTGGTGGCTCCTGGGTTGGCTGCGGGATGCAGATCATGCAATGAGACTTGACTCTGTTTGGCTCGTGTCCATATATAGACGCTGGAGATTGATAACTCGACCGTTTTTTTCCTCCTCAGAACAGGCAACAAGGTGAATGCAACCATGTCAAAGCGCCCTGTAATGAGGGATCGGACGAATAACAAGGCTGGTGATCCTGTAGAAGATCTATCCTGGACATCGCCGTGCTGAATATTTGATTCGGAACGAGACAAAACCGTGGTCCGCTCCAGGGCTGAGAGGTCGAAGCAGTGGGAGCTGACAAAAAAACCAGGTCATATCAGGCCGTACATCATGCGCAATTACCTCGAACTCAGCAGTCGATACGAGATTCATGACACTGGATGCTGATCTCGACATTGAGCCGTCATCACCAAAACCTCTCGCCTCGTAACCGTCATGGCCGACGGGGTTTGCCGGACGATGCGCGTTCCCCTGTGAAAACGAGCAACATATGAGTCAGCAATCACGTGAAATGGCGGCACAGACAATAAGCAACATCGCATCGTCTTTTGAGCACGAACTTCATGGGCATGGCATCAACGCTTCCCGTGGGGGTTCAACTGCCTCGCAAAATGAGTCTTTGATCGTATTTTACTTTCTAGGAATAATACGGATCTTGACTACAGGATCGGTTGATCGCATCAACCACCCCTGCTCTGCCTGTGCTTTCGGTTGAGAAGGAGGGCTGACGCCGGACAATCAGCTGGGTTCAGCACTTGATAATCTTCTAGGACTGGTGGCGAGGCTGGGATAGTTGCTTTTGTGGTGGCAGGCAAATGTTTCTGACAGGTGTCCGGGACGGAGATAAAGGTGTTCCCCCATTTGGCGGCCTCGAATCATGTCCTTTCCATGGGCTAGGGCCTTATTTGAAGGCATCTTATCTCCTGCCATCGTGCTTTCAATACCCTTTGAAAAACACATGTCCCTTCTTTGTCCAAGGGCATACAACTCTCTCAGTCTTTTCATCTCCCTGCTTGCTAGTGAATCGTTCACCTTCTCAAGCTTTCCAAGATGATGGCCCCAGTGCTCATGGAGTCAGCCCTTCGGGGCACTCCGGGCCATGTTGTCCTCCCTTTTTCCAGCCGTGTCGTTGATCACTCCCACATCGATATGGCTGCAAAGATCATTGAGGTCATCTACCGATATCAGCGAAGAGGCGACATCACTGAAGGCATGCAGTCGGACATTGGCCTCCTTGCTGGCCTAACGCAGATCTACAGCCATGTGAAAGCGAGCAGACCTGTCAAGATGGCTTTGCCAGCTTTTCCCTTCAAGTCTCCCAACACTAGCATCAAGGTCCTTGGTCGCTTGCCGGATAAAGCCGAAGAATTTGCGCTTGCCCATCTGAACGGCCTTTGTGCCGCTATTCAAGACGTTTACAGTCCTGGAGCAGAGCTCACCATTATTTCTGACGGGATCGTATATAACGGTAAGTCGGACGGAGAGACCTATGGGGGGCTGCATCTACTCACTGTCATTTGAACTCTACAGATCTACTCAGCATTTCAGACTCTGATGTCTGGGCATATGGACAAGCCCTCCGGGAGCTTGCGAGAAACAAACGCTTCAATCACATTAAATTTTCTCGGCTTGCTGACCTTATTCCCTTAGCGGCGCCTGAGGCCTTGGACGAGGTGTCGTATGTTGCCAATGCGACTAACTTCCGGGTTGCTCTCATGAACAACTTTGGTAGCAAAGATTGGGATGTTTCTAACAAAATAGCTGAAGATGAGGATGTCCGCCTGACATATCGTGGATATCGCGAGTTCCTGCTTACCGACCTTGCTGAAAAATACCCCATTTCAGATAGATTTTCCAAGTCCAATTTCGAGAAGGGCACGGAGAGCATCGCCAAACAGATGCTCATCCGAGGCCAGGCATTCGCCCGCGCCATCCGCGAGAAGTTTGTCAACCACCTGCGCCTGTCTATCCACACGTCTACCGGCCAAAACAAGGTCTCAATTGGAATTCTACCTACGGACACCAGCTACGCGACACCGTGGCACTGCGCTATCGCAGTCAGGCTCGATGGTACTGTAACCAGCGGTCATGCCCAAACCTTCCGGGACGACCCTGCCTGGGAGCTGGTGTACGAGGATGCCAGACCCTCGTACTTTAGGGAGAAGAGTGATCTTTACACTTGGGGCTCAGGGCCCATCACGGTCACTCCGCTGTATCCCTGCGGTGTCATGATCACACCCACCGAGGGAGCTGGAATGCTCTCCATGCGGGACATTGACCCTCAGAAGGTCCGGGCCCTGTCTGAGATCAATTCCCCCGTTGTCCTCCGAGGCTTTGATGGCACCAGGGAGCGCGAGAGATTTATCGAGAAGGCCTCGGAGTTTGGCACACCGCTGCCATGGAAGTTCGGGATCCTGCTTGAGGTCAAGGATCGTGGTGCTGACACCCGCGGGCTTAACAACGTTCTGTCAGCGGAATGGATGCCATTCCATTTTGACGGCCTTTTCAAAACTGAAGAGAAGACTAAGGAGGATGGTACGATCTATAAGGTTCCCAACCCCCCTCGGTTAGTATGCCCTTGCTAAGCCAAGATCCTGGACAACAGTCACTGATTTTTTTAATTTTTTTAATTTTTTTTTCTTTTGCAGATTCCAGCTTTTCACGGCCGTCACGCCGTCGCCGTCTGACACCGGATTCACGCTCTTCTCGACATCTACCTTTGTCTTTAAGCACCTGCCCGACCATCTCCCCCTCGAGACGTTGAGGAACCTCACGTGGTCGGTGTCGACATCGTCCTTCGACAGCACCAAGCTGCACGGTCTCCCGCTGGTGGTCGACCACCCCACAACCGGCAAACCTTGCCTGCGGTACCACGAACCCTGGCCAGAGGGCAAGACGAGCTTCGAGGCCACCAACATCTCGATCGACGGGCTGACGCCGGAGCTGTCAGACACCGTGTGCAGCCAGCTCGACAGCCTGCTGCACGACCGGCGGGTGGTGTACTACCACACGTGGCAGAGAGGGGACATGCTGGTTAGCGACAACGTGTTGACGATGCACACCCGCAGCGACTTCCAGGGCGGCGCCGACAGGGAGCTGTGGAGAATCCATTTTGATTGAGCGGATTTGAATGTATTAGTAACTGCATATCAGAAAGGCAGTACTTAGTTGCGTCTGTGTCGTTGGTTTCATTCCCATTTTCCCTTGCTGCGTAGAATAGGACACATAGAATGCAAACCAGCGCAAATCGTTTGAGTGATGAATGTTTCAGGGCCCAATCGGCTTGTTGATGTTTCTAATAATGGCGACGCAGGCGTATAACAGGTACTACCCGAGGTGGTGTACATATGTGTGACTCGTGCCGTTGTCAGGTACCGGCGATGATGCAGCAAAGCGTTCTCGCCCGGACGTAACCTCAGACATTCATCATCGCGGCTTCTTTTCCCCCTTACGCTTGCGGCTTGCACATGCAATTCCAGTGACGTAACTGGATTAGATCAGCTGCATCTCGACTGGGACTAGCGCGGATGTCGGATATAACTCGGCTCAGCTAGCCATATACGGCTAGACTTTGGCTCAAGCTAAACCGCACCCGGCCTAGCGCGGCTGCAGGGCCTTCGGTGCTCCGGCGTCGTATGATTCGGAAGCAGACCCGCTCACGTGGCGCCGGGCTTGGCGGGCCGGGCCTGGCCAGCCGGACGAACGCGACGGCAGGACGTGGACGGCGTCCGAAGTCGAGGTTGAGCAGGACAGACATCCTGCGATCGTGACGCGCAGAAGACTCAAAAGACAAGACATGCGTGGTCCAGGAACCCCATCTGCGTGCCAATTGAGCCTGTCCCCGCGTCCCCCCGACTGCTCTCGTTCTTAGCCCATCCTGGACGACTCCCAGGGCCCGAACGGCGCATTTCCGCGATATCACACACACGCTCTCCGTGTTGTCTGTGCTTGTCTAGTTAACTGCCCAATATCCGGAGTTGCTATTACATACTATCCCTTCGCTAAATCACAAACATCCGCTCTATCCTTGCTTCCTTGGCTCCATTCCTCTTCATTTCTCCCAATCTGCTCAGTTCTTTTCCAACCCTCTAAACCAACCTGTTCTTGATCCTGAGGCTGTTTCTGATGAACCCCCATCCGCCTCCCCCAACTTTCCACACAGGACCTCCCAACTGAATCTAAACCGTTCGTGGAGGCAAAACATTCACCCCAGCGAAAACGCTCTCGAACCCCATTCCCGAAACTTTCCCTTGGGCACAGTTCGGCCAGTTCTCCATTCGAAACCTGGAGCGGTTCTGAGGTGTCTGATGAGCCAACTTTTCTGACCCTTCCTCAAACTATAACACCATGCCTTCGTCTTCTGGGACCTCCACCTCATCCTCATCCGCTTCTTCTTCTTCTGCTTCCTCCTCTTCCTCTTCCTCTTCCGCCCCCGAAGCCGATCCCACCTGCGATCCCGCCCTCTTGTCCTCGACTCGGATGCCCGAACGAGGGGCCACACCCATGAACGACCTTAGTCCCCTGATCGAGTCAAATCCGGATGATCTAGTCGCCGACTGGACGCAGTGGATGCGCTGGGACGAATTCGACACCGATGAAATATCCAATCACGTGGCCATGCAGCAGTTCAGCGGGAATAACAAGAGCGATGACAACTCCCTCCCTCAGTCCGCCGCCACCTTCAGCCCCGCGTCCGCTCAACCTGCCTTCACCTTCCACGGCGGCGACATACCACCTTCTCAGATCCATACCGCCCTCGACTCCAAGGCAATGGGTCTCCAGCCGCCCTTCTCTCCCACCTTCGCCTTCAGTGGCCATACCGTGCCCGCCTTTGTTCCTCCCCCAGATCCTCTTGCGTTGAGCGTCTCCGTGGAACAGAGCCCACCCCCGCACACGTCTGCAAACTTCCCCCCAACCCCTGTCTCCGCTGGTTCGGGACGGAAACGAAAGTCATCCGAGGACGACGGTGTCCCAGGCACCGTTTCTGCTGGCAGCATGTCTCCTCCGGCAGCTAAGTCCTTGCCCTCCAAAAAGAGATCGCACAACGTCATCGAGAAGCGGTACCGTGCAAACCTCAACGAGAAGATTGCGGAGCTCAGGGACAGCGTTCCCTGTCTCCGCATCATGTATAAGCAACGCTTTGGCGGTGGCACGACCAAGGACGACGAAGAGGAAGAAGAGACGATCGCCTCTACGAATAAGCTGAACAAGGCCTCAATCCTTTCCAAGGCTACAGAGTACATCAAGCACCTGGAAATGCGGAATAAACGCCTAGAGGAGGAGAATATCGCCCTGAAGAATCGTCTCCGTCAGCTTGAGAAATCCCAAGAGCAAGGGCTAGCAGCTTTTCCGCCAATGCCAAATATGGAGCCGTCTCCGAGTGAGAGTATGGTTTCGCCAGAGTCCGCCACCAGTTCACCACCGAGCATCTTCTCTCAAAATGCTGAATTCTCACCTGAAGCGTCCCCCAATCCGTTGTATCCACCCGAAGGGTTGATTAAAGTTCCTGAGTACTTCAAACGGTTGCGTCCAACCGGTCCTCAGCCGCATTATGCCGATTCGTTGATGTCTCGACAAGGTCAGCGCTACGAACCGGGCTCGGGCGATGGCAGTGGGAGACGTGGAGGACTTGCCAACAAATTCATGCTTGGCACATTAGCTGGTCTTATGGTGGTTGGAACCTTTGAGAACCAGAAGGAAGAGTCGTCAGATCGAGGACTCTTAAGCGTCCCAATCCACCTTCTAGCCCAAGGCTTTGCATATGCTCGAAGACACATCTATGTGATCCGAACCAACTCGTGGCAAATCAGAGCCTTGTCTCACTTCGTCCTGACATCCCTCTTCGTTGTTGGGTGTGCCTTTTTCGTCTACCTCTATCTATTTTACTCGAGACCCTGCCGCCCAAAATCGAAACTACAAAAGTCCCAATCGACTGTCGCCGGCACCACCGAGTTCCGCCGGGATGCATGGCTCACTAGCACCCAAACAGTTGGGGTCCCTCGACACACCTTTTTTCCCGAGTGGTTCGCCGTCACCTCTCGTTGCTTCGAGTACTTGCTTCGTTGCCTTCTTGGCTGGAAGCTGTATTCGATACTTACCGGTATCTCAGAAGATGACGAAAAGGGTCGTGTCAAAGCATGGGATATCGCCTTGGATGCCCAGCTTACCGGTGGTGATGCAGAGGTCAGCAAGAGCCGACTGGTTCTAACTATTTTCGCGGCCGGAACCCTCCCAAGAAGCCTATCTCGAATGATGCTGAAGTCCTTGCATTGTCGAATTTTGCTATGGCGTGTAGGCTCCTCCGGCTCCATTGCTTGCAAGATTTCGGACCATATTGCAGGAATCTTGGCCAAGTATCAATGGCAGCTTGCACAACAAATGCAGAAACTTACTCCGGAGGATCATGAAGATGCGCTTCCAAGTCATCTGGCATATCTTCTTCAACACGATTGCGAGGACGTTTTCACGGATGCCATCGTTCAGAGAGCATCCAACATGATTTGGAATCGCCCAACACAGGAAGCAACCGACGGTGAGGACTCGTTACTGGATGTAGTCGTTGAAGACAGCGCCATTCGTTCCCCTCTAGATGCTATCGCAGCATGGTGGTCTAGCCGGGCCCTCCAAGAAGCACTCATTCATTCCCTAGATGTGACTTCTGCAGACTGCGGTACCCGACGACGAGAAGCTTTCGAGCGTAATTTAGAAATGGCACTGAAATCCGCACCGCCCACGTCTGCCGCTTACACTCGAGCTGCCGCCATCAAAGCATTGTTCTTCGACGAGGATAGGGTTGCGAATATCAACTCAGTTTTAGCCGCTCTCCCACGTCCCAAGCGGGAACCGTCCAGCAGTGCATCGATATTCCTTGATTCGTCAGTCCCGCCCTCTGTTCGCGATGAAATCTGCATCGCAGTGCGTTGTGCCATGATCGCGGCGATCCTACAGGGCCAAGCTGGAGCACAAGAACCCTCTTCTTCAAAGCTATCTTTGCACAATGCTATCGAGTTGTTCAACAGGCTACCCATTGACGCAGTTGAACTTACGTTGATGGGCTTTGCACCACTCTATCACCTATTACACATGGTTTCTATGGACGATAGGTTAGTTCCATCAACGTCACTCTCTTCCTCGGTCTGCTCGTCCGATAATCTTTCGGTTTGCTTGTCGTCCACCCAGGATTCTGCCGTCGGAACCCACCCTCTTCCCCTACCCGACTTGGCCAGAATCGCTTCGGAGCTCATGTACTGGGTGCAGAATGCTTATAATCCGATCTCTTCCGGATTTACAGACTGTCTGGTGGACAAAGTCGTCAATGGTTGCGTGGAAGCATGTCGAAATGCTGGCGTCGACATCAACGAGACGAAAATCAACAAGGAACGAAAAATGCACGAGGGACAAATTAGCGATTTATCTTCATCATCCCTATCTCAAGAGGATGATAGGGATAGCCCTCTCGCGTCCGATGGACCCGAAAGCAAAAGTCATTGCGTGAATAAGACAAGAAGGCAGAGTATTCGAAGTAACGATACGGGTTATGGAAGTTTGAGTCAGGATGAGAGTTGAACGAGCTGAAATATCCTCCCTTGGTTTACAAGTGATAACCTTGATCACGCCCGTCGATTCTGCTTCGTGCGTCAGTCGAATTTGATCCGGCCATCCACTACTTTGCACATTTATAACTATATGCGTTGTTACCTCGCTTTGCGTCCGTATTTTCTTCCGGAGTCCTCGCCACTCTTGCTACATCCTTCGCGTCGCGAAGAAAGCAATCCCATACCTACAAACGGATACCCAAAAGCAAATGACGCAAGTAATAACAGAAAAGCATTCTCAAAAAATACTTCCCTCCCCTCCTAACCAACATTCCCTTTTTATGTACACTCTCCTCAAAACTATCCTAACCTATTTGTCTGCAACTTACTCTATGTGTGACTCTTAACTCTCGAAGAATGTTTTATTTATCTCCTTTTATTCCCCTGGCGTTCAAGCGTGCTGTTTTCTATATAACCCCGGGCTAGATAAATGGATGGAAATCAAGCCGAAGTGGCGGGTTGTTAATGCAGTTAACTTCTGGAGATTTATTTTGGATGTATAATATACCACTGATCCCGGATTTAATGGAGACATAATAGTGCCTAATCTTGACCGCATGCTTATGAAGAGAAACAGATCATTGCTCGATAAAGTATTTACAATGACTGACAATCAACCGAGATTAACTGTCTTACATTGTGGTTTCATAAAAGTCCACGGTAATCAGTCATTGTTGACCGCCATTCCAATTTGATAAAAGCATGCGAAAAGATATTAATGAAACACAAAATAATAGTGATCCAACACCCTGCAGGGATTCTGCCAGTCAAAACCAATTAACCAGGTCTCAGAGCAACCACAGACGAGCTCACGCCACACATATTCATCGACAATTTTATCCGATCGTCAAGGTGCCAGCATCAAATATTCTCAACGGAGAGAGATCGTAATATAACGTCATAAATGACTTCAAGGGGAAAGGCAATTTAGCCGGTGTTGAACAGGTGTTTTGCCTGCAGTTCACTCCAGGGTTAAGCTGACTTAGTTGATAAGCCACGCTGGAATCACTGTTATCCAGCATAAATGAACAGATAGCTATCACTTCTTCTCCATAGTTTCCTCCCTCGACTCCACCAGCGGACCGGATATCGGCATCAGGCCAACCCTCACCTCCGCATCCTCCGCCGTAAACACTTTATTCTTCCCACTTCCGATACCACACGCCCGCTTAACAGCCTTCCAACTTTCAATCAGCATAATGTAAACAACCACACAACCTACTACTATCCCCCATTCCCATGTAATGCTCAGGTGCTTGAACACCAAGCGGTTCACAGTAGGGAGATAAACCACAGGAAACGTGATAAAGAACCCCGCAGCAACAGCCCAGAACAAGAAGCGATTCCTCCACAGGGTGGGGAAGACTGAGAGCAACCCGGCCTTGCGGCCAGTGAGGTCCATGTTGAACAGCGAGCGGGAGAAATGCTTTACTTCCCAGGCCGTGACAAGGAGGAGAAACGATAGCGTTGCAAAGGTGGTTGCACGAGCGCGGAACACAACGTCGCACGTTGAGTTCCAGTCCTGATTGCAATTGTCTCCCAGATAGCCGTCGCCGGCGCCGTAGACGACGGAAACGAATGACACGAGACATAGGCTGCCCATGAAAACGCCGTAGATAGTTTTATCCATGATGAGCTCCCGGGTGAAAACGCCAACGTGGAGGTTATGTGGTGGGCGGAACATTAGATCCGGTTGACCCTCCTCGAGGCCGAGGCCTAGGGCAAGGAAAGAGGATGTGACGAGATTTGCCCAGAGGATCTCCAGTGGAGAGAGCGGGAAAACGGAGTCGCCATCCTCGTCTTTAAACGCTAGGGCAATGAGCAGAAGTACGACCTGGGCGATATTCGATATCAATAAATGCATTAGAAACTATGTTCGGGTTAGTTCAACGTCGACGTTGCTTTAAAGCAAGAATTTAGCAATTACCTTCTGGATATTATCGAACAAACGTCGTCCTTCTTCCACAGCTTTGACCACAGATGCAAAATCATCATCCGTCAATACCATATCTGCCGCATCCTTTGCCACATCGCTTCCATTTTTGCCCATCGCAATTCCGACGTCCGCATGTTTCAAAGCTGGTGAATCATTAACACCATCGCCGGTCATAACACAGAATGCCTTCCGTCTATGCATCGCCTCTACCATGCGAACTTTCGTTGTGGGACTGCATCGAGCAATAACTAACGGCAATGCTTCCATTGCATCAATCTCTGCGTCTGATAGTTTGTCAAAGTCCTCCGCAGCCATGACCACGGTACTCGCCTGTGCAGTTGGGATCACTGTCCCCAATATACCTACTTCATATGCGATAGCTGTGGCCGTCCGAATATGATCTCCTGTAAGCATATGCACCGTGATTCCAGCCATGTGGCATTTTCTCACGGCTTCGGGGGTTTCAAGTCGTGGGGGATCGTATAAGCCAACAAGTCCGACAAAGTCTAGGTTAGTCTCTACCCTTGCGCGGTCTGAAACCTGCGTAAAGTTGTCTGGATCGATAATTTTGTGCGCAACGCAAAGTACTCTGAGTCCTTCTCCAGCGAGCCTATCGACCACAGCACGGATTTCTTCTTTCATGCTATTGTTTATGGATAGTAGCGGCAACAGGGATTCTGTAGCACCTTTTGTAAACACATCAGCATTCCGACAGTCCTTTCTTTGATAAACAACCGTCATTCTCTTGATAGACGAGTCAAACGGGAATTCTGCAAGTAACCCCATTTGTTGACTCTGCAGCATTACCTGCTTTCCGGAATTAAACCGTATTGCGAGAACGTGAAGCGCTATTTCTGTGGGCTCTCCGACAGCGGTCCAGGTGTCGCTTGAGTCCGCAACAGATGCATTGTCTAGAGAGACTTTGTCAGAAGGATTATACACAGAAGATAGGTTGCAGAGCGAAATGGTTTGCAGAAACTTCGTAAATAGGCTATCCTTGTCACGCGGATATTGATCGGGGTTGATAACGGAGTTGTTAATTTGAATGAAGCCGCTTCTCGGGTCAAATGGACAGGTTGTATCGTGTACAGACAGTGTCCCTATGCCTGGAATCCAGGCCTTACGGGCAATCATTTTCCCTTGAGTAAGAGTCCCTGTCTTGTCGGAGCAGATGTTTGTCACTCCACCAACAGCTTCGAGAGCTTGAAGCTTTCTGACAATGACATTACCTTTGGCCATTTCCTTCGTTCCAACAGCAATCGTGATGGTCAGAACTGCAATGAGAGACTCAGGAATCACAGCAACAGCGACACAAATACCATAAATGAGGACTTCGCCTTGAATGTTCCATTTGTTAGCCGAGAAAACAAGGATTGCTAGCAAGATAGCCAGCCCGAAAAGTAAGAGGGCGAATTTGCTAAGTTGCACTTGTAAAGGGGTGCCAATTAGCCCAAGAACAAGTAACAAGCTTCTCTTGAATCTGGCCCATATTCGGACGAGGATATTTGCGTCTTGTTCAGGTCGCTGAGCTCGGAGAAGTTGAGCAATTTTGCCAACTTCAGTCTTCATTCCAGTGCTGACAACCACACCGGTAGCACGACCGCGAGTCATTATACTCCCGGAATATGCCATATTTGTGCGATCGCCAACTGGCATATCACGAGTAGAAAAGACAGCATGAGGCTGTTTTGAAACAGGCAATGATTCGCCAGTTAAAAGAGCTTCATCAGTTGAGGCGTTGATGCCTTCAAATAGCCGTAAATCAGCAGGAACCATGTCGCCGACTGCGAGCTGGATGACATCCCCAACCACAAGAGTCTCTGCCTTTACAGAATCTATCCGTCCGTTGCGGAGAACTTTACATACGGGCGCCGAGAGTGCCTGAAGAGACATGATTGTCTTTTCTGCACGATAGTCCTGAAAAAATCTGTAGACATGGGAATTAAAACATCGCCACGAATATAGGGCAAGGGAGCGCATACCCAACGATAATATTGAGGAGAATTACAGCTGTGATGACTCCACCTTCAATATAGTCATTGATTCCAAAGGACAGAGCCATTGTTATCACAAGGACCTAGCATCGGGCAGTTAACATGGAACATCTCGATTTCAGTTCCTGGCTGGCTAGGAATGCCGTATATTGGGGGGGGGAGAAAAGTAGGTATCTCTCGTACTAAAGTCAGACTGTTCGACACCTGCCTTAACAGAATTTTCCACAAGGATATCCCTTCTGCACTCTTAACCTTGTTAAGGCCATCTTGCTGGAGGCGAGATGCCGCTTGGGCACTGCTGAGTCCATTTCTAGAGGAGCATGTGAGAATTGGGTGTAGAGCATGGGTGGGAATACAAGTATTGTTCTTACTCCAAGTCGACGCCCAAGATGCTGGCAATCTGAGAGGGAGTAAAAGTATGGGCACATTCGTATTGCTCCTCCCACTTGCACTCAACCTGTGAGCAGGAGACGGAGGAATCCCTGCAGGAGATATCTGGAGTGCCTGGCTTCTTGTCCCGTTCGTCCAGATCACGAAGGGGGCCAACTGAACGGTCTACGGCTTTTCCAGGTTGCTTCGTGGTCCCTTGAGGAATAGGAACACAAGGAGGTGGCTCAGTCGATTCCTCGACATCCGGTTGAGTAGTCTCTGTTCCCATTCAATAAGAGAAGGTAGATAGGGTGGAGAGAGCGTGGTGGCTAACACGAAGTCGCCAGGAGTCAGGGAATGGATGGTTTGGTGAGCTTCTTACACAAAAAATTGGAAGCCTACAGTGATGGAGAGGAGGGATCCTCGACAGAATGGAATATGCAAAGGAGAGGGTGAGAGAAGCAGAGGGAAGTTGGCTGTGCGGGGAAGGTATATATAGCCCATCTCGACGGTCAAGAAACGTGATCGTCGTCGTGGACAAGGTTTAGTGAAGCCATGCTCTTTATTCACGTCCACACTGCCACCATGATGGTGACGATGGGTTAACACCCCAGACGAATGGTTCTTGGGAGTCTTCCGCTGGAGTTTCTCACATTGGAGAGCTGCGTTTTCGAAACCCTGAGTGGCTGAATCGTGGCAAACCGTGCTGGGCATTAGAAGGCACTAGCGACGGATGGAGGATGGCCAAGCGCAATCGATCAATCGGATTGCAGAGTGGTATGCACAATGACGGAAAACCGAGCAAAAGGTTTGAGCATGCGACATCCCAGGCTCTAAAGGTTCTCTCGCTCGCCGAGAACCTTGTGCCGTCGAGCCCCGTCCCATTCCCTGCCTCGCGAGCCCCAACGCCGCAAGTTCTGGCCCTGGTGATAAGCGGGGATTGCGCTACCAAGTCTCTTGGCGGGCGCAGCGGCTGGCTTCCCATGACCGCTGGTCTGTGGCCTGCGGAGCAGACGTTCCTCTCCTCCCCCAGGCGCCATCGGAGGAGCGGCTTTTCTTGGAGGGCTGCCAATTCTGGATACTCTTGGCCTCCTTGACCATGGAGCAGCCTGCCAGGATTGAAACTAGAATGAGTGCACAAATCTTAAAATACGATGATTTATGTACGGAGTACGGAGTACTCCCTATGGAGTACATCCTTTTGCGTGGTTGTTAGTTTATTCCTGATGGGGTCCTCTCGACACCTCTCGACGCAAACGTTGGGAGGACCTGACTACGACATCCAAGCGGCCTATCAAAAGGCTATGCTCGGGGATGACTTCGGACTCATGCAACTATCTTCCTGCTGCAGCTTTTCTCCCTACGTGGACCTTTTTCCGTGACTTGCTCTCAAAACACGCACCATCTCCACCACCATCCGTATTGCAGGTGAGAGAAGGAGACTCACAAACGTCGCGATTCGCTCTGGTTCACAATTGAACCGACGCAACCCGGCGAGTCGGCCTCGAGTAGGACGAGAACGAAGCTGCAAATTGCACACGTGTGTACTCCGTATATCGAGTAAAGGTCATTCTTGGGAGAACTGCCAATAGGAGCATCCATCAGCCAAGGCGAATGGCAGGCTTTAAAGGAGAAGGGGGGGGGGGGGGGAGAAAAGAAAAAAAAGTACTCCGTAAGCAAGTGCAGGAAGTTAAAAAAAAAAAAAAAGCAAAAGAAGAAAAAAGAAAAGCTCCTTATCACATCTCGCCCTTGATGTCGACGACAATGTTCCCGGTCCAGCCAAGGAGCGGAACAACAGTTTTCCCGTAGTTAAGGTACCTAACAGGCCAGATCCACTACGGAGTACGTAGTAGTCCCCGCCGGCTTCTGGAGAGCAAGAAGGAAAAAGACGTGAGACGACCACCCTGAGCTGCAGTAAACCACCTCTTGCCGCACGCGGTCAATTAGGCGCAGGTTTATTTGCTCACCCCGATCTCGATTATCGTCGGTCGCTTGAACCTTCAACCGGGAATGCATTCTACGGCAATGGCTGCACCAATTGCGTCCTTGGCTCCCCTCGAGTTCGCCAATGGTTCCGCTTCGTATACCTCCCCGACGGGTGACCAGATACTTGGATCGGTCAATGGTCCCATTGAATTAAACCGTCGCGATGCCCAAAAGCCGGACGAAGCGACGCTAGAGATAGTGATCAAGCCGGGAGTCGGTGGAAGCGGTGTTGGCGAGAGATACGTGGAGGGAATCCTGCGTAGTGTTTTGAGCAGAGTTATCTTGATGCGCGACAAAGCCATGGCACGCAGAGCGATTGTGGTAACGTTGGTCGTCGTGAAGAATATGGTGGCTGAGGGCAAAGTCGATGAGCGGGGTGGTTCGGTAAGGTCGACAGGCTTGCTTTTACGCGAATGAATCCTTTTGGCTAATTTTTTTGTATTCACAACAGTATCTTCCAATTCTCCCTTCGCTTCTTCATACCGCACTCCTCTCTCTTATGTCAGCTGCAGTTCCTATGTCTATGATCTTCACAGCTGCTCTTGTGGCTGTCACCTCTCACAACGAGATTGTGCCACACCCTTCACCTAAAGTCAGCAAAGCTGCGACATCCCTCCACGTGCTCGCATTTTCTTCCAAGGGCCATTTACTCCTAAACGAAAGCCAAGGCCAGTTCAACATAGAAACGTGGGAGAAAGTATACGATCTCGCCGAAACAATATGTCGAGGTGGAACAAAGGTTCAGCTTATCAAAGGTGGAGACGTTTCAATGGATGACGCCGAGATGGTACAAAGTTTAGAGCAGCTCGTGCGAAAGGTGGTGAAAGATAAAGCTCGTGAAGATTTTGCGTGGAAATTGGCTACGACTTGAATCATATGGTGAAATTGGGTTTGTTTCGAATTGCCTTTTTAAGGAAATATTAGCGGGCGCACACCCGATATCTCGGAGAGATGCAAAACGCCGCACAAGGAGACTTGAGTCCGACTTTGGGAGGGCAGGATATTGTTTAGAAACCCGCGCTCTCGGATAGCTTGCATTCCCCCGTCGTCCGACCACGAGGAAGGGTCTAAACGACAGCACGCCTCGGACCCCAATTAGAAATTGGGACGTCTCGAACGCGAGCTTTAAGAAATCTCGAGAATTGAGAAGCATTTTCCATCACAATTAGGCTAGTAAAGGCTTAATATCATTTCTTCACATCTGGTACCTTTGCCGAAGTATTCATCAATTGGTACAACATTGTATCCATATGTGCGCTTGGTCTTTATTACAACCCAGTACAGTTGAAATCATGCTTATCCATGTCACATGCTTGAGAGTCCTTTTCAGGGAATTGGCAAGGAACGAGAAAACTAACTCTCAATCACTTTTTCCCAGGCTGACGTATTCCTTACCAGCAGTCACATCAAAAGGTTGTGGACTAAGACCTCTGACCGCGTGTTAGTGTATTCTAGGCTTGGTAGAAATATTCTGCTCTTTTGCATTGAGATGCATCAAACTGCCACCCCATCAAGCCAACCACCCAAGCTCAAGGAAACAATGCGCCCCAGATCTGAAGAACCATCACACCTAGCCCACAATTCTCCTATATGATGAATTATGTGATCAATATACTGTCCAACAGCACTGACATCAAGGATTAGAGCAATCGCCCGGTGGAGAGCAAGCAGTTCTGGAGAAGGTGGGTCAATGGTATGATTTGGTGAGAGAAGTAGTGTCCTTGTTGTTGGAAGATTGAAGACAACTGATGCAACAGGGTCAGATGAATGAATCCTGTAAGTGTAGAATAACTCTACCGTGTCGCACGAAATCGCGTGCCAACTCCGACTTAGCGCTAAATGCGGGTTCCTGATTCTGATTCCTCCTCTCTGTCACTCATTTCTCGTGTAGTCTTCATAGTCACTGACTGCATAAGACTATAATGAATAATAATAATAATAATAAACCATTTCTCGCTCCCAGGCGCCTTCCCGAGGGTCATTATTCACACTGCCTTTTACTACTCATTGTCTAACAACTCCGATTATGGCCCGTATTTCCAAGTCGAAAGCTGCCAAGTTCAACGCCCATACCTTGCAGAAGTTGCGAGATGCTGTTGAAATTGATCCAGAAGTTGATTTGACGACGAAATTGCCATTGAGATATTCTACTCGTTTGACTAAGATGCGTCGTGTCGCCCAATCGGGTGCGTAGCCCTTTTGGTGTGCTGGTTGAGTCTTTCTTCTATCTCATATAATATCGGGAGATAATGTGCCGAAAGTCACCCCCTAAAGATGAAGATGAAGATATTCGAGCATTCCTTCGCGCATCAGACTCTGTCGAAGTTGTCTTTTCGTTGTCCGAAGCCGTACTGAATCTGCTAGGGGTACCAAGAAATACTGAATCTACGCCCAATGACCTCTCGGAGCGACTAGTCCATGTCGTACAGGCCGGCGAAATCATCTGGAAGGCCCCATTTGCTCGCCAAAAAATGGTCTTTAAATGTGGTCACAATATCGCCGTGAAGGCAGTACAGGGCATGGAGGATTATACTGAATACACGACTTTGAAATATATCCAATAGCATAAACCGAGTATTCCGGCACCAGACCCGCAAGGCGGGAGCAAGTTGCTAGTTTGTAAGTTCCATGGAGAATACCCAGACCAACCAATTTCTGCTTCTGTGTGTTGTTCCTTATATGGTTGCCAGCTGTCAAAACAGTATGGAAAGCCACCTTCAGTGCAAAGGCACAAAAAGCAGTCTTTTAATAGTTAATTTTTTTTCAATTGCACCTAGCTTAGCTCACCTCTCTACATTGCTCTCTTCATTCATCCCAGCATTATGTAAAGCAAATAGAAATAATTCGGCAGAACAGGTGGTCAGCTTTAGAAACCTGGTGGTAAAGAGCTATGCATTATTATGACTATTAAAAAGCGCCTTTCAATCCTTTGTAGCTTAATCATAAGTAAGAGCAACGCATTGACTTGAATACCCCCATCATATCCAGTTTGACAGCGGGGCCGGGGTTATATAAAGTGCCGCCCTACATCTGCCGTTTTGCTTTCCTTTTTCTTGACACTGTTGGCTCTGATGTTTTGCGATTACACACAAGAACTTCCCCATGTTAAGCCTACCCAAGTTACGTGAATACTGTAAGCATGCTGTGAGACGCCAGTCACTTCTGATGATAATCCGATCATCAACAAGAAGATACTCCTTTTCGTTGTGGAAGGCGAGTTTGAGTTCGCTGTTGGCATCTGTTTCTAGAATCTCAACCAACTTCATCCAGATGGCTTCTGCATTTTAGGATCCACAATATCAGCAATGGAAAGTATGTCCTGCCGCAAAGAGTTGTCCGCCCTCTCAAAATGTGCTACCATCTCTGAGTATGGGCTTCGCTCATGCCAACCTGGTGGGTCATTCAGACTGGGGAGGGACGTCGACATCAATCAAGTCGGACGCCATTGTTGATTGCCCATACTACGAAGCTCTAGAAGGGGCACACATCAATCCAAGCTCTCCAGTCAACTCACATTCATGTACTGCCAAGTCAGTTCCCTGTAGTGGCAAATGCATCAGATTAGTCTGTGATCCAATTAAGGCACCAGACATATCTTGAATGGAGTCAGGCTCAGTGAGACCAGAGAGTGAGACACCGCACGAGGAGTCGGCCGGTAGCTTTCTCCATGAACTTCCTAATCGATGTTGTAGCTCCTGCCTAGCTGCCCCTTCCAAGGCATGGGTCAATTCAGCTATGAGCTTTTTGTAACGAAGATAAACTTTATTGTCCTGTAGGCGGTGGAACCCAGGATAAGTAGAGCTTCTGATGGCAAGCAGATGTATGTAGGGAATTTGGGTGAATGGCAAGGAATCTATCACACAGATAGCATGATTTCTTGCTTACACCAATAAACCAAAACGAGGGTGTCCGCTCCACACGAAGATCATAGAAACCCACAAGTTGCATCTCAGCATGGATGGCAAGGGCATCAGGACACTGATGTCGGAAGTGTGCTTCGGGATCTGTTCCGCCCCAGACTTGGGTAAGGCAAGAAACGTATCTACTCTGATTTTCTCCAACCAGGCGCTGGAGTGCCAAACCAAGAGACACATCACTTCTCTGCAGCGGGACCTTTGCTGGGGCTGCGATAGCATTGACTATCATTGGGTTGAAGAGACCCGGAAATTCGATAGCAAGCTGGATGAATGCCCTAGGTGCGATTCCATACTGCCCCAACTTGAAGATGATAGGAATCCATTTTGGGCAACGGATTGTGTCGGTTGAGAACGCGGCGTTGAGCAGTTCAAGATAGTTATGCTTTACGTCCCGCGCCAGCTTGATATAATGAGCTAGCAATTCCGGTTGAGGGACCCGATCAAGTCCGTCCATCCTAGCGATGCTATCGAGCCACGAAAGGAATTGCTCCATCTCGAACATTGAAACGTCCGGCAAAGGTCTTTTTTCACTCATTATTGGACTTCGGAGCGGGGACGCAGGATCATATTTTGATATACACGAAGGTCATCGACGTATATCCGAAGACGTGAAATATCCATCTTCACAATTTTTAACAAAATGTCGGCCTCTTTCTCCAGCCTTGTAGATTCTGAGCCAAAGTCAGTACGAGAATAGCAAAGAGCAGGATTGGACAATAAACCTCCACATGCGATGCTGCTTAGATCATTGATAATCGATTGCGCCTGGGAAAGTATGTCCGCACTAACGCTGCCATTACTTGCAATGCGAACGACTGTTCCTTCGGGTTGGGGATCTTCCATGCATGCCGCAGACACGCTGTCACCACCCTTGCAAGATATGGGAGCGAAGGAATCTAAGAACTTCCGTCTGAGAAACCCTTCTCTATCCTGCCCAAGCTCACTGTGATCCAGCGCTTGTGAAGCAGGTTCACCGCGGACGGGACCTAGGGCGTGGAGCAAGACAGCCGCTTCTACAAAGCAAGTTCGAGCTTTGCCGGTCACTGTCAATGAGGCCATTTTCTGTTGGTATTAGAATAGCTGTCTGTGATCCACATTTTCCGAGGTTCCTACACTCCCATGGTCGAACTACGAGAGCCAGGAGATGCGGGCCCGTCGACGTTGTAGGTGCGGTGGTGATTTCGTAAACATGCTCTCTGGACGCGCAGATAGCGATCATGTCATTATAGGTATTTCTCTTTGTAATAAAGTTTGGGAGGAAGTAATTGAAAAAGGAAATTATTAACACGTCGGTAACAGTATAGAGGACAAAAAGTGCCTAATGAAACAGCCCAGAAAGATGTACGCCCAGGCTAGCATATCTAGATTGGACAAGTTACTACCGCTGCATATAAATCGCATAGATGGAGCCCTATGCACACATAAATCAAAGAGACGCGGGGAAAAGGGGAAAAGAAGGAGGATCAAAGAAAAAATTGGTGCGCATGCCTATTCCTTCGGTCTTGGAGGTAAATAAGCGGGAAAACCAGCACGATCACACATCAACCTCTTTGATATTTGCCTTCCATTGATCGCTGTCTTTGCCTGCGAATCTTACCATCTCCAAAAGGCTGCTGTCTCTTTTTGTTTGGAGAAAGTCCTTGAAGTGGTGGCCTGCGGTTGGGGGCCAGGAGGCGAGAGCGCTCGAAGTCAATCAACATCACCCGCCGCCGCTCACGGTTCCATAGGATGTTCGGCTCACGCACGTCGCTGTGGTCCACCCCTTCCCGACAGATCTCCTCTAATGAACGGTCAATCTCCCCGTCCAGGTCCGGGACGTCCGACGGCACAGCCAGCTCCCCGCCCCACGACATCAGCAACATGTGCACGATCTCCACCCCAATGTCCAGCCAGGGCTCGACCAGCCAGATATTCCCCAGATACACTGGTACCACCCGCCCTTGAAGCCTTTCCAGCTGCTGATACATCAGGCCCTCGTGCTGTAGATCTGGCACATACACCGATATCGTCCCCTTGCCCACAAAAGTATACCCGTGCGACGCTAGTGTAATCCTAAACAGATTCCCTCTTGCACCTTGTTTCCACAGCGGATCGCAGTCCTGGTCCAGAGTCCGGTCCAGCTGTGCCTGCACAAGGCGCCTAAATGTCTTGACAGTTATCCTGTGCTGTCGACCATGGCCGCCAGCGCGATGGGCCGATACATTCGGGCAATCCTCATCCAAAGCCGTTCTCCGGACCAGCCCCAGCAGACATGCCTGCGTGCAGTACTTGCGGGTTTGATTTCTCGTCCGAGAAGATGTCGGGCTGTTAGTCGACGCCTCAACCAGCATCGGAGCCGTGCGGTTTGATCGAACAGGCGTCTCCTTGTCTCCTGATTCCGTCTCGGAAGATGAATCGTCATCTGAATGGGTATATGCCAAAGTCTCGTTCTCATTGCACCTGCTCCGTCCAGTAGGCCTCGCCCGTAGATTGAACGATCGGACAACGTTAGGGGGTTTGCCCTTGAACTCGGACGTCGGGGGGGTCTTGGGCCGCTTTGCGTTGTCCGGCGTCTCGGGTAAGATGGCCTCCCCACCAAGCGGCCACTTGGGAAGTTCTCGTCTCCATTTACGGCGCCAGTCTTGGCCCCGCCTTTCGGACGTGAATGCCAGCAGACTGAAAGAAAGCACCTGACCGACCGCCGTATGAAATGCATTCGTTTTTAGATCCTTGGCCGTAAGTTGCTCTTCATCGGGCATTATCAGATGGTAGAACATCGTCGTCGGATCGGCCTCCTCGATCCGAAGGAAGATAAACGCTTTCCCCGTGCTTAGATAGCTGTACTCCAGACCACTCTTGATCATGTAGTCAAAGACCTGCGTGACCACCGATCCCACCTTCCTGTCCGCGTCGTATTGCTTCCGCTTTTTCTTATCTCTCGGGATCCTGTACTCGCGAACCACCTCCCGCTCTAGATCCATCGGACGTAGTCCCATTTCAACATCTGTTCCTGGCAACTTGTGCGGCGCTTTATACTCGATCAAGTAGGAGAGGGTGTTCTTGTCCTCCATATCCTTGTAGACGCAGATCCGGTCTGCTGCCACAGGCCTCGACGTCTTCGCTTCCGTCGTAGATAACTCGTAAGCTTGTAGGCGTTGCTGAACCTCTTCAGCTTCTTCATCAAGGGTGTTGGGGTGATTCTCAAACTTCACCCCGCGTCCTAGCCCAAACCGTTCCGGGGCTCCTTCTACGTTGCTCAAAGCAGCAATGATGCTGCTAATAGGGGTTTCAACCGACAGTTGCTGATGGGGTCTCAAGTCATCTTCTGAAGCAAAGACTCTGTCGCAGAGCATCTGTCCCAGCTCCTCTAACGTCCGGCGTGAAGGGAAGAGCTTCGGCGATCCAGACTGAGAATGGAAGACCCCATAAACCTCATCAAAACGGCGCCGCTGGCCCTCCTCAAACCCCTCCCATGGCACTAGTCTCTTTGGATAGTACCTGCCCTTCGGTGACGTGACGGTTCCTTTAGTCGAGAGCGACCCGTCCAACTGAACCAAGAGGCTTTTGGACAAGTGTATGTGACACAGGTCCAAATACTCCTGGAACGTGGTTTTCGTCTGATCCCTCTCCTCCTCTGCCTTTTGCTTCTCCTCCTGTGCCTTTTGCTTCTCCTCCTCTGCCTTTTGCTTCTCCTCCTCTGCCTTTTGCTTCTCCTCCTGTGCCTTTTGCTTCTCCTCCTCTGCCTTTTGCTTCTCCTCCTCTGCCTTTTGCTTCTCCTCCTCTGCCTTTCGCTTCTCCTCCTCTGCCTTTCGCTTCTCCTCCTCTGCCTTTTCGGCACGTCCTTCGGCTTCTCGTAGTCGGCGTTGGAGGTCTTCGAAATCTATTGCGGAGAGTGCCATTTTTACGAGACAAGGAATGTTTGGCTGACAACCCCGATAGTTAGTTAACTTAGTTAACTTTGTTTGTTTGTTTGGAATAGATTCGTCATCAGGCTTTGTTTACCGCCAAGACCTGCCACCTGAGTCGTTCCGAGATCAAATCAACGAAATCAACAAGTTTAAAGCGTGGGTTTCTGGTTGGGTTGATTTGATTTGATCCGATTAGCTATGCGGGAAAAAGGTGTGAGAGAGTTGATCGGGGGACTACTAGTTAACCCGCCAGTCTCAATAACCAGCTTCTTGGGTGACTGAGAGTTCAACAATGCGTTGGGAAGCGGGGCGATCTCCTGGGGCCTAACAAACTAACTAGCAGAGGACGATCCTTGAGGAAAAAGCACGAGAATGGAACCACAAAATAAAAGCGAAAGTGGGGCATCTGATCTGAATCTGGTGAGATCTCGGAATTTCCAGAGAGGAGAAGAAAAGTAAGGAAGAGAGCAACCAGGCTGAATCTCTCTCTCTCTCTTAATTGTGTTCCGCCTGGTCTCTACTTACACTTTCTCCAACATGATCAGCCAACATCACATGTTGCTACACAACTTTTCGAGCTTCTTTCATAGTTCTACTATTCGCTATCTGCATACACATTACAATATGGACTTGCCAACCTGTGCGACATATACAGCCAAGTGCACTCCTGCTTTTATGAAATATAACTTATCTTGCTGATTACTGCTTCAAATGGTTACACTTAAAGTGCCTTGTGCAACTTTCACTGCAAGCACAGCCATTGAGCATTCAGGGCCTAACGGCCGGATTCTGGACAAAGAACCGCTTTCTTTTTGATAATCAGCTCAAACAAGCTGTTAGCTGGAAGTTGTCAATGTTGATATCCAATCTATTGTTTCATATACAAGCCCATTGATCAGCTTGCAATCTATGCCTCTACAGAGTAATTGTTATCACCACCGTACGTCCCCCAACAGGCGATAATTTGGGTACTGATTGTAGTATCAGGCCTACATTGCAGTCTTAAAATAGCCCACGATCTCTCTTGGGGACCATGGGTCATGTGTCGTCTCATTTTCAAAGCTGTCCTCTGCCTTTGAGACCACAGTGTGCAACATGGAACAGCTTGTAGGTGTATCTCCTATTTCGATTTTAAACACCCGACTTAGGCCTCTTTGTTGGCTCATAACTGTCCTACGAGGCCGCCGCGTCCCCTTTTTATTTTTCCTCAGAGTATCTCTTCTAATCTTCTCTGAGCGATTTCATTTCCAGTTACCGCTCTCTCCTTTTGAACGTCGTCTGATTCCTGCTCAGCCCCCAAAGGGCCGAGCTGAGTCAAAATCATGTCTTTTGATTTTATCTTTCAATTGTTATACTTCGTTCTCGTCGCAGGAATCACAGAAGCCCAATCTCGTCCAGGGGGCAGTTGGGTCCTTCTAGAGCGCGTAAATGTCCCCGATGGATGGATTCAAGGACCAATTGTCGACCCTAGTACGATGTTCAGCATGAAAATCAACTTGAATACCGCGTCTCAAACTGAGGACCTGCATCAGAAAGTAATGGAAATCGGGACTCCCGGCCACGCTCGTTACGGACTCCACCTAAAACAGGAAGAAATTAACAGCCTTATGACTCCTAACGAGGTCGTCTTAAATGATGTTTTAAAGTGGATTCAAGACGGAGGGGTAGGACTGGAACATGTCAGGACTCGCGCGAATTGGATTGATATTGAATTAACCATTGGAGCTGCGTCGAAAATGCTGAACGCACGCTTCTATGAATACAAGGATGAGCGTACCGGGCTCACGAAAATTAGGACGACAGAATATTCCGCGCCAAAATCCGTGGCTCAGCATATTTTCTACATCTACCCCCTCATTCTGTTTACCAGAACGGCCGCGCAGAACAAACAGGTCGCCAGAAGCTTTTTGCAAGATTTGCCTTCGAGAGGCACTGTCTCCGCGGCCTGTCCGGAGGGGAATACACCTAACTGCCTTCGGGGCCTTTATAACCTTGGTAATATCACAGCGAAGGCCGGAAGCCGTAATAAGATTTCTGTGTCGGGATACCTTGACCAATATGCTCAATACAAGGACCTGGCGGCTTTTCTGCAAAAATTCGCTCCGCAAGCTGCCAGTGCTAATTTTTCCGTTAGTCTTGTCAAGGGTGGCCAGAATATACAAAACTCGACGCGCAACTCCATTGAGGCAAATCTTGACACCCAATATGCGGTCGCTCTAACGTACAACATGAAGGTCGACTTCGTTTCTGTCAAAGGACGCGGCCTCCTAAAGGAAGATCTCGATCAGCCTAATCAGTCCAAAAACCAAAATGAGCCTTACATGGACCAACTCGAATACCTAATGGGTCTCCCAGACAAGGACCTTCCCACCGTACTGACAACTTCATATGGAGAAACAGAGCAAAGCGTGCCAGAGCTCTATGCTCGAGCGACATGTAATGAATTCGCAAAGTTGACCGCAAGGGGCGTATCAATCATATTTAGCAGCGGAGACACCGGAGTGGGAAGTGCCTGCACAAGCAACGATGGCAAGAACAGGACCGTCTTCAACCCCATTTTCCCGGCTTCATGTCCATTTGTAACTGCGGTCGGCGGCACGCACTCTCGGAATCCAGAACGCGCAGTGGGATTCTCTGCTGGAGGGTTTTCAAACTACTTCAAGCGTCCAGGTTGGCAAGATGAAGCCGTTACGAAATATCTCTCCAATCTGGGCACCACATGGGAAGGATACTATAACCCGCTTGGTCGCGGGTTCCCAGACGTTGCAGCTCAAGCAGTCAAGTATCCAATCTACGAGAAAGGGTCCATAATAACGGCTGCGGGAACTAGGTATGTTGATTTGGCGACCGCATGTACGAAACCACAATCAGCCACCACTGACCAAAGCCACAGTGCCTCTGCGCCAACAATTGCCGCTATCATTGCTCACCTCAACGAAGTCCGTCTTTCTCAAGGGAAACCCGTCCTTGGCTTCCTTAACCCATGGATTTACAGTACGGGTTTCAAAGGATTTACGGATATCACTCATGAAGGATCTATTGGATGCCTCGGGACATCGATGTACAGCAAGTTATCCACACGTTTAGTTCCCTATGCGAGCTGGAATGCAACCAAGGGATGGGATCCGGTGACGGGGTTTGGTACGCCAGACTTTAAAAAATTGGTGAAGTTGTTGCCCTAATGGAGCGCAAGAAATGATATCCAAGCATTGAAATACATCATGAATGGTTGTGCTCATCGGCCAGGTTGTTGCTGCTAACACAAGTCGCTTGCAAAATGACGCGACATGATCGTCAAAGACCTCAAAAATTTAACACGAACTTAATTGCAGCTTCAAAGGGGATGCTAAACGTTTTGCCAAATTTCGTTCACTGTAAATACCTGACTGATGAGGTGAGGCAACATTCCATTTTGTATGCATACCCCGAAAGCAGGAACCAATAGACATATCAACAACCACGATATCAGAAGAAGCAAGATAGCATGTTGAAAATCTCAAGATGTTAATTACCTCGGCCACCTGAGTATTAGCTCTATCATCCGTTCCATGCCGAATTTTCATTTTATCTAGGGGCTCACAGCAAACGTTGAGGGATACCATGTTGGACGAAATCAAGCGGAGAAATTCGGTAGAAATCCCATCATGTGGTATTGCTAGAAGTTTGCTGGTAGAAACACATGTACCCCCATCAGCACAGTTTTGTCATGGATTAGACTGGTTGCCAGTGGCCTGGACATCACGTACCCCTAAGGTAGAAGGTCACAATTGTGGCCAAAGGGGAAACCAACGTATCATGTGGGATTAGGCCCGGAAGAGAAAGGGAGAGAGATAAGGGATGATAAATGCGCTGTTAGAGAGCCTTTCTTGCATCTTAATGTTTTGCATCCAAGGTTTCTAGGAATGCAAACATACTTCATTCATCTAGCAATGGAAGATAGCAGTGACAGCAAATCAAATGAGGCTGTGCGATTCCACATCATACGGTTCCAGTGGTAAACGCGCTTTTGAAGGGAATGGTAACCCAAGAATGCGGCAATGGTGGGCAACAAAACATATCCCTCATTGAGCTGCTGAAGGGCATAGAACAGAGGACAGTGAAACCAAAGAATGCACAGAGGGGCAGAGGGGTGGTAAGAAGGGGAAGAAGAAAAATCAAAAGCGCAGAAGAGTTCAAAATTGATTTCACATACAGATCTGGGGAAGTAATCTCAATATTGTCATTACGATCGAAATTCCCCCCCCCCCCCACCCCCACCCCAACAAAAACAAACACACACATAACTAGCCCATCTCTGCTCGCTTGAGAGGGAACTGATTCAGCTCTTGTCTGGGATGTTGATTCTCTCGCCGTTCTCCGTTGCCTCTTGGAGAGCAGGAGGGTGTTGGGAAGAAAATCTTGTCTTGCGCAGTCGCTACAGATAACCCGCACATCTCTCAATCCTTGGGGTTAACCAAAGGAGCAGGAGTCGGGTGCATAGGAAGAAAATAGTTCTTCGAAGTCTACCGTCAAGTTACCGAACCTGCAGGGCTTTGAGAACGGCTCATACCTGATCAGGTCCCTGTCTATGAAGGCAGATGGTCGTCGCTGATGTTGTAGTTGGCGTGATGAGTTTGTTAAGGTTCCAAGACAACATGCAAGATCCCTCTTGATGTATAAAAACTCTTTGTACTGAGTTTCATATATATGCCATCAACTTGGAATCAAAAAGGCTACTTACTATATTTTACTTACCTGCTTTAAAAGTGCCCATCTCACTAAGGTGAGCTCTCTGCTTCAGCCACCACAAGAGTAACTATCAATGCTGAATCTCCGCAAAATTACAACTTAAATTTTTGTCAGTGGGGGTATCTTTTCGCGGGATAACATTATTGTTCAAGGAGCTGCTTTATCGCTCGGTATTTTTTCGGTGTTCCCGCCGGAGTTAGTTAATTAACTGACCGAAGCCGGCGCTTTGTGCGACTCGGAGTCCTAAAGCTCGCTTCAACTAGGGATATCATTCCTTTTCTTTTTTTTTTTTTTCTCCCTGGGAAGTGCATCCACTTTGGATGCGATGTGAAAAGCGTCCTTGCAAGGACAGAGTTGAACCGGTCTACGGAGTAGTGGAGTAGGAATCTTTGCCTAGGATCGACCAATATCGGTTTTGATTGTAATAGGTAATGCAACTAAGCTATCAATCAACAAGCACAGAGCGACTAAGCATGTCAGTAACTATCCACATGGACACATGGATGGATATATGTTGTAAGGGAGCACGGCATGCACTTCCGTTGATGGACCGGGCTGGCTACCATCACGTTCGACGTCCTCCGTCCAATCCGATTCCAGTTCATGGGTTTGATCGGGGTGGAGAGCATTTGTGAAATGTGTGACGGTGGACTCGCGCGGCATGAGCAACAGCATGCCAAGGGACCCGTCCGCCGGCATGACAACGGCCACTGTTGAACGGCGTGGGTAACCTGGCCGCTGAATGGTCCATTGTTATCCTCGACGTCGTACGGAGTCGAGGAAAGGTCCGGAGTCCAGGGACTCAAGAAGTAACTGCATCGAAATGAGGTAAACCGTAAGGTTCTCGGGGATGTAACTGCCTCTCTACTAACGGGCTAGGGGACATTGTGACGAAGTACACATGCTGGGATGCTGAGTCGCTGAAACTGCTGCTGGATATTTGAGGAGGAAGAGACTCCTGCCAGCAAAGTTGCATGGGAGCACCTCAGTCTCTGACGAGTTTCGCAGGTTGGTGACCTGAGGGAAAAGTAGCTCATGTATCAACTACTTAGTGAGTTACATCTTCCCTGGCATGTTTGAAGAATGGGTACGGAGTACATTCTGCCGCGGTTCACGCTACAGGTCGCGATGACAGTGAACTGGCAGCCCTTCAGTCAGAACCCACGACTGGGGAGCGGCTAAAAATAGTTAGATCCCAAGCATCAAAATAGCTGTGCAATCACCACAGGACCGGTGCGCCCATCACGTTCCGGCAGAGCCGACACAAAACCTCCCTGTCAGGGCTGAGGCAGAGGGCGTTCCATTTAACAGGGCAGCCAACCACCCACTCGGCTGAATAGAACCCAAGCAGAATTCAATAGCAAAAGGGGGGAAGCTGGAGCTGGAATAATAGTTGGCTAATCAGGGTCTTTGGATGTCTCGAAGTCCGGCCCGGCGAGCAGTGGGAAGTCTCCCCAAACTTCGGCTGTTCCATTCCATGGTTTCTCTCATTGAGCAACGGACAGCTGTTCAACGCACGCCACAGGCGCTGGACAGAGACGATGTGTTTGGATCTCCGACCGAACCTGAGATAAAAAGACACGCAGAGAGTCCCCTGGGCGACATCGAGACCTGTCCGACCACGGCCAGCGCTATCCTGTTGAGAAGAGTTCATACAATCCCACCTCGATCAAATAAATAAAATAAACTCACAATTCCCCCTGTCTCCCCCCCACATCTGCTGGAAAAATAAAGAATAATGCGCTGTGGAAGAGGCGGATTTTAATTTTTTGTGAACCGCGCTCCGCTCCATCGCTAGTTCGCCATCACCGCCCCGTGGAACCCAGTTTTGGATTAGAACCAACATTTGGCCCAACACCGGCCTCCGAAAAGCCCAGGATAAATGTCGCCCTTTGTGCCTCCCTCTCCACTCTCCATCTCGCACACTCCCTGCCACCCCGATCCGCATCCCCAACGACGACAACTGCCCTCTTCTTCCGCCGCTCAAGAGCACGGCGACGCCGCCAGCTGCGGGGAAGCCTCGGCCGTTTCGCGACAGTCCCCGGAAGCCGGCAGCAGGGCGATCCATCGAGGTTCTGCCCTCAATCTGACGCCAATAATTCCCACAGACCCCCAAATGACCGACCACGGACGCTCGTCCACAGACGAGGCTCCCGCAGACCTCTTGCCCTCTCTAGAACCGTCTGTCTCCCGCGAATCTCGCACAATCGCGTCGCTTCCGGCGTCTCCGTTCCAGCACATCCCTCACCGACCGGCTCCCATATCGTCCCGTAACCACCACCACCACCACCAGAGTGCCAAATCCATCGATGGCATCCCCCGACAGACTCTGATGAAAGCGCTCGCGTCGCAGGCCTCCTCGTCGGCCGAATCGCCCTCCCTCTCTATCGCAACTTCGTTGGCCGAAATGCTCAGCCCAACCAGTAACGCCGGATCCGATCAACAAACTGGTGACACGAGGTTACACCGACAGCTTTCAGCAGCTCTATCAGCAAAGCCACTTACCTTCTCCGATGGAGACACCCCCTCAACTGCCCGGTTTCCCCTGAAATCTCCCTGCTATTATCACCAGCGATTCGATGGAGCGGTTAACATACAAAGAGTGCTGGAGGAGATCGCTGCGGACGAATGGATGTCTCATTCAAGGCTGATGCAGACGGCCACGGGTGTCCGTGAGGTGTCAAAGCAGCTCCAGCGGCGTCCTATCAAGGTCGCTGTGAAGAATGTGATGATTGTCACAAAGGCTCGGGATAACGGACTGGTTTATCTAACGAGAGAACTTGCTGAATGGTTGCTCAGCACCCCCAGATACGGCAGCGACCTCGGCGTCAATGTCTACGTCGATTCAAAGCTGCGCAGGTCAGCGCGGTTTGATGCCCCAGGCCTGCTTCGGAAAGAACCTCGTTTCGAATCGATGTTGAAGTACTGGACGCCAGACCTGTGCTGGACATCTCCAGAGACGTTCGACCTGGTGATCACGCTGGGCGGCGACGGAACCGTGCTTTTCACGTCTTGGCTCTTCCAGCGAATTGTTCCTCCAATTCTAGCATTTTCTCTCGGGAGCCTCGGCTTTTTGACGAACTTCGAGTTTTCGAAATATAAAGAACATCTCAACCACATTATGGGAGATGTCGGCATGCGCGTGAATCTTCGCATGAGATTCACGTGTACCGTCTACCGTGCAGACCACAGTAATAAACATAGGCCTGGCGCTGTCGAGGAAGGAGAACAGTTCGAGGTTGTAAATGAGCTCGTTATCGACCGTGGACCTTCTCCATATGTCTCTAATTTAGAAGTATATGGCGATGACGAGCTCTTGACTATCGTCCAGGCGGACGGATGCATCCTGTCTACACCCACAGGTAGGTACAATTTCCCACGAGCTTTACTTCCATCTTTTCGCTAACGAAATTTCAGGCTCAACTGCATACTCACTCTCAGCTGGTGGATCTCTGATCCATCCCTCTATCCCCGCCATTCTCCTCACACCCATCTGCCCACATACACTTTCATTCCGCCCCATGGTCCTCTCCGACACTCTTCTCCTCCGTATTGCTATCCCACCAGGCTCTCGCTCCACAGCATACTGTTCCTTCGACGGCAAAGGACGTATTGAGCTATGCCCGGGTGACTATGTCACCCTCGAAGCTAGTCAATACCCATTCCCCACCGTTGTCTCCGGTGGCGGCGAATGGTTTGAGAGCGTACGACGTACCCTATGCTGGAACGTTAGGGGCGCCGTACAAAAGGGGTGGAGTAGCAAATCCCATCGGCCAGAGGGAGAACAGATGGGACTCGACCCGATGGGCACCCCAAGAGGGCAAGCTCCTGAAGCGGTAGCTGACGAACAAGACGATGAAGAGGAAAAATGGGACATCGACACTGACAGCTACACCGACTTCGGCCAGGGGACGGACAGTGGGCTGGGTCCCAGCGAGTGCGGGGATAGTCCTGGCACGACGAGTCCCCTAAAGAGAGTGATGAGTTTGTTGAATATGTGACATGACCCCCTTTCATTCTTTCTGTTTGTAGGTCCGGAAGTACGGCTTGACCCGGCTGGTCTACTCATCCTGCTATAGATTTCTTTATTATTTAACCCTCATGTTGTGCATATATACCAGCCCCACCAGATAAATACAGTTCATACATGGGCACCATACATGTTTCTTTCGCTTTTCTTAAATATGCCCCCCCCTTCTTGCCTGTGGCCTGTGTTATGCGTTGCTTCACATTCTCGGCACGAGAGAATTTTCGGGCTCTGGATATTGGCGATTTGGCCGATCACGACTCTCTTTATTTTGGCTTGACTTCCGCGTCTATACTCTAGAAGTGTGATAATACCGAGAAGGCATTCCGTTTCGGGAGTGCACAGAATCAACGAACTTTGCATCAACTGCATATCTGTACCCCTGAGTTCTCTTCATCAGGTTTTGTGAGGGCAGCTTGCTGTTCCGACGTGATAAACTCCCACTCGTTTGCCTTAACGTCGCGAAGACCTGCCAAGACGTCCCGACCGGCGGCTGCTGCCTGGATCGTCGGGCCAACAGCAGCTCATCCCAGCAAGCAGAGTCGCGAATGACGGCAGACTTGCAACTTTCCGTCTGCTTCGGGGCCCGCCGCGAAAACCGATCCCAACATGAAGCGAGGAGCATAAAAGGAGCTCAGGATCTCCTCAAGGGACTGATTCCAAGGGAATCCAGAATTCAACCACTCCGCTATGTCGTTGGCAAAGTTTCAAGAGGTCAACCTATCCATCAACTCTAGTACATATACTCCGGGCAGTTAGGTCGGGAGCTCTTGAGGTTGCTACGTCAAGTCCAAAAAGATCCCGGCTCTCCGTGATCGAACTACCGACTAACCCAAACACAGCGGAATTCAATCGCCAAAGCCATGACTAACTTCGCCTCCCCCATCGCCGCAAATGTCTTTGGAACCATCTTCGTCTTCTTCGGCATCAACGCCGTCCTCCGCCCCGCCAACGCCCTCACCTTCTTCGAATTCACACCTCCTTCATCTCTGCAGGACAAAAAGATGGTCAACAGCCTAATGGCCGTCTACGGCGTGCGAGATATCTTTATGGGCGTGGCGATGTACTCGGCTTCGTATTTTGGAAACAATCAGGTCCTGGGCTGGATTTTGATTGCGGCGAGTGGGGTTGCGTTCGCCGATGGGATTGTGTGTTGGGGTCATGGCAAGGGGCATTGGAATCATTGGGGATATGCACCGATGCTGACGACAGTTGGGGCGCTGTTGCTTCGTCTTTAGGGTGGAATAGGAATGGGTGAGATAGTTTCCTCTAAATGAGTATATGTGCTCTATATGCTAATAAGTAATGTGTAATGGCAACTGACATGTGTCATTATTAACTCATATGCATGTATTCATAAACTTGACTGCGACTTAACATGCTTTTCCTTCACTAAGCCATTGTCAAGCAAACGATTAACAGCAGCTCAATCATCGTCAATCAGATTGCCCCCAGCCCTTTCGCGTTGGATTTATCGAAGTCCTGACATGTCATTATTCCACTGCTGTCTTCTTTTTGCTATATCAACCTAATTTTCCACTGCGGGTACCCATCTGCAAGCTGGGGTCATTTTTCTGCATCAAATCTGTATCCCTTCCCCCTCTTTCCCTCTTTTTTTTTTTTTTTTTTTTTTTTTTTTTTTTGTGCTTTTCCCTTCTGATTGTGTCTAATAGAACCATACTCATCCAAAACATCCAGCTCAGGGGGAAGGCAGATGTTTCTATTTCTCACAAAGACAATATTCACGGCTTCACGCAAAGGTAGCATAAAAGGGCTAATTGGATGGCAAAATCAGGATTCGTTTCAAGTACTTGTTTCTAGAAGGTAGGGAGGTTTTTCGCCGCAATCCGGGCATGTCCCATCTGAAGAAGAGCCCATGTCCCACAGGGTCAAAGTTTTTAATCCATGACAGCCCCTGCAAACCCACGCCGTTCCGAGCAAGCTACCCCCAAACTGGAAAGGTTTTCCCGGCTGATACAAGCTATAAAGTACGCCGCACGACATGCAAAAGCGCTTGGACCTCTCGGAGACGATGCTATAGCCTAGTTTTCCGCGTTTACCCTTCATCATGGCGTTGGAGAATTCGGATGCCGAGCGCAGTCTGAGACAAATGTAACAGGCGAAGAAGTCACGATTGGGAGTTGCCTGTTTCAAGTGATCGTCGTCAAAAGCAGCTCCATTATACACTGGCCACATCTCTATCTCGAGGAGGTCTGTCATGGCGTATGGTTTTTTGGAATGGCAATATATATCGCTGATAGGTCGCGTAGGGAGGTTGACTTTAGCATAGAGCTCTCGACAGGTAAGAGTGAGAGCAAGACATGATGCGTAACCGAGGTTGCTTGAGATCTGATCGAGAACTTCTTTGGGCAGGTTAGGGAGTTGTGTTCTGCGAGTTGCCATGGCTTGAAATTGAGAGCGTAGTTCAAGATAAAAGCAAAATGGAGCAGGAAATTTCAGCGAAAGGTGACTTTGACGGTATTTTCTCCTGATGGGACAGCTACGTGGCGGCTCTCCTCATTTATGTGCGAGTCGATATGATATAGAGTTGTTCCAAAAAAAAAAAAAAAAAAAAAAAAAAAAAAAGGAAAAAAAGGCCTGCTAGAGCAGGAGTCTACTACGCAATGTTGCATCAAGTTACACAGCTAAAGATGGAGATCCCCGTGTTGGGTGCATGCTAGATGTCATGAGCTATGGATGTGAACCTTCTTGGATGTTTTCACTCAAAACAATGAGTATCTCAGCTCATTTTGTTATCAAAATAAAATATCAGCAACAATAAGTCACACCATTGCCACCCATCCCGGTGGAACTACATCTGTAGTTACACTGACAAATCTGTCAAGCAATTTACATAAACCCAAGAACCGTCCCAGGAAGCATCTCTTGATATATTTCGATGGGTTATGATTAACGGTGAAGGAAACCCCCCCGGAGAAAATATACAAAAACAAGTGGGTCCAACTTGAAGATGAGAGCGACGAAGAGACAGACATGTCAGTTGATGAAAACAGCGTGAGCCATGCTTCAACGGAGCAACTAAAAGGACTTGAAGAGTAGCTGGACCAATCCACAACACCCTAAACGGTTCACATTTTGACATGTCGGTAAATTTGATGGCTCTGGGGAGCTTCCCCAAAAGTCGGGCTTTCCGCCAGGATGGGCATGACATCTCTTGCAGATCCAGTAGTGCACTCGATTGCAATTAAAACGTACTTGACAGCCGGTCCCACCGGCTAGAGCATGGTGATACTTTGGCGGTTTTGTTTAGCTTCATGCAGCTGGACAAAAAGTGGTCACATTTTGAGTGATCAGGCCTTCGCCAAGGTGCACTAATTGCTGAAATAAACCAATGCAAATGGGGTGGCGGACATACACCGGAGAGAAAATTCATGCATTGCTTGATGTAGACGAACATTCCTTGGTCGAACAGAAACGAAACTGCGGTAGGCAGTCATGAAAATAATCACCCGAAAATGAGTTTCCAATAAAGCCAACACCATTCCCTTTCAGATCGAGGCAAGGGAAATTCAACAGTGGTGGGTAGTCATGGCCTGACGATGCAGGCCCTGATGTTCGGTCTGCATCCAATGTTTAACGTCCCCTCAGATTAGCGCCGCAGGGTCAAACCAGGCACCATCCGTGGCCTCAACAATGAGCAGCCTGGCGCTCGGGTTTAAACCGCTATGAGCATCGGGACTTCACCCTCCAAATGGGCGAACTCAGCGATCGCAGTCTGCGCAGAAGTGCCAAAAGAGGAAACTTGAAGCTGTGGAGCCGCGGCTATCGGAATCTAGATATTCCGTCCTACTTTACCTAAGGTTTAGCTGCTGCCTGTCAGCTGCGCAGTGTTATGTAGGCATTCAATGGAAGCTGAACTTGTCAATGGCGGCAGGGGAGACTGTTGCCATGCCGGAGTGGCTTACACTGTCACGAAAAAGCCAAAGGCTGCCGTGAAAGCCGTTCTTGAATTCCCGGCCAGTCATGGCTCGAAGCCGACGTGGCGCGCCGAGCTCATTTCGCTTGGTGTCATACCAGACTGCTTCAACGGTCGGAATGGCGCTCCATGACAATGCCTTCGCCGCAGATTTCACGTGTCTTGAGGATATGGGCCATTGATCGGAACACTTTATCCCATGATTATCTTAGCCTTCGGCGGTGGCTTGCGTGTGTATTTGATATTTGAGAGCCTGGATGATTCGCTCACAGAAACTCGCTTCGAGCCAGCATTCATCATGGACATCCATTTCAGATTATTTTCTAAATGCCTTGAGTGATACCACAGCAACCACCAAAGCCCCGTTAAGCAGCTGGAGCACATTCTGTTTGGTATATGATTTTCACAATGAGCAACCACTCAAACCCGTGAGTATGATAAATCACTTATTGCTGGATTAGTCTAATCTCCCCGCAGACCTCCAGATTACGCTGCTCTAAACGTAGGAAAACCCTTCCGGTATGATGCGGGAGAGAGCTTTGCCGCGCAAGATGTCCAGATCATTTTGATCGACTGCAAGAAATCGATGGTTCGAAAAGCGATACTCAGTTCGAAGAAAGAGTGCGGAGGTCCTATTCAGTTCGATCTTGGCCCAGTCGAATTTCATCAGTAACGGTTCATAGGTCATAACCACAACGACTCGAGTTCGACCAAGTGCCTTAGTCATTGGTTGCTTTCTGGCTTGTTCCCGTTTGAGCCACCAACGATGGGTTGCAATAAGTGCTAACGGCGCCGCTTGTCACTTCGAGGCCCTTGGATATTTTCTGAGTGTGTAATTCGGTAAACCCGAAAGAAATCATTCCAGCCTGATAGCACACCAGTGAACATCAGCAAATAAATAATCAGCATATTCTAATCTATGACCTCAGGGTCTTTCTGTGCATCCCGAAGTACTTTCCTCATTTCCGAACCCAAGCTTGAATTTGTCTTCTTCCATCGTCCGCCGTTTGGAAACACGACCCGCCGTAGCCTGTTGACCCATCGCGATAACGGCTGGTAGTATGGAGTGAAGTACTCATCCATGGTTGTAAGGAAATCCGATTCATCACTGATTAAACCTTTCTTCGCGCCGGCTAGATCTCTTGTATTCATGTAATTCCACTTTTCAAAATCCTCCACATGCCTTGCTCTTCCTGGGCCTTCATAGTGAACACAAATCCAGAAAAGAACCCAGAAGAATGACTCAAGATCATGCATGAATGAGTGCTTCTCCCCATACAGCACGCCAATTGCCATGAACGCCCTGGTGCCGGTCTTGCCTCGCGCTCCTGAGAACCCATCGCGCTCCACTCGAATGGCAAGGTCGAGGTCAATCAAGAAGGACCGCCATGAAGGATTGTCATCCTCTTCATTGACCAAAAGATTTCGCGGCGAAATATCACTCTGGATCAATCTGGCCTTGGAGTACAGGGATTCATAGCCTACAATGCAGCCTTCCATTCCAATAAGTAAAGCCACTCTTGAGCTGCTTTCATAGATTGGCTTCCCATAATCTTGAACAATGACGCGACGGTGCACTCGATTCGGTGGGCTACTGTCTGTGAGATGTTTTGTCAGAGAGCTGGACTGGGTACGCTTGCTGGGAGGGGGAGGTATTGTGTCCACACAATCGGAAGATCGTTTTCGGCTGATGGCGCTGCTTTGGCTGCCTCTGTTGGATGCACTGCCCCTCAGGGCCACCTGCAAGCTACCCCGCTTGGATTTTGACTTAGGGACCTGTAGGCCCTTTCGAATAGCCTGCACATTGTCGTCCTTGCCATCCACCTGGACAGTTTCGTGGAAATCATATCGAGCAATGCGCGTGGCTCCACTCTCCATTGCTTCTCGCAGCAGTTCCCCTTCCTCATGGCGCTCTGGATACTGCCAGGAGTCCTTGATCACCAGGGGGATCCGCGACTCGTCTGTTTCGCGATGCGCTTTCCAGCAGGTTGTGGCTCGGCCCGCGACACAATGTGCCCGCAGAATCACCTCATCAATCACCAGACGCTCCTTCTTGCCATCACGATCAATCTCGATGCAGCGTCGACCGTCCACGGTGACAATGGTCGGATCAAAGCCAAGCTGCGGTCGGTCCATGAAGAGGAATCCCAGGATCACCATGATGAACTGAAGGCCGTCCTTGTTGATGTCTGTCTCCTCCGAACCAATCCCGCCGCAACGGTCGAATTCCCAAACACGCAGGAGTGGTCCACACAGGGTGAACCCGAGGACGAATCGTCGGTCATCCTGTGCGGATAGCACCTCTCGAGCATACCTTGCCAGGTCGAGCCTTGCCCCAGAAGGGATATCATACTTTCGGTCATTCTTCAACTCCCCTGGCACCAGGATCTGAGACCACTCATACCTTTTGTCCGGTGTGGCATGCAGGTCGTCCACAAAACCTATGTCGAGTTTTCGCTTTGCAGTGGACCCGGCGATCGGCTTTGCAGGCTGAGCCAAAGGTCGGCGGGCGGCCTTTCGAGATGGATCGTGATCTTGTGCAAACTGTATAAGCTGGTCGATGATTTCATTCAGCCATTCCAGGACAGGCTTCTCGACCGCATTGTCAGGCCAGTCCTTCCATCCGCTCTCCTCGCGGTACAGAGGACTATCACCGGCCTTGCAGTTCTCGAACACGGCCTGCGCGATCGAGCTGAGTCCCTCAACATCATCAAAATACGCAGCATAAAACCCTGGAATGTCTCCGTGAAGGTCGCCTAACAGTTCCCCCGTCAAGACAGGGTCAATATCTCTTCGAAGCTCCGACGAGTTGGCAAGACTACTGGTGTTTCGCGAGCGGGGGGTTTGCAGGATTGGTAAAGACGGCCTGGGTGGAGGCGTGGATCTTTCAACCTGTGTGACAGTGGCGATGAGGTCAAAGACAGCTTTCCAGATGTCGGTGTCGGGTGCTTTTTGGAGGACAAGTTGGACAAGCGGTCGGTATTGGTCATAGTGAAAATTGCCTTCAACGTGTCGAAATAGAGTAGCCAATTCGGACGCCACACTTCCATCTCTTGTCTTCGAACGAAGACCGAACGCAGCTTCCTGGCCCTGTAGAAAGTAAAGTAATCTTAAGACCGCTTGTTGACAGGCGTCAGACCGCGGTGGGCTTGGGTTCCTAAGGGCTTGGTCTGCTTCTTCGAGGCGGCGATGTAAATTGTGAGACGTATTTCTGAGCCGGCATTTTTCTATAATGGCGCAGTCGGCGGGGGAGAGTTCTGTCATATTGACATCAAATGAGCGATCGGATTTCGAAAATTGAAGAGACAATGAACGAAGTGAAGAAGCTTGGGAATAAGGTTCTGATCTAATGGGAAAACTTTGTTCCGGCGGGTCGCGTCCAGGCACAACAACTTTAAGTATTGGTACGGAGTACGGAGTACTCCGTAGACACAAGTTGAAAACCACGCATGCAAGACGGGGCTGCTACATTGTTGATCCTCGTCATTATAAAATCAAACAAGGTAACGACTAGAGGCAAAAGTTTAGGTGCTATGAAATATCATGATTAATGAACAAAGTTGCCGCGAGGCAAACATGAACCAATCAGAATGCGTCGTGCAATGTAGCCCCCCTGTGCTCACCTCTCACTTCCTCTTTCTTTGCTCTTCAAGATTACCATAACTTCCGATCCTCACATCGCTTTCTTCTCATGGGCAATCGACGCCAATTCCCCGATGTGCACTGGATCTGGAAAGGAGCCATCTCGTTCGTCTACGAAGTCCATCCCCGCATCGTGGTCAAAGTCCCTCAGCCCGGAGAGTTTGAGAGAGAGCAGTTTGATAAAGAGCTAAAGATCTATGAGATCTTCTCACAACGTCCGCCATGTCCTTCTATAATACAATGTTTTTACTACACGGACAAGGGCATCTTCCTCGAGTATATGAGAGGTGCGGCCCCTGTTGGCAGCTGACCGGTTTATCTATATACTAACGGCATCACTAGATGTGTCCCTTTCTTACAGGATACAAAACAATCATCTTCGGGACCTGCAAACCAGTGCTCTTATTAAAGTGAAAAAATTAGAGCCCCTACCTTTGCGGAAGGTATGGCTGAATGACCTTGCCCAAGCTGTTGCTTTCCTTGAATCGCTCAACCTTGCTCACGGCGACCTCCGGCCTGACAATATCCTCATTGACGGCGACTCGCTTAAACTGTCTGATTTTGACTGTGCAGCTCAAATTGGGACAGATTTCGAAGCCTGTATACCTCCGTATGGAAGAGTGCTCAACAGCAGCGAAAGCGATCAAGGACCACGTGGAGGCGCCGGCTTCTTGGGCCCTCGAACAGAGCAGTTCGCTCTCGGTTCCTTGTACTACCTAATAAACTACGGCTTTGAGGTTTATGGAGATCGATGTCTTACTCCAGATAACCCCAAGGAGCATGGACCTAAGGTCGTGAAGTTACTGCAGAACATGGAATTTCCGACGCCAGATGGTGATCCGGTGATTGATGATATTATTGACAAGTGTTGGCATAATAAACATGCAACCGTTGCGGAATTGGCTGCACACACAGAGAGGCTCCTTGCTAATGAGACCAACGGGGAACGAACCAACGCCGAAGCTACTTCCAACAATGGATGGCGCATGGTTATAACCATCATTGATGGGCTGTGGTGGAGCCTTGGGGATTGGTGGGAGTTTGTACGACGGGGAGGCAGCAAAGAGTCAACCAATCGCACTGAATCCAAGGACGACCGCCGTGACAACGCGGATCATGACCTTCTACTAGAGGGTTTCTCCTCAAAGAAGGCTTTTTGCGAAGATTTGGTGAAGTGTGGACTTCTTGACCTACTTTCTTTGGGTGAACCTGAGCATCTTGGATTCAGTTTTGACTGGTACAGGCACCTTCATTGAGGTGGTAGAGAGCATACTATGGAGCATGTAGGGGCCATGAGTCTTGTTAGTGGCCATAATTTTGCTTTAAAGAGTTCCCTATTCCTCCACCTTGTCCACCTCAGAGGCGATCATCTTGTTTGACATTTTGTGATTCCCCCTCCAGTCAAAGCAACACGCGTTCATTCAACAACTTGTAAGTTAAAACCAAATGGGAACATTGGGAGGATTTTGCCTTGCTCAGGACCTAGGCATAAGGCAGGCATCTCGTGGCGGAGAGTCTCTGTTAAGTGAGCCTTGAAAGTACCGGGTCAACCTTTGACCCAGCTCTTGGTGCACGTGAGTTATTTCTTCACAAGAAAGATGATGACCTTATAGAACACCTAACCCCGGACAGTGTTCTTGGCCTAGCCATCATCAGACAAAATAGTCTATTCACCTAGAAAGGATGCCATGTCTCAAACTACAAGACAAGAGGGTAATTTCATGAAAGATACTCCCCTGAGAGCTTCTGCTTAATGTAATCAATCACCTAGTCGATCGGTTTTCCCAACGCGTACGCGTCTAGCATCCTCATCAGCAAATGTGGATTGGGATAACTTGGGGTTCCTTTTAGCTGGATGGCCGTTATGGAATCGGTTTTCTTTCACTTTCGTGCCTTTGGTTGGGTCGTGGGTAGGCATGTTGTTGAATTAAGGTTGATCTACATTGCATCTTTGATTCAGGGTTCCACACTTGATTCTCCCACATTGTTGACTGCACTTCTTGATATTGTTGATATTTTCTGATATTTATATTGGCAACTCCCGTCGCGTAACATCAACAAAGATTTACAACTACCTAAATCACTAGCTAAATGGATTTCTTCTTTTATGAAAACAAGAAAAATCTAACTGGTCTTTGATGGTGAGAAACAACATGAAAAGGTATCTTTAAATATTGGAATTCCTCAAGGATCACCTCTCTCTCCAATACTCTTCTCTATATATACTAGATTTCTCTTTAAGAATGATAATGATCCAGATCTGTGAGGATCATACTTCGCGGATCAGCGTGACAATGGATCTCTAGTAGGAATTGTATGTGGAAAGGAATACACAAGGTAAAAGTCTTATATTCTTCTAGCAACTGTGTATGACTGTAGACAAGATTGCCACTGGCCTCCTTTAAGAGGTTCGCACAGTGGCTGCCTTTTATGTGTGCTCGCAAGCATATGACTTAGCATCTCGTGAGCAGCTCTCAGCCCTTGTGAGTGTTGTTCATTCATGTAAGGAGTTTGCAGGCAATGTATGCTTTACATGTAAATTCTAAAGTCTATATTCAACAATGTTGTTGAGATATAAGAGAGCAAAAAGTTTAAATTTGTATGTACAGAGTATATTTTGGTGTCTCGCTCGGGGATGAATTATGTTAGGTGGAGCCATGGTAATTTAGTCTAACTAGGTTCTTGGCAAAGCAGGTGTACTGTACCTGTGTTGACTTGCTGAGATTGCATTTGAGGAGATAGTTTCCTCTCTGTCCTGAGTCTGAAACAATCACCAGAATATTAACAATGTGGCACACCATCAATGTGACAAGCAGGCTTATATTCTATGTCACCAATCGCATTACCATCATTCACCAGTCGCAGTTTTCTGCCAGCAATTTCGCTAAATGCTCCAGACCTTTCTTATCTATCTCGTCGAAGCCAGATGGTTGCGTGCAATCTATATCTATCAAAGCCAGCGTCTTCGGTGCGAGCCGTAAAATAGACACAGTCGGTTATCAGCCAGTAATTCCATAAAAGAAAAGAGGCCTTCTGCCGCAAGAGCAGAGCAAGGCTTGATCAATACTCACTTCTCCATCGACGACTATAGGCACAACAATTTCACTCCTGCTATCCGCATCGCACGCGATGTGTCCCTCCCACTCCAATACATCGGAGACAATCACCGTCTCCCGTTTCGACGCTGCGGTACCGCAGACCCCGCGTCCGAATGGTATCAACTGACACGCCGGTTTACCGTGGAACGGGCCAAGGAGAAGAATATTCTTCGCATCGCTTGCGGTGGAAACTCCCGATGATGGCGACTTATCTTTCCGGACGTAGAAACCAGCCCAATTCACGGCATTGGAGGGAGCGGGGAGACTTGCATAGGCGTGCCAGAGGAGGGAAGAGACACTTGCAAGGTTGCTTGGAAAATAAGCTTTCCAAATCCCACAAGTCATTGAAAACTGGAAATCAATAGTTTTATGCGTTTCCTCACCTCACCTAGGACGAAATATTTTATTAGGACGAAGTCAGCATAGGATATCTTTATCGTACAAAAGCGTTCCGAATTTCAATTGAGATCCAATTGTTTGCCGAACAGAAAGTGGAGTATATGTACCCAGTTCCGCTGTCCCTCAGTCAGGCCTTGCGCTTGCTGGAGAACCTGAGCATAGACCTCCGCCTTCGAAAGCCCCGGTTCGAAGTAGGACGAATCGGCATGAGGCTACTCCGGAAGGGACCACATGAAACGATCAGTATGGGATTCTCGGATGATGAGAGATCTAGAGCTATCGCACCATCTTTATTGACCGGATACTTTTTCAATTGAAATCAGTACATCAAGCCTTACTCTGCGGGATGGCGTCGAAATTGTTTGCCACGCGATAACGTCGGAGTCACGTGCCACGATGGCTGATTTGCCCCACATGTTATCCGGAATTAGAGTTACTCCGTGCCGACCGTTTAACCGGGCGGTTACCGAACCAACTGCGGAGTAGCCGACCCTCCCCCAGCAAAAGATGAAAAAAGAAAAACCCCGAGCTAAAACCATGTCAAAGCTTCTCTGCACCGGTCATCCGATATTAGGACCAATATCCTCTGTCAGCATGCCGGGGCACTGCCGCTGTTCCGCCGCCAGGCCTCGCGTGCGAGCCCCACCCATATTTCTCGTCATAACTCCACCAACCCGTTCATCCCAAGGAGACGGGCGCGTTGGGGCGAGTGGGTTCTTTGTGGGGGTAGCTCCGAGGAATTTTACATAAATCAGCGTTGGACCCTTTGCGGTGCAACTTTCTCATCGTTATTCCAGTTCTTTTGTTGTCGATTACAGTGGGAATTGGCCGAACCTCTGCCAATATGCGCTTTTTCCCTGGATTACCTTTGCTCCTGTTCAGCACAGGTAGTGTTGCAAGGAATATAGTCTTTCCTCCAATCCACGAGGTGACAGGGCAGGCATCTCTCAGCAATGACGGTGTAGCTGATGATATCGATATTGTGACTGGGAGCCAGTTTTCCGGGCTATCAACGTTCGCTCATGTCCCATATGTGAACTGCTTCATAGATGGCGAGGCAGAGAAAGAAAAATATGATATTGCCATACTGGGAGCTCCATTCGACACGGTATGGTGCATTTCCTAAGTCACAACCCGTCTGATATGAAAGTCAAATCCGTTGACGATCCAATCAGGCTGTAACTGCTCGGCCAGGAGCAAGATACGGACCTGGAGGTATCCGCCGGGGCTCAGCGAGAATGAGAGCGGGTTCCGCCTGGAGCGTGTATAGTGGAGTAAATAACCTCCGTAGCTGGGCAAAGATCGTTGACTGTGGCGATGCGCCGCTCACATTTTTGGACAATACTATCGCGTTGAAGCAACTTGATAAAGCTCACAAGGTAATCCCTCTTGACCAGCTCCCTGGAGATACCCATACTCACTCCATCTAGGTCGTCTCATCACGGATAGCAAACACAACAGATGTTTCCTCTGTTCCAAGAATCATTACCCTTGGAGGTGACCACACAACAACTCTTTCCGCATTACGGTCGACATACGAGAAATGGGGACCGGTGTCTGTCGTTCATTTCGATAGCCACATCGGTATGTTAGTTATCTGTAAAACCTAGGCTAATTGATTCAAACAACTTTGCTAACTTGTTCATTCAGACACTTGGGATCCGGAGGTCTTAGGTATGGCATATTAAACCCTTTATGTGCATCAAATCGCTGATCATTGTCCAATTTATTTGGATCAGGGGGTGGAGTTTCTAGCTACGCGTAGGTCTCAGTTCTCTGCTTGTCTATAGTTGACAATGACTAATTCAGCGCAGGGGCGTAAACCACGGCACCTTCTTACATATTGCCCATGAAGAAGTAAGCATGTGCATTGCCATCGCAGGTATAGCAAACTTACACTCATGCTAGGGACTTGTTCAAAATAACTCAATTCACGTCGGCATTCGTGCTCCCCTCGTCCGAGAAAAAGGCGATCTTCGAAATGATGTCCGCTGCGGTTTTGACATCGTTACCGCCCGCGACATAGATATGATCGGCGCATCGGGGATCATTGAAAAGATCAAGAACCGTGTTGGGTCAGACAATGTGTATATCAGCGTTGATATTGACGTCCTTGATCCCGCCTTCGCACCAGGTAAGCATGGCCATTCTCCAATTTCCGTTGTGCGCTTTAAGTCATTCCGACTAATCCGACTCAACAGCAACTGGCACTGCTGAACCCGGTGGTTTCTCCACCCGAGAGCTGCTCACTATTCTGGATGGCCTAAGCGGGCTTCGCGTCATTGGTGGAGATGTAGTGGAAGTCGCTCCCGTTTATGACACAACAGGCGAGACGACGGTGCTTGCGGCGGCCGAAGTTGCTAACTCCTTATTGGGGCTCATGATCGCGAAGCCTGTCCCTAATGAACGGAAATAAAGAGGTCAGATTATTGAAAAATTTCGCAGATTCAGAATTCCAAATCTTCCGCCGATATACTCGTGTCATGAGACAACCACTGGGTTTTCATGAGTACCCCCTCCGCCCCGGAATAGATATCGTGTCAATGTTTAAAACCTTTGTAGTTCTTTAGTGCCAGTTTACAATATCCCCGTTCCAACCACAGATGTCGGATATACATATACCTTGCACCAAATTTACAGAGCTGAGGCCTAAACCTTGTGTCTTGAGATTGCTGGTGCATTTGAATTTTGGGTAAATTTCTCTTGAACAAAACTTTATACGCTCCAGTCGCCCAGCTACTCTGCAGCCTCAGGAGTGGCACTATAAATTCAATGAATTACATATTGGACCAAGATATTGTCAGGAAAACATCATCGTTCCAATGCTAGGGTTATCCTGAAGAGACTCCCTGGTACTTTCATCCATGCTCATGTCATTGAATTGCTTCCTAAAACCACATTTGCAGTCAAGCTGTTAACCACGACGATGACTGCGGTCATCTTCCATGATTTGTTTGGGAAGAAGCTTGCAAAGCGAGGCTTATTCAGATGATACTATGCCTGACTGCGGTCATGTCTTCCTTGCTCCTCACTGTGATTGAGAGCCATCTCTTGTCCTACAATTGCTCGGTGTGTCAGGCTGATCCCGATCCCCTCTCACCCCTCCCCCCCCCCCCCCAAAAAAAAAAAAAAAAAAAAAAAAAAAAAAAAAAAAAAAAATGAATGTGTAGCAATGCTGCCAAAGTCATTGGGGGAGCACTAAACTTCATGTCGTCATCGGAGGCAGCTCGAGCCTTCGAAGGGATGGTCCAGAATCACCGCGTTGAAGCAATGTAACTAACAGTTGACACTGGTTCTTTGTTTACATTGAAAATGACCCCAACAGTGGAGTGGATACAAACAGAATAAAGGTCTGGGTGCGAACATCAGGGCTTTGTTGTGCCCTTAAATCTGTGGTACTATACGGAGTACAATGCAGTAGGGACAAAGATTCTAGCTTGAACTAGGGAGGCAAGTGTGCTTAGGATACTTTCCTTTCAGCCAATTCCCGGAGTATATACTCCAATACTGCTGTTTGATGATAGCAATAGCAAAATTCCTGAGGAGAAGAAGTTATTCGTGAATCAGTTGACGCAAGCCTTAGTGGCCAGGCCGACGCGACGGTTCGCACCAACATTATATATTTTGTGCAGCCTGCAGCCAGCTTTTGGGAACATGTGAGTACTCTGTATATAAAACGAGTCTGCGGCGTTAGCAGAAAGAGCTTTTTTCTCAACATTCCATCACTCATGTTTAGAGACTATGAACTAAACAAGCAGGGACCCCCTTTACTGATATGTATTCGGGCTGACGATGCAAAAGTGGCTAACCCTCAGAGAGCACAGATTTACAATAATATCAGATTCCTTCTACTCGAGAACGAAATGCGGTGGACTACCTATGCGTTTTACTCTTTCATTCTGGCATCGATGTGTCTGGTCGAGCCAGCATGCCTACCAGACCCATCATTTAGTATCCCCAGGGTGAACCCTACAGTGCTCCCCAGATCAGAGCTAGCGGCTGGTCCTCTTGAGAAAAAGCGCTGCCGCTCCTGCATCAAGAGGTGTTGTCCCGACGAAACACCGGTCTGCTGCTTGGACACTGGCCATTGCTGCTCGAGCCGTTCTGCTTGCCATATCCCATCCATAGGATGCACTAAGTTCACATTTCATTTTCAGTTTCCGGGCTCAGTATGATGCGGAAATTGCTGGGATACCCTTACATAGTCCTCTACAATGAGTTTCGGGCTTTGTTTGATGGAGGATTACTTCCGATTCTCTTGTTGATTTTATCAGGGGCATATCGTAACTAACGAGCAGTATATCCTTTCGTTATTCGCATTCGCATATATGTCATTACCCTGAGATCAAATTCAATAGGATTGCGCTTGCAGGACTATGCTTGCTTTTACAGTAGCTCTTGCGGGAATTTATCCAGGGCACCAGTAAACTCTGTTTTCTCCGCAGAGTCGTCTCAGCACAATTTGCTTCGAGGCCTTGAACTCAGCTGGCGAAGGCACATTAACAAGTTTGGGAGAAACAAGAGCCCTCCCAGTCATAAGTCTACAGGTTTAGCACTGAACTTAGCCGGTTCCCTGAAAGGTTGGTGGCCTTCAAAGAGACAAAAATCGATTGGCCATCGATCCAACGCCCTTTTAACACCGACCCCCACACGATGGGAATGTACATACATGCCGAAGCTTGCAACATCGAGCAAATGGAAAAGCGAGATCTTTGGACAAAACCGGTACGCCACGAGGCAGTTATGATGCTGTATCCAGCGCGCGATCATATCGAAAATGCAGCATATCATTCTCATTGTAATTGCATAGAAACCAATATTAACCTTCTTTTCGAATTATTTCTGAGAATCCATTCCGATCATATCAACCCATGTCCATAAGCCGCCTAGATAGAAGAAAAGCATATGAAAATTGACAAAATTTATAGCCGTCAAGTTGGAGTTAACGGGCAACGGCAGAAGGCTTAATTATTTTCTTGACCTTCTTCTCCACATCGTCCCAATCTCGGGTATCAACGCGCTCGATGTTGGTGCTGAAGTATTTCTGGATATCCTGGAGCATTTGCCATTCCTCCTGGTTAGAAACGAATGACACGGCCACACCAACGCGTCCGAAGCGGCCAGTACGTCCGATGCGGTGAAGGTAGGTTTGTGCATCCGCCATGCGGCGAGCTGCCCCAGGAAGGTGTAGTTCCGGAATATCCTATAATTAGCGGAGATCGTTAGCATATGCGCCGCGATCTGGGTGATTGGCGGAGACATACATAGTTGATAACCATTGAAACAGTGGACACGTCAATTCCTCGAGCTAAAACATTGGTCGTTATGAGGACCTTCGCTGTGCCATTGCGGAAGCGATCGATGATTTCATCGCGCTTTTGTCCTTCGATACCACCGGTCAAAGAAACTACTGTATGACCTTCTGCCACCATACGTCGCTCGATCTCCGCAGCTGAAGCACGTGTCTACAAAACAGTTAGACATGCAAGAAGCCATAGGCTGAATGGCAGAGGCAAAATACCTTGACAAAAATGATAGAAGATCCAATTGTAAGCAGTCCATAGAACTTAACCAAAATTTCATACTTATGCTCATCTGATTCACAATCCAAGTAGAGTTGTTTAATGCCTTCAACGGTAAGTTCCTCGTGTTTAAGCGTCAGTTGGTTTGAATTCGGCGCGAATTTATGTGCATACCGAACAACAAAGTCAGGGAAGGTTGCGGAAAACAGGACGACCTGAATTGTTCTTGGCAGCAAACTGTGAAAGGTTAGATTATTCCAGAATCTAAATAAATATAGAGTGTAGGTACCTTTTCACTCTAATGCATTGATCACCAAGACCTTGCTGATCCAACATATTGTCTGCCTCATCCAAGACCAAAACTCTGAGATGCTGTGTGTTGAATAGTCTCTTCTTAATGAGGTCTTGAACAGTTCCAGGCGTGCCAACGACTATGGATGCTTCGACCCTTTGATTGCGATTCATTTCCATGGGAACAGCGGTCGCCACAAAGAGTCCTTCGACAAATGTTCCCATTGCTTGAATGACTCCAACAATTTGTCTTGCCAGTTCTCGACTCGGTGCAAGAACTAAGGCTTGGGGGGATTTCTGCTTCTCCGGGGTCAACTCGAGGCGACTAAGGATATTCAAAACGAACGCTGCTGTCTTTCCGGTACCAGATTGCGATTGGGCGATCATGTTTGTCGGAGGGTTTGCCATGAGAAGCGGTAAGGCTCTCTCCTGAATCTTGGAAGGACGACGGAAGTTCATCTTGGACAGCCCCATTTGAATAGGTTCCGCTCTAAAAGGAGCGAAAATATGTCAGCTCCTATGAAACATCGCGGGTATAAACACGATGCTGCCTTACAGGCCTAGCTCCTCAAACGACTTGATGGAATAGAGGGGGTTATTCGGATCCGCTTGCAAATCGCTCAGCTTGACATTGACGTCAAATTCGGAATCCTGTAATTCAGAGCCACGCTGATCCTCTGAAGCTCCGTCCACTTGTGGGATCGAAGGGCCTTTTCCGGAATCATCCTCAGCGGCCGGCTTCTCTGCCTCTAGGAGTACTGTTAACTTGGCTTCTTGATGTGTTATAAAAAAAAAAAAAAAAAAAAAAAAAAGGCTCTTTCTCTCAATTATGCATACCGGTAGAAGGTGGGTTGGCATCGCCCTCTGGTCTGGAGATCCGAGCTGCAAGTGGCCCGCCAGCTGGTACACTGGGTGTTTCTGTTGTGTTTTCAGACGCCATACTGGCGTGAACAAGCGGAGTTTGACCTGATTCGTTGGTAAGTATTGAAACTCGCAGACAACCAAATAACAAGAATGGGAAGTGGCCCAGAAAATCTGCCCGGGGAGGCTCACAAATATGAAGATAGAGGAGGATGGGGGGACGACCTTGTCAGTATGATTGGAGTACAGTACGGATTCACACAGAGAAAGGGAAGAAATTAGGCTAAAGGAAGAGTTTTCACAGGGAGGACGCGTGGCACAAAAGAATTAAACAAGAGCAGAAGAGAATCCTGCCTCTACTGCTGCCAGTGTTCACTGGTCTGCACGGATTTTGCTCTGCTCTGCACTGTCACGCCCACCTTCACATTCTCCCCGCGATACCTTGCTGAGTCACCAATCATCTGAATTAAGTAAGCAAAGGCTAGTCTTGATACAGTTAATCAGGGAATTCCGCGTCTTACCGTTTATGGTATAGTAGATAAACACACTCCAATTGAAGCTTTTCCTAAAAAGGCTTAGGCGCCGAAATGCCTGGTCTTCCGCAGCAGCGACTGAGGTCTGGAGTAGGTAGTTCGACAGGCCAGTGATGCGTGGGCGACACGATGGCCGGCAGGGATCGAGAACTGACCTCGAGGTCAGAACCTCACTAGTTATGGAGAAAGTATTGTCCGAGAGTAAACAAAATAGGCTAAACCTAATACGGTTAGGGTACAATGGCTTGTGCCCACTTCTGCGGCTTCATCGATGACGGGGTAAAGGTAAACTGGTGGGCGGCTGAGACGCAATGACAGACGCACCCGATATCTCATTCCCACGTCACAGTACATGCTTCTCGCTGTGCTGATCTAGCCATCCGGACTTGAAGTATCCTGGCCGAGCATTTGCTGCGTGGGGAAAGGGAATCTTGAGAAGCTGTACTCCATACGGAGAAATGTCTCAGGCTGAAGTTGACCCCCATTTTGGCGCCGAGCTAAGGGTATGTAGTTTCTGGTTATGTTTTAGCATCAGGGTAGAAAGACTGATTCGTGTACAGGATGCCTTTAAGCCCGTCAATGCCTGGGTACGTGGAAATCAACTCCGTCTGGCAACCCTTCCCCTGAAGTAACCCCTCCAATGCAGGGACTAAACCCGCTTCCTAGGTCTCAAACGGTATCAGCTGGCTGGATGAGATTCAACAGTTCTACCGAGAGCGCAGTGCCATAGAGAAGGAATACGCATCGAAGCTGACGGCACTATGTCGAAAATACCACGACCGCAAGTCAAAGAAGTCAAGCAGCCTCAGCGTAGGGGATACCCCTGCGATGACACCCGGCTCGCTTGAATCTGCTTCCTTGACAACGTGGACGACGCAGCTATCTGCTATCGAAGCCCAAGCAGCGGAACGCAACAAGTTTGGAGCGGATCTTGAATTTCGTATCGCCGAACCCTTGAAACAAATAGCTGTTAAGTACGAAGAGCTCCGCAAGAATCACGGCGAATGGTCTGGCAAACTGGAAAAAGAAAGGGACTCCTCTTATAATGATTTAAAGAAGGTTAAAGGGAAATATGACGGAGTTTGTCAGGAAGTGGAAAATCGGCGCAAGAAAATGGAATCCGCATTCGACCATGGAAAAGCAAAGGCACAAAATGCCTATCAGCAACAGCTTTTGGAGATGAATAACGTAAAGGTATCTAATATCCATTCGGGGAAAGCGGAACATGGCTGACTTGCAATAGAACACCTACCTGATTGCCATTAATGTCACAAACAAGCTTAAAGAAAGATACTACTATGAATATGTTCCTGAATTACTTGACGTGGGTAGTTCGTTTACACTTGTCTCTATCCGCTCGAGCTAACATGCGTTCGCAGGGTCTACAAGACCTTAACGAGACTCGAGTGGCCAAGCTCAATTCAATCTGGACACTTGCCGCGCAATTAGAAAAATCATTAATATCCAAAACTGACGAACAGATTGCTCACGTCATCTCTGAGATCCCCCGAAACGACCCCAAACTTGATTCTATGATGTTTATCCGGCACAATGTTGCGAACTGGCAGGAACCACAGGACATGCAGTTCGAACCGAGCCCAGTCTGGCACGACGATGCTACTATGGTGATAGACGAAGCTGCGAAGATCTTCCTTCGGAATCTCCTGACCAAAAGCAAATCCCAGATGAAAGAAATGAAAGGAGAAGCCGATAAGAAGCGAAGGGAAGTTGAAAACGCGAAGAGAGTTCGTCAAAGTATCCGGGATGGCAAGGACAAGCGGGATGAGGTAGAGGTTGTCCGTGCTATATTCTCGATGCAAGAAGACCTACACCAATTTAACCGCAAACAATTAACAGCTGAAGTAGAAACGTCAACTATTACTTCAGTTGTAGGGGATTTGTCGCTTGGAGCAAAGAATCATAACTTTAGGCCACAGACGTTCAAGATCCCTACTAACTGCGACCTTTGTGGCGAACGAATCTGGGGCCTTTCTGCAAAGGGATTCGATTGCCGAGATTGCGGATATACATGTCACAGCAAATGTGAGATGAAAGTTCCGGCAGAATGCCCGGGAGAGCAATCCAAGGAGGAGAAGAAGAAGTTAAAAGCAGAGCGGCAAGAGGCTGCCAATGAGACTCGCCCGTATAAAGCTGCAACGACAACATCCAGTACGGCTGAATTACCGGCATTGAGCCGCCGGGATACGATGAATTCACTGAGTTCAGGATACGCAGCGAGCGCTACTAGGTCGACATCGGCCTTGTCTAGTCAAACCACCGATACTGGGCCTACAGAATTACCTGCTACAGTGTCACCAGCCCAGAAGCCCACTGCATTAAGGAAGCATCGAATCGTGGCTCCCCCACCGGATCAATATGTAAGCGCACCACCGCCAATTTCAAACGGTGGCACAGCTTCAAGACCCTCCGAGCCACGAGGGAAAATGCTTTACCCTTATCAAGCCAACGGAGAGGATGAGATAAGCGTTGACGAGGGACAGGATGTTGTCATTGTCGAGCCCGATGGTAAATAGCCCCGTTTGTGTGTATAACGTTATTCCTTGGTAGCCAGGCTAACTCGATCGTGTCTTTACAGACGGCTCAGGCTGGATGCGTGTTCGCACCGGCTCTTCCACGGGTCTTATCCCAGCATCCTATGTTGAGTCGACTGCATCCCAGGAGCCGGAGGGTCGTCCTGAATCCATGTATTCCGTATCGAGCACATCACTGGCAAATAGCCTCGCACATAAGCGCCGTGGTCCTGCTGTTGCTCCCAAGCGTGGTGCTAAAAAATTGCAGTACGTAGTCGCACTGTATGACTACGAAGCACGTACGGAGGCAGAATGGAGCATGACTGAGGGCGATAAGTTTGTGCTTATCAACCGCGACAGTGGGAATGGATGGGCGGACGTTGAGAAAGGCGGAGTGACGAAGTGTGTCCCGGCGAATTATATTGAGGATGCCTCATAGAAATCTTTCGATTACTTTTTCTTTTTTTGAGAGCGTTGTTTTCATATTGCTCGGCGGGTTCGTTCTCAGGCTGCGGATAAAATGCCCTTTTGCTGTTTTCTCCGGCAAGAGCTTCACTATTGTTGTACTGGTTTGGGATTTTCTACATGCATATACATCCTTATTCCCCCGGCTGGTGTTTAGACGTGTGTGGATACATTGGTAGTGGCGTGTTAGCTTGCCTTTTTGAAATTGCTTTGGATATGCCTGTAGACAATCATAGCCAGTCAATTGCTGGTTTTCACTATATCGCATCCTCTTTTCATGCCAAAGCCGATGGATACCAAATAGAGAGGTACCCCGTATTCGAGCCCGCAAAAGGGCCCCCCATCCCCGAAAGGGGCAAATGCGAGGACGGACCGGGACAATTCCTCTGGAGAAAAAGCACTCCCTACTCCAGGGCTCATCAGCCGTCTTTTGTTAGATTATGTCCCGCGGCTTTGTCTCTAGACCACGGGCTGAAACAGCAGACATGAACTAACTAATCGATTGCGCTTCTTCATGAAACGAAATGGCCATCTTGCGGCGGAAGGATCCATGGATCAGCTATCGCATGCCGACGCGGGAAACCTTTTCCATTGAACGCGTGTATGCGCCCCTGTCAATCTGCCCATTTTCATCCATGATTGGCGGTTATGTGGAGGTGATTTCTTGCACGAATGGACTTGCTGGGTCGCCACCCGCCCGGCGGAAATGACACGGGCAAGTCGACGTGCAGCGATCTGGAGTCGCAGCGTTTGGCTTACGTATGCTCGACGATTTTGGCTTTTGCCTCCGAGAATTCTGGATCTTCTGGTTATGAAACACTTTGGGTCGATGAGTACAGTAGGTTTATGTGCACGACCGTCAGCACACCAGGAACGCACGCTACCACCATTCTGGCATGGTCTCGCAGATCATGGGCAGCGTTAATTGAACAGCACTTCGACATTTTGAACCCAACTGACACAACACACCCAATGCTTCCACCCAGTGAGCATCTTGGGATATTTGGGTTATTGATTTCCATACGGAGTACGGAGTACGGAGTGCAGATTCCTACCATCTCAGCCAGTACCAAGCAAGCGTGTTAGACACGATGGCATTGCAGACGATGACAATCAGGCTCTTGGAACAGTGCTCAGTCTGAAAGGCTGGCTGGATGAGATCTGTTATGCAGGTACCAAATGATTGAGCGAATCAAAGCAGACTGCACTGCCATATCCTTAGTACGATCGTTGGACATGGATCTCTCAATTGATTGACTTTGTTGGCCTGAAGTCAGAGAGCGCAGCAGCCATGCCATTCTCAGCATTTGAAACCGCCATCAGACAGTATAGGTGCTGTGTTGTACTGCCTCCTGAATAGCTTTGATCACATTACAGAGTACTCTGAAATGAAATGGATGTAAGGTTACAAAGGTCCAAGATCTCCTCTTTGTCAGAGATCCAGCGCCAGGGTCGACAAGTTAACAGTGCTTGATTAGGTATGTTACTGCGTATATATGTTATGAACAAGGCTAATAATCAATTACCAGATCGATTTCACGATGAAATTCTCTTTTTGTGGCTCTCCTGATTAGAAATCTTCCAGTCTTCAATTGCAGATGAGATAGCTGTTAAAAGAAAGGAAAAGAAATACAAAAAAAAAAGAGAAAAGAAACTGATGATGAAAGGCCTTGTGGTTCAATACCACAGCTGCAGTTCCCATAAATTCAGATAGCGATGTTGGCCCACAACTGGCAGTATGGCCGCCTGAAGGTGAGATGGATCCGGTTTGTGCACCGTTAATCTGCATCCATAGGGAACCGGGCACTGAAGGAGTAATGGATTTTTGCTGCAAGACTCTGTACAGATTACTCCGTACTCTGTAGAAAATTGAGATCTGTGTTCCTGAGTGGCATTCAGTTCTTCTCAAAGCATGACATTGTGGCCTCGAATCGATATGTATATGTCGGACTCTAGCTCAAAGGATGGCAGAGAGGGAAAGCAGGAAACTAGGCATGTTCTCGAGTTTCGATCACAATCAACGTTTCGGAAGATCGATCCCCTAATACACCTTTGTTTACGCGTTGCCATGCCCAGAAATCGGCGTTGTCGCCACGCAACCCAGCAACCAACTGCCCGTCCGTGGGTGTATCGCCACGGTGCGTCCGCCGAGCAGTTGTGGACACGGCATTCCCTGATTTCGACGACTTGCCAGTTCATCGCTGCGTGGACAGCGGTTCAGGGGCCAATGGCGGGAGCGGATCGGCTTCTCCCTCCACCAGCGCAGCGGCGGACTTTGACAGGCGATTGGGCGACGGCGCAGTCTGCGTGCCAATCGCACACGCCGTTCCTTTCGTTCGCCATTACGTCGTCGCTCGATCCGCTGCCCACTTTTTTCCCCTTGGTCTGCCCGCGCTCTTCTCTCTTTCTTCCTTTCTCTTCACCACTGCCATTCCCACCTCTCCGTTTGAACTCTCCTCTCTTCGTCAAACCGCTTCTCTTCCTTGTCTCTCGCTCCATCCCCGTTCTCTTCGTCAATTCTCAAGGCAGGAAGGGACCTGAGGCTGCCATTCTTTTCAGTTTGGCCCTTCCGCCGCTGCTCGCTCGCTGCTCTACCTTCTTCGTCAATATACAATTTTAATTCATCGCCTTCGTTGATCATCCATCCGTTGTTTACCGCTGCTTTCTTGTAAATCTCCCTTCTGCATTCAAGTCTTCCTTCATCAACAGCTTGTTCGATTTAAGCGCTTATATTGCTGCGGAACTCGACCCCATCCATCTCCAACCATGAAACCTTCATCCGTTTCCTTGGTGGCGGCCGCCGCCATGGGAGCTACATCCGCCTACGCGGGTGTGGTGACAGCTAGAGGCTCCAAGACACCTGCCATCACCATCAAAGGCAACGGTATGTTGTTGCGGTTTTCGCGCCATCTTCTAGCACGTTAACTAACTGAAAACGTTTTCCCTTGCTAGCCTTCTTCCAAGGCGATGAGCGATTCTATATTCGTGGACTGTATGGCTGAACCCCGACTCCTTTCTGCGCGACCTGATACTGACTGCCTAACAGTGACTATCAGCCGGTTGGTGGCAAACAACTCAATATATCTCCTAATGTAACTAAAGGTCTAACCTCCCACATGTAGGGTGGTTCGTCAAAGGTTGAGGACCCAATTGCTGAAACAGAAACCTGCAAGCGGGACATCGAATACTTCAAGGAATTGGGTGTCAACACAATCCGAATCTATACTGTCGATAACTCCAAAAACCACGATGAGTGCATGAAGGCTCTCTCAGATGCTGGGATTTATCTCGTTCTTGATGTCAACACTCCCAAGTACTCGATCAATCGCAAAGGTGGGAGTGACACCTCCTTCGGTATCTGGAGCCAAATTCTAACTCCATCCAGAACCCAAGGCGTCCTACAACGACGTCTATCTCCAGAATGCCTTTGCAACTGTCGAAATGTTTGCCAAATATGATAACACTCTGGTGAGATGAAGATGTAAAGCCCCGTGGCCCGTTGCTTCGACTAATCTCGCTCAGGCATTCTTCTCTGGAAATGAAGTTATCAACGATGGCGAAACTTCGAACACCGCTCCTTACGTTAAGGCCGTGACTCGTGACATTCGTCAATTCATTCGAGCCCGTGGATTGAGAAAGGTTCCAGTTGGGTACTCTGCCGTGCGTCTCACTTGATTCTTTCCTGCTGGTCAACCTTGGAATTTTGGTTTTTGTGCTGACCTCATTCACAGGCCGATATCGATACAAACCGTCTTGAAATGGCACAATATATGAACTGTGGCACTGATGACGAGAGAAGCGATTTCTTCGCTTTCAACGACTATTCGTGGTGCTCTCCATCGTCTTTCACCACTTCTGGATGGGATCAAAAGGTCGAGAATTTCACTGGCTACGGTTTACCTCTTTTCCTCTCAGAATACGGTTGCAACACCAACAAGCGGGACTGGGGTGAAGTCAAGGCCTTGTACTCTGATAAAATGACACCTGTGTACTCCGGAGGTCTCGTCTATGAGTATTCTCAGGAACCCAGCAACTATGGCTTGGTCCAGCTTGGCAAAGGCAAACCAAAGGAACTCGACGACTTCAAAGCGTTGGCAAAGGCGTTCAAGGGCACGAAGAATCCTTCAGGCGATGGAGGTTACAACTCAACCGGCGGTGCCAACCCTTGTCCCAAGAAGAATGCTCCCAACTGGGACGTTGACAGCGAGTCTCTTCCCGCTATCCCCGAACCTGCGAAGAAGTTTATGAAAGACGGCCCCGGCGAGGGACCAGGTCTCTCCGGCAAAGGCAGCCAGAATGCGGGGACACAATCTTCTGGAACTGCCACGCCTGGATCTGGAAGCGTTGATCCTACATCCAGCGCGGGTGCTGCCGCAGGTTTACGGCCTGAGTTTGGTATTGCTCCTATGATGTGCGCTATGCTGGTCGTCTTGTCAAGCATGTTTGGAGCTTCGTTTATCTTTATGGTTTAATGCTTTAAACGTGTACCGGTCTATCGTGTGGATTCGGGTGGTCGTGGGCTCGTACATGCAATTCTGGCGCTCTTAAGTTTTCACTGATTCTCTTTCTCAAAGCCAGCCCGGTTTGTTTTCTTCTGGAAATGTATTTTAATTCATAGGTGCCGTGCTGGATTAATCGATCCTTGAATCAGCCTCAATTTGCATCCTCACTACTTATTATCTCTTGGCTAAATGCGGATGTCTCACGAGAGCGGCTTCGCTCCTCCGATATTCCAACCTCCTCCGGTGGCCAGTTTGTAATTATCAAGGGGGTTTGCTACAAATGTTATGCCACCCCCCAATAACTGTGGGTTATTCCGGCACCCCTCCTCAAACAACCATCCCAAAATAGCCTATAGTTAGTTATATGAGGAAATGGAGTTTTAAAGTATTCATAAATCAGGCTCATTCTCTATTGGATTACCTTCAAGCGCGGAAGTTGACTGACCTACAAAGGCTATGGTCGAAGCAACTCCTCCCCAAGGATCTAAACACCTCAGAGATGTCACTGAAGGATTTTCTACTTTTAAAGTTGGAGGATATTCGTCTTCTGGTGTTGGACCATGGGCTAAACATTGTCGATGTGCCTTTTGAGTATATCATTGAAGCATGCTAGGTATGATCCGGTGTCGAGATTCTGTTGGAAACGGAAATATCTTATTTGAAGGGGGGAAGGCATAGTATTTTGGTAAAACTATAATGTATTGCAAGACTATTTTAAAGAATGAGATACTCGAGAGACAAGATGGGAATATAAAGAAACATTATCGAGGTGGAAAAAAGATGGCTTCCTGGATACACGCGAGTGGGTTGATTTGCGTGTTGGAAAATGGCAGCTTCTCATATAGCTTCCCACAGCAGTACTTTTCTCATCCCCGCTGATCCGGTCCCAGCAGCATGGCGACAACTCCTTTGTTGTGACCCAGCTGAACTTGTTAGCGATAGCGATGAAGCACCTATTGTGGAGAAGTTGATCGTCACCGAGACGTTGATGCTACATGCGAGGATTACGGTGTTGTTCGGCTGGAGTGCTAAAATTGGCAAGCTGGCTGTTTTGAGAGGTTCTAAGAGGTTGAACATGTGAGAGCTGATGTGGTAATTTGATCCAAATATTTGTCTCAGGCTGCTTTTTGTAAGCAGTGGGACTGCATAGATACGGCCGCATAGACGGCAGTTTCATATCGCAGGAGATCCGAACATTGCTTCATATCATCGATATTCAAAAACCATTTCAATACATAGTTCGATGTCCAATGCACATCAACCGCCTTCTCAAGAGATATTATGAAAATTTTGATCATGCCTACCTGATTCCAAGGGGATACTCCTTTGGAATATTCTTCCTATCAGGCACAACCTCCGGAACTCCCACATGCCTCTTCCACTCCCTTACCGTCTTTCTTTTTAACACCGGAGGCACCCTCCCTCCTGCACCGAGCACCCCCTCCATTCTCTCCGCCAGCTCCAACAACCTCCCTTCGTCTCCCTGCAGACCCAGAATCTCCATCCCAACGGGCACCCCTTCCTTGGCATTCTCACTCGGCGGCGAATACCCGGCAGGCAAAGCAATGGCAGGAAACCCCGTCACCGCAGCAAGTATGCCATTCCTCCCACGCTGGGAGGGAGAACCGAGCGGGACGGCGAGGGTGGTTTGGTGTGGGTATATGAGTGCATGCAGGGAGAAAGTGGAGAAAGTAGACCGGATGGCAGAACGAAGAGAGGATATGCGCTGTTTACGGGCTATGTAGGAGATGTTTTGCGGAGAGGAGTGGAGGGAGTGGGCTATTTGGGGGTATTGGTTTGGGAGGAGGAGGAAAGGGGATCCGGGGGCGTAGAGGGCAGAGAGGGAGGCGGGTATGTTTGGAGAGGTGGTGCGCTGGTGGGAAGAGAGGTAGGAGTCCATAGCGGTTTGGAATTCGTAGATCTGGAGGTCCATGGTTGCGTGGATGTCTGTGGAGTTGTAGAGTGAGTTGGTGATAGGGATGAGAGTTGCGCCCGCGTCGTGGAGCTTGCGAAGGGCGGATTCGATGACTGTGTTGACGGCAGAGACGTCCGGATCGGAAGATGCAGAGGCCGTGCGATTGAAGAACGTTTCCACCACGCCGAATCGCATGCCCTGCAGCCACTTCCCATCCGTTCTTCCCTCATCCACGTCCAATGACGCAGACAAGTGATCGACACCTCCGCCCTCCATCACACTCAGCAAGGTTGCAGCATCCCGAACCCCTCTCGTCATCGGTCCTACGACATCCTGGCTGAATGACGCTGGCATAACACCTTGGGTATCTACAAGTCCCCAGCCAGGCCTCATGCCCACCACTCCACACGCACTGGCCGGGCTTCTTACGGAATTCATTGTATCTGTCCCCAGTCCCAGCACGCCAAACCCCGCCGCCAACCCCGCGCCTGTCCCGCCCGAACTGCCACCCGGCGTGCGTGATAGATCATAGGGATTCAGCGTCTGCCCGCCCAGCGAGGAGACGGAGATACCTTCGAGGGCGAGTTCGTGCAGGTTTGTCTTGGCGAGGAGGATTGCGCCGGCCCGTCGCAGGTGCGAGAGGACGGGTGCGTCGCGGTTGGGATGGAGAGCGGAAAGGGCAAGGGAGCCACCGGTCGTGGGCATGTCGAATGTGTTGATGTTGTCCTTGACTAACATCGGGATGCAAAAGAGGGGTGGCAGGCCGGCCGCAGCGGCCGCGGAGGAGGAGGAGGTGGAGGAGGTAGGAATGGTGGCATTGTGAGCGCCTGTAGGTATCATGAAATCCCCATTTTCAATCCTTTTCCCTCGTAGAATGGCATCCAGCGCGTCGGCGGTGTCTAATGCGGTGGGGTTGAGGGTGATGATGGCGTTCACTTGGGGGTTGTAGGTTTCTATCTGGGAGATGAAGAGGGAGACGATATCCCGACATGTTGCTCTCCCCGAGAACAAAGCTGCATGAACTGCATCAATGGTAGCGTTATGGGGTTCGAAGCCAAAGTTGGGCTTTGAGGCAGAGAGTGAGAGGAAGGCCAGCAGGGATGAGAGCAGAGATCGCATGGTTTAGTTTTTTTGTTTCTCCCGTCACCGGCTACCTCAGTTTAACAAGGCAATATATTCGTCAACAAAAGCGCCTCTTCACCATCTCGCAAGCGACTACTCTGTACATGATAAGCTAATCAAGATTATTCAAGATAGATTGGAAGCTAAAATATTAGAGTCATGTCACCATCTTTAATATCAACAACACCAAGTGATGACGGTGGTATGCTCCAAGGGTAAAAGGTGCTGGTCACCCAGCAGAGTCCGCTACGTGTCCTTGTTGTACAGTACATCAGGTCTACTTGCCGGTCACTTCAGATAAGTGCGTGAATGCCATGCGAAGGTGGGGTCTACTCCAAAATGATATGCAGACACTACAGACTTGGGGCAAGAGGACAGTCTCGAACAGACTCTCATGGTCAGATTATGTTCTCACAACTTCATCAATTTGTTCCCTTTCCATCCTCGCTGATTGAAGCCGGTTTCTGTGCCAGAGAGGTCAACACGACCCCAAAGCTGTGGATCAAGAAGATGGAGGCCCCGGACGCAAGGGCATTCTACAACTGGCTGTGTGAAACCCACCAGACCAGAATCAAGGGCGCCTCAGTTCTCCATAGCTACTGGTGCTGTGGCAAGATATTCTGCGAGTATTTAAACGCGGAATTGGGAGCCTCATGGCAGAAGACATTTTGAATGTGAGGTGATGAAACCCTCTACAGGTATTCCTGCTGTCTGAGACTAACAGCAGCAACAGTACATCAATTAGCCGGGCAAGAAGAAGTGGAAGCTACAAGTGTTACCAAGAGAAAAGCCAACAGAAGACAAGGAACAGCGGAGAGGTCGACTGGTACAACAATGTCGCCGCTTCCCTCGAGACACTGCCTCCGAGAGAGAAAGTGGAACAGCAGAGATATTTCAATAAGATTCTCCCTTATCGAATCCTAGGCTGAACAAAGTCTGTCAGCTTCATACAATGATTAGCCATGCTAAGAAACAAGCATCGCTTGGGTACGGAAGACCGTGAATATTTAATGATAAGCTTGAACTCCCGCATCCCATCCTTGGTTATGGCCCTGTATGATATCTGGTCGTCTATGTATAGTGGAAAGGGAAAGGCGCAGGTTGTTTAACAACCATTCATTGAGATTCGAAATTGATCCGAAAGCGATCCTTAGATGTCGCCTAGAGCGCTCAGGGGTACAGGCGCCCCGATCTCCCTAGGTTTCGGTCAGCTAACATCTCGAAAATCCTTAAAACCCTGTTTTATATTCTTGACAAGAAAAGGGGGAGGCAAAATCCACGGTATGCTATTCCACACCGGCTGATCCCGAGCTGACTTGTCAAATCCGTTTCCTCTAGCACACGGAAGGAGGAGTGGGATGGGTCTCCAAAAGTTCCGAAGCCACATGCCTGGACTGCATCAAGTATTGCGGATTGGACGTGTGTTAGTGCTTCTGAAAGGGTCTGTGCGGCAGGACGAGGCTCGAATCAACTGCCTGGCTAAAAGACGTTTTTGGTGTCGATGCAGCATCCCGACCGAACCGAAATTGTGGCACAGCATCGGGCAAAACTGACATTTTTCTGTCCACATAAAATATATTCCCGCTAGAGGCTCTGGAATCATTTAGATTCGATCAGTTACTGTAAACAATCGGTTAATTCAGGTATTTAACGTTGAACTTAGATTTAGCAGCCCTCTTATCGATATGGCGGACAATCGCTCCATTTCTTCCGCAGATTACAAGGATCCTGTTGTTGAAGATGCGCAGGTGGAGGTAAAAGGAAAACTCAAGGAGTTTATCCAACTATCATCGTCGGGACGAGCGGCCAAGGAGAAGCGGGAGGCAGAGGCCATCGCAGCTCTGGATCGTGCTGTGGAACGACAACTGGATAAACAGCAGCAACAACAGCAAAAAATTGATAAAGATTATGACGGAAAAGGGAAAGGTAGCAGTGTTTAGCAGATTCGAGGCCCACCCAAAGTAAGGATCCAAAATCTAAGTGAAAAGGAGAAGTGAAAAAGAAAACAAGAATGGATCGAAAAGGAGTAAACTGTTATTCGACGAAGAACCTTTGTGCTGACAAGATCAGTGCTCTTCGAAGGCTTCCCGAAGTCTTTCATCGTACGCCTTTTTGTCCTTCATCCTGGATCTGATAAAGTCCATCGCATTTCGCCGCCAATATTCACAAGCCATGAGCAAGAAGTCCGTGTTTTGGGCATGTTTCTTATCATAGAGTGGCTGGAGGCGCTTGTAAAAGATGGAATGAAGCCCAGTGGGGCTTTCCAAGCCAGCAACATACCAGAATATTCCCTGTTCCCACGATTTTTGCATGGTTGATGCCCGTTGGATGGCATGGTCTGCAGGACAGTGTTTTTCTTCTTCAATAAATATGCCCATGAATTCTTGTCGTATTTGGTCATATTTTTCGGCATTGATGCAGTCGATTGATTCCTGAGTTAGCCAAAGAGGTGTGCCTATGAATTCCACCGGAAGGGCGGCGGCCCATTCCAAATCAATGATAGATTTAATATTCCAATTTTCGTCAACGAGGATATTGCTCGCGTGAATATCAGTCAGTGAAAAAAAAAAGGGCCCATGATTTAACCTTGAGTCAAAGTACTCCGGGCGTATTGTCCTCATCAAAGCAAGTGCAGTCATTTGGGAGACGCAGTCGCCCCCACTGCTGATGCCGTTCGGCTGATATGTAAGGCGGTTGTCATGGCAGACAAGAAGGGAATTGACGTAGGAATCAACACTTGCAAAGGTGCGATCCCTCGGCATGTCAACAGGAATATTTTCATTTTCCAAGTCTTGCAGCATGAATGTAAGGGGCCGGTTGGTAAGGCGTAGAAAGCCGCTATCATCAATGACGAAGGAACCAATTTTCGGCAGAGGAACACGGCTCAAACTTAGCATAATCTTTGAGAGGTCTCGAAAAAGGTTTTTTCGGAGCTCCTTTCGATCGTATTGATCCTGCATTGACACTGAAAGCATCTCCCCCTCTTCCATGTATTCGATGATTAGATACGGATGAAGTTCCTTGGAAAGTCTGTGTTTATGCTGAACAAACCTGGTGGGAACCGGGAGACCAACAAAAGACAAATACCAACGACGAAGGCGGTGAAAAAGACGAGGCAGCAGCGGTAATTGTTCAACGTCTGTAAACTGCGCAGAGTCAGGGTATGGGGTCAACCGACACCGTTGGCAAAGGCTGGTGGTATGCTTACACATTGTCCTGTTGACAAAGCGAACCCGTAAAGCTTTGGGATTGGCACTAAAGGGCACTCCTGTTGCAACCACGCGTACGCTCCCGCCTCACACTTGACTTTCTCATCGCTGTTCCCCGGAAAAGGGCCTTCACCAACACGGTAGGGGAGCGGGAAGCGAATAATCACGGGTTTGAAACCCTTTATGGTGACGAGAACGCAGAGATTGAAACTCCCGCTCATCCAGTTGTCGATCTCCACCGCATGACATGCTTTAGGAGGGACGCCCAAATGGTGAGCAGCCAGTTTTGCGGCAAGGCTGCGGCGCTCATTGATAAACTTGAAGAATTCATCCCGTCGTGACCTGTAGCTTAACTGATGGAGAATATTGACGTCTTTCTCCTTGGCCACAGAAAAAGTAATATTCTCTCGCAGAAGCTGGCGTTCGACAAGCATCTTAGAGCCAAGGAAGGGGGAGCTTTGGGAGAACTAGCCCAGGGGATCCGACAGGTAGATACTGTCTGTCTATTTATCTGTGGCAAGTGAGGCATTTGATAATAGGGAGCTTTTGGGATCACCGGGGGAAGCGCTCAGATTGGACCTCACCTCCAAAAAATCTAGATCACGTGTTTGATGGGCAAACACAGATTCATCGCAATCAAATTCTCCCAGAGATTCTAATTTTGCTGGTAGTTCCTAAAAAGGGGAGAGTGTTTCTGAAAATGGAAATGAAGTTTGATATTCGCAGCAACGCCGCTTGCTTTCTTATTTTGGCAAAACCTCATTAAGTTATCGTTCTGGGAAGGTTATCTTTCCGGAAAGGGGAATTCCGAACAGGAAGCCAAGACCATTGAGAACTGTCCAATCGGCGCTCACTTTCACGTTACAGCTCTCTGATAATAATACATAGACCAGCTGGACGGGCAAAATGGCAATCATTTTGGGGGCGAGTTCAATTTTCCATCCCAACCGCCTTAACTTACTTTGATACAGAGTAGAGTATGAATATATTCCCGAAAAACAATAAGCCATCTGCTCACGATCAATGCCCAGCAAATGGGTCTTCAGCGCCCAGCCAAATTTGATCGGCTCTCTAACTATTTTACTATTTGAATTGGCTCTACGCAATATCACCTTCTATGGAGATGATATCAAACAGAGAGCCTTATACACTTCTTTACATGGAATCTGGAGTGAGAACAGAGAGGCGAGCCTCTCGCACTAATCTGTAGTGGGAACTTCTGAATTTCCTAGACAACTACCTTAAGTAATACTTTGCAAAGTCCAGAGACACAAATTGAATGCATAGCAAGCATCGACGAGTCAGATCACATGAGCTCGGAGCAGTTTCCGCCTGAGCGCTTAGAACAGCTTGTGCTCCAAGGTCATGTCGGACTCGGGCTGGAGACCAACGCAGGCACGGAAGATGTTGGTGACAGCAGCACGTTGCTTGGCCAATGCATTCACGACAGGGGTTCCTGGAGGAGTCATCGGGGCCTAGGTCGAACGTTAGCATGGATATTGCATATGAGCAGAGACGATGTCGCACTGTACCTTAAGCATATAGCTCAGAACGCTAAGAACACTGTGGAATCCCTTGAACTTGTCGCCATCAGCGACCTTCCAGCTGACACGAGTCATGACCTCGGCAAGCAGGACCAGGTCAAGGATGAGCGGAGACGCCAACAAGGAGTCCTCGCAGACATTGAACATGCTGATCGTCTGGTGGCCGCCAAGGAAGATTTCGGCGTGGTACTCATCAAGAGCTCGCTTGATATCTCCAACAGCAGGCATGTACTTGATGACAACGGTGTGGTCAGGATGTTCACCCTTCTTGTAGAGCACGTGGTTGGCAGCGACCATGTCGTCAACAACGTTCGACTTGGAAATTTCCTTAGATCGGAATTGTCTGTGGGAGCTGAGGTTCTTTCCATCGTTGTTGCCAAGGTGATTGTAGCTGGCGATGGAGGTGAGCTTGATACCGGCGTTGATCAAGAAGTCAACGAGGGCGGACTTCATCTTGGTCTGACCGGACTTGAAGTCATCACCACCAATGAAAGCTCCGTGCTGTTCGGCAAACTGGATGGCACCAGGAACAAAGGTGTTCTGAGGAGATCCGTTGATGAAAGGAGCGTTCTCAAGAATGGAGGCCACAGCGAAGACGGTGGAGGGAGAAACTTCCTCATGACCCTCCTTGATGGCTTTGACGAGGTTGTCCGCTGTGTCATTGACGCCAGCCACGATATCGGCATAACGCTCAGTATTGGCGGTCCAGAGTACGATCACCTTATCGAGACCATTGGTGGATTTGAACTCCCTACCAAATTTGTGAGTACATAAACTATTATCCTCCCCTTTTTAAACCTGGGAGGATGGCAGGCTTCAGCTACTTACCGAATATTCTTGCGGAGCTGCTCGACGTGGTCCCAGCAGGCCTTGGAGCCCGGAAGGACGTTGTCGGCACGATCCTCCTGGTTGGCAGCAATGAAGTCTGGGTAGTAGATACTTGGCAATGGTTTCAATGCGGCCATGTCCTTGCGGACCATCTCCTTGAGGGAGGGTTCGAGGACAGCAGCGCGGTCCATGGCGTCGCCGAGGTTCATTCCACTGATGTCCCAGCCGCCGACGACGAGATCGTTGGGGTGGACCATGGGAAGCATGTCGCGGAAGGGGATGTTGACTTCCTCGGCGGTCTCAGGATCGGTGCCGAGCTTGACGGTGGAACCCATGACCAGGGAGCCGTAGTAGTTGGCAGCGCGCTTGCCCTCGCGGGTGTCCCAGACGAGGCCACGGCGGTTGGCCATGATACCAGCGGTGACGGTGGTTCCGTTGTTACCACCCCAGCCGACCAACATCATGCCGACCTTGCCGACCTTGCGGTCGACCTTGAAGTTGTAGACGGTTTCCTTTGGGGAAGCAACATACTTGCCATCATCGGTGCGGGTGACGGAGGTAGTACGATAGACGTACTTGGTGTTAATCTCGTTGTCGGTGTAGACAACGTCGGGGGATTCAACCTTGAAAAGGTTGGATTGGGTAGCCGACCCGTTCACGGAGCCATTGGCAGCAGCGTCAGCGTGTGGAGCCATTGTTCGCGAATTTCGATTTGTAGAGATTCGAGAGGAATTGAGAGAATCGAGAGTCGATGAGGGGGTGTGACAAGATGGACGAGTCAATGGCGGGTCTGAAATTATCTCACGTAGGGAGAATCCGATGCTCCTCCACGAGCGGACGAGCGCCGGCTACCGTTGAACGGGTGGTGGCACCTGTTGAAGACGTTAGCAAGCGGCTCGGAAGGGCGAACGTGAGCGATCCATTGTGTTGAGCAAGAGATAGATGAAGAGAGGGGGGATTTGTATTTCAAGCAGCTACAGGGAGAACTCACGAAGGAAGAAGATTGGAAAACGTTTTGGCGGTGTTAGACGATCACTGGGGGATAGTGATCTGTACTGGTAAGGCTTTGAAGTGGGAAGCTGTCTTTTTTTGCTACTGGGCTGGAAGACGGACGAGACCTGAGAGTGGTGGGTGAAGGAAAAAAAAAAAAGAGAGAGAGAGAGAGAAGGGCAGCGAGGAGGGGAAGTATTTGTACTGCACAGCGGGCAGGCGAGATTTGCGGTGTGGGCTCGCGCGGGCCAGTCGGAAGCCACGCTGCAGCCAGCTCCACCGCACGCAGCCCGCCCTCAGCGCGAATTGGCTGCGGTGCACAACGAAGACCGCGAGGCGGGTCGTCATCGTCGGGGATTGCGGACTCATTTGTCGGGCTGCGGACTGAGTGAGCTCTGCATGCTGCGGGAAGAAAGACGGGCCTTATCGCACGAATGAGACGAAACGCCGACTCTACGACTCAGATCCGGGTCCCGATGACCAGCAAGCATGCCAAATGAAATCAGTGCAAATTCAGCAGCAAGCACTGCTTGCCGTCTCCCTGCTGCTTGCTGCTGCTAATGCTGCTGCTAACCGGTGCTGCCGCTGGACCGTCACGATGAATGAGGCATCTGGATAACTCACCCGCAAGCCCCGCACCACGGGAAAGTGAAGTGGAAACCGCCAACACATACGCACGCCTGACAGGCGAACCTTGTGTAGGCCAGTGACATTATTAAGTTAGTTAGTCAATGGATTTGGTTAGCTAGTGCTTCGAGTCATTCCGTTCTTTGGCTTCACCTTTGGTCTCTTCATCGATCAGCCAAAGACACATGGATGGCGATTTACGTCGGGAGCGGGAAGCTATCCGCGCTCTGTGTGTGTGTGTGTGTATGTGTGTGTGCCCTGAGAGGTGGATCCTCGCGTGCCCGTTCCATTTGTCATGACTCCTACATGTCCACGCTGCTCTCGCCCAGTCATATTGGCCGTGGTGGTTTTCCAGGGGTTCCCGGGCAAGCCTAAGTGTACTCCGTGCTCTGTGGACTCAATTAATTTCCTGTTCCGGTATAGCGTGCCCGATCGGGTTAGGTGCCTCGCGCCGCCTCCTCGAGATATAAAAGCCGTCCTCCTCGCGCCGCTTCGACGACCTCTGCCCGTCTTCCGTCTTCCTCTCTTTCCCCTCATCTCCCTCCCGCCAACCCTGGTCGGATCTCTCTCTCCCGCGGCCGTCCCACATGCGACTACGTCCACCGCGGCCCTCGCCCGAGCACGCTGCGCCGCTAGATCGACCTGCCCATGACGGCGTTCCCACCCTCTTCCCTCCCTCTTCCCAGGTATCATTGGTGGCCGGGGAGGCGTGAGACACGCTGGGCGCACGGCTGCGCTGTGTCTGCGGTCAACTGAACGATCACACCACCGGGAAAGAAGCGCGATGCTGGGTTTCAGCTGCAGTTTTGAAGGGTCCCTCTGGTGTTTTTAGAGCGCAGATCTCACGGATGGACACCTCAGATTTTGCTTGAGCTTCCCAACCCGGAGGCAATGGTGGTAATATTGTACACCATGCATTACCACCAGCGAGAGCTGGTTGAGCGTGAGCCCGTTTGGAGAATGATATATGCCATCGACGAGCTCTGTGGCGAATTTGAGTTGTTCCCAGCAATGGCGCCCTGGTTGGCGCTTGATTGCCGGAGGGCCTGGCAAAAGCATCCAAGATATCTGGAGCTTGCCCTCATGGAAGCGTATTAGGAACACTCAAATTCCAGGTTCCAGGAGACGTTTGCAATCACTGTGCGGCATGAAATCGAAACTCTCAAAATGAGAATGCTACTCTTGAAGCTATAGGATTTTCTGACCTTAGAGCACGTGGAATGGGTCTGCCTTGGTCATCCGTCATGCCAGTATTGATAGCCAGAATGTAGTACTTCTCATTATAGTAATTCTGGGATGTCTCCAGCTTGTCAAGGAGATCAACTATATAGTCTCTTTTCAATCCTTTGTTTTGGTAGCCAATAAAACTCAAGGTTTAGTTCTGTATGATCCAAGGAGACTGAAACAGGACAAAGGGTGAAATGGCCAGCTCCTCAGAGAGTGTGGGCTCCAGGGGAGAGAGTTATCAAATCTTTTGTATCACTGTGGTTTGGTGGATCGCTGAAGAGGGCCCTTTCCCACCTCTTCATGCAGTCATCCTCCCAAAAGCATCAAAGGAGCTTCCAGAAATCTGAAATAGCAAATGGTTCTTGTCCAGCTGCCTTGGTGAGGTAAGATGGATAAATATGAGCAGCATCAACATTGTCTGCACAAGCACACACATTTCACTGTCACTCTCTTTGCACTACAGGAGGTGTCACCAAATTTCACTAAGCACTGGGTGTATGAAACAAACTTTTTCAACTGCTGCTTCACTGTGAAGCCTGGATGTAGCAGATTTTGAAATACCATGCAATGGACTGAGACATTGTTGCCCTAGGACGACGATCAGCTGGCGAGAACTTTTCTTACAAGTGCAAGGATAATTCCTAGACTAGCTTTACATTGAGTGATTGCTGATGCTGGATGCACAATAGCAAACTCAAGTGACCCGTGCACAAGTTCCTTCATCTCATGAACCCCTGCCAGGCGAACCTTCTGGATGAGAAACTGCAATTTTGAGATATCTGCAACCTGGCAGAAAGCCCAAAATCCGGCTGGACCTGCTTGTACTCAGGAAACTATTCTTGCATGACACCTTTCAATTCGCGTGGGATATATGCTCTCATGCATCTGACCGCTGGTTCCATTGCTCGTTGTCGATATCGGACGAGGGCCGCGCATCAGTAGATACAGCACTTGCCACGGAGTTGCTTGGGACTGCAGACAGAAGGGACGGGAAAAGGATTCAAGCAGAGGTAGCTCACTGACAGTTCGCAGACAAGGTCAGTCAAAGTTGAAGTGGAACAAAATTTGCGGAAAGAATCGAGGTTGATGGATGTAAAGCGTAGGCAATCGGGAGGGTCACGCGGATGGATTTAGGCTTAAAACGGCGTTGAAGAAGGGTCCCTCTGAGTGGTCACACCCCAGCACACAGAAGCATCAAGGGGTTGCCCCACAGGGCTTAGCGCCGCCTGAATCAGGTAAGGTGTCAAATCGCCAATTCGCGTCGCTTGGCCATCCTAGGTCTCCCAAACTAATCACGGCGTACCCTGTATAGTCTTCAGTCTTCTCGAAGTTCCAACCAAAAAAACTCGTGTTTTTTGAAATAACAACATCTTCCTGTGTTCTCCTCCAAGAGCTTCGTGGCTCACCATCCTCCATCTTCTTTCTCAATAGAGCACTACGTATCCCGATCCACAATGTCCACAGGCCGAGCTACGTTCCGGAACGTTCACTTTTACAATGCGTTGACAGGGGATTGCCTTGGAGGATTTTACCAGAAAGGATCTCTCACTGAAGAAAGCATGATTGGGATTCTTACCAACATACTTTTAATTGTGGAACAACCTTTTACTGTCAAGCACAGAATGTCGGATCGGATCATTACTCCTTCAAAAGACCCGGTTGAGCTTGGAGATTATGACATCTCCTCCACAGGTTTGTGTTTTTACATGTATAATCCACAGAGGTCACTTAAGCTTATTTATCTAGGACCCCTTCATCTGAACGATGAGCCATGCGTGGCGCGACTCATCACCTACTCTTCCTCAGGCCAAGAGGATCAATTCCGCAGCGGGGTCCGTGCGAGAGATCGGAAATGCGTTATATCTGGACGAGTCAACAATCTAATCCAATTGAACATGTGGCCAGCATTTCATGCTGCGCATGTATTTCCACTAGAATGTGGGAATCTCTGGTGTGAATTCAACTATGGGCGTTGGGTAACAAACATGGATGATGCTGTGGGCATATCCAAAATCAACTCAACTCAGAATGGTCTACTCATGGACGCGTCTTTGCACAATCTTTTCGACCAGTATCTCTTCTCTATAAACCCAGATGTAGGTGTTTAGGATGCTTAACTTGTTTGCTCTGCTAACATGGCAAAGGATGGCTACAAAATCATCTCATTCTTCCCTGACGACATGACCATTGATGGAAGAATCCTGGATCCCGTCTGCCGCGATCCAACCGACCCTAATCATGTATCAGATGAGCTCCTCCGATGGCATTTTCGACAATCCGTGCTTGCCAATATGCGAGGGGCAGGAGAGCCTGTCTTTGAGTCTGACTTCCCCCCGGGAACGGATAAGATGGCAGTCCTTCGTGAGGAGCTGTATGGAAAAGAGAGGTTCGAGATGGAAATTGAGTCGCGGCTACGATCCGTGGGCTAGAGGCGCCTGACCAACATTCCAGCGAATATTCAACGGATTGTCTCGTTCGTGGATCCCATTCGGTCACAGCGCTCGGATTGTGGATGCTATTATCCGGCACAAGACATAGGCGATGAGTCGTTTTCAGGGTTATACACCTTTACATTTTCCGTGAATATCTTGTAAACCGAGTGGTAGACAATTTATTTCTCAACCATAGAAGCAACCGCTATCTCTACGCCAGCGAGTTCTCCATCGATATCGCCCGGCTTTCCATTATGTCCTACACAAGTTGCAACAATGCTCTGCAGAGAAGGTATAAGGACTATGACAGAAATTGAGGTAAGAGAAAAGTCTCAGAAGGGATATATTCTTGTTTCTCGTCAGGAGTTATGATAGCTGACTTGTGAAAATAATCGTTACAAAACTGCAAGAACAGGGCAGAATGAGACCGTTCCAAGCAGTACAAAAAGAGAATTGACATGTGGTTAGCTGTAAGAGGTTAGGCCCTCTATCAGTTTCTCAGGCGTTGCCCTCGACATCCGCGGAGTACATCCGCCAAGTCGTCCACCAAGTTGTCCGAAGGATAGTTTATCCGTTATCACATGACCTAGAACTGCGCTGGTGTTTTAATTTACATCTTTTATCCTTCGTTCTTTTCTCCTTCTTCAACGTTTCCTCTTTGTACATAAGGAATATACTAGCTATTTGTTATACGCTCCCGTTTCCCCTACTTGTCAGGCTGGGTTGCACCCCCACATTACGTTAGCTCCTGGTTCCCAGGATGCGAACCAAGGCTTAGGCTATCATCAAAGGCATGCCTGGTGACCTGGTTAGGGATGTTGGAGCGGCTTGAACTTGGCTGTGAGGTTGCAAGAATGCCCTGGAGGAACAGCAAAAGCGTGGCCTTAGTTGGAAATGTGGTCTGCCCTGGGGCTTGGGAAAAATGCCGTGGGGAAATCTGAAATGCCCTGGGGGACCAGCAAAAGTGTGGCCTCAGTTGGCAATGTGGTCTGCCAAAAATGCCGTGGGGAAATCTGAGGACGCTTTTGCTGTTCCCGCTTTTTTTCAACTTGTTCAAAGCCACCCCTTCCCTGACTACCTCCCACTGAAAGCTATAATTTTAATTTGCCCTAGACCTTTTCACCTTCTTTATCTCTTCTTCCATTGCTTCCAGCAATGTTTATGGCGACTATGAAGCACTCATGTTTATTCCTGGCTTAGCAGAAGTATACCTAGGTAAGCTATCTATCTCCTGTGGTGGTTCAGAAGTTAATAGCACCAGGCCGGAGCATGACTACAGAAAGAGCAATATTTTTGAAAATCGGGAGCACCCCAGCACGTGTAGCAAGTCTTTCACTTGAATACAGAATTCTTTTTATTAGAGAGAGAGTCAGAGTCAGTTATCTTGCTGCTCTTTCTCTTACTGATGCTTGGAAGGGGCACTGGAGTTACTGCATGGAGTGACACATCAGGAACGAATGGATCACTGGCGGGCAAACCCTCGCATGCCTCGAAGGAGATAATGAAAAAGTGACTTAGGCTGTCGGGTGAAGGCTGGCCATTCATTGAAATTCCCTTATCTGGCCGAGCGCTTGTGGCAGTCATCATCTTACGCACAGTCTGATGCTGTGCGCTTCGCCGTTCAGTCGGAAAGTCCACATCCGAGTAGGCAAGATCAAAGTAAATGTTGCTGATGAGGTCGTCCGCATTGATTGGTGGCTGAAATCTCATCGTCTCTTGAAGGTCGTACTGCACCTTGAGTGTGCCGCAGATTAACTGGAAGGAGTGTTAGCGAGGATCAACAAATGGGGTCTCAAGCACATGCATTCTTTGTTTCTCGCTTCAGCGTCCAGGGGAAATCATGATTCGATTCGTAACAATAGTAGATCCTCCAGTATCGAACTCTGACGAGGAAGCCACTTAAGGATACGACGTTGTGATTTTCAAGGTACCATCATAGAAATGCTTCGACAACATTCAAGTCCACGTTTTCGAGCTAGTGACGGTGAAGTGGGCAAATATGTGTGTCCCAGCTAGTGAGACGGATCGTAGAGGATACTGCCCAATGACGTGTGTGAGGGAAGCTATGGAAAAAGAGAGGGAAAAGAGCGAGGCCGGCGAGGCAATAGCGAGTGGAGAGACATATCCATGAGATCTAGCTATCATACAAGTGACTGCTCTCTCTATGCAATGAATAATGTACAATGTGTGTCCTCGAGAGGAAGATGGTCCAAGATCAGATGCTCGAAAGCGTACAAATATAGAGGGCGAAGGGAAAAGGGGGGGGGGAAATCGGCGCCGGGCTGACTAAGCATAAAGCGGGGGCGGGTTCCCCACTACAATGGGGTCGGCTTCAATTCTTGAACGAACCTTGTCAAGGTAAGAAGGCTTCAAGCAGAAAGCAGGTCAGGCGGATGTACCGATTCCAATTTTTTTCCATGCCTGCCATTGTCGCCAGTGTATTCTCCTCGAGGTCTGGCTTTGGTGGCTCTCTTGGCCTACTGATCATATCCATCCACTGTGTACGGCTCCTCTGAGCTGGAACCTTGCGTTTGACGGGAACCCTGGTGAAAGGCAAGACTGGGGACAATTGATCGATAAGGGTACATCAAAGGAGATGGGTATCAGAGAAAGGAAGAATGCTGCACGCCCAGCACTGTACGAACTTATATATTCTGATCATTGTACTCCGTAGAGATTGGCCGCAGGCTCTTTTTGGAGGAGGCGTGAACATCGAAGAGCTCAGAAAAAGCGAATCATGGGCATTTTTTGATGTGGTGTGCGCTGGACGGAGCTAAGAGCTCCTGGCGTAAAAGCAGCACCGCCAACAAAAAAGGCCACGCCCCTAGTGTGGCCTTTTAAGTTGACATCCCCCAGTTACTCCGTACCTCAACCTCAACCCATTGCCGGGACAGACAAGAGCTTCGTGGCGGGGTATCACGGCGGGGTAACTCGTTCACAGACCCAACCAGCTCTGACGAGACGCTCCGTACTCACACCACCACACAGCGACATCCCACGATTATTCCACGAAATTCTCCATCCGTCTTTATGTATGTATATGCATGCATAATGTGTGTGTGTGTCCACTTTTTCCCTTTTGCTTCCTTCATTAGCCGTCGAAGGAGAAAAAAAAAAAAGGACATCAAGCAGTCTGTTTGCTGGCGGGCTCAAACAGAGATGGAGACACCATTGTTTGTGTATGAGTTCTTAATCCGATGAAGACAGCAGCGTTGATCCCGCAGTGCTCCCGTATCGTAAAACATCCAGAAAAGATGAGCCATCGCCGCCTTCTCGCTGTGATCGTGACTACCCCTCGGCCGGCCTTTTCTTCCCTTCATCGCCCGAAACTCTCTCTTGGAAAAAGCGGATCTTCCTGGGAACCTTGACAGTTGCTCTCTCATCAACCCCGCCTCCCTTTTTTCTTTTTTTTTCCCCGTGGAATCTCCCCTCGCAGGATCGCACTAGTAGATAACACGATTGACAGTCGCCGATGGAGTGTCTTTACCCGTCATCCTGACGTTCTGGCTGCCCGACAGATCCGCGTCTTGACGGCATTTTCTTCGAGAAGTCGGGTATTTTGAAGGAGAAAAAAAAAAAAAAAAAGGGCCGCCGTCCAATCCCTGTGCCATTTTGAGTGCATGGTGGGATGCATGTCTCCGCCCGTTCTGCAAAACAATCCCGTCATCGAGGACTTTCCGGCTGATCACTCGAGTTCTCCTATCATTAATTCCGGCCTTGGCATAATGGATCCATGTCTATGTCGTCGCCTTTGTAACGAGTCAGTTGGAGTTGGAGGGCATTCCATCCCGGCTGACAGATCAACCCAGAAGGAAGTTTTAGAAGTCGCGCTTTAAAGCATGCCACGAGACGTCTGCTCACGATGATGGGTTCGTACATCAAAAAGAGAGAACTCCGTATTTTAATAGGACAACACTCTTGTATGGAGTTATTCCCCATTAATACGATATTATTGCGTGAGTGAGCACGGGGCATGCCGATCGGATCTCCCCAGGGTGGACCGTGACGCGAGGATGATTCGCATAAGTCCGGGCCATCAGCTGCCCTTCTTCGAGTTTCTCCAGGTTTCAGCAGCGCGGAGAGCCTTTCGTGCACGCTCCCCAACTCCGCGACATTTCCAGTTTACTATGTAACTATGAGCATATAGTTTTTACCTCTGGGATCGCGCTGAACAGACTGTGTGCCAGGCCGTTGGATCCCAGTGCTCTGGAAGAGGAGCGTTGATGATGCGACAGACCTCAAGCCGAGGGCGTTTTGTGGGGGTGTTTTTGTAACGCTTTTGACGCGCCAACAGTCGGAGCTGAGGAGCCTTATTATGTCCCGCGCCCGCTGCTCCTGGTCACTCCCACCGTCACTTGCCACTGTCATCGTTGTTACATTTCGGAGTCCTGCAGGTGGACAGTCGTTCCCTTTCCAGCCCCGTCTACCTCCGTACCTGTCTTTTTTTTTTGTTGTTTCTCTCTTTTTGCGTATTCTGTTTGTCTGTTTGACTGCCGGCAGAACGCGCAATCCAGCACCGATCGACGCCCACGCTGATTGGCCGAAGCTCCAGGTCGCCGGAAGGAATGAAGCGCAGCCAGCCTCTGATTGGCTGGGGTGGCGGAATTGTTACTCCTCTATATACCAATCAGAGGCCGTAATTATACCAGTGGAGACGACCCACATCGCCGATCAGGAACTAAACGTGCTTTATTTCGGCGCTATACCATATTTGGTATGATGTTATGGATCCTGTCACTGGGGAAGTGGAGCCACTAGTCAGGTACGGAAGTTACGCTAACCCCATCTGGTCTGGCGGGATGTGCCAGCTGACCAACCAGGAGACGCCGGCGGATGCCCAGACATGTGAAGTTCCCTTTCTGAGGTCTTTCCCTCCCCGTCGCTGCTGCCAGGTCCAGTCGCTTGCTCTTTCTCCATCTTCATCTCCATCTTTGGACTTCGCTTCTTCTTCTTCTTCTTCTTCTTCTTCTTCTTCTTCTGCTTGTAATTTTTCCTTTTTCTTTTTCTTTTTCTTTTTTTGGCCTTCTTCTCTTTGTGTCTTGTTTAGTGAGTGTCTTGTATCTAATCTCTAATTCATAATTCCAGCCCAATTGGCCTGAGACATTAATTCACCTGTCAAGTCTGGCTGGCGACACTTGGCCCCCTTTCTTGGTCTTGCGACTGGGGTCTCATGCATTGATTGACGTCGCATCCGTCAAGTTACATACATAGATTGCTTGAATATTCTGCCCCAGCAACTCCTTTTACCCCGTCGTCCCTTTTCCCCTTTCATGATCCTATTCCCTTTCTCTTCTTTTCTTTTTCTCAACGCTGCCGAAACCCTCGATGCTCACCGCCGACCATCGCCATCATTATCACCAACGCCAACACCAACACCTATCTTGAGGAACGACTTCCAGCTCAACGTCCGCCAAGCCGATTTCCATACAACGGTTTACCACTACTGCCGCCACGAACCCCCATTTTACGGTCGCATATTAACCTCCAGGTGTGGGTGGTGGTTGAACTGCTTTCTTTTGCTTTTGTGACTGTGACCGATATATCCTGGCTAAAACCCGCAACAATCTCGACCCAGCTCCCCAATGATCCTGCCCGCAATCTTTGATCACTTTCTGAACGACCATGGCGGGAGACCTAGACGACTTTCTACCAAAAATAAAATGTTCAAGCTGCCAGGCAGAGGTCGAGCTGTCGGCCATGGGAGAACATGTCTGCCAGAAGGAAGATAAGCGTACGCAACACCGAAGTGCCTACACTGTGATCCATTTTCATGGACTACCATACTTCGTAACTTTGGAGACGAATCCACTGACATTGCTGCGTGTAGCACTCCCTCCTCCACCTGCACCACAAGCAGAGGCCAACTACGGGGATGGTCGGCCCAGCACAGAATTGGATAACCTAGATGGGCCTCTCGCCAAGGTTGGACGCATGGCACCCCCACCTCCCATTGATCCCCATGCTGCAAGTAAGTCTACAGCTCCTTGTGTACCTCCCTTCCAATGGCGCATTGCTAAATATGGCACAAGACCGTCCCTTTCTCCGATTGCTCGTGCCGACATCTCCAACAAGCGGCGGCATCAAATCGGCGTCTCCCCTGTCCTTCTCGCCAAAGTCACCCATGCGTCAGCCTCAACGAAGTCAAACGTCACCCTTACCCAATATTCCCTCTCCAGAGCGAGCTAACATAGACTCCGTGATTCCTCCATTCCCAGGACCTGATCCTAGAGCCAGTACAAAGAGCAGGTCTAGGGCCAGGACCTTGGTCAAAGGAGAGCGCGTCCAGAGTCCTCTGGTAACCAGTCCCTCGGAGATTGCGAATAATGGCTTAGATTTCCGGCTCAACCAGTCAACATCAACGCCAGTACATGAGGATGATGACGATGATGACGATCATGAACGACGTCGACGCCGCTCGCGGGCCAACAGGCACAAACGGGAGGTCTCAGTCGATAGCAAAAGCCTATATCGAATGTCAATGGCAAGCAGTCGCTATGGGGATTCGATCTCTCGATCCTCCACTCCAGGATTCCCAAACACCGCTAGCCTGCGTGGCCACCCTAACTACTTGGACGAGATCCCCCCTCTTCCAGCCTTTCCCATCAAGAGTTACACACCAACCCCTTTCATAGCCGAACCAGAGCCGTATCAATTTCCAAACACAGAAGAATTCGAAAATGATAGAATCGCCACGACTCCTCCCAGGAGCTCTGGATTGTCGACTGGTCTTCCCGGGTTTGAACTTGGATTTCCTATCGATGGGGAGCCCCCAAAACCGCAAGATCGTCATTCGCATGCTGCACGATTATCAGAGGGTAGCCGTGGCAGCGTTCCTCTAGAGGTGAAACGTCCGGATTCGCAAAGGGGACCAGGTCAGGATGTTGATTTCCCTGCGTATTCTGTCCGGGAGGACTTCTCCGTCTCGAACTTTGCACGCGGTCTTGGTCTCGGTGACCCTTATCATACGACAAACGATTCTACTTCATCCTCAGATTCTTCTCCTTCGGACGCTGCAACAACAGTATCCTACTCTACACAGCCATCCGAACCACCCAGTGCAGAGCTGAAGCCCCCTCCGAGCCCCTACAAGTACGACCTTGATTCGCCAACGGACCCGTTATTCCAGCAGGGTCGCTTTGAATGCACGCCACCGAAATATGAACGCTTTGGTGAACTTGAATCTGAACCAAAGCCAGAGGAACGAAGAGGTGAAGTACGATCCGTCAGGTCTCGCCGTCCATCTCAGCCCAACCAACGCCCGACGAAGACCGATTCCCCTCCACCAACACCCGCTCCTCCAAAATCGCCTGGACAACCTCGTCGTGTTCGTTGTCGGGGCTGCGGAGAAATAATCGTCGGCAAATCTGTTTCTTCTGCTGATGGTCGCTTAACCGGTCGATGGCACAAAGCTTGCTTCGTGTGCTATACCTGCCATTCGCCCTTCCAGACGGCGGACTTTTACGTTCTGGACAATAATCCGTTCTGTGCACAACATTACCATGAACTAAACGGATCATTATGCGCCTCTTGCGGACAGGGAATCGAAGGACCCTGTCTGCAAACCGAGGAGATAGTGCGAGACGAGAAAAGCGGTACGGAAAGAAGACAAATCTTCCATCCAGACTGTTTCAGGTGCAAGATGTGTCGAATCGTGCTGAGAGAAGATTACCTCGAATGGAATGGCGACGTATACTGCGATCGAGATGGTCGCAGAGCAGCAGCCATTGCATATTCTCCTCCATCGCCAGGTTTTCCTCCTGGTCCCGGTCCTGGTCCCGGTGCCGGTTTCGGTTCAGGTCCCGGACGAGGCCGATCCCCAGGACCCGGGTACAATGGTCCACCACCTCCAGGCTATGGCCGTCGACCGTCCTACAACTCGCCGCTCCCCGGCGCACCGCGAGGTGGATCAGGCCCGGGACCAGGTCGAGGCCGCGGCCAGGGTCCAGGACGAGGTTACCCAATTCCGCCCAACCGAGGACCTGGCGGTCCTCCCGCAATGCCGAAAATATACCCTCCCAGCAGAAGCGGCAGTGGACGCAGCAAGCAGCCTCCTCCGATGGGAAACTCTCTGAATCTTCCCGGTCCACGCAAGTTCCCAGAACGGCGGAAGACGAAACTGATGATGCTATGATGATACACAGACACACACCCCTTATATAATTATACACATATATGTAATTAGATCTAATTACTAACTCCCAGGGATAGGCGGAGAGAAAAGACAATGCTCTCGATAAACGCCCCCTCTTTGCTCTTTAGGCCCTATTATTCATACGGTTCTACCATTCCCTATTCTAGTCTTGCCGTTCTACATTCCCCCTCTCCTTCTATACCCCTTAACGATCCCTCGCTGCCCGCTGCCTCCGCAAGTTCCTGTATCCTCAAAACAATTCTCCTTTTTCATAATCCCGTCACCACCAGAATGCTCCTTTCGTCTTCTTGTTATTGATTTGTATCATGCTGCCTGGAAGTGTTGATTTCCTTGTCATACTCCTTTTTCTTTTTTGTTCCTCTCTCTCTTCGTTTGGACCCGGAAAACAGGACTGCTGGAGATAGCTTTATACCCTCTTGTCTTTTGACATTTTTGTTCATTTATTGAATTGTCTATCTACTGATTTATTCATCATTTTGTTTTATATTTCCTGCTGTATTATTTCTATATTATTGATCCACTTTGTTCAGTTCATGCCTTCTTTGCCTGTTGGTGTACAGTGCTGTATGTGAATAGCTGATATTATCAGTCAACACTCAATTCACGCAACTCATTGGTATAATATCATAGTCATCTATTCCGGAATGCTTCTATTCATGTATAACTTAGGCATAGCCGAGGGAATCCTCCACTGTGCTGTCCAACCTCGCAATCCTAACTGGGTATATCAACATCAACAGCATCCCAAGCACCCACGACGCCACTGCCGCAGCCAGCGCCACGAGCCTCTGTTCTAAGCTGATCTCCGCCTCATCACTTGCAAACCCATCCCCATAACCATCGTCCTCCCATTCTCGCACAATCTCGCCAAACAAAGCCAGCTTATCGGTAATCACTCCATCCACTCTCCTTCTTACACTCCAGCGCATCAGCACCTCTTTATTTACAGTCCACACAAACACAGCCTTCCCAGCTCGCTTGGCATCCGCGAGGAATCTCCTCCCACCGCACCCCATAAGCACTTTCTGATTCACACTGAGATTAACCCCCGGAAGGGATATGAACTGGCGGGCATATTGGATGGAAAAAGTCGTTATGGCAAGCGGGTATGAGGGGAAATGGTGTCGCACTTTGGAAAGATATTCGGCCTAATTGATCCGATTAGGGACGGGGGAATGAGAGCGCGTGGTCACGCGTAAATATATAGCGTTGGACAAGGGGGAAAGGGCATATGTAAGAAGGAAATTGGCCCCGCGTACCGTCCAGCAGCCTAGTACCACACGCTCATTCCAGGGTCGATGGGGAGATGCGACGGAGTCGAAGGCCTGGCTAAGGGCGGTTATTACATTATGTGCATTATTGTCAGCCTGTTCTTCCCCTTGAGGTGTTAGAGCGGCTGGAAGTTTCTTCCGGTGACTTGCGATGACAGACCTTTATGTCCAGGATTATCCACACGTTCGCGCGCTCCGGGGCAGCTATATAATCCAGCAGGTCTATCAGGCGCGGCATGGGTCTGTGTGGAGGCTTCACGGTCCGTAGGGCACTCAAGCATTTCCAATCGCAGTCGATGACACGTTTGTCGACGCCAAAACAGCGTTTAAGCGTAGCATCCTAGGGCAATGCTCAACTATCAGCCATAATCTCCAGAGGATTATGGGTATAAAACACATATTGTAGCCATAGCTACAACCGACGCACATGAGAAAGAACCACCACGCCGTCTCTTGAGAGATGGATATCCGTCTCAATCGCATGCGCACCAACTTCAACCGCATGCATGAAAGCACTCATTGTATTTTCGGGGAACTTTGCGCTGTATCCTCGATGAGCGATGGCCTGAGGGACAGTGATCCCCCCGCCTTTCGAGCGGATGGACTGAGCCCATGTAGCTCCTGCTAAGTCAGCGTCTTATTACTTCTACCGTCCCGTCCATTGCATCCGGGAGGCGTGGGGGGGAACCGACGACTAATCGGCTCGAACAGCGTACTAGAAAAGTGCGAACTCTTGGTCGACACCAAATGCCCCGTTTCCAGGGAACTTTCAGTGTCCAGCGGCGATAGACACTCCATTTCGTGAACGGTAGACCTGGATCTAACGCACAGGTTCCTTTTTGAACTATACCCGTCTCTTTTGATCCGCGCCTCTCTATTTTCGGGGCATTACTCCCGTATTCAAACACTCCAGGATAAAAGAAGGGGAAGGGGGGTTGGTCGATGATGAAAGGGGGGATGTCTGGGAGAAGGAAAGCATTCGATGAGAGAAAAGAAGACCAGGCCCTGGTTCAACCCATCGCCTGGGTGGTAAAAGCGAGTATGAAGTTCAGCACGCAGCAAGCAGTCGCGGGCTCCAGCTTCCCCTGCCGCCCGCAGCAGGCGAGGCGAAATTCAAATTCCCAAGTTGCGCTTTCGCTGCTGAATAACTCGGTATGGCTGCCCGTCGCTTCCTCGGAGAAAGACGCAGTAGCACATCCGGCGCAGAGAAACGAAAAGGTAGACAAGTCGCAGCGCTGGGCGGAGGCAAATAATAATAATAAAAATAATTCTCCGCATATTAAGCTTGCACAAGAGTTAGTTAAACCAACTGGCGGTTACATAGTTTAGCTAGCTTCTTCGTGAGTTGGCAATGAACTGCCCTCTCGCTTGCACTCTCCCAACCCCCTCCTTCGTCGCCTTGTACCGATTTGTCAAAGAATCGCGCGTATTCCTGCTCCGGCGAGCAAATTAGTAAGAAATTGCTAAGAGTGAGCGTGCGGAGTGATCATGGATAGCAGTTCCACGCGGACGGGAGGGGGCCGAAAGCAAGGACGGTGATGCGCGAGGACATGTTGGCGAAACAGGGGGTAAGGAGGAAACTTGGGCTGTTTGGAGGAAGTTTGACGGTGAACACAGGAAAAAAACCGGCCGTCGATTCGACCGTGTAGCCGATGATCCTGCTAGCTACGAGGAATCTTCATCGTGGAGCAGAGTGGATGGGTGGGTTTCAAGGGTGGAAATCGTTAAACCCATGATTTAGTTGTCATGAAGATGCAAAAGATGAATGTGAGACTTGAGAAAAATCCTAATTTTGCACCACTTTGTACAAAGTACTCCATGGTTATTAACTAAAGAACACTCCAATATATCAATTGAGCTACGGAGTTTACAGTTGAGCATATACAGATCAGCAACTGAAAATCTACCGTTCTGACAACCTCCCAAATCCTGTATGGCAGGTAACTTTGTCGAATATCAGATTGCGGCTTCTGCCATCACTTCTCCCTCAGCATCATGACAAGAAAAGCTTCCAGGAAGAATGCCGCCGTCCTACCAGGGTTGGAATACCCTTTCTGGGAGCCGGCACCGCGCTATTAATCACTGCTTTACCGATTATTTACTCTATTGGAAGCTGATACTCTAGACATCGGAATCGAACCGTTCCAACACCACTGTTGCCAATTAACCTGCCGTGTTTGTTTCGCTCCTGATATCCCACATCCTCTTCCGGCGAACTCAGAGATAGAAAATGCCACTCTTCTCACTGAGCACAATGGATATAACGTTGTTAAAGTTGGGAACGAGTTTGTTGTCAAATTCGGGGGGGCAGGTCAGGTTGACCTTGAAGGGATGAATATGCTTTTTGTCCAGTTCATATCAATTCCATTGTTTCTTGCTTCATTTTATATGGTTATTGTATCCTGATTGGAAAGATCAGGGAATCTCTGGTTAACAACTTTTCACTGCCTTCACGTCACCACATAACCTTTGCTGCTTGAGCCTGACGGGTGTTTGAGCTCCATTTAGATGGAAGCTTCGAAGCTGTTCCCAATTGCGCGACCATCTTCACCCTGAGTGGAATTCCGGGCCGTTCCGTCAGCCTGCAGATGTGCGTGATGTTGGATTGGCCAGAGTACCAGGACTGCGCATTGACACCAGCGCAAAAAAAAAAAAAAAAAAGAAAAACAGGTAAGACATCAAGGCAAGAGCGGAGTGCAGCGTAGACTAGCAAGTTGATTGGTTTTGACCGCTGCTACTTCACCAAGAGGGAGTGTCCCTGTCGAGTCTGCATTGAAAATCCAATTCTTTCTCACGAGCTGAACATCAGTAGCCAAATATTCCCCACCCAAATTGCACTCAAATCAGCTAAAAATAAGAAGTCTTCATGCGATTGAACAACCCACATCAAGTGCCCGCAATTCACAGAAGGACAGGCGCAACGCGATGACTGTGCCCTCAGTCGATCAACAGATAAACGACCATCTTCAAAAGCAGCAGGAGCTCAATGATAGAATTGAAATTTCGGCTGCTTTCACAATCTTACATGAGGTAATTATCCTCCATCGATGGACTAGAACAAGGCAGCAAGCTAATCCTAACAGAGTACCAGTGACTGCCTACCGTGTACGACTCTCTGTGGAAACATTGAAAGAGTCGCTCTCCAAGTCGTCCGATGCGGGTTCTGAGACCTTGCAACGGCATGGGTGGCTGGTTGGACTGGTTTTTGGGACCTCAGCTTGAGCGCTCGTCATCATCTGATTCTGTGTGAGGTACAATTCTCTGTATTCCGAGCTCATCGCATTCCTTTTTGAACAGTTCGAGGTCGTGAAGTTTCCTTTGCAAATGCCGCCAGCTCGGGTTGATGTATCTCTAGATTGAAGAAATCGCCCAATCTTTTTCGGTATTGATGTTTATCAGATTTATATTAGCCAGGATCAATTACATCGGTGTAGACATTCCCAAAGTGCAGTGGTTGCATCAGTCCATGGGCAATAAAAATATCCCAGGTACCCAATTTTCTTCTTGCAGAGATTGGAGAGCGGGAGTTTGGAAATATTGCTGGAGTTCAGGTGATACTGATATTCGACATCTCTTGTTTCTGACTCAAACACAGACACCAAGATATCATAGTACAGTCGATTATATACTTCTTCAACACTCCAAGCACTTCGCAACCACTGAGCCAAGGTGGAGGTACAAACATCTGCAGAGGGATTGTGTGACTCCATTCCCAGTCCAATACAGAGACGATATTAAGGTCATCGTCCACAAGTATATTCGCAGAGCGTAGATCACCATGCATCAAGACAAATGGTCCATGGTTGTGTTCCGGTTTCACCCAATCCATCAAGAATTGGCGGGAGCTATGTAGGCCATATAAATATGAGCGAGCATCTGATTCACCACAAACACTGTCCTGTCTCAAGTGAAATTCATCCAGTAAAGCTTGGTGAATCATAAAGATGTAGTCAATGGCTGAGTGGAATACCTGGTTGGGTGCAATTAAGCGAGACGGGTTAAACCCTGCAAGTGTCTGTTCGTTCATGAGTATAGAAAGACGTCGATTATGCTCAAAAACCCAGTTCTTGTCGTTTGAATCAAGAGTAAGTGCACCAATATGGTTGAATTTGCTGTTGGAACAGTTGGAGATAAATATCCACCAAGCTTCGCAAACAATCGACGTTTGTCGGAATCCGGGAGCTTGGGGATATCAATGTTGATAAGTGCTTTGCCATCAATAAAATCAATTAACATAAATGGCAACCCAAGAATGTTATCTTTTCCTAAACAATATCCATGCAGATGTGGAATGGGGATAGTAGTCTTTCCTGTGATGAGCCAGCATTGTGGATGTGAATGGAGGCATCTACGCCGTACCTGAGCTTCTTTTCAGGTAGAAGAGCTTGTTTGCAGGGTTTGTACTGTTTGCGCTTGATCATGATGATGTTTTTGTTCACTGTTCTAAATTGAATTCAGACCAACATAGCTCCTTTACGGCTTGCCACCTAAGGCAAAAAAGGCCAATCACCAAGGGAGTGAGTTAATTATCCTTAAGACTCTTACATTTGCTATCCTTCTTCCCTGTGATGTTCCGGGTACACAAATCCTCAGCAGGCAGATCTGAAAACAACAATAACAATAGCAAAACGGTTCAACCTCCACTCCACAATCAAGGGATGTTAATTTCCCGCTCTCAATCCAAGGAGAAGGGATCTAATTCCATGATAGTTAGAAACTTACTTGCTCTGCGGCGGACATGTTTCAGGCGGAGCAGTGGGAGACGTGATAATATAGTCGTTTTCGAACAAGGCCTGCCCGAGCTTGACGGCCTCGATCTGGTTCTGCGCGCATGTGCTCGGCATGAACCAGTAATAGCACGTCGGGCTCGGCGAAGGAGTCGGTTTTTCGCTGTGCGTCGACGCGTTTTGGCCCTTGGTCGCATAGTGCGGGTTGGCGACCAAATCGACCTCTCCCGTCGCGAAATCTCGGCTGGTCAGCACACGACGGAAGAACTCAAGCGCCAGCTCAGGCTGGTAGGCGGGGACCATGTGGCCTGATTGGTAGATTCTACTGAATGAGTAGTTTCCGTACTGGCGGACCACTCCCCAAGACTTGCTGGAGTTCCCTGGGCCTTCGAGCTGGATGTCCGCATAGCCAGCTGCCCGGAAGCCGGCAGAATAATTGGACTCGACGGTGAGACTGACCTTTTCGCCTCCAATCCAGTTGCATGCAAAGTCTCGATCGCCGTATACCAGAGCCACCTGGACGTTGGATTCAAGCAGATATGCAATGTCCGCCAGGTACCCTCTCTTGTCGTTTCTCGCATAGTCTCCTGTGTTGGTAAAAGCTTGTCCAATCGACAGAGATCCCTCCGTGTAGTTGACGGGAACGCCCAACGCCTGCTGCACGTCTGGAAGTGCCAGATATCCGTCATAGTACTCGGCCGGGAATGGATCCAGGTAGCAGTGGGCTATATCGTAATAGCCGTATTTGTTTTCACTGATAAAAGGAAACTCGACGGCAGTCTGACAGAAGTCGCTGGCGTTGCTACACGCCCAGTTAACCTCGTCATTATTACCGAGGGCTTCGGGATCTAATTTTTTCGCGACGTTTTGACACTCAGAGGTCCTTTGGAGACAAGGTTCGAGACTTGATTGCATTTGGTTGTGAACCGACTCATTTACTGCCTGTATCCCGTAGGAATTGTTGAATGCCATTATCGGGAACGAATACTCTTGAAGCGGCAAGTCAATGCAGCCGTTGATGACACCCAGATTTTCCAGAGCCAGTACTTTGCCCTTGGTGGAATTAGCTTGAATCTCTGCATTCCTCTCCTTGATATACCTCGCGAAAGCTGGGCCATACCGGCCCCCGTACGACTCCGTCCAGATGTTGATAGCGAAGTTTTGCCGATTGTTGGTATACCTGTCAAAGTCCTGTGCCCAAGTTTCAAGAAAGTACCAGAACTGCCTTGCCGCATTCTCCGTGGTATTCGCCGTATTGCTTATATTCTGGCTCGCGAACAATCCTGCGATTTTCGTCGTACTGTTGTTGGGTACTTCCCCAGCATAAATGGACGCCGTTTCCAGGTCCATGTACCCCTTGGTTATCACATCATAGCTGAACCCTGCCTGCACAGGCTGGTCGACATACAGCATGTTAGAATATTTATTCCAGGAGTAGTTGTTTGGCACCGATGTCTTGGAATCATTGAGGACATGGCACGGCCCATTCTCGGCAAACAAGCCGAAAACGGAGGCAGAACCTGGTCCGCCATTGAACCAAATAGACAGCGGATTTTCTTGTGGTTTGTTTTGAGATTCGAAGTACCAGAAGAAGAGGTTGACCGGGTACGTCTGGTCCACGCCGGTCATAGCACTGGGTGGAAAATTGACGTAACCGGCGTACGACGCCGCTTTCCCGTCACAAATACTCTCCTATGAAGAATTAAGCGAATATTGATTACCTAGGAGACTTGGGACTGGATGGGTTACCTTCACTTTCTTATAGGTGATATTGACTCCCGGGAGGAACTTCGAATTGATGACCGTCAAGCCTGTTGGTGTAGGAGGATATCCGGCTTGGATCACTCCTACGAGAGAAAGGAGCTGAATTAGGGTAAGCATCCACATTTTTCCTTTGTTTAGATAAAACTGAATAAAACTGCGGAGTTTGACTAGGATTTGGTACCTGATGTGCTCAAGCAAAGGAACACAATTAACCCCTTTGTCCGGTACTTTGATCTTTTAAATTAACTACTTCACAAGCTTCGGAAACCGGATCAACCTAGAGCAATCCTATATCATATCATCCTTTTTGATAACCGGTTGAGAATGGCTAGATTCAGAACGCGGCTTGCATATGTGTATGTACCCAGGTGCACACTAGAACCACGGTTTGTTATCAACCTTAGCTAGCACTCCGCAGAAGTCCGAAAATGTTTATCCATACAGGTGTTCAGCAGTGAGCTATGAGATCACTGCTTGTACTATACTTTCAAATACGATGAAATACTCCGTATGGATGCATGCATATAATGCAGATTTGACAGAAGTAACTCCCACTACCAACTCAGTATGTAATTCACTAGACACATGCTAGCAATTTGATCTGTAAACCAGAGAACCATGGAAAATGCAGCCATCAGACTGCAAATATGACGAAGCCCGAAATAGAGACTTTTCTTTTGCGCTGATCAAGTAGAACAATACTAGCAATCTGCAACAGGATGCGCAGCTGCGCAAAAGGGTCTCAAGTCTGAAGCCAACATGCTTTTGACTGCAAGATTCACCGTGGCTATCTCAGGATACTGTGCTTCCGGGATGAAATTCAAACTTCACTGCATCTCGTTCAAAAACGAGGCAGTGAGTCGAGCCACCATGATGGAAAGCACCGATAATATCGCCCTTCTTAACGGTTTCGTCCCCATCAGTATTGCTAAACCATTCGCAGGTTGACACCTCGGACATCCCAACAGGAACAAACGCAACGAGCCCGATGTTCGCGCCGCCCGTGACCCCCGTGTCAATGATAAGAACACCCCGAGCGGCTACATTGGTGATAAAGCGTTGCGACAAATCCGGGCCACTTGGATCCGGCCCGCTCGAGCCGCCAAAGCCCGCAAACTTTGTCTCTGCAAAGTACGTTCCATCAATGAGATCTTTGTGTACAACCTTTCCTGTAACTGGGGAGTGCCAGCAATGATAAGAATCCGCACTGAGGAACGCCTGATATGCCGCGCCACCCACGAATCTATCAGGAAAATTCAAGGCTGCTGCCTTGGTCCCCAGCACGTCGTACAGGGAGTAGGGGGCCCCATTGAGCCAGAATGTATCGCGCCGGGAGACATCGGTGTCGAACGCAAGAGGGTGGGATTCACAAGCATTGATGACAGCGGCGCTCGCATCCAGGGGACGAACCGTATCATTGAATTTCCGCACAAAGAAATCATCCCAACACTGATAGCCAAAAACCTCCTTGGGCGCCGTCGGTTTGGGACATTTGAAGTAGTCTGAAAAGTTATCGGATTGCAAGGGAGGTGCCGTAGCCTCCTTTGCCTTATTGACCAGTTGCTTGATAGCCTCGTCCTCGCCCCAATGAGCTTTACGCAAAGCGTCATTCCCTCCCGATTTTTCTTTGAGGAACACGCCCCACGTCGTCAGTATTTCTTTGAGGTGCATATTGACTTCGGGATGCGAAAAGAACTGACGCCCGCTTTCCGTGCCCATAGGTTAGTCAAGAATGATATTGAATGGAAAGCCAATAAGACCAGTAGGTACATCCTTTCCCCTTGAATCTTTTCCCGAAAACCACTCAGGCACCCGTGTTAAGAGAGTTTGGAAAAGATATAACATAGTCTTATAGCTTCGGACTCGTTTCTTGAGGGTGGTTGCGTCCCTATCATAGGGCGCTTTGGTGGGCACTTCGTCGGACATAGAGATAGCAAGGCTGTAGAGAGTCGGATTTTGCTCAATCGCATCCCGGAACTTCGCAACTGGGTTTGGTTCGCCGACGTAATATTCAGGAATAGATGGCTGTATATCTTGAATGAGGGTTGGCCAGGCTTTGCGGAGCTTGAAGTCTCGGGCATCCAAAGCCCACATCCATGAAGAAGGCTTCCCGTCGCCATGACTGCTGACTTGGTGGAAATAGCTGGCAGAGGCCTGCAGAGTACCGGAGCACATACACGCATTGTCGAAGCTCTGTGATCTGGCTGTAAGTGCGATATTGTAGGAACTTCGTCCGCCGTTCTTCGTCCTCTCCAGTTACATACGTGGCTGGCCGCTCAGGCTTGGCTATGGATAAGATCCGTGGCGTAACTTGTTTAGGGATAGTTTGAATAGTTAACTGATTGGCCTTTTTGCCTAGTTAGTTAGTTAGTCTATTAATATACAGTATAAGCTTAGTGTGTTTAGATAGCTGCATAGTACCGAGAGTTGTGTAACTAGTCTTGGCGCCTGACAGCATCCAGCGCAAGCAACGCAACTCAGGGATAGTAATTGCTGATTACAGTTCCTTGTCGGCCAGAGAGCTGGTGTGGATGGTGTTCCTGGGCGGCAGAATCTTTCACGTCTGTTTCAAACATGATTTCGAATGCTTGAAGACTGTGAAGATGTACTAGTCCTGTCGCACAAGCTCCAGTTCTCTCTCCCCCCCCAAAGGTAGTGTGTCCAGTGCCTGCTGCACGCGGCTCCTCTCGCGCTTCCCAAACACAAACTCCAAGCCGATGAATAGGCGCTGTCCTGCAATCCTTGCTCCAACTCCCGAGAGTGTCTGAGAACTAACCCCAATTTGACGACGGCAGCATTACCTTTTGCTTTATATCCCAGTTGCCTTAATAAAGGCTTGGAACGCAGCTAATATTATCTGATTCTAACGACTGGCTTGGAATTCCGAGTTCACCGAGAATGTAACAATCCAAGAAAAGCGTCAGACCTCCCTAGAAACCATCGACCCTCCTGAATTCCTCAAGGGTGGTGACCCAGGCTCGGATGGAGCAGCATTTCACACCCAGGACAATGGTATTATCCTGATTATTGTCCTTCTTCTCATCTTTCTTTTGAACCTTTTTGGATGATGCATTTAGCACTGTCTTGGGTTTTTCAAGATCATTAGAGCAGGCGGCACAATGGACTGCTGGGAGATGATACACCAGGTATTGGTGGCATCTGATCCACCGTGTGAAGAAACGTCTGGCCTAAAACAGGTGATTGACTGTTGAGTTCTGTCACAGGGTCCACTTCGAGCCGATGTATGTCAGGCTTGAAGTCCGGGCGGACTGCCTTCCCGAACCTAAGACCGTATACCTGCATGATAGCATAAATCCGATCCTCGGGCACTGATGTCGAGCGATATCTGGCCGTTCCGTACTGGAAAATGGGGTTTTGTGGAATAGAGATAGTAGAACCCGGCCTCCATGATCTGCTCTTGTATACGATAGATGTCATTCTTCGTCTTTGCTCGCTGACCATGTGGTAGTTGATAGAGATATGAGAGATTCTGGCTGTTGTGAGAGTGGGATGGCATCCTTCCTCTCATGATAGTCTCCTGCAACGCCAATAGAGATGAGAACCACGGACCTGCGAAGAAATCCGCGACGGCTGGGTCTAGAAGCTCAGGCAAATTCTGAAGGCTGGTGGTCGTCACTGCCCTCCCATCAATATGGTCCCGGACCTCGAAACTGCGTTCGCAAATCTGACGCACACTCGACGCCATTGCGTCAGTGCTCAGAGATGAAAGCCACGCAGAGACCTTGTTTGCCCTTTTGAAAACGCTGGCTTGGTACCCAACCTTGGTGTCAGTGTCATTCTGGTCGGTTCAGGCTACATCTATCCATACCCATTCAACCCCATTCCGCGCCCTGTTGATAATCTCTTTGAAAGCCTCTACCGTGAAAGTGGTCAGGATCAATTGGTGATATTGCCCACGTCGTCGCCGAAACTGGTAGGGCGTCCGCCGTGATATCCTTGATCCTTCAGCGACCCCATGTGTAGGTGACGATGTTGTATTTTGGCGCCTCCGATACCTTATCCGTCTCCGGTACTGACATTTATTTTCCCCTTGCCTTTGCACTGGCGCCAGGCTCTCCACGTAGAGCAGTCGTCCGGCCAATAGTCTGAGACGTAGTCCTGATTATACAGAGTGGTTCTTTGCTAGGGAAGAGAGACGTAGTCCTGATTATACAGAGTTGCTCGGTTGCGTACCATTTTCGCAAAGCTTGGGTCCCAATAGGTAAATCGGGTATTTTGGGCATTTTCTGGATGAAAAAGCTAGCGGGGAAAACAGAGAGGGGAAATGGGGGAGCCGTTAGGAGGAGGCCGGGGTTGATTTGGGAGGGGGGATATTAAATGTTGAAGAAGAAGAAGAATTGACCCATGCATCCAAAGGTACGGTATTCCATTAAAACTCAGGATTTCGCTAAAAGGAAGACTATAGTTGGCAGCGAGAGAATCGCATCGTCATGATGGAAGGAAAAAGCAGCGAAAAAAATAAAGGGCCCATCAGACTAGGCCCTATCGCCACTTTAGAGCAAGGGTTGCTCTGAACTCAAGCGCAAACATATTTCATTATCATAGACGACATCTATCGGACATGGCTCTTTTCCCCACAGGATGAAAGAGTGGTTGGCAGCCAGCTTCTGTCGAAGAAGTGAAGCTACAAAAACGAAAGTTGGTTTTTGATGATCATCAAATTTTTCATTTATGGTTAACCCTGAGGATTCAATCACAAACTAATCAACAAGCAAACAGGCTGTTCACAAACAAAAAAAATGGAAAAAGAGAAACAAGGAAATCATCCATGTTCTTTTATCCCTCTAGCGTCTCAATCGATATTTGAATCGGCGCGATTTCTCTTGGCAAACCTAGCTGACTAGTCAACAGGGAATTTCTTTCGATAGCCTTGGATAACTAACTTACTGCCCGCTTAATGAGGCTCGCAGTGGACCACGATGCCCATGTTACCGTTGCAGGTTTCATACGGAGGGCCGTGCAGATGGCAGCCCGAGGGAGTGTTGTCGCAGCAAAAGTTGCAGCCACCGAGGTTGGTGCACCCGGATGGCATATTGCAGACCAGGACTCTCGACCTCGCCGGGGTAGCGGCGGCCGCGAGGAAGAGGGCGGAGAGAGCGGTGAAGACGGGGAGCTTCATGGTGTCACGAGTGCAGTCTGAACTGGCCTTGAACCGATGGATCGCTGAGGGATTGTTGGCTTGCTTGGCTTGTTCGTTCGCTGCTGGCGATGCTTGCGGATGGTCTTTCCATTCATTCTCAGCGAGTCCGTCAAGGCCCTTTTTATATCGCGACTTTTCCCTCGATGTCCTTGACTCTCCATGAGGTCCAGTTTTCGCTTCTGCTCGTATACCACCAGAGTTGGGGACCTCAAGGGCAGATACAGTTGCATGGAGTTCAATACTCCAGCTGTCGTCGCCTCTCCGACGGGCGTGCGGGAGACACGTTGGGCTTGCTTGAGGACCCTCGGAGAATATTATCCGAGTCACTTCGCGCACATGGCAACCCACAGTTTCGGCTTTGTTTCTTTTTCCTGGTCCCTCTCGTTTCTTTTCTCTGCTCCGTTTCGCCAGTTCCCGCTAGGCTGTCGATGAAGGTACTCAACTCCCTTCGCCAGCGCGGGATGCGGCGTCTTGGCTATCCTATCTCTGGAATAGCCAAGCACGACGGCAACGCCCAGGCACACTGTCAACAATTATGGGTATCTCAGCATGCTGTTGAAATTTCCGCTCGTGGGAGGGGTCCGCGCAGACATAAATACAGCCCTCACGTCGTATTGCTATCATGTGAACCCAGTGTTCCTCGACTTTGTCCCTCGCACCGAACTATACACCGCCCAAAATGGTTCTCAATCAATGGGTCGTTGTTTCAGTCTTATCTGTCCTCCATGGACATGCTCTGGCATTTCCACGACCTGAATATATTCCACCGTCTCCTGGTGGCGGCTCTTGCATGTACGCCGGGTTACCTCCCTCCCATATAACTTGCCTTTCTTGGCTGACCACCTCGACAGCTCGGATGGAGACCATGGGGACTGCTCATCGCTCTGCACTACCACCTCGTCGTGGACGGGCATTGCGACCTCTGTCTCAGACTTCGGCGCCTTCAAGAGTTCCCTTGATGCTAAGTATGGCACGGAGCCTTCCTCTGGAGACCGTATCCCCGTCCACACTACTGCCTTCTCCTTCCCCGGAGCTGGATACATCACTGCGTATGGCTATTACGACTCAAAAGCCCTCTCTTCAGCCGGATACAAGATAATCTCTGGCGTGACCACCATCACAGGGTCCTGTGAGCCAACAGCAACCCTTCCACCCTCCCCCACTGGCTCAGCATGCGAACCCCATGGTGACCATTGTAAGTTCTGCACTCTGTCTTGAAAGGACTCGGAATGATGCTGACCGTTATAGGGCACTGCGAGCCACTTCCAACACGCACCACCGAGCCCGAGCCCACATGTGAGCCTCATGGCGACCACTGGCACTGTCCTCCTGGTGTTCCTGAGCCCACAACGCCGCCACCAAGCGAACCATCTATCCCGGCAACTACAGGCACTTGCGAGCCTCATGGCGACCACTGGCATTGCCCCCCTGGTGTACCTGAGCCCACTACGCCACCAGGCCACCCACCGCGCGACAACACTCCCGGAGACGATGAATGCGAACCCCATGGAGACCACTGGCATTGCCCGCCCGGTGTCCCAGAACCAACAACCCCTCCACCCGCATCACAGCCTACCAACAGCGCTCCTGCTGGAGAATGTGAGCCTCATGGCGACCATTGGCACTGTCCTCCCGGTGTTCCAGAGCCCACTACTCCTCCACCCGCATCACAGCCTACCAACAGCGCTCCTGCTGGCGAATGCGAACCCCATGGAGACCACTGGCATTGCCCGCCTGGTGTCCCAGAGCCCACTACTCCTCCACCCGCATCACAGCCTACCAACAGCGCTCCTGCTGGAGAATGTGAGCCTCACGGAGATCATTGGCACTGTCCCCCCGGCGTCCCAGAGCCAACCACCCCACCACCCAGCTCTCCATCGCAGACCAACGGCCCCCCAGCAGACGAATGCGAACCGCACGGCGACCACTGGCATTGCCCACCCGGTGTGCCAGAGCCCACTACTCCTCCACCTGCATCACAGCCTACCAACAGCGCTCCTGCTGGAGAATGTGAGCCTCATGGTGATCATTGGCACTGTCCTCCCGGTGTTCCAGAGCCCACTACTCCTCCACC